ACCCTAACCCTAACCCTAACCCTAACCCTAACCCTAACCCTAACCCTAACCCTAACCCTAACCCTAACCCTAACCCTAACCCTAACCCTAACCCTAACCCTAACCCTAACCCTAACCCTAACCCTAACCCTAACCCTCCAGACACGGTCGCAGAGTCAACTCCTAGAGAGCCGCACACCATTGGCCTTGGTGCGTCGCCATCATCTGACTGGGTGCTGGTTAGCCGCTCTGCCGCTGCGAGGTTCCCTAGTGGCAGAATCTCAAAAACGAGAGCGCTCGCCCGGTACAGTTCGTTGCGTAGCGACTCCCAACAGCGCGCTCTGGGGAAGGTAGCAGCTAGCTTGGAGTCACTCCAACCATTCAGGAACTGTTTCCGCCACATGATCGGCCCGAATCACCCGACTCAATTAACACTATCTGATGTCCAAGAAGCATAGCAGACATCTTCATATCTTATCTGCAAACGCGCAAAAATCCATCGCCTACACAGACGGCCTCCTCGAGCTGGCAGCTAGACGGAGAATATCCCTCGTCTGTGTCCAAGAGCCCGCGGTCATCAGAGGCAAGGTTCGGAGACACCCGGGTTTCACCGTGATCTCATCTGATGACCCTGAATGCCGAACGGCTATTTACATTGATAAAAGATTCTCTTTCTCTTCTCTGCACGACCCTCTCCATTTTGCAGTCTCGGTTTCTTTCTCCAGTTCGTACACAAAACTTTGCAACTTCCCCTTAGGGTCTACTCTGTATTGTACGAATGCCGCTATCAAAATTACTCACCGTCTTATTTGTCCGGAAGAATCTCTTCGTTAACTCGCTAAAATTGCTAACAGAGGACCCTTGACAGCTTTGTTATTAGTTTCTTAATTCATTATGGCTCTTTTTGTGACCTTGTTCAAATGACAATGAAAGCGGTGAGCAGTTTCCTTGGCAGAAACATTTGAAAGCCACGTTTCCGCATCTCAAGGGTGAATTGGTGCCGCTCCAAGTGGCTTGACGTCCTGCAGATGATTCACAGCCACAAAGCTTAACTCTAGATCCAAGCTTAAACTGACGTTCAGACGTACACAGCACTGTACAAGATATCCGAGATTTGTTTTGCTAGCTCCTTAGCGAGGTTTTGTGAGCATTCTTGCCAAGGAACTAACAACACAAACCCTGGCACCTTTGTAGACGTCAGGAGGGCCAATAACGCCCCATGCCCCGGTTTATCAACGATGAAAAAAAAATCGGCAAGAAGGGCCGAGCAAGGGTGTTGCTTGGCAACCGCTGGTACCAGCTGAACTGCATGAAGGGTGCTTGTAACATCAACGGCAATGGACAGAGCACCAGCATACGGTATGTTCAGTTAGTTCTGTCTTATGTAGGATCTAGCTGAAAGGTTCGAGAACAAATGATCCCAGCCCCCGTCTCCGCGTTAGATTCCAGACCAAGCGGCGATCTAGCCGAGAGCATCCTAGCGCCGAGACGGTGTGCGCTTGATCAAACCTAATAGCCTCATGTGCCATGAGGTGTTTGCATGTGCTAAATACCTGCAGGGACTGATGGGGGACTATTTCGGACTCCATCGCTCAGCTGTTAAGCTGCACAATCCCAATGAGTATCAATAGTGGCGTTCAGCTTCTCGCGTGCTTCGATGGTGGCCACATTTCCCCAGTTGCCTCGTTTGGACGCTCAGACCGACGGTAAGGATGCTGTTTAGCTTCCGTAGATAAATGCAGTCCCTTTCCTCAGAGCCAGTTTGTGATTGTCTCTAGCTCTACATGGCATCCAGTCTCTCTGCTCTCGACCATTCTGGCACAAAATTGTCTCGAGAAAAACTTTGAGGTTCAAGATGCAGCGCTTGGTTGCCACGACCGCCCTCATTCCTGTCGCTCTCGCCCAGGCCACGTACTATGGATGCTATGTGGACCCCCCCGCGCGTGCTCTGACAGGAGCACTAATGGTGGACTACGAAAACATGACAATATCTGTCTGTGAGGAGTTTTGCACTACTGGCGCCAACAGTTTCCCGATCTGGGGCATCGAATACGGAGGTGAATGGTGAGTGCTGTTTCACTGGCTTAATCTGGCTCACTTTAACACATGTACTAATGCATTTACAGCTACTGTGGTTCGTCGTTAGCGGTTGGCTCGTTTCCTTCTTTTGAGACAGACTGCCAGATGGCGTGCCCGGGTAACACGGAAGTAGTGTGCGGCGGTCCCAGTCGACTCTCTCTGTATGGTCAATCTGCCACTGCTCCGGCCCATACTCCTGTGCCTGTCAACGAGGAAGTCACACACTATGTTTCCCAAGGTTGCTGGACGGAAGCCATTGGTGTTCGTACGCTCAACGGCGCCAGCGTCGTCTCATCGCTCATGACTATTGACTCCTGCGGTAACTTTTTGTCTCAACAATGGCTTCTTGTACTTTGGGTTGGAGTATGGGTCTGAGTGTTGGTGCGGAAATATGATCAACGACCAGTCCGTTATTGGCGAAGAAGAGGGTGCTATGTCGGTTTGGAGAGTGAATGCAACATGCCCTGCGCCGGTAACAGCGAGGAAGACTGCGGTGCTGGCAACCGGTTGAGTGTTTATCGTTGGGTTAGCGACGAGGAGTCGGAATAACTGCCTCAGTGTTCGGATTGTGAAAACGATACTTGAATTGAATTGAATTACATTTCCGACCCGTATCACCCATGAGAATGCTCGGTCGTGCCCACGACGCCGGCGGGCAAAAAGTACATATGCACTCGCTAGTCTAAGCTATGTACACACGGAAAAAAACCCGAGAGGGAAAACCGGTGCGTATCTGTGGGATAGATGAGTGGTGTTGGAAATGGGAGAGAAGTAGGAAAGAGAAAACAAAAAGCAGATGGGTTAGGAGAGGTAAGTGTGAAATATGTGGATGTCCAAACTAGACCGTTCCGATTTCGATTCTTCATTGTGGGGGTGTGCATCGATCGAGATTGTGAGATCATGCGTGAGGGAGAGTGGGGAGGGCGTTGAGTAGGGATGGCTTGTCCTGTTTGATGGTCCCTGACTGAGCCGGAAGGTTCGAGTTGTGATTTTCTATTCTCGAAAAGTTGATATGAGTGCCAAACCGCTCTGAGGTTGAGGCGGCCAGCAAGAGGTTGTCAAGGGAGGAGAGGAGGCACTGGAGGAAGTGGCCTCTGGATACTGTCTCCCCGCAAGAGCAAGTTTTGATTGCACTCGGCGGGTGGTTGAACACGACACTTCGAAGGTGTTTACCTAAATGAATAATTTCATGGTTTAATGTTATCATTAGCCCGCTGTTCATCCAAAGCTAATGGACATCCTGCAATACGACTGTTAAGTCAAATGGCAATGGTAAATATCATGCCAATCTTCTGCTCTTTAGGCAGTAGGTCCAATGCGGTGGGATATCTATTTGATTATCTAGATCTTTCAACCGTTTCACCACTGGAAGTTCTAAGTCGTACCCACGGTGCCGGCGGGCAAAAGCTATCTAAGATATATATATTCCAGGTGACGCCGGAGGAAAAACCCGCGTGTGAGAAAAATCGACGTGAGATGTTGAAAAGCTGTTATGTCACGTGGTTGAGAGGAGGGAGGGTATTTCTGAGCACCCGCGTCCGGCCCTCGGGTTCGAAGGGATCTGGGGGAAGAGAATGAATGTGGACAGAGGAAGAGCCGTCACTGGGCAGGGTTCGCAGGCTGCCCCCAGTGTTCGGCCCGGGAGACTCTAGATTTAAAGAGTTAGAAGGAGGACTAGAAGCCCTAAGGTCCATCCTTCCTGTGTGTGGGTTGTCGATAGAAATAAGAAGGTAGAAGATGAAATGTCCCCTGGAGACCATCGCCCCGCAGGGACACTTTTTGACAGCATCCGGCGGGTGGTCGAAGCGCATGTGGTACTAAGAAATCGCCGTAACCCGAGGCCTCAGCCAACAGCGCGAGAGACATTGGCGCGAGAACTTCTCAAGGAATGGTTTGGCACTGTGCCCAGCCCAGCAGGCTGAGGGGGGTTTGTTAGTGCGCCACCATCTACGCATATCCAGGGGAGGCGCTCGTCCTTTCTTGGGGGGACAGAGGGGAGGCTGAGCCACGCCCTGATTCCTAGATGCTTTGGCTCACATAAGGACTTAGCCCTGAGCCCAGAGGCCGCTTAGTGCAGGCGAAACTAGTCCCGGAAAGGGGGTCGGGCAAGCCTGATCCACAGAAAGTGGTTGGCCGGCAGCACCTCTGCGCGAGCTCTCCACCTTGCTTGCTCTTTGTCCAGCAGGTACTCTGGGTAGAGCCCAGCTAGCCACCAGAGCCACGTGGTCGGGACCGTCAGCCACACCTGGGAGATCACTTCCGGGCGCCGCATTCGCGATCTTGGTGAGGGACGGGCACACCGGCGTAAGTCTAATGGGACTAAGCGGCCGTTAACCGCGGCCCTAGTCGGGCCGGTATCGAGTTGTACCATGCCATACAGGAGGGAAGGGGTGACGACAGCGTCAATGATCTTGGAATCGGCCGAGGGGGGAAAGCCCCTGAGCCTCGTGATGGATAAGCGCTTGACCAGCCTCACCACCGATGCTGTCGCCGCCGCCCTCGCGGCTGCTTGGATCGCCGGGCTTAGCTTGAGTTCCAGGGAGACTCCAAGCCACTTGATGGACTTACCAGGGAGGAAGGACGTCCTCTCCACCTGGGTCGAGATCGTTGTGGGGTCGGTCCTGCCACGAGTCGCTCCGGTGCCCCTGGGGGGAGGGGGGGAAGGGACGTAGAAGACCTCTGTCTTGTTCGGATTGACCCTGAGGTCGAGCCCTCGGGCTTTGGTACACAGCTGGTTGACCCTAAGGGACGCATGATGGGCCAGTTGGATTGGGTGTTGCTCCACGACAGTTGCGCATGGTCGTCCATGTACATGAAGACGGTCCCTTGTTGTGAGGGAGTAATGATCGGTAGGGAGTACAGGATGAAAAGGATCGAGGAACATGGGGAACCCTGTGGGAGGCCCGTATCCTAGCGGAAGGACGATTGAGCCCATCAGAAGGAAAGGCAGAGGTCTTAGAATATATCCGCCACCGCTTCTCACAGCCAGCGTGGCCAGCCTTGGTCTGCCAGGACTTCGCCGAGGATTGATGAGTGAACCGAGGGATAGGCCGAGTCGACGTCTAGGGTGACGAGGAACCCGTAGTAGCCTTGTCTTGCCATGGTCTCCGCATCATGGACGAGCGACTGGACGAGGTCCAGTGCCGATCTGGACGGGATGGCTCCGGCCACGTCTGGGGGAAGCAGATCCGAGCACAGCGCCGCCGCAGTCATTCGCAGGGCCAGGAGACGAAGTGGGAGATACCAAGTTTCTAACGACATCATCGCTGGCCCCCTAGTGCGACAGCAACACTAGCAGCCCCTCAATCCAAAGAAGTTCATGGGGCTGCAAGCATCTTTCCCAGTCCACCGGAACCATAGAGATATGAACACATCTTCACTGGCGATTACTGTGTGGAAGTGACACCGTCCTTGAATAAGTGTTCGTTGCAGCCAGAGACTTACTGAAATGGCTGGGCAACAAACACCGGAACTGCTAGACTGTTCCCCCTCTAAGGAACCGAAGCCAAAGAGAAGAGCGTGGGCTATCTCGATGTACTTAAAAGCACGAAGAAACCCTTCTAACACTCCATAAACGCCATAGTCAAGCTGAAGGACAAGGCAGCTTGTGATACCAGCCCAATATCATCGCGTGTCAGCTGCTCAGCATTCTGCAAGGTTCTACACTGCGAAAACTAAGGCGGCATAAGATGCTCGCATGAGTTGAAGATGCGGTTGCAAGGCCTATAAACGAGTTGCACCGCATTACGTACATCGACTAACAAACAAATAATCGAAAGTAGCCGAGCTTGAAGCGGGCAAAACTGCGGAGAGTAGTTATATATAGGTAGAGATACTAGCAGACAGTTTCACGGTTAAACATTCCAGTATTGTCGATAGTACTCTTTCGTTGGTACACAAGCCGATTAATCTGATACTAGGCTAGCATTATGGACCTGCACGGTTATAGGATAAATATCATAGAGTTAGGTGTTGTTTAGATCCATAAGAGCCTATATTTGCGAATGTAGTCCAGGTGTTGTTTGGCTCGGTCTCCAGGAGTCTACGTATACATCTAAATGCCACTTCCCTAATTTCCACAAAGGGTAGACCCAAATTAATTGGATAAAAAACACGGTAGGAGCCATTTTGACCCGCATCCAATGCACCTGATCGATCTGCGGGCAATGACGGGGAACCACCCCTTCATGGGTCTCTTTTCTTTGCATTGCAAAACATAGATGGCTAGAGAGGTTCAATATTTAAACGGAAACAAAACGTACTAAAGCTCATAGAGTTTTTAGCATCGACAGATAGTGTAACAGCACAATGACACGCATATAGACCCATAATTGCGACAAAATACGATTGATGTGGTGCACGTCTGGGAACCGGATTTCAGGGCATGCCCGAATGGAATTCCGCTTTGCATTTGACCTCAAAATCCGTTTGGCTATCAAGCGATACAGCTAGGCACTTGCTAAGCGTCCAAGTTGAGACTCAGCCATCCATCAATACGATTACGGGTGCCAAAGCCGCGAAATTTCCATTGCGACGCCCCAAATATGCAGTGTCTCTTGGGTTTCGCACGTCTGGCGACCTGTAGCTGCCCCGAGAGCGTGGAATGTGGGGCTCTCAATGACATCATCCTTAGCTCTCCGGAACGTTCCGAGGCCAAGGACTCCTTGCCCGCTGTCAGGGACATCGGATCGCTTCCAGGTTTTCTCGGGAAAATCCCGACCTTTCGGACCTAGCGCGGGAGCTACACCTCAAACTGTCTCTCACCTTGATCTAACTGCTCGTGCATCCGAGCACAAGATGATCTGAGAGGAAACAATTTCGAGAAGTTCTCGTGCAAATTTGAAGCAATCCAGAGAACGCTGACACCAAAGCGAGCAAGACCAGCGCTTTGTTCTTCGACTTGTGCCCTCACGGGCGGGAGACGCTGACCACACTGGCGTGCCTGGCTCGTGATTTGTTTCAGGAGTACCCATCGAGAGCACGAGACAGGATAAACCTTTGTTAAGATTGTCCGCTTCCATTATAGAAAGCCCTTCGATGTTTGCCGTTCTGTGCCTTGAATCTTACCAGCGGCACTTCTGTTGCACCGTTGACAGTTATGTGTAGGGATCGGATCTCTTCCGAAGTCCTCTTTGGCCCCCTTTTTGCGCCGCCTTGCCTGACCGGCGTGTTGCGGACTCGGCGGCGAAGGGACAGTGGAGTCGCGGATACAAGGCTCAGCGCCCACTAAGATCTTGTGCCATTGCTCTGGTTCCAGAGCAGTAAAATGAAGCAGCACGCAGAGCGGATTCCACAATGTTGCAGTGGAGCTTCTTATACAAGATGGCCCAATGGCATGACGGAGCAATGCCGATGGAGGGCCAGGATAGATGGGCGATGGGAGCGATTGACGCCGATCGAGAAGTGTAAAAGTTGTCGACGTCTCGAGGTTCTCTCCCTCTGAGATCCAAGATCCCTTTTCTCAGAACATCTCATGTTGCCGTAGAATTGACACCAGACTGTGATCTTAACCTCGAGGTGTTAATCAAGGCAGATCAACCCAGCCACAAAACCTGCGGCGCTTTGCCGCCTACCACTAACTACAGTTTGCGCCTTGAATAGGAGGAACATGTCGCGACAACCAGCGACCAAGGATCTTGGTCAGGGCCAGCTACCCGAGCGACCCGTCAGCGGGCCAGCCAGCACCGTGGATCCAGGAAGGCTCGGCAGCGGCAGCAGCAGCGAGACGATCGCCGACCATCAGCCAACTTCTCCCAGAGACGCTCCTTTGAGTATGCTGGAAGAAGATGCCTCAGCCGAACTGCACCGGATAGCCACTGCATTATCTCAACACCAGTCCCACAGCGGCGTTCCCCTCGACGAGTCGGATCCGACTTTGAACCCGGAGTCTGCAGATTTCGACGTCACAAAATGGCTTCGCAGCTTCGTTGCCGGACTCAACGAACAGGGACACAAATCCAGTGAGCTCGGAGTACTGTTTAGAGACCTGGATGTGTACGGGTCAAGCGCCGAATTGCAGTTTCAGGAGACGGTCGGCTCAATCTTAACGGCTCCTCTCCGGATTGGCAAGCTGTTCAATAGCCAAAAGCGCCAACCAAAGCACATCCTTCACTCGTTCAATGGCCTGCTCAAGAGCGGAGAGCTGCTTGCCGTACTCGGCCGGCCCGGCTCGGGATGCACGACGTTCCTCAAGACTCTGTGCGGCGAACTCCACGGACTCAGGCTGGGTGAGAATTCGGTTATTCACTACAACGGTGCGTCCCAGGCGCAGATGAAGAAGGAGTTCAAGGGCGAGATCATCTACAACCAAGAAGTTGACAAGCACTTTCCACACCTGACGGTCGGTCAAACGCTCGAGTTCGCCGCGGCGATGCGCACTCCCTCACACCGCATCAAGGGAATGTCGCGGTCCGAGTACTGTCGGTACATCGCGCGGGTTGTCATGGCGGTGTTTGGGCTTTCTCATACTTACCACACCAAGGTGGGTAACGACTTTGTTCGAGGAGTTTCTGGCGGCGAGCGCAAGCGTGTTAGCATTGCCGAGATGGTTGTGGCCGGCAGCCCCATTTGCGCCTGGGACAACTCGACTCGTGGTCTTGACTCGGCCAGTGCTCTGCGTTTTGTCGAAGCCCTGCGCCTGTCGTCAGACATTGGCAAGCATGCCCATGCTGTAGCCATGTACCAGGCCAGTCAGGCCATCTACGACCTCTTTGACAAGGTCACTGTGCTCTATGAGGGCCGCCAGATCTACTTTGGTCCGGCCCACGCCGCCAAAGCCTTCTTCGAGCGCCAGGGCTGGCTTTGCCCACCACGGCAAACAACCGGAGACTTCTTGACCTCTATCACAAACCCCTCGGAACGGATCGCGCGTCCGGGCATGGAGCACAAGGTCCCTCGCACTGCCGAGGACTTCGAGCAGTACTGGCTGGCGTCCCCCGAGTTCCGGGCGCTGCAGGAGGAGATGCAGCGTTACGACAACGAGTTCCGTAACGATGCTTCCAAGCAAGCCGCGAGCATCGCCGACCTTCGCCAGATTAAGCATCACAAGCAGGCTCGCCATGTGCGTCCCGGCTCGCCATACATGATCAGCGTGCTTGCCCAGATCCGGCATAACACAGTCCGCGGCTATCAGCGCATCTGGCAGGACTTGACCGGCACTGGGGCCAATGTCTTTGCTCAGCTCGTCCTGGCTCTCATCATTGGTTCTATCTTTTACGGCAACCCGGACGCTACTGCCGGATTCGACGGCAAAGGCAGCGTACTCTTCATGGCGATCCTCCTTAACGCTCTTACTGCGATCATGGAGATTGAGAGTCTCTATGCGCAGCGAGCGATTGTCGAAAAGCATGCATCGTACGCATTCTATCACCCCTGGACCGAGGCTGCTGCTGGCATCGTGGCCGATATTCCTGTCAAGTTCATTACGGCGACCACTTTTAACTTGATTGTGTATTTCCTGTCCGGGTTGCGCCGCACGCCCGATCAGTTCTTCCTCTACTTTATGATCTCTTACCTGATGACCTTCGTCATGAGTGCCATCTTCAGGACCCTGGCTGCCATCACCAAGACGGTCTCGCAGGCCATGGCACTGGCTGGCGTGCTTGTTCTGGCTTTAATCATTTACACTGGCTACATCATCCCCGTGCCGCAGATGCATCCATGGTTTGGCTGGATTCGCTGGATCAATCCCATTTATTATGGTTTTGAGATCCTTGTCGCCAATGAGTTCCACGGCCGTGAGTTTACTTGCTCGTCCATCATGCCGCCATACTCCCCGCCCATCGGTGACTCATGGATTTGCGCCAGTGCTGGCGCTGCGCCCGGTCGTTGGACCGTCAACGGCGATGCTTATATCAAGACTATGTATGGGTACACTTACGACCATGTCTGGCGCAACTTTGGCATTCTCATCGGCTTCCTTGTTGCGTTTATGGCTATCTACCTCCTTGCGGTGGAACTAAATTCCTCGGTGACCAGCACGGCAGAGTCTTTGGTCTTCCCACGTGGTAGTGTTCCGGCCCGCCTGGACCCCGACCATGCCGTTAAGAAGCAGGATGAGGAGTCCAACCAGGGAGCGACCGAGCTCGTGGTTGAAAAAGACGCTCACGAGGCAGCCCAACCCGCCATCGAACCGCAGAAGGATATCTTCACGTGGAAGGACGTCTGCTACGACATTGACGTCAAAGAGGGCCGTCGTCGCTTGTTGGACCATGTTTCTGGCTGGGTCAAGCCCGGCACCTTGACAGCCTTGATGGGTGCATCGGGAGCGGGCAAGACAACGCTCCTAGATGTACTTGCGCAGCGCAAGGATGTTGGAGTCATTTCCGGCGACATGTTTGTGAACGGCAGGCCCTGCGGCGCCGATTTCCAGAGACAGACCGGCTATGTTCAGCAACAGGGTAAGTTCTCATAACTCACGGCCTTCAACCCAATTCACATGGTCAAGAAAGTGCTGATGTTGGCCTCTTATAGATCTTCACCTCGACACTGCTACTGTCCGAGAAAGTCTTCGGTTCAGTGCCATGCTCCGCCGTCCCAAGACTGTCAGCAACGAGGAAAAGTACGCTTTCGTCGAGGAGGTCATCAAGATGCTCGGTATGGAAGAATATGCCAATGCCGTGGTCGGCGTTCCCGGCGAAGGCCTTAATGTTGAGCAACGCAAGATGCTCACAATCGGCGTCGAACTCGTTGCGAAACCAAAGCTTCTACTCTTCCTTGACGAGCCTACCAGTGGCTTGGATTCCCAAAGTGCCTGGGCCATTTGCTCTTTTTTGCGTAAGTTGGCCAACGCTGGGCAAGCCGTATTGTGTACCATCCATCAGCCGAACGCCATCTTATTCCAACAATTCGACCGGTTGCTTTTCCTGGCAAAAGGAGGAAAGACGGTCTACTTCGGCGAGATTGGTGAAAATTCGCGTACGCTCATCGACTACTTCGAGCGCAATGGCTCGCGGAGGTGTGGTCCGGAGGAGAACCCTGCCGAGTTCATGCTCGAGATTGTCGAAGAGGGCACAAACAAGGATGGCGAGGACTGGCATGAAGTTTGGAAGAGAAGCCCCGAGTACCAAGAGGTCATGGCCGAGATCGACAGGATCCATGCCGAGTATAAGGATCAGGTTGACCAGTCTTTGCCCAATGCTGACGTTGATACCAATTCGGAGTTTGCCATGCCTTTCTCTTACCAGGTCTGGTGCGTAACAGAGCGCATTTTCCAGCAGTATTGGCGGATGCCCATCTACGTCCTGTCAAAGCTGGCTCTGGGCATCTTCTCTGGCCTGTTCATCGGCTTCACCTTCTGGAATGCAGACAGCACCCAGGCCGGCATGCGCAATGTCGTCTTTGCTGTATTTATGGTCACCACCATCTTCACCACTCTGGTGCAGCAGGTAAGTTCAAGTTCTCGACAACCCCCAGACCTTTTGCCTTGATATTAACCTTAAAGCTCTATAGATCCAGCCGCTATTCATCACGCAGCGTGCTCTCTATGAAGTCCGCGAACGCCCGTCCAAAGTGTATTCGTGGAAGGCCTTCCTCATTGCCAACATCGTCGTGGAGATTCCTTACCAGGTTTTGACAGGCATCCTCGCCTACGCTTGCTACTATTACCCTGTTGTCGGCATGCAGTCTTCGTCGCGCCAGGGGCTCGTCCTCCTGTTCACCGTTCAGCTTTTCATTTACGCCAGCGCTTTTGCCCATATGACTATTGCCGCGATGCCAGACGCCCAAGCTGCTGCGGCTATCGTAGTCTTGTTGACCATGATGTCCACCATTTTCAGCGGCGTACTGCAAACACGTATCGCCCTCCCTGGCTTCTGGATTTTCATGTACTATGTCTCGCCGTTTACTTACTGGATTTCTGGCATCGTCGCGACCATGCTGCACGACAGGCCAGTCAATTGCTCTGCCACTGAGGTTTTGTCGTTCAATCCCCCGCCCAATATGACATGTGCCGAGTATCTTGCGCCCCTTGCAGGCAACGCCCAGGGCACACTGCAGAATCCCTTCGACACACAAGGCTGCCGATATTGCGCTTTTAGCGTTGCTGACCAGTATCTTGCAGGCGTTGATATCTTCTGGAAAGATCGCTGGAGGAATTGGGGCTTTATGTGGGCTTACATTGTCTTCGACATTGCAGTTGCCATTGGTCTGTATTACATATTCCGTGTGAAAGGAGGGTCATTGAAGAGGTTGTTCAGTGGTAAAAAGAAAGCCAAGGCATAGGTAGCTAGCTCGAAAGACGTAGACATTTCGCTCAAAATCTTCGTAATATAAAGCAGTGATATAGAAAGATAGAGGTCTCATAGGATCATAAGCCTTATCATTTTGTCTCAAAACTGCCTCACTCAGAAATGGACAAGGCGCCACGGGGCACCTAGGTTCTTTAGTATACTAAAAATATTCGTTACCAACTACATGGCTAAAAGTCAGGTGTCTCTAACAAAGCTATTACCTGTTCATTACTGTAAAACCAATCCTCTAGCTGAGCCCCATTGCCCATCCACATCACTGGATCAAGTCCACGATGGTACTCATGCTGTAAGCCGTTGTTTCTATCACCAGAAGTAGCTACAGCAGGGCTTTCTGCGAGGTGGTTAGGCGCTGTCCCCTCCGAAAAACCAAGCGCTGAAAGATAGGCCTCGAAGTCCACGCTGGAACGGCGCTCCTCGCTCGATGTTGAGTCCCGACACTCTTTTACATAGTGGGCTGCAACGTTGTACAAGACTTGGAAGAGTCGACGATGCCGTTCGATGCCTTCGGAGACATTGCTTTGTGTTTGGAGAGAGCTAATGAACCTTCTGAGCAGCTCTAGGTCTTCGGAGTTTTTGGTCTCAATGACGTGGCAGAACAGAACAATAAAGGGAACAAATGGGGAAAACAAGATTGTCCTGCGCGCCCTGAAGCATCAGTAAGGATTCATCCAGGACGTAGTAATGTGTGTTTCGTATACCAATTCATATAAGTTCCAAACAGCTGAGTAGCGTGGCTCGCCTTAACAATCTCCATGCAGTCTAGATGCCGCGCTAGTGTGTCCCGAGCAGCACGTAGGCACTCGGGGGTGAAGGTGTTACTCGATCCGGGCGGGTTTGGTATTGCTCGATGCACGAGTGTGAGAAGGGAGAGTCGAAGGACTTCATCCGAAAGCCGGAAGAACTGTATGCTGTCTTCTCCAATGTTTGGACGGACATCCTGCATCCACCGTTCCTAATTGTTTTCATGTCAGTAAAGTCGGCAATCGCGATTTGTGCTAGATTTCTTACAGTCGCGTCTCGGGTCATTGTGTCAAGTTCTTCAAGGCGCTGAATAAGGTGCTGCGCATGTGATCTCCGGACTTCTTCAGACTGAGTAAGAGCTTTGGGACAATACAACAATTCGTAGATTTCCCCTTGAATTTTTGCACCAGCGATCCATAGGTTAAAGATTCCAGCGAATGTGCGGTTACTGAACAAACTCTCGGGCGAGGGAAGTATGGTGATATCATGATCCTGTATAGTAGACGACCTGCCTAGACGCAGCGCGAGGCTCTTGTCAATCACATAGACAAGCCAGAAGAGAAACTGCTCGACGTAAATATCAGAATCTGGTCGGTGTGAGGTTCTCTGTCGATGGTATCCTAGAGTTTGACAGAGTTCAGATGCTTTGGAGTTCAATGTCCACGCCAGTGAAGGCTTGGAGATCTCATTAGCGTAAAATGACTAGATGAGAACAGTTAGAAACGATGCAGACACAGAATGTTGGAAGAGACCAACCCCCAAGAGCAATGCAATGATGGCTTGCTTAGTTGCTGGCAGGTGCAGGGGAAGGCTGGCGAGTGCTGTTTCAACGTTCACGGCACATACTTTCGACCATCCCAAATATTCGTCCCGAGTTTCGAGGACTTCGGATGCATGAGCGCAAAATAAATAATACAGGACCACGTTAACTGTAATAAAGGCAAAGATAGAGGGGCTCTCAGCGACATAAATGTGGAGACAGGATTCGATGGTTCCGGGAAATCGATTTACAGTAAACAGTTCATAGACCCAAGCTAGGCAGAAGTCTCGTCTTACTTTGCGACAACAAGTCAATGAGATACAACTGCGTAATCCACAAAGATATGGGGACAGGGGGCTTACGTTGGGTTAATCTCAGTACCTGGAGAGTTTTGTCAATTGGTGGGAGCTCACACCCATCAAGGGAAACTGGCTTGATAGGTTTGGCATTTGGATAGGTCATTTCCTGAGAAGCTGGTTGTTTTTGCATAGCTTCCACGACATGAACCAGATCATCAAGCCTTTCCTGCATAGCCGGCGCAGAGTCCGTAGTGACGACTCTCTGAAGAAAATTGTTGGCAAAGACAGACTGTGCGGTCAACGAAGACCCGCCCTCAATTACAGGGTCTGTGGTTCCCGAGATTTCGGCATTGCTAGCTGAGCTGGCTGAACTGATAGGTGCGGTATCCTCGGGCAGTTTCGGGCCACCAGTTGTTGATCGTAGTTGAGACTGAAGGGACTGGAGAGCACATATTACGCTATCTAGCTGGCGCTCAATGCGATCGATCTTCTTCTCACTACCAAAAGGAACAATGCTTTTAAGCCTACTTCCCATTCCAAGTTTGTGGACGGGACTAACATCTGATGCTCTGTGCAAACTAAGGAGTCGAAACTTACTATTGATGGGTAAGAAGAATTCGAGTTCTGCCCTCTCGTGGCTTGTTATTTCCGGCGTGTGTGCACTGTATCTTCGCAACCACACAATGCGAACAGGGTGATTGGCGATCACAGCGAATCTAAACCGTACCTAACGGTCAATTTCCAAACATTGAGCTGCAGAATACACTAATGCGTTCAAACATACGAACCTTACGAGCTCGGCAGGCATCGCACTACGAATGTAGGTTAAAGGGTCAGCAAAGTGAAGCCAAAAGTGCAGTTGAGAAGTCTTGGCAGACTCTAAGTCAACAAGACACCGTGGGGAAATTGGGGACAAAACACGCTTGACATACCGCGCGAGGAACATGCGGGCCATTTGCAATCTGCTGCTCCCCAACTGGGGAAGCTAGGACATCGGTGGCAGTGTCCATGCCAAATCGTCGGAGCACCTGAGCCACTCAGTACCGAAACTCATCGGCTTTGCAGCGTGCTTCTGAGGGTCTGTGACCCGGTGCTGGCTTGCAAACTCGCACCCTTAAAGCAACTGGAACGCGCGCTTCCCGCGGGATGCGTAAGACACGGCAGGCGGGCCATTTCTGAGTGGGTCCGGTGTGGAAATATATAGCAAAGACCTTGTACAGATTAGGTAATCTATCTGGATTATGTGAACGTTGTCGTCATTATCCAAGGCTATATTTGCCCGGAGACATTTTGGGCTAGAGCAAGGACCATAATCCTAACATCAAATATGCGGTGATGTTGCCAGGACGGTGACTGTTATTCAACAATTTCCCGCAAATTGGCTTTTGCGATAGGTCTTGGCGTTTGACTGGTAGGCATCCATGTGGGGTGTTTTGCGACAGCTTCTGGAATTGCATCGGCCAAGACGCAGAGAACGCTACGGCGGGTCATCTCGGACTCCGTCTCTTTGGACCCGGATCGTCTGCCAGGAAAATGACCACTCAGCGAAGAGCTTGGCGCCAAGTGAGGCTAAGTTCTTGGAAGGACTTGCGGCCAGGAGAATAAGATAGCCTCCATTCTAGCAGCAACATGGGCGAGGGAGGGCGATGCTTTTCTCCGTTTTTAAAGACGGCGAGTCATCCCGGCGCGTACTGTCACCTACTTAGCTGCTGTGGTCAGTGATCGGGTCTGGGGCGCTCGCCTTGTCAATTCGCAAGTCACAATGGCGTCCAAAAGTAAGACGGAGAAGGACGCACCCATCTCCGGCGTTGGCATGCCGGAGCAGTCTTTAAGTGTTGTCAACATACCCGCAACGAAAGATACAGACAACAAGAGTGATCAAGATGGGGACAATGGCAGTGCTTACATCGTATGTTTACATATAGGGAAGCACCGAAGCCCAAGGTCATCTGCGTGCTAACTTCTCTCAGCGCATCTTTCGCTATGGTGGCCGTTTGGAGTATACCCTCCAGGTAATTGCTGCTGTGGCTGCCGTCGCGTCTGGAGCCGGAATTGCCCTCCAGAATCTTATCTTTGGCGAATTTGTTACCGTGATTACGGACTTTGTCTCTAGTAATAGTGAGAGAGACAAATTCATGGCTGATGTGGCCCAGCTAGCGTATGTTGTCTTCAAGTTGCTGCCAGAGTGACGACTTGGTACCTCTCATCTTGCTGACAATTGACATTGCCAGTCTCTACTTTTTGTACCTTGGAATCGCCCGATTTGTTCTGTCTTATGTGTACAATTTCCTCTTGACATTTTCGGCTTATCGAATCGTCCGCAACATCCGGCATGAGTACCTCAAGGCGGCTCTCAGCCAGGACATCGCCTACTTTGACCTTGGTGAAGGCGGCTCCATTGCCGCACAAGCCACGTCGAACGGTCGCCTCATTCAGGGCGGCATTTCGGAGAAGCTGGGCCTGACCTTCCAGGGACTGGCAGCCTTTGTCACTGCCTTCATTGTCGCCTTCGTCACCCACTGGAAGCTTACGCTCATCACTCTCTGCATTGCTCCGGCGACCATCTCGGTCATGGCTGTAGTTGGCTTTCTTGAGGCTGGCTACGAGACCAAGATCCTGGAAGTCCATGCGCAGGGCAACGCCTTTGCCGAAGGCGTGCTTGCCAGCGCTCAGACTGTTCATGCTTTCGGCATGAGAGAACGACTCGTCGCCAAGTTTGACGAATACTTGTGCCAGGCCGATCGCTGGGGCAAGAAGATCTCGCCCCTTCTGGGCCTTCTCTTCTCCGCCGAGTACACCATCATCTACATGGGCTTTGGCCTTGCCTTCTGGCAAGGTGTGCGCATGTTAGCAAGGGGCGAAATTGATTCGCCCGGGGACATCTTCACCGTCATCATGTCAGTGGTCATCGGCTCGCTGCAGATCACCATGCTTGCCCCCTACTCGATAGAATTCACTCGTGCCACCACAGCCGCGAGCCAGCTCTTCAAGCTCATCGACCGGAAATCCGAAATTGACCCTTTCGATCAAGAAGGGGATAAACCGTTGGATATCGCAGGACTTGTCGAGCTGGAAAGCGTCACCTTTTCTTACCCCACACGTCCGGGTATTACAGTGTTGGACAACTTTTCTCTAACCGTCCCAGCCGGCAAGGTCACTGCTTTGGTGGTAAGTGGTGTCCCCCGTACAGTACCTAGGGAACTTCTTTCATCTCCCAGGTTCAACTGACATGTTGCCAGGGTCCAAGCGGTTCCGGAAAGAGTACCATTGTTGGCCTTATCGAGAGGTGGTACAATCCCTCTTCTGGAACCATCAAGCTTGACGGACGGCCGATCGACAAGCTCAACCTGGGTTGGCTGCGCAGGAATGTTCGCCTTGTCCAGCAGGTAGGTTATGCACCTAGTGACAAAAGCACTAATCATTCCAATCAGCTGCTTTCTAACCCAACTTATAAAGGAACCAGTGCTATTCCAAGGATCTGTTTTCGACAACATTGCCTATGGCCTTGTCGGCACGCCCTGGGAGCATGCTTCGAAGGCAGAGCAAATGGTTCATGTCCAGGAGGCTGCTAAGATCGCGTTTGCTCATGATTTCATCATGGATTTACCTCAAGGATATGATACGGATATCGGCCAGCGTGGCAGTCTGTTATCTGGTGGACAGAAACAGCGCATCGCCATCGCCCGCAGCATCGTTTCGCACCCCAAGGTCCTCCTATTGGATGAAGCCACGAGTGCTTTAGACCCTCACGCTGAAGGAGTGGTGCAGCAGGCTTTGGATAGGGCGTCAGAGGGCAGAACGACCATTGTAATTGCTCATAAATTGGCCACAATCCGGAAAGCTCACAACATCGTCGTCATGTCTAAAGGCCGTATCGTCGAGCAAGGCACCCACGAAGAACTCATCGCGCGCGACGGCACATATGCTCGTCTCGTTCGGATCCAAGACCTGTCCGTCAAGAGTAGTGGTGGCGAATCGACATCGGACAGTGATCAAGACGAGGAGGGCACGGGCGATGGGGGTGCGCAAACGGTGGAGATGACCAAAACGCTGACTCGATATGCCACGGAGGACCGCGCTCACATGGAAGCTCAGCGAGATCGTGACGACTTCAAGAACTACAAACCACTTGGTCTGCTAGCCGTGATCGCCCGCCTTGTAAGAGAGACCCCTGAGCTCGCGTGGTGGTACCTTGTAGTGTTGGTTTCTTGCGTTGTTGGTGGTAAGTCCCCATGGAAACACGTCAAGACTGAACTTATATGCATTCATGTTGTCGGTGGCCTCATGTTAACTGTCATCAGCTGCTTTCTTCCCTGCTCAGGCTGTCTTGCTGTCCCGCGTCATGGACGTTTTCACCCTGGAAGGGGATGCCATGGTCAACCGCGGCAACTTTTTTGCTTTGATGTTTGTCATCATGGCTGCAGCAGCCTTGGTTTGCTATTTTACCATGGGCTGGGCAGTGTCCACAATCGCACAGGTATGACCTTTCCAGACCCATTATGTAGAGGCCTCAACTCGACTGACGGAACTACTTTCCAGACTCTGTCGCACAAACTGAGACGTCAAAGCTTCAATAACATCCTCCGTCAGGACCTCCAGTTCTTTGATCGACCCGAAAACACCACAGGCGCTCTTGTCAGCCGAATTGATAGCTATCCGCAAAGTGTCTTTGAGCTGATGGGTGTGAACGTTGGTCTCATCCTTATCGCCATCTTCAACGTTGCGGCTTGCAGTATTCTGGGGATTGCATACAGCTGGAAGCTTGGTTTGGCTGTCGTCTTCGGTGGGCTTCCTCCAATGCTCGCAGCCGGATGGCTCAAGATTCGCTTGGATATGAAGCTAGACAGCAACATCTCGAAGCGCAACTCTGGAAGCGCTTCAATTGCCTCCGAGGCCATCACTGCCATCCGCACGGTCTCCTCGCTAGCCATCGAGGGCCACGTGCTTGATCGTTACACCACAGAACTTAATCACGCCGTAAATGGGAGCGTTAAGCCACTTGCGGGTGTCATGATCTGCTTCGCCTTCACGCAAGCAATCGAGTATTGGTTCATGGCTCTTGGCTTTTGGTATGTATTCTCAGGATACAAGTCCATGAGGCGAACACTAATCGCGCTTTTCCCTAGGTACGGCTGTCGGCTTATTGCCTTAAACCAAATAACTCTCTACAAGTTCTTCGTCGCCTTTATGGGTGTTTTCCTCTCTGCACAAGGCACTGCCCAGCTGTTCGGTTTTTCAACTAGTTAGAACGTCCGTTTTACACTTGATGCAGACCAAAGACTTACACTGTTGAACAGGCATTACCAAGGGAAAGAACGGCGCAAATTACATCTTTTGGCTGTCCGAGCTGCAGCCCACTATTCGGGAAACGGAAGAAAACCGTGATAAGGAACCGAAATCCGGTGGTCCAATTGAGCTTGACAACGTCCGGTTTTCGTATCCCACAAGGCCCGATTCGGTCGTCCTTCGCGGGGTCAACCTCAAGGCAAGTTCATTTTAATCTTCAACTCATCATCCAAAAGTTTTTCCATATATGCTAATGCGTGCCATGTTTGCAGATTCAAAAGGGCCAATTCGTCGCCGTTGTCGGAGCTTCTGGCTGTGGCAAGTCAACTATCGTGTCGCTTCTCGAGCGCTTTTACGATCCTTCCACTGGCGAGATCCATATCGACGGAGACGTGCTGAGTGAGCTAAACCCCCGCCACTATCGCCGTATTGTCTCCCTTGTCCAGCAGGAGCCAACGCTCTTCCAAGGATCCATTCGCGAGAACATTGCTCTTGGCGTTGACGATCACGGTTTAGTCGATGTGTCTGTTCCGGATTCCCAAATTGAGGCCGCCCTCAGGGCCGCCAATGCCTGGGATTTCGTTTCCTCGCTGCCCGATGGCTTGTCCACGGCGGCAGGACCCAATGGCACACAGCTGTCAGGAGGGCAGCGGCAACGCATCGCAATTGCCCGTGCTTTGGCCCGCAACCCAGAGATCTTGCTGCTTGACGAGGCCACCAGTGCTCTGGATACAGAGAGCGAGAAGATTGTGCAAAGTGCCCTCGCTGAAGCTGCCAAAAAAGGGGACCGTATCACTGTCGCTGTGGCCCACCGCCTATCCACGATCAAAAATGCCGATGTCATCTGTGTGTTCTACGGCGGTAAGATCGTCGAGAAGGGCACTCATGAGGAGCTAATCGCCCTAAATGGGCTGTACCGGAAGATGTGTGAGGCTCAGAATTTGGATTGAGGGACCGCAAAAACTCGAGTTAATCGTATGGCAAGGACAATGTAATACCTAATTTAACGACATAATAGCATGTAATTAATTTACTTACCGCAAAATCAGCCCTAACCCCCTCTCTGGCTTCCCGCGTGTACATAGCTTAGACTAGCAGTGCATATGTACCTTTTGCCTGCCGGCGTCGTGGGCACGATCGAGCATCTTAAATGGGTTTACGGGTTGGAAATGCAATTCAATTCAATAACCCTAACCCCAATTGTGACAGACTCTCCTCGATGACGTTGCTTATGACGTTAGCTGCAAACGCTCGTTTTCAAAACCAAACAGTATTGCTGCAGGGTTCTAGACTATATTCTCCTGACACACCAGTGACTCGAGAAGATCGCACTAGCAAAGACAAAACTGAAGATTTACGTGGCCGTTGCTTACTGACATGAAGCGCATACTGTTGCTTTGCTTCATTCACGGTTTTAAGGCAGGTGCTAAAATCCCTTTTCAATTATGAACCTGGCGACTGACACAATCCAGGGGAGCGATAATACCTTTGGCGAGTTTCCTCAGCATCTGCAGGAAACAATCGTACAGGGTCTCTCTGACGTTCTTGTTACCTCAGTGGTTTACCCTAAGTATGAGACCCGAGGAGAGCTCGCCCACACGGCTGGCGCTTTCCTCGAATGGTAGGCGTGCTCCCAAAATGTAAGAACGACAGCCGCCAACAATTTGCAGGTTGAAGGAACGGGTTATTGAACTACGCAAAGAACATTTGCAGAACCCATGGCCCCCAAATGATCGCAAAGTTGGGGTGATTCTTGTCGCTCACTCAATGGGGTATGTACCTGGTCTACGCTCTCAACACGAGATAGCTTGGTAGTTGCTAACGCTTTTACTAAAGTGGCTTCGTAGCCAGCGACTGTTTGTTGCGGATCCTTAACGAGAGGCGGGCGGAGGACACTCCGGAAGGACCTATCTTCCCTTTTATTCAGGGCATACTCACCTTTGATACGCCCTTCAACGGCCTGGCTCGATCCATGTTCGTCTACGGTGCTTTCTCTAACTACCAAAAAGTCAGCAGCGTGTTCGACGTCATGACGGCACTCTCTGCAGCCACCCCAGCGGCGCTGTCCAAGCTAGCTTTACGCCGCACCATGGGGGCAGCAGCGAATCGCGTCACCAAACGCAGCGCGGCCTCGTCTCCATCGTCAGCAGCTTCATCCAAGGCGGTATGGAAGACCTGGCAGCTTATCGCCTTGCGGACCGGAACCGTCGGTGCCATTGCAGCAGGCGGCGTCATTGCCTACAATCACCGACAAAGGATAGTGGATGGTTTGCGCAGCGTTCGTTGCAACCTGCGCAAAACTGAGGCCAAGCCTGAAGAGAAGGAGAAACAGCTAGAGACGGGCGGCGAAAGTCTTAGCAAGGGTACCCAAACCCCTAGGAGTTTGCCCATGTTTCCTTCTGATTGGCCTCGTCTGAGCATGAGCTGGTCCAAGACGCAGGAGAATGTTACGGATGCACTCGGCCAAGGCCTTGCCTACATCAATCGCAGCAGCGTCGGTGCATCTTTGGCTTGGTTGTCGGACCACTTCACGTTTGTCGGCACCCTGTTGCGTCAGAATGAGTTGGATCGCCGTCTCAAGAGGCTGACGGCTCTCTTGCAGAGCGGTGGTGTCGGTGTGTGCGACGTATATGTGTCGCTTGGTGAGAACGGGTATTGGAGCGGGGGCTACTTCGTTCCTGAGCGCACGTTCTGCGCAGTCCCATCGAAAGGGGATGGTGAGGAGGAAGATGGGGTGGACACTAGCAGTCTGTTTGTCCGGCAGGTGATTCACGGGGCTGAGGACGAGTTGGCGGCACACTTGGGGTTATTCAAGAAGGATAAAAACAAAGAGTACGAGAAGATGACGAAGGAGGCGGCGAAGAGGGTCGTGGACTGGTTTAACGATGAGAGGCCGATCCAAGACGATGTCAGGTTCGCGGAGCTGACACCGGCGGAGACAGAGGAGACGGAGGCGTTGGCAAAGGCGGTAGATGCAGAGGGAGTGGAAGGGGCGGCAGCATCACCCCACATCCAGAAGCTTGAAGAGAATGCCCAGAAAGATTCTGAGATGCAGGATGTGGAAGACGAGGAATTCGTCCCGGATGAGTCGCCCATCGATATCGCCGCGGCGGCAAGCCTTGTTCCCCTACCTATAACCTCTGAAGGCATTCTCAACTCGGGTCAAACTACGCCGCCGCCTAAGGAAAGCGGCAGCGACATGGATGAGTCGTCAGAGCCGGCCGCTGCGAAGGCAGAGTACATGCGATATCTCTTGGACATGGCGCAACAAACAGGGTTGAATTTGCGGTTATATCTGCCATCAAAGCTGCCCCGAGTTTCTTCTGTCGCGATGCCCAAGGTGCAAATTCCCAGCGCCAGCATGCCGAGTATGCCGAACGTGAGTTTGCCATCACTGCCCGCGAAATTGCCCAACTTGAACCCTTTTTTATCAAGCACCAGCAAGCAGGCGAGTCCCGATGATGCTTCACCAGGGCAGCTATCGCCAGAGCCAACAGATGGACTGGCTGAGCAGGGGGCTATGCCCCAGGCTGCTGTTGCAATCGATGCCGATGATACTGGTGAGAAGAAGGCTGAAAGATGAGTGGAGAGAAAACGATCCAAAAAGGAGCAGCCGTGGCGGTCAGGATACCCCTCCTTTGTGTTATGAGGAGCGTAGTGCGCCGCTAGGTTTTAGCTCGCCGTTGAGATGACTGGCAACTTCTACTTGCGGTTAGTTGTGTCCATCGTGCATTATCAACGTCGTGGGTCGTGGGGGAATATGGGGTTGGGGTTACAATGAGACTGGAGGCTTGTGATAACCGTAATTCGTGATGGATGAGAAATGGCTTTCTCGTGCTATTTTTCTTGTATTTCTTTATCGTTTAATATTCGTTCTCTCAATCTCCTCCAAAACTGTGTGTTGTCTTTGTGATATATCAGTGATTTGATGATCATGGTCCAAGTGAGCGGTTTTTGGGAGCCCTGAACCATTGCCTATCGTGCGCCTCACGTGTCCTAGTCGGTGACCTTCATCATCTCCCCCTCTCCTCCCCTCTTCCCGAGTAAGTACCACCAACGGCGATGATATTGAAACAATGGTTTGCCAAGAACCATCAAACACCGCGCATATGACCATCTGCACACAATGTGAGAGCAACCCATTTAAGTCGTCGGCTCTTCACTTGAAACATGTTTGGATGATTGGTTGATGCGTAGCGCCATTCCCTTTGGCAGGTCCAGAAGAGGAAGTTGATGAAGGTTGGTGTCGGCGCGATCCGGGGTTGGCCTTCCCCACGTGCTTTTCACGTCGTCTGGTATTCACTCAAGAGTTAGAAGGCATCTTGATAAGCTTGGAGCCCCGGACACTCAACCATGATATCCATGATATTACTCATATCCAGTGCTTGACTCCCCCAACACCGGCTATCTTACTGAGAGTCACGTTGTGATGAAGGCACAACCGCGCATGTGTCTGTGTCCACTGCCACAGGCGACTCTGTTGAGGAATGGACCGTTCATGATGGAGTGGACGACGTAATCGCCGCGACGCCAGAGCGGTTACTTCCGAGTTGCCTTCCAGATCTGGTAGTGTTCGGCGTTGTGATGTGTATACGCCGCGTGCGGAGGGAAGAGGGAACGAAGTCGTTAACGTTGTTGTTGGATGTGTATAAATAAGTGTAGATCCTCCGCGATGTCGTTGATATGTTACTGCCGTTCGGGACGCCGAATCTTTGCCTCATCCGAACTGGACGAGATAACTGAGCAGCTTCTGCAAACGCCTTGAAGATGAAGTTTGTCACGATTTTCTCTTTACTTGCCGCTGTTGTTTCAGCCGCCCCTGCGCCGCAGCCGACTCCTGTACGTAAAGCTCAAGCCAACTTCCAGTCTTTTGTTCTTCGATTCGACTCTTGTCCTCCGTTTGGAAATACTTGTTCGGTCGACTAACAGCACGCAGCCGGGCATCCCGAGTAGGTCGACTGCTCAGAGCTATCTCAATTCTCTGACAGTTGCTGCCTCGTACGACGATGGGAATTACAACCGCGACTTGTTCCCCCACTGGAACACTGTTAGCGGGACCTGTAATACTCGGTAAGTCACCCAGCTGTGAAAGTTGTCGGGTGATGATGCTGGCACGCTGTGCAATGAGAGTGGTGGAAGATGCGAGCCGCAGGTGTGCTCCACTTCTGCCTCGTGCAACTTTGGACGTCCTGCTTTCCATCTCCAGCGTCTTTGCGAAAGTGATGATCGCCACTCATGGTCGCTTTTGCGACACATCGCCTGTCTTGTTATTTGCACGATTAAAAGCTCTATGCTTCCATCCGACCTTCATAACTAACGATTGACCCAGCGAGTATGTCCTCAAGCGCGATGGCTCCAATGTCGTGACGAACTCGGCCTGCCAGGCTACTTCTGGCACATGGTACAGCCCGTATGACGGCGCTACGTGGACAGCAGCATCAGATATCGATATCGATCATATGGTCCCCTTGAAGAATGCTTGGATTGTAGGTCTCCAGCAACTTAGCAAGATTGGCGTCGTGCTGTGTCCCGGCTAGACGTTGGTGGCTAACGCATAGAGACAGTCTGGCGCCAACACCTGGTCGTCCTCGAAGCGGTCCTCCTTTGCCAACGACATTAATAGCCCACAGCTCTGGGCTGTCACTGACAGTGTCAACCAGTCTAAGGGCGACAAGAGCCCTGACAAGTGGAAGCCTCCTCTCACCACGTTTTACTGCACCTATGCCAAGAGTTGGATCACGGTGAAGTACAACTATAATTTGACCATCACATCTGCAGAGAAGTCTGCTCTACAGAACATGATTAATACGTGCTAACGGGCTGAATGATGGGCGGCGTGGGTGCGATGTTAGGGAATGATGCTCGTGATGCGCTCAGAGTGCTGAGTCTGCTAGTGACGGGTCCGTCTGCGAAAGCGGACCAGTGTAGCGGGTTCCCACCCCGCTATGCAGGCTATGCATTGGTGGGGCACTGGAACCCACCTGAAGTACACTTCAAAATGTTAAGGATGTTTTTGCTTTTCATGAACACTCCAGTGAAATGCTGTTGCAGTTATGCCACATGTCTCATGTTTTTAATGACCCACTGCATCTATGCCTGCAAAGCCACTTCGATAGCCTCTATCACACAACGCTCGTCCAGAAGTCGAAGCTCCATAAAGCTAAGGCCATAGATGGGAGAGCTCAGTGGGCCCGACCCTCTGATCGGAGCTGGTCTCGCCTGCACCAAGCGTCCTCCGGGCTCGGGGCCAAGCCCTTATGGGAGCCAAAGCACCTAGAACCAGGGCGTGGCTCGGTCTCCCCTCTGTCTCCCCCCAGAAACAGTTGCCCTCCACAGATAAACCATTCCTTGAGAGATTTTTCGTCAATGCCCCTTGCGCTGGTTGGCTGAAGCCTCGAGCCACGGCGATGTCTTAGAGTACCATATGCGCTTCGACCACCCGCAGGATGCTGTCAAAAAGTGTCCCTGCGGGGCGGTGGTCTCCAGGGGACATTTCTTCTCCTGCCCTCTTATTTCTCTCGATAACCCGCACGCAGGAAGGATGGACCATAGGGCCTTCTAGTCCTCTAACTCTTCAAATCTAGAGTCTCCCGGGCCGGACACTGGGGGTAGCCTGCGAACTCTGCCCACTGACGGCTCTCCCTCTCTCCACATTCATTCTCTTCCCCCTGACCCCCCTTCGAACCCGAGGGCTGGACACGGCTCCCCGGAACTACTCTTCCTCCCCTCGACCATGTGACATAACAGCCCTTCAATATCTCACGTTGATTTTTTTCCCACGCGGGTTTTTCCTTCGGCGTCACCTGTAATCAATATATCTTCCCATTCTTAGTTCTCCCACTAACACTTGTTTCTTTAGTTCGATACCAACTGGGTTCTAGAGCTAATGGACCGCCTCCACCTTGACATTTTGCGCCACGCCGACTTCCTTCAACGCGTCCGCCACATTGTAAGATTCGTTTTAATCCTTGTGCTCTGCTCACACAATTGCCGCCATAACCGGCTGCAGCGTAAATGCGGTGCGAAGGAACTTAGATTTGTCAAGTTTTCACTACCGTAAGACTCAGAGAGGGTGATGAAACCAGATCACCTACTTGTCTCCGCCACAACCAGGCGTTGTTCTGCATGGCTCCTGCGGCTCAAGCCCATTGCCTCCATTAGTGAGGGAGACTGTCTGTCTGTTTCTGAGGGCTAGCTGGTACATACATGGTCTTGTGTACGACGGCTGCTACCCGGGCCGAACACGGTGTGACATTGCTTTTGCGCCCACAACCCATTTCAACAACTTACATGTCACAGATACAGTTTGAGGAACTACTGCTGTCTGGCCTTTTTGCACCATGGTTCCTTCGTGATACCCACGCTCTTAAAGATGCAACCAACGTACATGTGTATGGATTTTCCGTCTTGTCGTGCAGCTGCTTCAATTGCATCTGTTACGACTTGCGCGACTGTTATCAGGAGTTACCTCCAAGCCTTCGAGACGCTCTATCTCTTCAATGCTGCAGTCCTTGTCCTCCCTTACATCCGGTTTCCTGCTCCATCAGTCTTCCCTTATTGACCTGTCCTCTAACCCCTCTTAATTCGAGGCCTGCCACAGAATGTTCTTCAAGAACTCGAACATATACGGCATTTCGCCCTGGCGAGCACTGGATTCCTGGGAAGCGGCTCCTCTTCAGACACTACGTTACAGGAACTTGAACATCGTATCCCCAGCTTTGCTGTACTACAAGGCTTCTTCAAGCGATGGCTAAGGATTGATCTAGCCGCGTTTTGGCTGTTTTTGCTCTGCTGGTTGCCGCATCAAGCGGCATTCACTGCCTGCAAGAGACAGGACATAAGATCTATTGGTAGATGGTTTGTTTTTTGACCTCTTCGGTTTCGATACCTGGTCATGATTATCTGAGTCGCGAGGTCTTGAATTGGTTGGGGGCTCATGTACTTGGGAAAAGGGGAAGTCGCATTCTCACTGCGAACTTGGAGACGATACGCAACGAGGCCTGGCACTGAAGGCGAGTTTCTCGGGAGCTAAATGATTTTTACCACGACAAACGTCCTTCTGTTCAGTATTTACCTACTTTTGGCCCAACCGTCCTTTACTGGAAGCGATCCATTTTCATGGTAAAGCATGTTATGACAGGGAGTTCTCATCACAACAGATCCTGGTCTCACAGGACCCCGGAGGAGTATGCAGGGGCGCCGGAAGGTGAAGAGCCCCTGGTCATACTTCGCTTGGGTCGATCTGTCGAGCCAATTAAGCGATCTCTCCAAAAATGTCGTGATTTTGCAGACAAGCAGAGAGTGCCGTACGCCACGATGCGTATCTGCAAGCGCTCGTATGATGAGACCTGGGATACGTCCATCTTGAAACCGTTGCGCCCGCTTGAAACTGTCCACTTTGATGAGGATATACAGACCTCTTTTAGTAGCAAATATTACCAATTATCTGGACGTTAACACTCGAAAGTTCTACCATCAACGAGGCATCCCGTACAGGAGAGAATTCCTTTAAGAACCTCCCGGCACGGGCAAGACATCGCTCTCACTTGCCTTGGCTGGGAGGTTTGGATTAGATTGTATCTTTTACACATCCTGATTGTTCGAGGCGATAATGCCCTTGAAAAGCTCTTTACTGCTCTTCCTCGTTTTGCCCTTCTTGGGGACATCGATGCTGTAGGGATTAAGAATCGTGGGAAGGACAACGACAGTGATCACGAGGACGACATTTCTGACGATCGGAGATCCTCCAGCGTTACCCTTTCGGGATTACTCAATGTTCTGGATGGGATTGCCTCATAAGAAGGAAGGATCGTCCTGATGACCTCCAACTTTATCGATCGGCTAGACAAGGCTTTGATCCGGCCCGGTTGAGTGGACAACATGATCTTTCTTGGTCACATCTCCCAGCGCAGCAGTGAGCTCATGTTCCTGCGCATGCCTGGTCCCGATCAAGAAGCAGCGAGTCCTGCCAGTTCCATCAACATCCCGGCAGAAGAGTTAGAGCAACTTGCCCAGGAGTTCAGCCAACACATCCCTCCACAGACATTCACCCATGCTCAGTTACAAGGCTACCTACTCAACTGCCGAGACTCGCCGCGAGAGGTACTGAAGAATATCGAATCTTGGGTCAAGGAGGAAGTAACCCTGATAGAAGCCGCCAAGGAGAAAGAGAAGAGGCGCTCTGAGCAGCGCAATTAGAAGCGGAGGGAGAAGCGGCTGAAGCGAATTGTGCAGATTGCCGGTGAGCCACCTTGCCGAACGGTTAAGTACTCAGATTTGTCCAGACCTCCCACTTAGATCAAAAGTAGGGAGCAAATACTTAAAGCGCATGACCCTTTGTCGAGGCCATACAGCTTCTCTGTCCCTGGAGTAGTTTATCCAGGGATATCCAAAATGACCACAACCGCAGGACCTGATCGTACAAAGCACAACACCCTGAAAAACAACAACATGCAAGATCAGGACCTTGGGTTCCTTTCCCTACATCCACGCTCGGTCCCTCGAGCCTCTCATGGAACCACCACTCGAAACTTCACATCAGTCTCTTACAATTCATGATCCCACATCTGCCGTGATACGGTGACATCACGTCTACGAAAGCGTGTAGTTGCACGTGGGATAGACACTTGACCACGGGACGAACGTTTTGCCACTTGCCACGCCCAGGGAGGAAGGGTATTTATTCTTGCCGACCCTTTGCAAAATGCTATCGAGATCGAGCTGTTGGTTTTAATCTCATATTTTTCATTTTTTTCGGTTTAATTTGGCCTTGTGTTTCGCTATTGAATTTTCGTGTTTCGCTATTGAATTTTCTTTTTTCGCTTCTAACCCTTCCGACGTAATCATTTATAGAAGTTAACCTTGTTTACGAGGTGCTCACTCGTACCGACCCATGGTACCCTAAAGAGCTGATTTATCTTCCTGCCCCCACATAAGGGCGGGCTGACGGCCCCGTCCGCATCCGCATGCGGACGACATGATGTACTGACATGAACTGACTGCATAAAGCTTGTGCAATTGATCTAGTGCAAGTCTATGGCCATCGGTCAGCGGTAGGTGTGATACTGGTGGTATGGTCGCTGATGCAAACAGGGTGTTTTACAGGATCTAAGAGTTCCAAGACGACCTCGTTAGCTTGCGTCTAATTCCGAGATTACTAAACGGTGACCTGTGTATCGTGGTCCATGAAAAGTTCTTGCGGTTCCAGTGCATTTGTTCGTTTCCCGGTTGATGTGAGGTTGTTCCGTGCTATTTCGCCATTACCACATTTTAATCACAATCCGCGGTGTCAGCAATTCGCAGTCGCCATTGCGGCTAGATAATTGCTATAAGTTTTTCGATGTTGCGACCACCTTCCCTAGTCGTCTGACGACACATCGTTAGAATCATCACTCGCCGTGCATGTTTCACTATTTTTAACTGAGCACTTCAATTTCGATCCTCTTGTCATCAAGTTGCTATAAACTGTCGCCTTACACACCTCGTTTACACTGTCAAGTCCAAAAATCTCATGCGTAGAATAACTCGTCAGGGGCGATCGCCGGCGAGCTAAGCACACTAAAAACATCCATTCGATTATAAATATTTGGCTCGAGCTATTTGGCATTACAGCAACGCAAGTACGCCCAACTCCTGAGATCCTGAACACATTCTCAGTGCCTTTCAACACGCTATCCCTAGGACAGACTTCATACTAACCCATTTTCGCACGGGGACGAGCTACACACGCACACACGAAAGTCCCTGAAGAAAGTTGTGATGCAATTCCTCGATACTTTCTTCCAGACTAGTAAACGAGCCACCGTCGTTGCGAAGATGATTTATCCCTGACGGTTGAGCCCATACCCGCTACGAGCGAACAACCTCTCGATTTGAGAGGAGTGCTGCTGCGGTTATTGCAACGGCAAAGAACTGCATGTACCAGAGCCCCAACTGGGCCAGACGACCTAGGCGATGAGGGCACATCGCATCCCTGAATCCGTAACCATCGACACATCCAAGGATATGGAAGACAATTCTGCGAGAATGGGCGAATGGATGCTTCTGTGTTCTGTCACTCCAATTTAGATGAATCTGGGTGCGAGATGTATCTTCAGCTTCTCAAGACTCGACTGTCAGTACTTTGCTTAGAGTCTCCGGAGGCTACTCTGAAACTAGCAAGCAGGCTGAGGCGATGAGGTGATTTTGAGGTGAATGAGCCAGAATGAAGTTGAACATCGGGCCAAGGCTGACAGTTCCCAAGTCGGCTGGATGTGCGACCAGTATGGACGAGGGGGAGTGAGATTTGAAATCCAAGCAAGCGTGCATACGAAAGCCCTGACGGAATCGTGGTGATTTAAAAGAAACTCGTACTCTGAGGGAGAGCTGAAATGGGCCTCTCCGTGATAGGAGAGCCTAGAAGATTATTCTCGAGAGTTCGTGGGGTTTAGCGTGCCTTGTGTTCGGCTCGCTTCAACCCACTTTGCCACGCCGAAAACGTGGATTTCTCAGCGATCAGCGGTCGGCGGCGGTAAGCCCGCTCGTTTGCTAGCTTCCAACCTCTTCTGCAAGTCTTCCAACGTCACATGGGTTCGGATCCGGTGCGTCTTCGATCACCTTAAACGGTGACACTCACGAGGTGACAGCATTGCGCACGCGTGCCGTGAATCCATCTTCAGCCGCATGACTTCTTCACCCGCCGCACGAGCCGCCGAAGCCCGAGAAGGAGACCAAGGGACTAATCGATTGCTCCTGCCACTTCGTATCAAGAGGAGTCCACAGCTGGCAAAGCGGGGACCGCCGTTGTTACCGCAGTGAGAGGGAAATGCTGGCGTTACTACGACGCCATCGACCACCTGGTGTTCAATGGGTCAGTGAGAGGGGGGCATTGGTGGAGGAAAGTTGGGTGAATGAATGGAAAGAGGCGATAGAGATGAGGATTAGTGCGGTGACGTAAGTACTGGAGTGTTTGGTAGCCTCTGTGCAGTAGGGAGGAACATATGAACATGGATCATGATTCACACCACAACCACTTGACAATTACACCACTTAAACAAAATTTTTACTAGTCTATACGCTAATCGTTCTAAACACGCTAAACTCCTCTCCAGTGGCAACCAACACACCCGGTATTTGCGGATGCCAGTGCACCTCTTTGGCTAGATTCTGGTAGTGCACGAACAGAAGCTGTGGCGGTACGTCTTGCACACCGCCTGTGTCTTTGCTCTCCTCGTCGTCTAACTCGACCGACAAATCCCACAGTGTGACGGTGTTGTCGCCAGCCGACACGGCCACGATACTGTCATCTGTCGGGTGCCACTCCACACTGGTGATCTGCTCCTTGTGGAAGTTGAAGCTTGCAATGGGTGTTGGCTTGCCGACTGAGGAAGCAGCGCCGGCAGCGCCGGCAGCGCCAGGCTTCCATTGTCTAAGATCCCACACCGACCACACCCCAGCATCGTCGCCAGATGCCAGCAAATGCGTGGTCAACCGCGACCATGACATGACGTTTACATCGACGTCGCTAATTTTCATAGTAATGGCCGGCTTGCGCGCCTTACTGCGGATGTCCCAAACTCTCACAGTACCGTCGGTAGACGCAGACGCAAAGACAGATGCCTCTGAGGGACTCCACTGAATCTCCTCGACACTGCCCTGATGCCCGACGAAAGGGCGTGTATCGGTAACGAAACCACCGCCGTCGGTACGGGTGGTCATGTAGATTATGCCCTCACAATCGCCAGTCAGCAGTTTGCCAGCTGGATGCAAAGGTGACCAATCGATGCCGTAGCCCTCGACCTTATGCGCCCGGATTGTGCACACAGGCTTGTTCTGTTGTGGGGTGATGACAGTGCCAGGGGTATCGAACGAAGTAAGATGGGGGGTGATATCGTGGATGAGGACGTTAGAAGACTCGGTCATGGTTGCGACCAGTGTGATGGGGGGCTTGGATGAATCTTGCGAGGGGGTCTGGTGGGCGCGTATTCGGTTAGTTGTGGAGGTTAGAGGGATGCTCTTGTGTTCCAGGATTGGGTCATCGTCCTCGTCGTCGTCATCGCTGGATTCAGTATCGCTGTCGCTGTCATCGCCGCCGCCCTGCATCTTGCTGAGGCCACTGAACTTCATGACCATGATGGAGTTGTCATTGGCGCGCGCACTATCGGCCTGCGTACCGGCGACTGTGTACATAGTAACAGGATAAACGGAGCGGTTATCGCCCAAGCCATCGCGAATGATGTCGAACGAGAGACACGGCCAGGGCGTGCTAAGGTGGTGCAGCATGCGGTAGGTACTCGCATCAGGAACAAGGGTCTGGCCGGGTTCTAGCTTTGTCCTGCCGACAATGAAGGTTTCAGGAGCAGCGGAATCTACTTCCATCTCCTCGGCTTCCCGCTCAGTGTCCGGCCTGCCGTCGACGCCGGCCTCGATAATTTCCTCCTCGCTGAACTCATCCTCGAACTCATCCTCGAACTCGCCCATGTCGTTGTCCTTGTCGTCAACGTCCATGGCGTCGGGGCGCTCCCCCCCCTTGAGTGGGCCGGCGGCCTTCTCGTCTTCTGCTTGACGCTTCGGCATTGTTCTTCGTGTCGCAATGCTCAATGGCTTCACTTCAATGGTGCGAGTTCGATGGCTCGATGGTGGACAAAATTTTTATGGATTGACTTTTTGGGTGGGGCTTATCACCCCGCATATTATCATATCTTATCTTTGCTTTCTGTAAGTACCCTTGGCACCCAGGTACCCTGGGGCCATGACGCGCGACCTCAACAATCCAGAGATTTTGTTTAAAGTTACTTGAGCAATTGGAGAAGACATCCGAGTTAGCCATTCTCCACATAGTCTGTTTCAATGGAGAAGATACTAGGTTATAGGCTAATCTGATAATAAGATCAGTCATTGATGCCCCATCGCAGCTTCGGAGGGATCGTTCCGTCGTCAGATTGGCCACGATGCGACATGGCATCCATGCCACGGCAGAAATCATGCACTCTCAACTCCTTCAGCTTCCCAAGCATCGATGACAAAGTCCGCTAAGTTGATGACACACTCCTGGTCGAGGGTTTGACGATCGTGTTAGCGAGCTGGCAAACCCTCCGAGACCATCATCATGGTTCTCGTCGGCGTCTCGGGCTTCGGCCGCCCACGCATTCTCATCCTCGTACTCCTCGCCCTTCTCATCCTAATCTGGTCTCCGCGCTTATCCAAACCCCGATTGCTCTGCTTCCACCCAGGCTGCTACTACAACGACCCTCACCTTCTTAGTCCACCCAAGCAAACGGTCGACCTCTCCAAAGCCGACGCACCCTTCATCCCATGGCCCCTGGCACGCGTCTGCGCTGAAGCCAACCACTGGACCCCCGGCGTCGTCTTCATCTGTGACAACAACTCGGGGGGCATCGGCAACATCCGTAATTACATCTTGACCTGCATCCGGTACGCGATCGAAGCCGGCGCAACTGCTATTGTGCTACCGCAAATCCGCACCCGTTCAGCGGAAGATCTCTCCAACATCATGCTGCCCCATGAGCCATTTACCTACTTCTTCGACGAAGCGCACTTCCGCCGGAGTTTCGCGATCGCATGCCCCCAAATCACAATCTACAACTCGACTTCTGACATTCCCCACGCCCCGGTGCCCTTCAAGCCGGAACAAATCACCCCTCACAACTTCGGCAAGCGTGGCGGGTGCGACAAGCGCGAGCTGAACAAACACACGGACCGGTTTGGCGTCCAGTTCGCCGCCCATATTGAGAACACAACCCAGGAGTTTCACCTTCCTCCCCCTAGTCCCGAACACCCACGTATCATCCGCTTCACATGGGGCGTGCAATTCGACTGGCCTGTGTTCAGAGATGGGCCGGAGTTTGTAGCCACTTTTGGGGGGCTGCTCCGCTTCAGGCAAGATATCCTCGACCTGGGCTACCGCACGGCATCCTATATGCGACAGTTTGCCTCCTCCCAGGATGGTGCCTCAACCTCTAAGTACATTGGCATCCATCTCCGCACCGAAAGTGACGCGCTTCCCCGCTGGCCCAAGTATGATGACCAGGCAACAGCTTACCTCGAGCGCGCAGGAGCCATGTCCTTTAAAGCGGCCTACCTTGCCACAGGGAACCGAACCGAGGCTAAGAGATTGGCAGACGCAGCGGAAAAGGAGCACGGCATGGCAGTCATCACGAAGCACGAACTTCTTCAACACCATCCGGAGGACTTGACCAAGTTAGAGGCCCTGACCTGGGACCAGCAAGCCCTGATCGACTTTATCGTGCTTCTAGAGAGCGACTACTTCCTCGGGGTGAGCCCCAGTTCTTTTAGCATGAATGTTGCCCTCAAAAGGCATCTTAAAACAGAAGGCTTATACACGCGGCCATGGAAGATTGGCGGTGATGGGGATGGGCACAGCTGGCTAGTGGGCAAGTACGAGCACTATTGGGATGATTGGCTATTTATGTTTGACTCAATGTGGCCATAAAGTCCAAGCAAGCTCAACTACGTCATGATCATCATTATCATGATGATTGACCTCTCAGAGCTCCTCCTTCCTAGTCTTCTCGGGTTTCTCTCTGCGGATAATCGGGGAGAAAAAGCGGAAGTGGTTCTCGGGGTCGTACGTTTCCTTGATCCTGCGCAGCTTCTTGAGACGCCATTGTTCTCTGGTTTAAATCAGCATGAAAACTTTTGCAGGTTCAGGGGACTGCGCGTACCCGTAAAGCGTCTCCAGGCTCTCATCCACAGCCGCGTAATTGATATACGACCGCGGCCTGAATTTGCTCCAGGAAGCCTGCTTCAGCTTGATACCCCATTTCTCTCCAAGTTCGTCCAGCGTCTTGTTGCCATTAACCCAGAGCAGGATAGGCGCCCTAAGGCTTTCAGTCAGCTCATCTTCGAGCCCATTGGCGATGGCAGAGAAAGACCTACAGCAGAAAATCTTGCTTTCTGTGCGGATATGCAGTGCTCTCCTCCGGCACGGCCTGCATCGCCTGCACGGAATACCCTTCCAGCATCATGTACGACCCAGCCAGCCCCGGCACTGTCGTTACCATCTCATTGAACAGTTCCCACACGTTGCGAATGGCAGGCACATCGTAGTAGTCCACGTCAGCTGCGTGCAGCACCGCTGTGCTCTTTTCTGGGCAGAGGGGACCCTCCAGGTGCGTGCCTATGAAGGTCATTAGCCCGGGGTAGTCGGTGACGTTGGAGAATGTAGCGATGGGCGTGAAGTCGGCTAGGGGCTTCGTATAGGCCACGAAATCGGACTGCGGGCCGTTGTACATGAATTGAAAGGCGATTATTGGCTGCGATTGTCAGTATCCTTCTCTGCTTGAGAACAGGGTGCTCACCGTTGTCTTGTCAATCTTCTCATCTACAAACCACATTGACCACACCACCATCTCCTTCGGCTGCTTCTTTCTTAGCTCCTCGGCTACCTTGTATAGCTCTTCGACATGCTCCACACTTCCCGTAAACACAAATGCCTGCACAGCCCATGTCTTCTTTCCCTCCTCGACCTCGTGCACCTTGTACTCCATCTCGGTGATGACCCCGAAGTTATGTCCTGCGCCGCGAATCGCCCAGAACAGATCCTCATTCTCTTGCTCAGTCGCAGTAATGACTTTTCCATCCCCAAGACAACCCTTACCCGAACAATTTCATCCGCCGCCAAGCCATACTGTCCCTGTAGGAAGCCGTGCCCACCCCCCAATGCTGGTCCCACGGCCCCGGCACAGGCGCAGATACCTGTCGTGGTCTGCAATCCCTCCTTCCACAATCCATGCACGACGTCGTTAACCTTCAGTCCAACTCCAATCAATGCAGTCTTGCGACCCGGCTTGATCTCGAGCTTGTCAAACTTTTTCATCGAAATGAGAACCCCTTCCTTGAACTCCTTCAAAGAAGCGCTCGTCGCGTGCCCACCACCTTGAACCAGGAATGGGATCTCATGTTTGTTGGAGAACTTGATCGTAGCAACGACGTCTGCTTCGGTCGCGGGGGAGACGACGGCGCGTGGGAGGGCGGGATAGTTGACGTTTATGTTGAAAGACCAGCGCAAGAGGGGATTGAGAGAGGAAGCTTTGGGGAATGTTATGGAGGAGGAGGGGGAGAGCAGGAGAGAGAGGGAAGCGAAGTCAATGGTTTTTGGGGTATGGTCGCCTTTATGGGCGATGACTGTTATAGGGGTGAGGAGGTCTAGGAGTGTGTGTATAAGCTTCATCTTGGTGGTTAAATGACTGAATGGGTTTGTCGCTGCAGTCGTGATGCTTGTAAGTCGATGGTCGAGGTGATCAATTGCCCGATGGCAAACCCTCTAATCCAAGGCGCTTGTCGATTTTAACTGGAAGACCTCTGTTTCTGGCACAAATCGACCCCAAAGTTAGGGAAATCCACCGGGTTATATATCATTCCGCAGGTAGCCATAGCCTCCTTCCCAACTGTACACTTTCAGGCCGGACATCTTGTTTCTCACAATTGGCGCAGTCAGTCTCATCCAGAAACTTCACTTGGCCTCAGCTCGTCTTTTCCCTTCACGTCCCAGCCGTACACATCGTGGCGTCTCACGCAATGGGAAGCGACTGGCATCGTTCGTTTCTTATGCACTGCTCGTAATACCGTCGCGCCGAGGACAACATAGCTGTCATCGAGTGGTTTGGTCCAAACATTTGGACGGCTGTCTTACACAACACGCGGCAGCCTGTCTGTCAGCTTACCAGCGCATTTGGGGGTGGAGAATATTTGAGAGTAGTGGGAACATTGGAGCGTTTAATTCCAAATACATGGAGATCTCAGCTCGAGGGTTATGCTGATGTAAGGCGGGCATTTTTCCTTTGATGCAGGGCTGAGCCCGGACTTCAAAGATGAAAAAAGCAACGAGAAACCCTTTATCCTCTCCCATCCGACTCTAAAATCGCAAGTTGTGGCACGTCGTGTTATTTTCTCACCAAATCACATCCAGCTTGCCCTTGCGAAGCAGCGAATCGCTGAAGGCTGAGTAAAGACGTGTGTGGAGCCTTGAGGGACACAGCAGAGACAGTGTTGGCAATTTTGTCGAGCCTTTTTCGATGTCTTCAATATGGTGATACCAGAGAGGGGAAATCTTGCCTGGGTGGTTGAACTTACCCTCCTCGTCCACCGACAGAGCTTGCAATTCGTGACTATCCGCTCACAGAGAAACCTCGGTTGTTCTGCTGCTGGATGCCGTGAGACCACATAATCAACGGCAGCGGCATCAGCATTTCGAATTCTCGATATCATGATGTCGGCTCTGAACCTCCTTCTCGTATCGACTCTCCATCTGCCATCATCCAGTCCGGTATGAAGACCGTACACGCCGCTCCAGAACAGCATTCCTTCCCTGCGCGGTCGGCTAGCAGGCTATTGATTATCTCTCTGATTCCTGTCTCACCCTCTCGGTCCATCGAGCTACGAGTGGGGTGACGCCGGGCCAAAAGCTCGGAAGCTGGGCACAGCTCGGCCCTTTCAAGGCCGAATACCCCACTCCCATCCGACTGCGGGCCGGGGATGCCCCACTATGTAGTGTGTGGATCGGATGGACTCGTCCGACACAGGACAGATTAAGCTTGAAACACTTGTGTCTCTCTGTTAGAGGATTTGTTGACGATCGAATGGCTGATGGACAATAACGAAGTTCAAAGGACTCGAAACCAACATTCAGCATGGTCGCAATATCTGATTCCATAACTCCTCCAAATTCGACTTCCCTGAGTCAAAGACTACGATTGAACAGTTTTCAAGAGGTTTTATTAACTTTCTTTGTGATTGTTTTCCATTTCAAACGCTTGTACGACTGATATTTCGTCTATCTCACTCTCAGACTACCTACGCACTCTACGTAGCATGGGTGACGCCATTTCCTCCAGTTTTATTTGAGATGATACGGTAATCAACATCTCAGGTGTTATATTCCAATGGTGATGCATCTCCAATGATCCAGATTGGACCGGATATTGGAACTGAATCCACAGCCAGGACAAAGATTGTTGGCCTTGAGCGGTTCAAGATCTCCAGAATAGAGGTCGCCGAAAAATTCTCGTTGGTTTCGGGACTCATGTGCAATAGGCGCGCATATTTTTTTCTTCAAGCACTATTCTATAGAACTTGCTCGAATTTGGTGAATCAACGCGCGGAGTTGTGAGTAATTGGCGGTCTATTCTGCCAGTGAATATAATCCGGCACACTTTTAACCATCGAGCCGTCTGGAGAACACGGAACACTAATTCCCCAGATTCCGGATCTCTGTCATCACAGATGAACTACGCAGTGTAAAGAATGCAGCGAATACGGTTTTACAGGCTTTTGGACGCCTCATACTTCCCGCACTGTGTATGGCCTCAGGCTGGCAGAGACAGAACTGGACAACTTGCCACCGATCTATGATGTCTCCTATTAGATGACATCAGTTACAGTAATTGAGCATTGAGAATTGATGTTTTAATGGAAATGGATATATAGGGCTTCAATGGAAGTCAACAGCATCAGGTCCCCTTTCATGTAAGCCTCCTGAACACTGCATCAATACCAACTGCATCGTCGACCACAAGTATTTGCGCCTATCACGTCTTGAGTTATAGTAACGATCTCACAAACTCTAATACTACCAAACAGCACTGCCGATCTCTTAGCCGCCTTGGCCTCAAGATCCGTCTTGTCCCTGAGTAAAGCTTGACTTTTCCCGCAAAAGATCATCCAACAGATTGCGCTCGACAACATCCGCTCTTATCCCGATGCAAGCTTGTGTCTACATCATAGAGAGCAGAATGAATCAGTTGAAAGAGAACAGCCATTTCTTCCATATTAACGAACATGTCATCATTGCGAGGAAGGGATGTTGTTGACAGCGCCGAAGATGTCGCGATGCTGATAGGAACAGAGGATCAGGCCCTCAAGTCAGGTCTATATATAAGCCTGGCCATCTCATCTTCCACTGACGCTATTTCAACTTAGTATGGTAGCCAAAGGCTCAAGTCCTCAAGTTCTCCATCCAAAAATAACCAACAACCACTCAGTTAAATCTCCGCTCCACCTAGACCACCCTCCAAAATGCAAACCACCACCCTTCTGCTCACTACGCTCTTCGCGCTTCCCTACGTCACTGCCCTCGCGGTTCCCGTTGCCAATACTGGCGCTCAACTCGGAATCCGCGCTGCCGAGCCCAAGGCTCTCCCCGTGCCCGACACTAACCCCGTCACCATCGTTGATGTCGACGCTGACACAGACGCCGATACCGACGGTAAGAAGGATAAGCCCAAGCCTAAGTTGTCTCCCAAGAAGGGCAAAGGCAGAGGAAAGGGCAAGCTTCCTCCTAAAGGGAAGGGGAAGAAGACTCTTACTCCGCCTCTGCCGAAGAGGGGGAAAGATGAGAAACTGGAGAATGTGGAGTTAACTAGGGCTGAGCATGCTGAGTGAACACAATAGGTCGGATTAGAAGATGTGGCGGAAGCAAAGGGCAAAAAGTTAAAATGGAATTTCGGGGATATTCTCTTCTTATATGCTTGTTTTTTGTTCTTCCTGTAGCTTAATGCGATACTGTTTCGGGCCCACAAAATTTCTCCTAGAAGTGTCCTGTGATCTTGGTTGGTTGGCATATGGATGCTGGAAAGCCCACACATGGTTGTCTTCATGTTAGTGGCCTGTCAGTGTGTCTTGAGGACCTTTTCTTCATTTGTAACAAGAATCCTTATGAACCCGTTTGTCTCCATTTCATTGTTTTCTTGGGTGGATGATTAGTCAACAGGGACAATAGAGTCCTCTGTAGGATTAAGACTTCCAGCTTATGCAAACAGAGAGCATGTCATTCGATCTTCAAGCCCGTTGTGGTTCTCACTATTTTCAAGAGTAGGGTGTTAGTAAGGCTTGTTGCATGCAATGGGACTCTCTGTGCTCGTTTTGGGCTGTTTTCCGACCAATGGCATTGTAGTACAATACTACATGACGATATTTAACAAGGAATGGAGGAGCATGGAGAAATTCGCCTCTCTCACTAGATAAGGCTCGACTAGAATACGAGAGCATCTCCCTTCATCTCCATGTCCAAACATGAATAAAGCGCTTGTGGTAGCCACAAGTCAATGGTGATTGTCGCATCAACTTTTCATGATGAGCACATAGGATTATATGGAGTGTGCATTTGAAAGTGGTAACAAAGCTAATACTACCGTTGAGGGAAGAGTAGACTTCTCCTTTCTCTTCAAGTGCATATCATTATATAGCTTTATTTGTCAATACAGTATCTGGTTCAGTCCGAACAAGTCAAAGCAGATCTCTGTCAATCTTTTAGTTCACTTATCAGTTAAGATTGCAGTCACGGATGGCTCCCTTTAAGGTTGCGGTTTTACAAAACCGACTCCATATTGTTTCAACTGTTCCTCTTCATAATCAAATCATAGATTGAAGTGGATAGAGATGTGTACCTTTTCATCTTAGTCTAAGACCATTTCAAAACATCTGAGTCATTGTGAATGATTTTGTCTCTATTATGCTGCCTTGCTATACTGAGCATACCTTTGAGCGAACACTTCCAATGGCATGTAAGTAGAATCATGTTCCAAACATGTAAGGCGAGCCAAGCCTTTCCCAACCGCTAGTTCCTGCCTATAGATGACCACATGTAGTTCTCTATGGATTTGAAGTTACAGTTCATTCAACAACCAAGCCGTCTTGAGCCAAAGACAACTCTGAAATCTGGAATGGCAATCACCACCAAAATCCCTAGTGTGGTGAATTGAAATGAATTGCATTTTCGACCTGTATCACCCATAAGGTGCTCGGTCGTGCCCACGAGGCCGGCGAGCAAAAGGTACATATACACTGCCTGGTTTAACCTATGTTTGTGGGGGAAAACCCAAGAGGGGAAACCGGTGTGCATCCGTGGGATAAAGGGGTGGTGTTAGAAAAGGGAAGGATGTAGGGGAAAGGGGGAAAAAAGTGGGTTAGGAGGGAGAGCGTGAGGTATGTAGATGTCCAAACTAGATTGGACTCTATCTTCGACCGGTTCCACCCTTGAGGATGCTAGGTCACGGCGACGTTGAGCAGTAGCTTCTCAAACTAGGCTGCATACACGTAACACCGGAGAAAGCCCGTTCTGGGGCAAAACCGGCGTGAGCCAGAAGGGAATAGGGAGGAGGTTGTGTACCTTTGGTTAGGTAGGGGGTCACTTGCATGGCCCTAGGGATGTGGACCTTCAACTCTGACACCGACTCCGACGAATCGGTGTCAGGGCCGCCGTTCCTGTAGAGTCGGGATCGGCTGCGTGGGAGGGAACGGGGGGTCGTCAAGTTGGGATGCGGCGCCCCGTGGCGGCATCCCGAGTTTGGCCCCAGAGCTCAATCTGGGAGGCCCTAGACCTGAATAGTTGGAAGGGGGACCAGAAAGCTCTCGGGTCCAGACTGCCGGCGAGCGGGTTGTTGAAGGTGGTGAGGGGGCAGGAGAAGAAATGGCTTCTAAACACTATCCCGCCACAAGGTCACTCCTTTATTGCCTCCCTCGTGGGTGGGAGGGGTTGAATCGCACATGGTACTCAAGATCTCCATGGCCAGAGGCCTCTGCTAATCAGCGGGAGAGACATTGTCTGGATAACCTCTCGAGAAAGGCCTAGCTCTATGCCTGGTGTAAGCGGGACAAGCCGCGGTAAGGAGATCTGGCAAGCCTAATCTGTAGAGGGTGATTGGCTGGCAACATCTCGACACAGTTTTGTTAGCCGCAAGCGACCACGGTGTGGTCAACGTTGACCTACCTCGGTCAGCCCGGGCTCCACTGAGGTCAGGTGCACACATGACCTTATATAAGAGCCATGCTAATCCATCTTCACGCGTGTGTAGTTTAGAAGGTAGAGCGTTGTTATTCTGCGGCAACCATTGTGCTTGACAGATTCCCTCAGGACCGCGTGTCCTGCAGGGCAACGCCCAAGTAAATATTCCCATCCACATTCACCATTTTCTTTTACATCTAACACAGTTTCTCCACCATGTCCGCTCCATGTCAAGCAGGTGCTCGGGATACAGACCCGCTAGCCACCAGAACCACGTAGTCGGTATCGTCCTCCACGCCAGGAATATCACCATCAGTGCCGCATTTGCGACTTTGTGAGGGACGGCCAGACCGTCGTAAGCCTGGCTGAGACTAGGAGGCCGTTAGCCCCAGCCCTGTTTGAGACCGTGTCGAGTTTAACCCTGCCACATAAGAGAGAGGGCGCGATAACCGCATTGAAAATGCTAAGGCCAGCAGATGGGGGAAGCCCCGGACTTCGTGTTGGATAGGCATTTGACCAGACCCATCGCCGGGGCCGTCACCGACTCTGGCAGCAGCTCGAGTTGCAGGGTTGAGCCTGGAGTCTAGTGAGACACCTAATTACTTGATAGACTTGCTAGGAGAGAAGGACGTCCCTGCTACTTACTCGAGATCCTAGCGGGATCTATTTTATTTCGCTTTGCTCTAGCCCAGTAAGGAGGGATGTAGAGGACCTCCGTCTTGTTTGGTCAACCCTAAGGCCGAGCCCCCGGCCTAAAGTACATAGTTGACTGACCCTGGGGCAGGCGTGATGGCCAGTTGTACGGGGTGTTTGCCCCATGATAATTGCGCGTGGTCGTCCATACATAAATGAGGACCCTTATTGTGAGAGGGTTATAATTGGTAGGGAGTACAGGACGAACACAATCGGGAACCATGGAGACCCTTGCGGGAGATCTGTGTCCGACCGAAAGGTAGATTGCACACATTGAAAGGAGAAACTGGGGTCCTGGTAGAAGTCGGCTGCCGCCTGACATAGCCAACGAGGCCAGCCCTGGTCTGCCAACACCTAAATGAGAATCGGTAGTTGGACGGAAGGGTAAGCCGAGTCTATATCCAACGTGGCTAGGAGCCAATGGTAGCCTTGTCTCGACATGGGCCCCGCGTCATGTACCAGCGCTTGGACGAGATCTAGAGCGAATCTGGACGGGACAGCCCCAGAGACGCTCGAGGGGAGCAGCCCCGAGCACAGAGCTGCTGCCGTCATGCGCCGAACCAGGAACCTCTCTACGCCCTTGCAAAATGTTGGCAGGAGCATAATCGGCTGCCAGCCCTTGTATGACCGGAGTCCCTTCCTGGCTTCGAGAGAGTGACCACCGTGGCATGCTGGGAAGCCTTGGGAAAGACCCCGAATGTCATGCAGCCCTCAGCGAGGGCCCGGGCCGCCTGACGCACGTCGTCCCAAGCATACCTCAGGAACGCCAGCGGGACCCCGTCCGGGCCTGGGGTGTTAGAAGTGGCACCCAGGAACGCATCCTTGAGTTCGTCACTAGGGAGTACAGCATGCGTGGCTGCCCACCCAGGGGGGGAGGAGGGGCCCAAACCAAGTGGGGCGCGGGCCCTCTTGCGCGCCAGTCGGGAGGAAGGCCTGAGTGGCAAGGTAGGCCGCCACTTGTTCCCGGTCTGAGATCACACTCCCATCGACGTCCATCACCGTCGCCCGGTCGTCCGTGGAGCCTGAGCGCCATCTTAGTATCCTACCCTGCTCCGTTGGGGATGAGGCCGCGGCGACTTTTTCTCTGTAGAAGTTTACCTTGGCCTCCTTACAAAGCTTGCGGTAGACGATGGGTCCATCTCTCTGGCCGTAACCAGTACTCCTGACCACCAGGGGGCGCTCTTGGTATACTTGTCAGAGCGGATGGAGAAACGGCCTGCAACCCCAGAGAGCACGTCAAAGAGCGCCCAGGAGAAATGTTCGAGCTCCTCCTTGTTGGCAATGTAGGCTGGTGCCGGTGGGAGGATGAAGCGTAGCAGCTGAGCGGCCTCCTCGAAGCGGGACTTGACAAGCTCTTGGGCGGAGGTAGGCGGCTCGGGGACCGGCTCAGCGCTTGGTGGTCTGAGGCCCAGTGAGCGAACTCTGCGAAGGCTCTGGCCGGGCCGAACGCGAGATCGCTGACTCCGCCGCGGTGCGTTGGCCCAGCGGGGTTGAGAATGAAGAGACCTCTGGCCGCTATCTAAGCCCTGACCATGTCCCCTTTAGGGTTTGGGCAAGCGCGGGGGGTCCCAGTCGGGTTGGTAGGTGTTAAAGTCCTCCACACTATAATAGCTCGAGGGTCAATTTAAAAGGATCGTAAGCTGCGCCACGTATTGATATAGTAGTGTCAAAATTGGGATGCATGTATACGTTGATAGTAGTGAGTCCGTTCAGCGAGATTGAGCCTGGGCCGTGCTCAGGGCGGTTGGGGCTGAAGCCGAGAGCCAACGGTCAATGTAGATCGCGGCTCTGGTTACCCAATCATCGATATCATAGAGAGTGAAGCTAGGATGGCGTCTCACCCTGCTGAAAAGGATCGCAGGCTCCTGAACAGAGATAACTTGATAACGGTGCCTAACCTGCCTTTGTAGCACACCGTCAATGTTGGCCAGGAACCTCTGGACACCCGCTGATATGATCTTACAAGCCCGACTCTTCGTCTGATTCAACCCTTGTTCTTACGACTATGCAGTTACATTGCGCTTCAGGAGAACCGATGGATCCGAATTGAAGATCCTGAACGTGGTGAGTTTCCTTGGGAAGACCACCAGGTAGGCTCTAGGTGTGCCCTTAAATGCATGAATGTTGAAATCCTTCTCTCTGGTGACTACCGCGACTTCGTCCACCCATCAAAGTGTCTGTATATCTGCGGCTGCAGTCGTGTGCCTGGATATATTCGGAGCTTTTTTAACCAGGCATGAAGGTCACCATCTTGAGGTTGATTCGATAGTTGAGTTCTTTGGGCTTATCGGCCAGTTGTCTCTGGAGTTTGGGGCGAGGAACTTCAATAGCAAAGCCCGAGTCCACCGGGTAGACTTTAACAATGTTGCAGCATGGGAAATTAAACTTCTAGACAAGGAGAGTGACGATACCAGCCAGCATGGCTCTCTGCCAGTCTGGGTGGCCCCTATCCACCCTTAGGAAGACACGGCGGCTGGTTCTCTCCGCCGGGGGGGGGGGGCACGGCAGAGGGTAAGATTGCCGATTGTGAGGGCCCGATTGTTTGAGTGGTTGCCCCTCCTGCAGCTACTGCCTGAGCATAGGAGCGTGTTGCCCTCTGGTTGGTCAAAGAGGTTTGATCGGGTGTCTCGGTCATTAACGATGAGGTTTGGTTAATTTCGATAGGATTCTGTGGGATTCCAGATGGCTTTGCTGGAGAAGGATGGAAGGAGGCAGGCGCCCCTTGGGCCAGAGTTTTCTGGATGTGGGAGTGGTAAAGCTTCGTGATGATAGGCTTTCCGACCTCCTTGTTTAGGCCCTCTTCAAGGTTCTTGTCAACATCCTCGACGGCTTGCAGGAGCTCCTCGGTGACAGAGATAATTGCGTTGAGCTCCTTCACGTTCTCCTCACGGGCATTCTTGAGGACGGTTAGGATGTTCGCGCTCGAGGGGGCCATCTCGGAGAGGTTCGTGGTAGGGTTTAGCGTTGTGTGTCGAGACGCTCAGGGTAACCACTCCTGATTGGTTTATCCCAGTCGTCTCCTCTTATTGGCTGGACCCAAGAACCAGAGGAATTGGATTGGGATTGAATTATAATCTCGACCGGCTTCACCCAGAAGGGCGTTGGGTTGTGCTCACGGCAAAGAATCAGAGCAAGTAAAAAAGGGAAAGGTTGCACAAAATCGGAAATCTCGTGTTTAAGTGGGATGCTGAAATTAGACTATTGAACCTAGGTTGTCCCTTTTCAAAAATATGAAAGAACAGAGGTTGACGGCGAATGAAAAGCAGGCTGCTGGCCGATACGTCTTCAGGCGAGAACGGAAACCTTTACAATTATTCAAGTCAATGAGTGCACTATATAGAAAATAGTTCTTTTTACTTTCCTAGATTTGAATCATTTATGTAGGCAGGAATGTGGAGGGGTAGACGATAAGCTGCAAAGATATAGTAAGGAACTGCAGTAAACTGTTCTATTGCGTCAACGACTCACAAAAGGAAAGAAAGGAAATATCAGAAAGTTTACGCCGCTATATGCCAACCAGATAACAGTTTAGTTAAAACTCGTAGTCTATCCATTGATTGAGCCCTGACTGTACATGTGAGATGAGTCCAAAAAACCTCGTAGTAATGGTGTGTACAGTTATTGTTAAATAGCTTCATCAAACGCTATGTGTGCTCAAGTGACATTCCTTGGAACTTTACTTTTCTCCTTGCAGGTAATCTTATTTTACCTGCAAAAGGGTCCCATGGATGTTCAACAGCAGAAAGCTTACAAAGCAGTAGACTCCCCATGACACATCCCTACCAAAGAACCAACAGACAAATAACCGTGGTACTTTGGTCCAGTACCGCACTTGACAAATCGGATGCGGGCTGGTTAATAAACTTTGTATTTAACCGGCTTCACACCTCGCCCCTCACGAATCACGAGTCTTCTTAAGCTATACCAAGTTCAAGACAGGTTCAATTTGATGCTTAGAAGTTACTGAAAAGGCAGTCGAAACCATATTTCTGGAAGAGACCTAGCTGACAGATGCATTACTAAACTAAGTCGAGTCAGGTCCTCAATTGCCACGCAAGCACATGACGATGATCGCACCAAAGTCTTTGAACTTTTGATGCGAGGGAAATGATTGAAAAATGGAGACACAACGTCACTCCATGAGATATCAATTGCCTCCTTTGGCATTAAGCATCATCAACAATAGGCTCAGTACAGACTACAGCCCACCGGGCCTCACCACGGCAGTTTAACCCCGAGTCCAGCCAACACCACGAGATCTTGACAGTCCAATATGAAACTCCTCCTCTTTTCCCTCATTCTCTCCCGTTTTCTTCTCTCCCACGCATTACCTCTTCTACAAATCTCCCCCAGAACAACCTACCCGTTAAACTCCTTCTCGGGCCTAGGCCAACTCCGCACTCTCTCCACGGACCGCGTTGCGGGCAATCCCGACATAGGCTGTCTCACATCCGCCGGCGCCTGGACAACCGACGAGCGGAAATGTGGTGTGTTTCGTGCTGTGAGAAGCGATGTGCACCATATCACTATTGAGAGCATCCCTGTTCTCACTTCAATTGAGGGATCAGGGACTGGGGTGAATTTGGGAGGTATTTGTGGGATTGAGGTCGGAGTGTTTAAGTGTGGAGGTGGGGTTAAACAGGCTGTTTTTGGGGTAAGTCTTCTACTCTGTCCTGCTCTGGGCTACAATGACGCGATTGCGTGTCATCTGTGGAGTGAGAGCGCTGACATTGCGACTACTGGTGATGCAGACATGGGGCCTCGAAGGACCGATACCTGGGCGCGAGCAACTGCGATACGGACAGTACGGTGTTGTGGCTACGGATGGGATCAGTCCGCCACAGGCTTGGGAAGAGCCGTTGCAGATTCACTTCTACAGTGGTAAGGAGAAGGGGCAGTGGGCGTGGCTGGGGTGGAAGGAGCTGGGAGTGAACTGAAGGAGGGATGCTTCTGAAGGACTCGAGGCGACTCAGTGATGCGAGCTGCCGTTGTTTGCTCTGGATCCCATACAATAGTGTTATATGAATACCCTTGTTCAATTCCAAAGCATGCAGACGCAAGTTCGATACGGAGTGCCATGAAGTCAGACAATCAAGTCGAAACGCAAGACACTTTGCCTCGATGCAGGTCTCTTCCACGATTCAGAAGGCCCACAATCCCAGCAGCTCTCCAACCTCGCAACGTCCTAGTTATCATCTAAAAATAAGACGATATTTGCCAGACCTGATTCGGCATTAAATATCATCCAAACAGGTAGAAGAGCAAAACTCATGTGGGAGTCGTTGACTAATTACAAAACTTGGTTTTCTGGTATGGATTCCTGTGGGAGCTGGAGCTTACCCCGCTGCGGGACTGGCAACCAGCTCGCAGCTGCACCTTGAAGGGGGACGTAAGTTACACTGCAGCATTGTCGTAATTGGGTGACGCAAGACATGCGAGCCACGCGAAGTCTACCTTCTCATTTAGGAGATATGAATTTACCAAGCAACCTAAGCTTACTTTCAGTTCGAGATCGCAGTTCGAGTCATCTTTCCCAAGGGGATAGGGAGGATTCAGTTCCTATGGGTAACTCTTTCAATTTTACAATCACTGATGTAAATATTGCGATACTAACTTGCCCACCAACAGCGCCCCAGCCACTGGAACATCACCGGTAGCCAAAACAATGCCTTACTCCATCACACAAGATTACAAGCATTGAACATTATTTCTTAACCCAAGTGATATCAGCCTAAAAACTGTATCTACATCTGAATCAATCATCCAACATTACATCTTATCACATCTCGACGACAAAGTAAACACAAAATAAAATGGTATCTCGTCTAGCAGCTGCAAACCGAAACCTTCCCTCTCCAAAAATCGGTACAACTCCGACTATGGAGCGAACTAAACAGACATCTTTCGCACCATTGCAAAACCTGCTATGCCAATATGCCAAAAAAAACCGAAGGTAACACGAAACAATCCATCGAATCTATCGATCCAGTCCAACGCATGCAAGGAAACTCGATCACATGATCTCTCAACGCTCTATCAGAATTGAATGATTCAAAAATCCTTCTCCCTCTATGCAAAAAATCCCTGGCATCCTCTTCGACAGCGACGGCGCCTGAATTTACGCTGCTGAAGCTGCGCCAACACCCTCACTCTCAGCAACCGGCGCTGACCCTGGTAAGGCGGGTGACTGCGGGGATTGTGGCAACTGCGAGGATGCAGGTGGCTGCACAGCTGAAGCGGTCCTAGTGAATCCAGGAATTCCAACAAACTCGCGCAACCGTGATAAACTGCCGAGCCACGAGCCAGACCCAGACCCGGAATTTTGGCCCACATTGTTGGTCATCGCACTTGCAACTCCAAACTCCGCATGGTTCATGAGCTCATCATCCTCACCTGCCAGACCCCCATTCGCAGAAGACGGATTGGCAGGATGGAAGGTGAAGCTCGGTGTTGGCGGCCCTGTTTGTTCCTCTTGATCCCTGATCTTCATCTTCTTTCTGCTCTTTGAACTATCCTTTGTCTTAGAAGTCAACTGACTGAGTGTCCTCTGCATGCGGCCTGGCACAGGAGCTGGTGACAGTGTCGTCACGGTGGCATTGAACGAGGTGTCAACAGGTGATGCTGGACTGTTAGGCGCCGTTGCTGCGCTGGTGCTCACACCACCGTTGCTGTTGGGACGGGCTGAGGCAATAACAGGTAGCGTTGATGACCTGGTTAAGTTGCCATTGTTGGTCTGTGGTGGAAGAGGGGTCGGCAAAGACGACCCGTTCCCCTTCACCGGACTCTGCCCCCCCTCACTTCCGGTTCCATTCCTTAGCTGACTCAACCGCTTATCTATAGGCTCAACGCCCTGCCTCCAGCTCAATATTCTGTCCGGCTGTGTCTCCACGGCACCAGCACTCAACACCTGGCTCAATGACCCGCTCCTACTGTGTGTATTCTCGCTCGTCCGTGTCAACACACTGATACTCCTCCCTAGCCCCCCATTGCCAACATACCCGCCATTACTACTCCCATACGAAGCAAGCTTGCGACTGAATGCGCTGCCAGTTTCCCAGCTCTCGTGTCGACGCTTTGTGAATGCACAGTCCTGCCTGAACACCTTGATGATACCCGTGTCGCTCGTCGTGACGATGATGTTTCCGTCGTAATGTGTCGAGCGAGCGATGTACGCTGGACTCGGCTCCGGACGTTTCGCAATCGATGGGGTAGTTGGGGTCTGCTGGTCGATAGGTAAATCGGCGGCGGCAGCGCTGAGCGCGACCTGGCTAGCTGCGGCGCTGATAGCTTCCATGTCTTCTAAGCTCTGGAGCACTACCGGCGGCGGGTTGCACAGGTCGTAGATTGGATCGCCGCTGTTGCCTAAGAGCATGCGAGTCTTGGTCGGGGCGAAGAGGGCGGTTGTGACGATCTCGCCTGTGTGCCTCGAAGAACTCGCAAGGATGCAGCTTGTCCCTGTCCTTCTCGGGCTGCACGACCGCATCTCCAGGTGTCATACTCCAGATGAAGGTTTTGCGATCTTCGCTGCCGCAGATGACGTACTTGCCGTCGTCGGAGAACGAAGCCGAGATCTGGCTGTACGAGTTGACATGGCCACGGAACTTGACCTCCAGGGTTTTGGTGGCGAGGTTGTAAACACGTATCCTACTGTCGTTAGATGTGATCAACACTTTTACGTCGCTGTAGCCGACCTCGGTAAGATCTGTCACAGTCGACGCATGATCAGGGAGCACCGACGGCGGCGGGATCACCATAGTCTGAATGCCAGTAATCTTACTCCCTTTGGCATTCTTGCCGCGCGTGGAGCGCACTTGGAGTTCTGCTATCTTCTTGAGCCCTTCCGTCTCGTAAAACACACACAGACCGTTGAGCAGGCCCGCAATGGCGATCTTGCCATCGGGTGAGAAGGCGCAGGCAGTAACAAGGTCAGGGAGCTTGACGGAATAGGCGACGTCCTTATCAGGGATGCTCCACAGCCGCAGCATGGTGTCGAGAGAGCCGGCCAGGAAGAATCGGTCGTCGCGTGGATGGAATGCAAGTTTTGTAACAAAGTCCTTGTGCTGGAAGACAGCGAGGCACTCAGGACGGCTAGGATGCCACAGTCGCACTGTCTTATCCATCGACGACGACAACAAAAAATTATTCTTGCTCCAGCTTAACGCTAATACTTCCCCCGTATGCCCACGGAACTCCTTGATGGGCTTCTCCTGGAACACGGGAGCGCTCAATCTCTCCCCTTCAGATTCTTCATGCTTGCGACGCTCCTCTGGACTGGAGATGACCGCCCAAATCCTCACGGCACAATCGCGCCCCCCGGTCGCAAGATACTTGCCATCCTTGTTGAACTGGCTAGCCCAGATTGCCCCTCCTGTACGCATCGTTTTGCGGTCGCCTGAGCCCGGGACACTGATGCTGACGGTCGGCGCCTTCTTGCCGTCGATTATGACCGGTTCGCCATTATTATTTTCTACCGGGTATGTGCCGACAAGCTCTTGGGCGAGGAACATGCGATTGAACTCGCGGGTCTTCTTGTTTATAGTCTTTACGCGGATGTATCGTGGGGGCTCTTTGTGGTGGGGGATGTATCCGCCACCGACGATCGGGCTGTTCAGCGAGGTCTGGCTAAAGACACGGGCGTTCGTGCCATCGAGACGGGTTTCGCTGCCAAAATCGGACTCGGAATCGACGTCTGCTATCTCTCTGTTCTTTCTTCCTCGAATGCTAAGACGGCTTAAAAGCGACCCTCCTCTCCTGCTGCTGACATTTGGACTGGGTGAGCGGCCTGATTTGTACAGCTGCCTCGTAACGTCCCCATATGCATACCTCCTCTCTTTCGACAGATCGACCGTCGAGACAACGTTGTGCGAGAGCTCTGAACTTGCACGTGCAATGCCTTCAGCCATCTGGGACAGGCGATGGGGGATACCGGTAGACAACTCGGTGCTCTTGCGCAGATAAATTTGCTGAGGACATTATAAAGTCAGCTCAAGGGAGAGAGGATAAAATGCCCAAATACGCTACTTCAAAGAGACAGAGCACGTGCGCGCTCGAACAGTACTGTAAAGAAAGCTGAAGTCACAGAATATCTACGTCCAAAGTTCATACGTACTTGGGAAAGGGGGTCAATGGCAACACCGGTAACCGTTGAAGTCGACGTCACGATACTGGAACGCGCTGCAGCGGGCGTGGCAGGGGTTGCGTTGGCCACTACGTCAACTTGGCTGCTCGGCTTGCCGCCTCGTGAAGGTGTATTCGCACTGCTGGAAGAATCACCTTGAAGACCTGAAGTGGTGAAGGGTGGCCCAAAAGCATCCCCGACTGCATTCTCAACGCCGTTTTCCGTCTTGCTAGCGCTGTTGTTCTCCTGATCCGAGTGAGAGAGCGGGGTGATGGTGATGTCGCTGCTCTTCGACGGGCGGGTCGAGTGCTTACGGCGGCCAATTTGCGCACTGCCCAGAAAGCCCGAGAGGCCCGAGGATATCGGGGGCGGCCGCTGCTGAGGCGCGGTCTGGTTGATAGTGGCTTGGCTGTGGGAGCGGGAGTGGGCGTGGTTGGAATGGGAGTCTGGCGACCGCGTGAGCTCACTGCCCCAAAAGTATAAATCTTGCAGCTGACACGATGAATACGGCTGCGCGGGGGCTGACTGCATCCGATGCGCCTGCCGTGTATTTCGAGGCGCAGAGAGCGTGCAAAGAGCGTGCAGAGAGCGTGTGCCTCAACTGGCAAATTCCTTCTCTTGAAAGTTGGATGGTAGCAGGCATTTTTTGCCTTGTATGTGTGCACTCACCTTGAACGTCGGCTGACTGTCTTTGTGTCGGGGTCGAGGTCGGCATGGTGCCGAGTATCCTTGAGAGCGAGCGACTGCTCTTAGAACTGCCGTTACTGCCGCTGCTCGTAGCTGCCGGCCTCTCCGATGATTCCCTCGATATCCGCGACGTGCTGTCTGCGGCAGTCCTAGTGTCCTCAGATGTGGGCCCGGCAGCAACATTGCCGGAAGCAGCAGAGGCCCCCGAAGCCTTTAAGAGGGACCAGATGCCAGCCATACTATTCACTGTCGTGGTCGTCTTCCTCGTCGTTGTCGTGCTCGTCCTTCAGTAAAGGTGTCGGCTGCGGCAGATGCCAGCATGTGAAACCCTGATCCAGACCTCCCAAGCACCAATGGTGTGTGCTATGTAACCTGTGCAGCCCTGCGGTCGTGTGGCCGTGCTGCTGCAGTCAAAAGCTTGCTGCTGCAACCGGTGCAGCAAGGCGGCGTGAAGCGTAGGAAGCTATGGGGCTAAGAAGCTAGCAGACAGACTTCGGACTTCTGAGAGATTCCGAGCTGTCTAACAGTCCTGCTAGCTGATCATAGACTGCAAGATATCAGTAATCAATGTCGACGACCCCAATTGGACTCCTCCTGTGCTTTTACGCTCTCTCTCTCGGCTTACCCTCTACTCACCAGGGGGGCTGGTTGAGAGCAGCGGAGTGGCAAGGGCTGGGTCCACATGCGACTCCACTAAAGTTATGAAAATGTAATGGAAGCTGGACAGTCCCGCCTGCTACGTCATTGGCGACACAAACCCCAATTGACTGGTCGGGGGCAATTGACAGAACCAAAAGCATCAGAACAACGTGCAGTGAAAAATTAAATCATGCATGGGGTTAGAGGACGTCGAGTGGGCGTCTATTCAAATGTTTGTGCGCCTACAATCGTGTTTGACGAGTTTCATCTGCTGCAACCACAAGAGTTCTGTTGCCTGTGTAACTTCCATGCAATTACACTTGTCGATACGCGTATTGAAAACTTTCCATGTTGGGAAGCCGGAAATCACCCGTCGAAATGAGCCAATCCCGATTCCGTAGGACCTGTAGAGGCTCGATCTCCACTACAATCTTCGTGCTTCCCCCACACCAAAAGCCGCAAGACCCTGATCCTGCCACAACGTTGCCTGCTCAACTCCCATCATGAGAAATTATACGCGTATGCAGACTTGATGGTAGGTGACGAAGTGATGAAAGCTTTCACCGAGGCGAGCGTTTCAAAGGCAGCCCAAACAAGCGCAACGTTTGAGCCCAGAGCAACAGCGACGCTGCGGTCCCACTTAAACCAGCAATTGGGCGCCCTGCCAAGTGGCTAGTTCTCACAAGGAGGGTGGCCAGGGGTTTAAGGATCAGCTCGACACGATCGTGAGCTTTGCTGCGTGCATCTCTTTCAGGTTTATTGTGCGAGGTCAACTGGTTACCAAGCAAACCCCGTCCCTCATCTCATTAACATCTTCAAATGATTGTCGTCCCTTCTGCCGACTCCTCCCACTCCTCAGTGTTAGGCTTTCCGTCATGTGCTTTAGTTTTCTCTTCCTCATTCTCCTCAAGGTCAAGCTCAAACATGGGGTAGGTCAGAATAGCCGCGACGCCACCCAAGGCATCCAGTCGCTGTCCGCTCTCATGCTCATTGCTCAAAAGCCTCACTTCGCCGCCATCAGCCTTGACCTTGTCGACGAGCGCCACATACTTCTTGCGCGTCGGCAGATCTACGGCGCGGAACAGCGCAATGTTCATGAGAAGTATGCCTCCTCCGCGGCCAACGGCACCCTCAGAGACGGCCTTCGACACTGTGTTGAAACCGTACCACGCCCTTCCATCCTCCTTGCGCATCATCTCATAAAACCGATCCATGATGCTCGACGCAGCTGCGAACTTGCAGTTGCGTACAGTCTTCTCAACTTCAGGACTCATGAGCACCTCGTTGAGGTTGTGCACTTGTCCTGTGCTGGTATGCACAATGATAGCCTCATTCGCCATCTTTTGCAGTACCTTATCCTCCTGCTTGATGGCCGCCTGCGCAAGGTACTCACGGAAGCTGTGGGCCACAAAACCCGGGCTGGCCAGGATCAAAGTGCGCGGCATGCTCAGGTCGGCAGAGGCGCGCAGCGCAAGCAATGTCTGCTCATAAAACGACTGTACTTTATTTCGCACCTTTTTATTCATCAGCTCATCGGCCTTCCTCGCCCGCCCGGTGTTGACGCGCTGTCGGAGAATGGTCCGGTGTCCCGTAACCAGGCAGATATTGGACAGACCCTCCTGCATAACAATCGCGATCATGCTCTCTGGCCGGTCGGGGTTGAGCGCTTCGCTAAGCGCCTCGCGCGCGACTGTATCCCAACCATCTTCTTTCCAGAGGGTAAAATACAGCTGGCGGTCCTTGCGATTCTCCCATTTAATAGTGAGTGTGTGGTGTTGACCAAGGACGGTACCTTCTGCGTCGCGCGCGATGAAGCCCGAGACCTTGAGCTCGGAGACTGCGGGGTCGTAGAAAACGGACTTGACTTTCACGGTGAGGTTGAGGTACTCTGTCTTGTAGACGACGTTGTGAGTGCTGGGAGCCTCAACCCGAGACGTTCGTAAGGTCGGGGCATCGACGAGATCGCCCTCATTGATCAGGTTGTGTGCGTGCCAGAGGTCTTCTGGGTCGTCGATGAGGAGCTTAACGCCCTCTTCAGCTTCGAGACCACTGACGGTCTGTCTCTTGTTGGCAAACCGCATGATTCGATGGTAAGCAGATATTTTTTTTGCATCAATTGTTGCGCAGATTTCCCTGAAATGGGCCGCTGGCGATGTGCTGCGAGTCGCGTTCAGAGTCGCGCTGTGGCGGGGTCAGGTTTCTGGCGGTTTAGCGGGGTAGTGATCGAGCTTATGGGGCAAGTACAGGATATCACAGTTGTGGCTGATGGTGAATGTTCACGTGTTATTTAATCGCTGGAGTTTGTGATTCTCGTAGTCTCTTGTCGTCCAATGTCATGGATTTTAATGTGCTTCAACCCAGCAGCGGTGTAACTGCGATAAAGTCCTGCTTTTGATCTGTCCCTTCATATCCGGCCTTGCGTCATCAAAGTCCTCCATCGCTGTGCTACAGGACGGAACAGCTGCTCTGAGCTTAGCTCCAGAATCGAGACTTTCCCCAACCTTTTGTTTCTAGGGCTGACGCTTCATTGGCCGACGTTTGGAGCCCCACGGAAGGCTTGATCCGTTGTAGATCAACCCTAACCCCCATTTCTAAATTGAACTTCTGAACGACCATTCTCTGACCAAAGTCTTGATTGATAACACCGTTGATGTAAAACAATGTAAACCACACTTGATTTACGCAATAGGCTCGGAAGGATGTTCAAGAAAAGTATGCTAGCTGAAAAAGATACCACGATGCAGGTAGAACTTGAAGGTAAGCCAGAGAAGCGTGCGATGTGCTTCAAGTTGAGCTGCTTAGACATCCTAAGCCCAGCAGTGTCGTCGTGATGGTGCAGCATGGTTGTTGGAGCATTTTTGAAGCTTGAGTTCTTCAAGTTTCTGTGCCTGAAGTTTGTTTGTCACAAAAAAGCTAACATTTGGAGATGACTTCACGACAGTTGCTTGTCACATGGACAGGGCAGTCCAAAGAGAAGAAATATCCTTGACGGCCAATATATAGAACACCGATGACACAAGAGCTTAGAATGGCATATTTGATTGGTAGAGCCCAGGAAATATAATGGGCGTGGTAAAATGAGTTAGATAACCTTGCCACGATGAGGAAAACCCCTGAAGATTCCAGGGGACAGCGAGATACTCGCAAGGGCAAAGGATTTTAAAGGGAGCTACTTGGACACGATGAAGGATTTCTCTTTGCTTTCCTCTCCTCAACACAAGGACACTGAGGACCAAGAAAGATCATTACACGTAGTAATGGACTTCGCTGTGCACCCCACATCGTCAGTGGCCATCATCTAACCCATTTGACCCATTGTCGATCCCTGTCTGCACCAGACCAAGTCACCTGTTACACTGTCTTCTCAACGCGTTGCGTTCCATGTTCGCTCTAACTATGACATCAGTTCTTAAGATATTGTCGTGCCCTTTTTTTGACTCTCCTACTCCAACCTTCCTATTATATACGGCCGTACCTAGTGGAAAATTTGGGATCCCGTCTTCTCTCTCATAGAAAAGCCTTTGAGGGCCAGGCTAGCACTCAGGTTGGAGACGATTGGGGAATTCTCGATGTTGTATCTTTTGTTCTATTTTTGCGCTTTATGGTTGGTGGGGCTGGGATCTTTAGGGGTTACACCTACAACTAGAATTTCTAGTGTGAAGAGCCTAGTTCATATCTCACTGATTGTGCAGGTTCTGTGGCCCGGCAGGTCGTCGGTTAGAATCCGGCTCCTCTCACCTCGCACTCCCTTGGTCTTCGACTAGCTCAATCCTAACTTCTTCCGCTTGGGGCCAGCGGGTACAAGCTACTCAACTGGTCTTCAACCAGCTCAATCTCCCCTCCCCTCTTGGACCAGATGGACTAGCAGGCACAGGTTAAGCACCGTTTTTTTTTTACAATACATACATACATACAATCTGTGCAGGTTTCAAATATTCTTTTTTCATGCAACACTCTTCTTGAATCCTTAGGGCTGTCGTAAGCTTGAATAGGGCTTTTGAGCATCACGCGGAAGTGTGACCTGTCCCTTCGTGTGGTGCATGTAAACCATCACATATGCATTATCGATAATACAGATGGCTCAAAAAAGCTATATTATAAATTGTCTAACTCCGGATAAGTTATCACTCTGATCGCCGCCGCGCTCCTCCAAACACTCCACCATGAAATTTCTCAATCTCAACCCTTACAGAAGCATTGATTTCTTATGCCCCCCCAATAGCGACTCGGAGGCCACATACGAAAGAGTCGGGTATGGTGTAGCGGTAACATCAGTGACTCTCATCTACGAGTGCTCGCTAGCCTGGGGTTCGACTCTCCATATCTGAGTCTCCGAAAGCATTCTCGAAGAGAATGTCTCCCTTTCCGCCCTGAATCGCGACATTGACGAACTAACGCTTTCGCTCTAAGCATTAATTACAAGATTGCTTTCTAATCTAATTTGGGTATCAAGTCATAATTTTAATACGGCTTCTCTGAGTGTCCAAGATGTCCCAACCGCTCACCTAGCGTCTCCAGGAACAAGAGTTCTTCAGGTCGTAACATCAACCCATCCGGCAGACGTACTCTCCCTCTTCTGATCACAATCTCCCCTTCCCTTCCGTGCTCAAGACTAACTGACCTCGCCACCCTTCTCCCAAGCTCAAGGTCCCCCGAACTAGAGGTCAACTCCTCCTCAGCCTGCTGCTCCCCTCGTCCTGAGTATTCTTTCTTCTCCCTTAACCTCCTCTCTGACCGATCAACCGTGTCTGGCCTTCCAGTTTCCCTCTCAATATCAACCTTCGCACGCCTCCAGAAGCTCCCAGTTTCCTGGGGAGACCACCAATAAAACGGAAACCTTCTCTGCACATTATTCACCAGCAGCGCCACGCACAACATCAGCCCGCACGAAAGGCACACTGGTACCAGCAAGAAAAATCCCAAGGGTGCAACATGGTCATCCAGCACAGCTATTAGAGCCGTAGCCCCGGCAGGAGGGTGCACTGTCCCTGTTAATGCCATCAGCACCGTCGCGCACGCACATGCTAACGAGGCCCCGAGCCAGCGGATGGCAGCGAAGTGTGGGGAGAGGGAAAAGAGGTTGTGGATGATGATGCCCGTGACGGCAGAGATGATTTGCCCGAGGATAGCGTTGCGCGGTTGGGAGAGGGGGGATTCGATTGCGTAGAAGGAGAGAACTGCTGCTGCACCCTGCAAACAAACACATTAGCATTGGTCTTTGAGAGAAGAAACTGAGGGAAGCTGAACGTACGTAGCTCCCCAACACAGTCGGCGTTCCATGCGCTTGGATGGATGGGATATTGATGGAAACGGCGCCGATGATGGCCAGACTGCAGAACACCCCGATGGCGGCCCAAAGGACCATCACAAGGTTGCCGAGCGGTCGTGGCGGGTGGGTGCGGTACCCAAGGAAGTGGCTGATGTAGGATGGAAGGCTCGGTAAGATAGAAGGCGGCAGGATGGGGTTGAGATATGTGTCGATGTCGAAGTGCCATGTATACGGCCCGCGGTACGGGGACAGCCCCATGGTAGGATTCTGATAAGTTTGTGGTGTTGTGGTGTTCAGAACATTGACGATATTTGGATGCTCAGAATTATAACATGAAACAACTGCCCGGGGTTCGAAGTGTGACCAAACAAGTGGCCCAGTGAGGCCCCAAACTTTGACGGAGCGATACTCACCAAAAGTACCTATCAGACGACTCGAGTTCCCAACGCCGGTTATAGACCGTGAACGATCTTTCCAAGCCTTTGCGGTACCGTTTTTAACAGATGATTGCGACTTAGAAAGCCAGCCCCGGCTCTTTAACAAGCAATCTTTCTGGGGAGCATTCCAGCCTCACCGCCCCCGATCCATCGCCGCTTTTGACTCTCTTCTCCGTCCCCATCTCCGAGCTGCTCCCAGTAAGAAACATTCGAAGGCGCTGACACCTTCGTCCAGCATTGTGGTGCAAGCAAGCAATCTCAGTCCCAAACTCAATGCCAGAGAATCGTTGCTTGAGTGGCACATCCAGCGAGCAAGCGAATGCGGCATGCTTTCCAACGGCTCACGCGAACACCACCATCTGGCTTCCGGCTTCTCAAACCTATTACGTCAGATTAGCTAACAAAAATCCTCCATTCGGTTAGTGCGAATGTGTCTTGCTGGGCGAGTTGGGTTCGGACGAAGCTTAAATAGAGAGATCTCCGCGGATCCTTTCCCGACCGTTTGCCGTTGGATTTAGTTCCTTCGTTCTGGCGCGGTTTGTACGACCTCTTTGAAACGGCTGATCAACTACATGGACGATATCACTTGGACAATGTTCGAGGTATCGAGATCGAGGGGGACATGGCTTAAGTGTACGACCGGTTGACCCCGGATTTTGTGAGGTCTTATCAGGATAGGGAGATACGGGAGTCTAACAGATCAGGGAGCGCGGCTGCTGATCCACTGCGCCAACCCTACGTACTTCCGAAGCCCGAAGGTTGAGGTTGGCATCTCCGAGGAGATGGACGATGACAACAAACGCTGCCTTGTTTCTTCAGGCCTGTTAGGTTCCCTCGCCTTCACTAGGTGCATGTTTCTGAGATGGTGAGTGAGCTATCAGCAATTAAGTTCTAACAGAGCGCACCGACACATCACTATGCAGGAGCGCAGCTCAAGCTGGAGTGATCTGGACTGGCAAAGAGCGGATGTTCCGGAAATGTGCGAAGCCAATACCAACAGGATCATCATTTCCAACTCACCAATCATATTGATATCACAACTGGAAATATGTCCAACATATCGCAGTGTCTCTGCTTCAAGTGGATCAGCGGTCATCATCATCCTGCTTTATCAGAACCCCGGCAGCATTCCGATGTACAGCTTCATGGGTGAGATTGGGGTCAATCTTTCAACCAAATTGCTTTCTATATACTCGAGCCCAGACCTCAGAATTTAGCAATGCTTCAGCAGCTCCGCGAATATTTGTCATTTTGCTAGCTCCAGTAGCAGCACTGCTGCATGAGATCGAAACCAACTGTTCAAAGAGCTGCCATCAATGTGCTTAGCAATGCCAATCAACCTCAGAGTCACATTTCAGGCTCACCGCGCATCCTCAGATTGTTCATCTTCCATAACTTGTGACGTTTGGGAGCAACAATACGTCAACAATGTACTTCGAACTATTGAAGCACCTCTATCGACAAATTCCCTGCCTGCAGCGTCTCTTCCCTAGACTGTTTGAGGAACGGCAACAGCGCAGTCCCACCAGTACCAGTGAGTTCCGTCTTATCCTGATCTGACCTCTGTATTGACGACGCCGTCGCCAGATTGACTTTTGATCCGTCACACTGGCGATGTTGTCGCGACGGGATAATGATGTATCGCGCAACCATCTGCAAATGATGACTTCGGAAGTCAACCATCGCCTTTATGGCGGATTGGAAGGCCTTCCAAAGTTCCTCGAGTTCGTTGCTCACATCCTTCTCAGACTTCCCAGAGTAATTACCCATCAGTCTTTCAACAGCTGTTCTCATACCACCAGGATACCTGTCCTCAAGATATTCCAAAAACCTTCGATGAGGCGCAGGCATGTACTCCCTCACTTCGTCATGGAAAGCCTGCTTCTTGTCTTCATTTTCCTCGATATGAGTCTCCTGAGCAGGTTTTAAATCTCCCCTCTCGTACACCGAATATCGATGCTCAACCCCCAGTACAAGATCCAAGAAACCGATAAGAGAGCTCTGCCCGTTACTACCGCCCCTGTACTTGCGCCATGACCCCTTGCCCTCACCCTCTTTGTAGAAGACGCCTCGTGGCAAGCCAGCAGAGGCCATGTTCTTACTCCCTGCGAGGAAGGGCCGGATGCGGTGATAAAAGATGGCAGGGTCGCAGTGCTCATCCATGCGGACGAGTAGCGCACCAAGCTCTCCTAACCGCTTGCAGAGCCCCCTCAGCGCAGATGTTGCCATCCCAATCGCTTTTTTGTACCCCTCGAAATTCGTCTCAACTGGATACGGTTTGTTCATCACGCAAAACACCTCCTCCAAAGCGTTCATCATCACCGGGATGAGCTCTGCCCCAGCAGTTTCGATTGCGACTGACACAGAATAAAACCATGATTCGTCACGTGTTCCAGTGAACGTGTGAAGGGAGTAGAGGTTGTCCAAATCAGCAAAGTTGTTGCTTGGAGAGGTTGTGCCGAAATTCCAGAGGTTAAGCGCGGCGTAGGTCGCGACGGGGGGCATTCCTAGGTGGGAGGAGACCGCGAGGAGGGGAACTGTCAAAGGAGGGGGTAGGATCTGTACTGTTAGTCCTGAATAGAGAGGGCATAGGGGGTCAACGAGCTTACCTGGGCTGGGGCATCACCTCCCCAGATGTAGCCATGGGTAAGGAAGCCCAGAATGACAAAGGCTCGCTGCCATTCTGCCTCTGTCTTGAGATGTTCAACCGACAAGACAGGGAGCTTGTCAACCTTCTGTCTCAGAGTGTTGTTCTCTATCAAGGCCGACAAACGCTCAATCAAATCTTCCCACGGCGCATAGTACGCGTCAGGTAACCTTTTCAGGGGCCCGTTTTCTGGCAGGAAACCGTTCTTTGTTACGGCAAAGTCTCGCAATGGATCCGGAAGCTCGGCCAGCGGCAGGTCTCCGAGCTTTCTTTTGCGCTTAATGAGTGGATCGCATTCGGTCGGTGACATCATGACCTGCCCCAACACGGGAAGCACTGAATGAGAGAGATGTATTTCCTCTGGCCTGATAACAAGGGTTCCGTGCTGTCGATTCAGGGTCCGTCTCTAACACGATATACTCCTCGTCCTCCTGTCTACTCAATCACTTAACCTCACTCCGGACAAAGCGATTTACCTTGAAACCCGGTGACGATCCCTTAGAGATATAACGCCATGTCCCTCGGCCCTTTCCCGAGCGCACGACGTCAAAGGCCGAGCGGGGTGTTTCCGCTGTCCGAGTCGGTCATCACGCATTTATATCAAACCTCACAAAAACAGTGGCAATTGATACATTCAGTGGCGGAATGCCAGGCACGCGACAGGAAAACCGGCCTGCGAACCACGGATGCCGTCGGAGGAATGATATGATTCTCCCTGAATTACCGGCTCTAACCGAGACCCCACCGCCGATGGTCCGGAGCGAACGGGCGCCGAGTCGCTGAGAAGGGTTTAGATGGCTGTGGCTATTTGCTTGGCGGTTCTAGAAAAAGCAGAGAAAAACGAGATTGTAAAGAATGACTAAGTTGAGAGTTTATGGTTATTAATGGTGCCTTATAGCCCGCTGAAGCGCACGCGTAGATTTCCTCGTCTATTCGGTTGTGAGTGGTTAGCGAGGGACTTGATGGCTGGGTGAGGGTTGAGATTTCGACTCTGTAGAACAAGTCAACAGACTTCAGAGGATCCCAACATAACACTCTTCAACTCTCTGTTTACCTCAGCGATACATATTCCTGACTTAAAATGTCCGAATAACAGCTAAGAGTAAGACCTCAAAAGCCGAGATTAAGTAACACGGAGCCAGGTTTCACACTAAGAGGTAATACAGTGGCCATGACACCTCGGCGTTTGTTGAAGGCCGACAACTGTGTTCATTCGCATATCGGCTCTTCACCAACAAGTCAGACAATGTCTTGCCATCACATACTCTCAATTCTCAGCCTGTTTATCATGCTTTATTTCCCAAGTCCTGACTTATCAGGTATTCTAAGTCATGAGTCGGTTCCGGGACACAGCCGATGCGCTTTTTGCAAGACAGTGAACGCTTTAGTGTCAAACGCTCTCATCAGAACCTTTGCTCAAAATATGGTCTAGTGCTTAACCCATAGACTCAACCTCCCAGAAAGTGTTATTTGCATCCACTTATACTAATGTCATACACAGATGGGGAATCCAATGGAAGGTGGGACTGCTCTACGTACTGGAGTGTCTTCCACTATCTGGGTAACGGCTCAAAGGTCTCTTTACTCCCAGCTAGACCTCCGATTCATCCCCAATGACGAGACTATGTTTCAAGCATAGCTGTCTCTTTTCCACGTCAAAACCTCGTACTATGGGTGACTGTAGGGCCATTTACACCCGTCCTGCCAGGTACAACATCTTGCAGTTCGTTATGCTCTCCAACTATTCCTGACAGGCCTCCAGGGCCGATTATTCTGCTGAATCTTTTATTTATCCACCTGCATATCCCAAATATCCCTCCTGCACGTGAAATAAACCAAATAACCAGGACGAATTGCTTTCATTCCCAGTTATCAGCTGAGAGCACGATCAAGATCACTTGCTCTTCCATCAAGGCCAAGTTAACGTGTACCTTTAATTATTGAACTTTTCCAATATCGTATCCGGCTCATGTGGAGCTGACAGCCCCCAAACAACCAGCCCACGCAGCCCGTGATATTTGAAAGTGAGGTAGCGAGGACCGTCGGCCCGACTTAGGCCGCGGCCCACGGCACACGGCAAAATATATGGGCCATAGGACTGCACAAGGACCTTCCATAGCACAGCCTACAAGGCTGACAAGGAAGAAAAGAGGAAAAAAGCTTACTCTTGTTGTCGATGATACGTGGATTTTGCCGTGTGAATGACGTTGCATTACGTTAAGATTGCAAGAACAAAGGCTGACTATGGCTTTTTGAAAGTCGGCCCTCTCTTAACAGGTTCTCTCTAATCCTTGCTACCTATGCTGTTGTTCAGGCAAACTCCACGAGATCTAGTCTTTAAGACTCAGATACAGCTGTAACGTGGAGCACCAAAGTCTATCGTTGTAGGGCTACTAGAGCCGAGTCTATTCTCCTTAACAAACCGTCAAGGATCTCGGCTGATCAGATGAACTTACATACGCCACCTTCCAGAACACAAGATCCCTTTCCAAACTTTTTGGATCCCTCGTGGCAACGTCTCCTCAAGTCTGTGTGTCCACGCAAGCGAGTTCACCGGACCGACCGAGCACACAAACACGGGACGGAAGCGAACGAGAAGATTTCCAGTACAGGGCCCGGGTCTGGAAAGAACCGGAATTGTAACGTCACATACATCTGCGTCGGCTCATATATACATGGATCCAGCTGCACAGCTGCAGAGCTGCACATATCGACATACCAGGATAATGACGCATGCTGTAGGCACACGTTGGAAGAACAAAAGTTCTTGACAGATAACGGCTTGCAGCGGATGAAGAGATCCGTGATCTGAGGCTTTCAGTAGGATGCGCACGTACATCACTCCATGCTCGAGAACTGTCACCTCGCTACGAATGATCTGCCATGCCTCTCATGCCGTGTTTCGACCCTTGGCAGGTCACAACGGTCCGTGTAGAGAAGACGCGCAAGAATCATGTCCAAAGTAAAGCATGCGACTGAATAAGCTCGCCAAGAGCCATGGCGCGTCAAATCAAGCGCCGATGGCGCCATGTTACTATAGACTTGATCTTCCGTTCAGGGTATACTCGGGATACTACGTCAGTGTGCCCAGACTTGACAAGGGTTACGACCTGAACCGGTGCTAAGCAGACGTTTTACCCCTGAACGCTACAACTGTTTCAGAGAGAACAGCCAAAGTTTCTTTAAGACAACTTAAGATTGCATCCCAAATGCTAGGTCCTGAACTACTGTCGAGAATACACTTGACTACAATCCGCTATGACAACTTTGAAATATGCAGAATATCTAAGACTAGCCTGGCATCCCGCATAGGATATTACCAAAAGAAAGTCCAACAATTCAGACGCCTTCCTTTTAAATTTCCCTGATGAACAGCTTAGTAAGAGTACCTAAACCGTTTATTCTCCTTATCCGTCATCCGAGCCCAAGTCTCCGGCGCCAAGAAGGCATCCTCGGTCTCGGCCTCGGAGTTACGACTCTTGTTCTGCCAGACGTAATACAAGAACAAGCAAAATGTGGTGAAAGCGCAGCCGGCCTGGGTGCCCATGACAGCGAGCTTGGCGGGACGGTACTCAGGGGCGTCGCGCGCCTGGAAGGTCTGCGGGCCGATGATGTTGCCAAGCGAGAAGGAGCCGGAGATGATGGCGGCTGCGAAGGCACGCTTGGTCGAGCCGGCTACGTTGGCCATTGTCCACTGGGTTTGTTAGCATTGTGTAAAACCTGAAGCGATGGATAGGGAAGACCCACGTTGTAGAAGATGGCAAGCGGAGCAACGACGGCATTGACAAGGTAAATACCAGCCAAGCAGCCAGCCTTGTCAGTGACAGGCAAGAAGGACATGAGGGCGCCGCCAATGATCCTATGATTAGGTTAACAAATGAGTCACAGCGATGTTTGCCTGAGGAGAGCTTACGCAGGAATGATGCACGAGACAATGAACGCCCAGCGGTGAGACTGCAGGCGGATGCCGAAACCGACGTAAAGAGTAAAGAAAATGCTGACCACGCCCGAAGGAGTGTTCATGAGAGCGGCCTTCTTAGGAGTGAAGCCTAGGTTGCGGATAAGAGTCGCAGAGTAGCTGGTAACGACACCGGAGGAGACAGAGAGCTGAGCAATTAGCACAGTATGCCCCAGGCATAAGGGACTTCAGACTTACCAGAATAACAGACAGCAGCAGCAGGTAAATCTGCGGATCCATCAACGCCTCGACAATCTCCTTCGCCCGGAACTTCTTGTTCTCAACACCGGTCTGGTTGACGCTAACATGCTTCAACAGCGCAACCTTCTCCTGATCCGACAGCCACTTCGCCTTCATCGGAGTATCCGGCAGGAAGATAATGACACAAATGCCCACAATGACAGTAATCACACCCAGAGTAAGGAACATAGTTCTCCAGCCCGCCAACTTCGCTTCAGGCCCCATGTGTTGGAAGCCAAATGACACCAGACCGCCAACGATCTGGCCAAGGCCAAGGCCAGTGTACCAGAAGGAGAATCGCGGAGCCTGTTCCGACTTGGTGTACCACTGGCTGCTGATGAGCATGAGTGAGGGCGCGATAGTCGCCTCAAATATGCCCAGAAAGACGCGAGAGACGAGAAGCGTCTGGTAGTTCTTTGCGGCAGCACCGCAGGCAGTAGCCGTGCCCCAGAGGGCGACGTTCAGGCCTAGCCATTTTGCAGCCGGGACGGCTTGGAGAAAGTAGACTGGGCGTGTTAGCTATGGTGATGACTAGGGAAGAGTGATAACTCACTGTTAGGAATCTCAAAGCACAGCAGGCCCACAAAGAGGAAGGTAGCGACGTTGGAGAAGTCATTGCCCTGGAGATTGAGGTCCTTGTGAATGCCCATGACAGCGGCATACTGGTGATATGCTTTTAGCCTTTACTCTTCACACCGTGTTTGCTGCAGTGACAACTCACATTCAGAATGACCTTGTCCAGAAACTGCAGTGTGTAGCACAGGAACATAAGCGGCACGATCCGCAAGTCGATCTTGCGGCGCAGCTTCGCCAGGTCGATCTGCGCGTCGACCTTGGCGTCATCGCGGTGCTGGTCCAAATACTTCCACGCATTGTCGACTTCACCATGGCTGTAGTTGACCGAGGGCTTACTGGTGTCAACGATAAGCTCCCTCTCCTGTTTCTCATCCTTGATGGGAGTATTTCTTCCCGATGTTGACGACATTGTGGATATTTTTGATCACTGTTGAGGGTCAGTCGTCGGTTTGTGATTGGGACAGTGAAAAGAAAACAGATGCAAAGAAACACTGCACGGGAAGGGTTAAGCTGCAGGACCTGGCAGCAAACGGGATGTGTTATGGGTCGGAGGGTATAGTGACGGGAGTATTATGACCGAGGGACAACCGAAAATTAGGAGCGAGAAAAGGGGGTGGTCACGGCAAAATCTCGAAACCTGGATCGATCTCCGTCCCCGCGCCGCAGGCTATGCTTGCGACTCTCGACCTTCCTGCCAGCGGGATGCCTGCTGCAGGAACAGGACTCCAATTTGGAGTCTGGGACTTGAAAGATCGGTGGAGGACGAGGATGTAAGGTGCCACTGAACTGCAGGCACCTCAGTTAGGGCCTGAAACGCGAGTCCCGAGGAGAGAAATTCGAGAGGATGTGATATGAGAATGGCAGGAGAAGAAAATCAACCGAACGTAACAAGCAGAGTTGGGTGAAACGTGGGACTCTCTGCAATGCCAGAATGACGGGAGAGTTGAGGAAAATTGGCCCGACACAGCAACACATTGAGGAAATATCTAGGAGCAAAACGAGGGATGGGCCTGGTTTAAGTGAATGGAATGAACCTCTAAGCCCCCCTCGCCGAGAGCTTGGAACATGCTGTTGGCTGTGCTTGCAAGCGCGCCTGCTACACAAGTGCCTGCAGACCATGGTGGATTCGTCGTCTTTGTTTTTCTCGAAAGATTTTGATCTGGGCTGACGGTCCGGATCTGCAAGGATTTTGGCGAGATGTCACCTCTCTGCTCCTGGGTGAATGATATTGCAACCCTGGATATACATACACTGCAGGGCAAGGATAAACGGGATTTAGACCAACTGGGGGTATGGCCCTAGTGTCATGCTCCCGCAGTCGCAGCCGGCCAATCATTGATTTGTCGGAGCTGTTGGCCGGAAGTACCACTCGCTGTGCCGCTTCAGGGTCAAAACTTTCGACACTTCTGTTCACGGCAGCTTCCAGAACCAGCACACCTGAACATTCAGTTAATTGAATTCAGCGCCACCAGGATGGGAAGGATCTCATGGATGTGGACGGTATTGGTTCCTCCCTGGGACTTCCTTGCGAAGGGTAAGTAATGCGCACAAATCTAAGACATGCAGCTGTGTAAATCTGAGTCAACCTGCGTTGAGAAAGCGTGGGATGCAAGAGAAAATCAACCCGCAGGTGCATGCGCACAGCTGAGTTGGGAAAAATGTCTCAATGCCATTTGCTTTTCAGGAAGTGAAGGGCTCCAAAAACTCAGCTTCGACGAGCTGTCATTTATATGACGAGCCATTAAGAAAGTTCTTCCGGGTCTGCCGGCCTCAAATGCAGCACACACTAGGTATGTTCTCCTGGAGCTAGAGGTACCCGGACATGAGCACACGGCAGCAAGGGTCCGATATTAATCGGGCATGCAACCACAATTTGGAAGGCAGCGTTTTGATAGCATTTTAAATCAGTATCAATCGTGACATTTTCTTTTCTCTGCCGCTTTAAACAAGCCATATGGCAGCCTAAGGCGTCTCTGGCCGGCCTGTCACCTCATCATGGGGATACCTATCCACTCGATGGCAGCCCCTGGCATGCTGTTACAGTGACAGGACGGCTGCTCTTTGGGTTACGTTGCCGGCAGAAGTGTTTGGCCAGGAACGTATGGCCGGGAGAACTGAAAGGAACATCCGCTTCATATATCGATGTTGAGTTGCTCTCCATCACTACTACCATTGACGTCCGCGATGGTATTCTCCTGTTGATCTTCCGCTGCCGGTCAACGATCACATAGCCCGTCTGTATGCTATTCTCGTCTTTGGTAGCTTGCACTCGCAAAACTAAATCGTGCCGATCCTACCCTTGTGGAAAATTTAGACCTTAATCTCGACGCCATCCCCGCCAGCACCCGCCGGCTCGGGTTCAGCACGGGTTGACCATTCGGTCTGTCCGCTCTCGACTCCTTTTTCTCAGTATTCACGGCCATCTTTGAATCCACGACTTGAGCAATTACTCGCAACATGGGCTGGGTAGAGAACGCAACGCCCGAGGTCGAGGCGATCTCACAATGGAAAACTATCATCGCCGTATGTGTGGTCGTATCGACCGTCGCTGCCGTTGTCGTTTCACTGAGGTTATGGGTCCGGTATAGGAACCATGGCCTGCAAAGCGACGACTACCTGTCTGCGTTGTCGATGGCATTTGCTATTACCTATGCTGCTCTCTGCATTGCTCGTATGTGGTTGACTTGTCATGATCCAAGTGATCATACGCTAATGTCAGATCAGAAACAAAATACGGCTTGGGTCTACCATTGGCACTCCGTCCAAAAGAAAATCTAATCCCATACACGCGGACAAACTATGCCGGCCGTCCGATCTACCAACTGGGCATCAGCTTCTTCAAGATTGCCCTCTTGATCAGCTACCTGAGAATCTTCGACCGCACGAACCACCGCGTTTACCGCAGGATTGTCTGGGTCACCATCGTCGCCATCTTCCTTGGGCACCTGGGTTGTGCTCTGTGCCTTATTCTTGCTTGCCAGCCGGTCGGTACCCCAATGTCTTGCATATTTTCACTCCTACTGACAAAATCCAGGTCCATAAATCGTGGAACCCTACAGTGCCCGGCAAATGTCTGGCCCCAGGCCCTTCTTTCACAGGCTACGCAATCGTGACCATTGTTTCCGACATCATCGTCACTCTGATCCCCATCCCCGTGCTCCTTAAGCTGAATGTCTCTCGCGGTAAGAAGATTGGCCTCATCTTCATCTTCATGTTGGGCATCTTCATCACCCTCTGCTCCATCTTCCGCTATCGCGAGATCGACCGCATCCAGAACGGCGACGGTAACTCAACGATGCTCATTCTGTGGGGTGTGATCGAGTTCAATGTGGGGGTACGTACTCTTCTTGCATTCCTTCACCTGCATGCTATCTGCATCCTGCAAGCTCTTATCTTGACGCTGTGTATGAACAAATGCTAATTTCGTTACTGCTATCAGAACATCGTCTCCTCCCTGCCATTCCTTGCCCCCAACGTCCTACGTAAAGCGAAGGAATACAGAAGCAAGTATGGCCACGGCAGCGGGGGCTACTCGCACGGCAGCGGGGTGCGCAAGCTGGGTAAGTCGGGGGATGGATACAAGCTCAGCAGCCTTTCGTCCAGCCGCAATGGGAAGAGCAACCATGGCACGTTCGCGACAATCAAAGGCAACAGCACGGGGAGCGAGGAAAATATTCTACAGAACAGCCCCGAGAATTCCATTGTCAAGAGTGTGACGTACAGTGTCAAGGTTGAGAGCGAGTAGTATTGGCTGGGGGTATTTGGGTGGCACTTTTCGGTTGATTCGCTTCGCAAACGTTACGAGTTACGCGTTGGATACACTTCATTGATACGGATTTAGGGACAAATTGTATTGGACTGCCAAAACTCGGTACGAGGACTAAGATCTAAGATGAATGTGATTACTGTGTGATGTACATGTCCTACATCAATAGAGCGTCAGTGTCGCAGACACATTGTGATCGGAAACCAATTGCCATATCATCGTGTGCTATGGCAACCAATTGGCCCGCCGCCGTCTATCGAACACCAATGATCTGAGTTCGTGAAAAGATTTTACAAGGATGAACCGCAGAGTTTTCACAAATTACCCCTGTTGCCTCAGAGCTACAGCAATTGCATGATATTTCTTAAGCATAATGCCAATGGTCAGGTCTTGTCACAGGTTCTCGACCAGGACCAAGATTCTCTTCTTGCCAACACTGCAACAGGACCCTCGACCGTTGGAATGCCGTCGTCACGACCCTGGTCTAACGTTGTAACAACCCCCACTTTCCGTCTTCCGGTGCATCTTCCCCCGGTTTGTAGGCTTTTTTGGTACCCACGGGTCGGGGATCCTCGATCACCCCCGCGCGGCACGACGCCTCCAGATCCACTATGGTGCCACAACGCCATGAATGTTGCTCCACTTAAAAATGCTCACTCAAAATGGTTCGAAGCTTATTCTCCTTAGCTCCCGGGTCTAAGTGCTAGTACAAAGCTTGCTCGAACGTTTGACTATCGCTTTGTACGGGAGCAATGAAGGAAAGTTATCTTGAGCAAAAGAAAAGAGAGAAGCCATCAAGTCGACAACGCTGTTTCCGGTAGGGGAACCTGGGCAATATCTCGTATCGGACTGGAGACACCAACATCCCAGGCCCAACAGCGCAAACCGTTGCTCAATTGCGATGCAGGACATCAATGTCCGCTCAACACACCTACAACTTCCAGGTTAACCACACGACGAGCTACATCCCTCTTCGTGCGCCAACTGTTTGCTGTCGCGATGGCTGAGTGGCTGTCTGATTCAGACGTTTTGGTCTAAGGGCCGGCTCTATATCCTTACAGAGAACCGTGAAGGTTCCCCACATCGATGAGAAAAGCCTCAGCGGCGGACTGCCGGTTAGATATCTAGACCAGTGCAAGTTAACTCACTCTATGAAGATGAACCTGCCACTTGTATAGAGCCAACATCAAACGGCAACAAAGTACATGATAGCGAGTACGAAATTTTCTGTTGCAAAAAAAGCGGATGCTAGCGAGAACTTGGGAGAATATGTCGTGGATGGGAACTTCAAGGTGAAGAAATATGTTCAAAGGAAGCCTTATGTTACCTGCGCGCGGTGATAGATAGTAAGGGGGGGGGGGAACGTGGGAGGTTCAAGCCTACGCGGGGGACTAAGTTGCGTGGGAGCGACTAACACAAGGGCTTAGTGATTGGCTCAATAGTGCTGCACATTGCAGAAGATAAACTCAACATCCACTCAATGTACAAGGGGTGGAATATATTCCGAACTGTGGCATACCAAGTACTGCCAATGCGGACAAGCGGAGCTGGCACAGTAATAACTCGGAAGCTGCCGGATCAGCATTCGCGCTTCCTATCGGTGCCCTTGGCGCTGAGCTGACGGTGACAAGGGTCAACACCGACAAACCGAAAACTAACAACTAACAGTTATTAGCCAGATTTTCGGCTCCTAATGTCAAGTGACAGGGATTTCCAACACCAGCCACAATCCTCCGTTCCCCGAATCCTTAGCTTAGAGAGTATTGGGAAAAATTACCGGAGGAGGTACTCCTGACTCACAACTCACCAGCTGACCAACGACCTCGCCGGTATCTCACCGGTGTGTACCACCACCTCTCTCGAACCAGCACATTATCTTACCTCATAGCCACTATCCAGCTCACAGCTTATGTGACCCTTCACTCACTACTCACTCCCATTCTCCCTTGACTTCAGCTCACCCTCAACATCATACTCTCCTCATCAAACTTAACCCACATATCCCTCTTGGTCAACAGCGGACTTTTCTCGTCAATTCTACTCCACTCATGCGCATCCAGGCAAGCCTGACGCGACGCCAGCACTGCCGGTCTTGTCCGCGCAATGACACGGTCTTCGTACTGGTTTAGGGCTTCTCTTAGCGTCAGAGCTGGGTTCTGAATACCGGTGCTGGAACTAGGACCAGGGAGAAGTATTGGCAGAACCAGCTCGACAAAGTCGTGGACGTCGATTATGGCGTGGTTGGCGCCCTCGCCGCGGTCTGGCCAAGTAGCGTGGGGGTTAGTGGAGGTCTTTGACAGAAAAGATAATGAAGGAATGCGTGCTGTTTCTGCTGAGCCTCGTACGTATATGTGGGACCTGATCCTCTAAGGTGTGGATGTGTAACGGAATGTGATGGTGTGATAACCTTATGCAGGAACACATATCACCATCCATTCATCCATCCATCCACGAGCTACCCACACAGCTGGTGACACAGCACTCTACAAAAGCTACCAAATCGGAAAAAAAAGATAAGAAGACTTACACATAACCATAGGATGCATCGCATCCCCCACCAACGCCACACTCCCCTGTGTCCGCAGCCCCCTCGGCGGCGGCCAATCCGCCAGCTGCAGGCACTTGACCTCGGTCTCATCCGGGATTCGTTGTGCCAAACTCCGAAACGGCTCGGCCCAAGTGTTCGCAAACTTCTTGATCAGCGCCACGCCTTCACGGGAGGTCGTCGGAAAGTCGATTGGCTCGGACGAGCCAAAGAATCCTGGCCTGATGGGCCAGGAGACGCAAATTTGGCAAGTGTATTTCCCAGTGGTGTTGTTGATATTGCCGGGTGCGTCGAGGACTGTTTGTGATATTGTGGAACGTTACGTTAGCAGATATTCATGAGATGTTACCAAGGAGTTGGGACTGAACCGAAAGGTAAAACATGATATAGGTAACGTACTGCTGCAGTAGACAAAAGAATCATTCTGCGACGCTGCACCCTGCAAGAAAAATGCGTCCAGCTTGCGTATAGGATCAATCTCTTCCGGGTCGCAGTCGATCCGCACGCCCATCATCCGCACAGGGACTTGGTACTTAGGCACACCGGGGAAGAGAGCGTTGCGGACGCGCGAGCTGCCTCCATCGCAGGCCACAAGGAGACGGCCTTCGACGGTTGTGCCATCGTTAAATTGGACTTGGACAGAGCCATCTTCAAGGGTTTGGAAGGATATGAGGGCTTTACCCCACTGAATGCAGTGTTAGCAACATCTCATGAAGGTGGAGATGCTCGGAGAAACCAACCTCAATCTCCAATCCCGTAGCCAACAACCGTCTAAACCGATCCCTCGTCACCCTGATTCTCGCAGACTCAGGCAAATCCGGTGTCGAAGCCTTCAACTCTCCCGTGCTGAGATCAAAAAAGGGGAACCGTGACGCCCTCCCCTCCTCGACAGCCTTCTGATCGACATACGCCTCGGGCAGGCGTGCGAGCAGCTCCTCGGGGAGTAGAGCGCGGAGAGCGGGCAAGGACCAATGCAGCGTCAGGCCCCAGCCGAGGCCCCGCGTCGTGAGGTCGGCGTCGCGCTCGAAGATGCGGAACGGAATTTTGTCGGGGCCGCCGAGCTTGCGGAGGTGTTGGGCTAAGAGTAGGCCGGAGATTCCGGCACCGATGATGAGAATTGGTTTTTGGGTTGCAGGAAGGGGCATGTTTTGTTTGGTCGAGGGATCAAGTCTTAGGCATGCATTGACCAGAGTGTAGGGCTGTAGAGGTTCCCTAGTGTTTGCGCTGAGGAGTTCAGTGTTTTGTTGTAGCATGCAATTGATGTTACCGCCTGGAACCCGTCTCCCGGCCAAGATGAAACATGACTTGTGGTGTCATTGCTCATGATTTTATGGCGTTTTGCATGAAGCAAGGGCGGGAGGGGGTGCTACCTCCGGGGTGCCTGCTCCGGATTAATACTTCCAGATTGTAAGTTTTAGTGGGGGTCCTGCTCAAGAAACTTAGCATGCAAGGAACATGTGTGGCTCCGTCCAACTTGGACACGGATCAGGGTTTGAGTCCTGGAACCATGGGTGCAGACAGTTGCAACTCTTGTGGCCCTTTCCCGCCAATTCTCGGCTTTTTGAGCGTAGCGTCCTAAGCAGGAGTGGAAACCAGAACTAACATGTTTGGACCTTGCATGAGGCCCTGCTCCATCCGAAACATGTCTCTGGGAAAACGGCACCTGCAGGAATCACTCGATCGCAACGGCATGCATGATGATGATAGGATAGTACGTGTAGCGGCTGCGGCGAACTTGGTCTGGATGCGAGAAGAGATGCCCAAGTATGTAATAAAAGTGAGTTAACTGTTTCAAGAGCCCTGAAGGAACACACATTCAGTATGTTAGGTTACCTAAGCAGACGGTTTGGCTCGCTTAGCCAGCTTTACCATCAAGGGACATATGTGCTCCTGACATGTGCGACAATATAGTGAACCGTTTCTCTCGAATGCAAGCGCCTTTCGTGGGAACAGAGGCCATTCTGTAATGTATTAGTTGACAATGGCATGCGAACAACTGTTGGAGTTGGAACTGCCCCAGACTCGATGGCTCGCCTAGATCACTGTTTGCCAGTGCGCTGACCACCTAAGTGTGACCTGGTAGACGCATTTCTTGTTGCACTCCGGCGCAGGTGCCACAATTTTTCCCCAGTTCAGGCACCGACAGCGCTCTCACCTGTGTATTTGAAATTCAAAATCAAGACAAAATAGAATAGAAAAACGCTTAAATACGGATAAGATGGAAGTTTAATCGTATAGCATGCGTTGATGTTGACCTTGACGCTCTCAGATTTTGGGGTGCAACGGGCTGCCAAGCCCGCGCCAAGCCCTGTTTGATAGTGGTCTCTGTAGGGACCTTACCCTCACACGACAATGTACGTCGACACTGGGAAGTGATCATGACTTCGGGTATCCCTCCCAAGTATGGGGTGCTTGTGGTGCGGCAATAAGCTCCGTCAACCTGTTGAAATGGGCACACTGCGAAGCCCTTTTTAGAGAGCTTTTCCCGGTAATGCCTTGGGCGATGGCTTGCAGAGGCCTCAGGCCACGGTGACTTCGTGGAGTACCACGTGCGGTTTAAACACCCTCCGGGGGCGTTCAAGGAGTGCCCCTGCGGCCAACTGGTGTCTAAAAGCCACTTCTTTTTCACTCATAACGTTTAACGACCCGCTAGCAGAAGGACCTATCGTAGGGCCTTCCGGTTCTCCTTTCGACTGTTCCAATCTAGAACCTGCCAGACCGAGCTCCTGGATCAAGCGTTCGACGCGGCCATAGGACAACCCATTCCGACCTTAGGCCCCCTCGTTACCCCTTTCGCGTGCGGGTCCAACGCCGCGAGGACAGGGAGCCCGACATTGACTCGGAGGAGTCGGTATCGAAGTTAGAGATCCAAATCCCACTTGCTCTGCGGGATTAGGTCTTGCCCCTCCCCAGCCGTTGCCTTTCCCGCACAGGTGTTTCTCCTCTCGGGGTTTCCCCCCAGTATGGAATGTATATAGTATTGTAGCTATTGCTCGCCATCGTCGTGAGCACGATCCACCGCCCCCAGGGGTGAAGCCGGTCGAAAATATAATCCAATCTAATCCAATACAGCGCAACAAAGTTCCCAGTAGTTGTTCCCAAGACTCATGCCCGAATAATGAAGAAGCCAATCCATCAAATCCTTGTCATATTGCCACAGTCGAGGGAACTTAACAAGGCAAGGTGTGCTCAGGCACATATGATGTTAATGAAGATTATTCCAGTGAGGTTCTATCCCGACAGGATAGATTACAGCCTGTTGTATGGGTTTTCCCATTACTTGGGTATTCCTAGGGAACTAAAACTGTGCATTATGTGTGGTAAATCATAGTAAGCAAGCTGATGTGCACTCTTGGCATGCCATTCGCTGAGTCTTATCGTTTGACTACCTACCTCACCATGTATAGGCAGGTGAATATCTTCCACTGTCTCGGGTAGTACATCCCGGGTCCCACGAAGCGCTTACTATTAACGCTCTGATCCAAAGGCGCGTCCAACTGCCATAACTAGCCCAATCGCTCGCTTTTGAACACTCTTTGCACACTTTGACCTTGTTGGAGCTGGTAGTTTCGAAATAGTGCAACATTCTTCGATCCTCCCCTTCTGCTCAATACCAAAGCTTCGATAACCGGTTTTCCAAGCTCTCATCCCTCAAAATACTTTCAGCACCCACTTACGCGGACGGCTGTATTAGAAATCAGGATGATACTATCGAAATGCTCGAAACTGCACAGGAAAATCCACAATAGTTATGGAATTTAGATCCTGTTACAAAGGAGCCTATCCATGCCCAAACGTAGTCTAGCTCCTAACAAGATGACTTGATTTCATATGGAGACGTCAAAGTCTGGTGCACATGTCCAGACCCTGCAATGGACATTCGCTTTGTTCACGACTTAATGGGAAACTACCGAGCAACATAGACGCATCCAAACCGACAGATCCTTTGGCCGAAAGAGTTCCTTCCACAACGTCTCGGCAATATCAGAATTGCGTCGTTTCACTGCAACTCGAACATTGTTGGACCACACAGAAATGAGAGTAGTTTTTGTTGCTCACAGCCTGGGAGGGCTTGTTGTCAGATATGCGATTTATTATTCCGGGGCTCAAATATTGACCGTCCTGGCGTGGAACATAACTATAACTCCACAGCTGGAGTGGTTTTCTTTGGCATCCCTCACCAGGGATTCTAGGCTGTAAACTGAGTGAAACTACCGGCAAAGGCCCTTGAAATTCTTAACATGGCCAATATAAACTTGCTGGACCTCTTGCCCCCCTTCCCCCCAATGAGAAGGATCTAAGGCGCATTCAACAGTAGTTCATTCAGGTTGTACGAGCAGTCAGGGTGAGTCAGCAGCGAATCTTCCAGGTTGTCTTATTGTTTCATTCATTAAAAGGCATACAAGGAACGTTGTGAGCAAGGCTCTTGTCCCACGTGAGTCAGCGGTATATCCTGGGAGAAGAGAAATTTGTCAGTCATAAAACCATAGGACTTATGATAATCGAGCTCAATGGAATATTACATGTTAGAACAACAATAATCTAGGCAAAAATGCTTTACTGAAGCCACCGTTTTGACGGGTCACAGCATGATGACCAACTTTATTCGTTATGTAGTTGATGCCAATCACCACAACATGGGAAGTTTGACTATGAACAGCATCTTGGAAATAGTAGGCCATATCAGATAGCCAATGTTTTGCTGAGCGAATTCGACCAAGTCAAAGACAGAGCTGCGGAAGATAGGTGGAGAGAGGTCGCGGATGGTACGGCCGAGCTTATTCTTGTATCATAATTACATGGCCTGAGCCAGTCTTCCCATTGACCCAAGAAGTAATATATGGCTAAAACCGCTCTATAAAGTAGAGATATGCCAGTCTCTGGTCAGAAGAAATGGAGCACAAGCGCAAGGACCTCGAGCATTCCGCCGCATCCGGGACATGGGCATAGATCTTTGATCGCCAACAATACCAGGAATGGGTCAAAAATGACTACAGGTGCCTCTGGATCAAGGGAAAATCTGGCTACAAAAGTCCACCGTCACTCATAGAATTCTCTATCACATGCAAAAATCAACTTTCTTCGTTTGTGTGTTCTTCTTTCACCACCGTGAGAGCCCACTGCAGAAGTCACACATTGGCATGTATCGCTCGTTGCTGTACCAGCTCCTTACACAGGACCCCATAGCTGCTCCAGATACGCTGCTGTTTACTATTAAGGGGAAAGAATTCAAACTCTCTTATTTCTGGTGGCATTACATTGATCTGGAAAATTACTTTTGGTCCTTTGTATGACTAGCCTCAAGAAAAGAAATGATGTCTGAATATTTCTCGATGCCCTTGAATTAAATGAACGGTGAAGGCATCGAAAAGTATGCATACATGAACCTGAAGAGATACCACGAGATAAACCAACCCTGCAAACATCTCCTAATTTGGACCACTGAACATAAGCGTTATTAAAGAGGGAGATGTGACAATTTTACAACCTCCTGAGATGGATTCAGAGGTAGTGACCAGGTTGTAGAACTAGAGGGACTGGGGTCCTCATAACGGAGAATATGAAGTTCACTGCGGTCACCAGTTGTTGGTTGGCAACTGTTTCTAACAGGAGACTATCTGTTTGAATCACGCATTTGCTTTGCATATTGCAACTACCCGAAACGCAGGGTGAAACATACAGACTCTATTCAGGTTCATAAGTTCAACCAGAATGACATTGAAACTTACCTATGCAAGGAAATCGGATAAAACCTGTCTAAGGAGCCTCTAAACTCTATCATCAGAAAAGCTAAATGAGTGTTTCTCTGGGAGCGCCTAGTATCACAACTGGTAACACTAGGAGGGTTATGGGCTATCATCTAACCCATTTGGCCCATTGTCGATCCCTGCCTGCATCAGACCAAGTCCCCCGTTACAGTTGCACCATGCCGTACAGAAGAGAGGGGGTGACGACTGCGTCGAAAATGTTGGGGCCTGCCGATGGGGGGAAGCCCCGAAGGCTCGTATTGGATAGGCGTTTGACCAGATCTACTACCGAGGCCATCGCCAATGCCTTGGAGCAGCTTGGGTTGCAGGGCTGAACTTGGGGTCTAGCAAGATTCCTAGCCACTTACTGGACTTGCTGAGGGAGAGGGACACTCCCTCGACCTGAGTCGAGATTCTCGCGGGTTCTATCATACTTCGCTTCGCCTCGCCCAGGCCCCGCGGGGAGGAATATAAAGGACTCCGTCTTGTTTGAGTCGGTCTTAAGGACGAGCCCCCGGGCCTTGGCGCATAGTTGGCTGACCTTAAGGGAGGTATGATGGGCCGATTGAATCGGGTGCTTGCTCCATGACAATTACGCATGGTCGTCCATGTACATAAACGAGGACCCTGTTGTGAGGGGGTTATGATTGGTAGGGAGTATAGGACGAACAAGATTGGGGACCATGGGGACCCTTGCGGAAGGCCAGTGTCCGACTGAAAAGTAGATTGCACCCATCGGAAGGAGAAGCGGCGATCCTGGCAGAAGTCGGCTGCTGCCTCACACAGCCAGCGTGGCCAGTCTGATCCGTCAGGACTTCGCGGAGGATCGGCGGTTGGACCGAGGGGTATGCCGAGTCCACATCCAGGGTGACCAAGAGCCATGGTAGCCTTGCCTCGACATGGTCTCCGCGTCGTACACAAGCGCCTGGACGAGGTTCAGCGCGGACCTGGATGGAACAGCCCCCGCAACGTCCCCGGCGATGGCCCGGGCAGCTGGGCGCATGAGCTCCCAAGTATGTCTGAAAAACGCCAGGGGCACACCGTCGAGGCCGGGTGTGTTTGAAGCAGCTCCGAGGATGGCATTCTTGATCTCGGCATCGCTGGGCGGGTCAGCGAGCTTCGCTGCCCAGTCGAAGGAAGACGAGTGCCGGGCCAAACCGGACGAGGGCTCTCTTGGGCCCTTGCGGGCGGAAGGCCTAAGTAGCGAGGTCAGCTGCCATTCACTCCGTGTCTGAGATCACCCTCCCGTCCACGACCAAGACAGTCGTCTGAATGGCCGATGCACCATCTCAGTATCTTGCCTCACTCCACCGGGGTCGAGGCCGAGGCAACCCTCTCCCTATAGAAGTTCAGCCTGGCCTCCTTGTAAAGCTTGCAATAGACTATGGGGTCTGTTAGCTGCAAGTGACCATGGTGTGGTCACCGCTGACCTACCTGGTCAGCCCCGGCTCCACTGAGGTCAGGTACACACTTGACCTTATATAAGAGCCATGCTCATCCACCCTCCTCACGCGTGTGTCGTTTAGAAGGTAGAGTATTGTTATTCTGTGGCACCCATTGTGCTGGACAGATTCCCTCAGGGCCGCGTGTCCTGTAGGGCAACGCCCAAGTAAATACTCCCATCCACATCACCACTTTCTTTTACATGCAACAGGGTCGATCCCCCCAGCCGTGGCCAGCACCTCCGACAACCAGAGGGGCGCTCTTCGTGTGTCTGCCGGGGCGGGTCGAAAAACAGCCGGCAATCCCGGTAAGGGTATCAAACACATCCCATGCGAACTGTTCGAGCTCCTTCCGGGAGTCAAAATTAGCCGGGGCTGGGAGAAGGAGGGACCTCAGTAGATGGGCCGCCTCCTCGAAACAAGCCTTAGTGGGACGTTTGGGTGGGCACAAGCGGCTTGGGGGCGGCTGGGCATCGAAACGACCAGCGCGCGGCGATCAGAGGCCCGGGTGGGCGAACTCTGCTAAGGCTCGGGCCAGGTCGAGGGTGAGGTCGATGACTCCGCCACCGCGGCGTGTTGGGCCCTCCAGGTTGATGATGTGCAGTTTCGTCTCTATTCTTTACAGGAAGCAATGTTTTCTTCCTTTTGAAGAAGATGTTCAGGTCAAAATTGACCTCAACTGTGTATCCGTCGAGGCAGAGGAATCAGTGTCCTGTTGTGGGTACTATCGAACTTGAGAGTGAGGCTCAAAGACATGACGAAGGAGGATATGGTCAGTCCATCAATTATCTACAATACACCAGGATCTTCACCATAAAACTGCTATCTGTTGTTTCCATCAGCTGTTGACGACCAATGCAATCAGTGGGACGTTTTCCATTGTGATATCTGCATATACAGCTGCGAGATAGGTTGGAGGGCTGTGTTTTGATGCTGATGCTGCTGCAACGACAGGCAGTAGTTGTAATGGATGCGGCATACATCAAACAACTTGGAGAGAGCTGGAGAGCAAAAGGAAGATGACGACTGTTAGTGTCACTCTTGCAAAATCAAAAACCCATGACAAATTGCCACATCAGACTAAAAGATCAATTCGAACTTCCCATTCACTCGCCCTTCACCAGAACAGAAACCTAGCAAGCAATCCCTAACCTAAAACTCAAAGCCACTCTGGCATATAGGTCCACACTTCATAATAAACCTTTGTGTAGCCTAGCAATGTATAGAACCTGAAAAATCCGAGTCACAGACAGGAGATTCTCACCAGCAGCTCTGGCATACCTGATGGGCCACTGCAATCTGAAAAGACTAGATGGTCAGTGATGCTGGTAAATATTCCAGAATGTGCGTATTAACACGACCATTATGGCGCAGTCATCTTGTTGACCAGTGAGGCTCCGTTAGTAGGTAACAACAGGCTGGCAGGCTAGCTGAGACGAACAACGCAGCAGCACCATATATATCTCTTGGCCTCTGGCGTGGGCATCATGATCGATACAGAGACTACACGTTTAAAACAGCAGTTTGCCTGATACGGAAGGACCGTGAAGTCAGATCTTTTTGAGGCTCAATTAACTAGTGTCAGTTGACAGTTGACTTGGATGTTGAGGTGAATGTGGGGGGAGGTTGACGCCTGCGCTTATCTTGGTCCCATCTTATCGATAATAGGTGAACGGAGGCTTGTGCAGCGAGGACAACCAGCCACAGCCACAACTTCTCGTCCATTGCTTGACTCGGGTACCAAGCGATTAAGTGCTCAAATGTCAACAATTACAAAGTAGAAAGTTTATCACCAGCTATCATATAATTGCAAGAATGAGGTCAAGATTATCTAAACAGTTTTCTGATCTTGATTTGTTTGTCACCTTTTGATTGCCCCGTCTTCCCGACCACTGCCTGACGCACATCAATGATGTCACCCACAGTTAGCGACTGCTACAACACGAGTGGGTCCACCCAATCGTGTCTTTGTTTCCTGCTACCTGGTCCCCGAAATTCCGACCACTCTTCCCAGCGCAATACCACTGATCTTTATCCTCAACCTCGTCGTCCATTTTCTCGCGCCTGCGCAGTTTTCCATTCTCACCGCGCTGGCGCATCTTTACAGATCTATCTACTTTAATTGCGTCTGTTGATCACGCGCTTGTCTCGCGCTTCCGCGCTGCGTATATAAATTTAACCAATTCTTACCCTCGCTCCCTGCGCCTTCGCTCTGCTGGCCTCCATTGCGCTCATTCGCGCATGCTTTCTCGCGCCAGCTGTCCTGCACGTGGTCTCACTATTCTTCTTCATTTTCTCGCGTTTGCGCTCTCTCACGCTCGTCGTTGGATATTCCACACTACTAAATCCCATGTGGCTCACCTCTTCAGCGCTTCGAGTAAGTGTCATTTGAGACTTCCTACTATTTTCTTTCTCCACGCTAATATCTCTGTCGCTTGGCTAGACTTGCAATTATCCTTAATAGCGCGTGCGTTATCCGCAAGCTTCTGACACAATGCCGCCCAAAAAACAACCCGCGGCGGTCCCTCCGGACCAAAAGACCTTCACCGTCATCCCCATGCCAATAAGCATTCAACAGCTCATGTCACGTCCCCATGATGGCAAAGATAGCCATCCTCCCATGACATCTAAACAGGCACAGAAACTATATCGCCAGAAGAATCGCCAGCCTCGGATGTCCAAGGAGGAGCAGCGGCGGCTTGAGCGACTTGAGCAAGAAAGAATTAGGAAGGAGTTAGAGCAAGAAAAGAGGCTGAACAGAGCCCAATTCCTGCGGGAGAAGAAAAAACAGCAAGAACAAGCAAAGTTGCTGGAGAGGAAGCGCCAGGGCTTGCCACTGGTTGATCCTCGCCCGAGCCAGAATGTGATAACAAAGTTCATCAGGGGTCCTGTCGTGGGCCAGAAGCGCGACGCTTCAGGTTCAATCGTTAACCATAATAATGAGTCCCACACAGAGATGGAGCTGGATGGTGCGGAGAATCAAGAGGATGAAATGGAGGAGTACAGAGCACGTAAGCGCCTACGCCTCGAGGCTTTAGATAATAATCACCAGGGTAATGACGCTTTTAATGCCACTGAGGACAATAACTTTCGAGCGCTTCGCATGCTACCGCCGTCCAGCCGAGGTCAGCACTCCGGCCCAGCCCCTGGTGGTCTCCAGAGGTAAGGCTTCGCTGCCCTGTCAATCCTTCGAAATTAACGCTGACGGACCCCAGTCAATCAAAGTCCCGGGTACTTCTGCACCTTCCTGAAGCCATGGAGTATCGTGTCCAGAGGTAAGACACCTCTGACCTCCTTTTGAGACACTCCTGACAATTATAGTTCTATTACCTCCCAGGAGCTTAAAACGGTCGCCGCTGGGGTTTCTACGTTACAGAATGTGGTTGAGGGGACTACACAGAGCAACACAATCGTACCTGCAACCTCACACAAAGCTACCACTACTACGGCACAGAACATCTACACTTCTCTCAATCCACAGCTTGCTGCTCAATCCGTCACAAATCAGTCTGTCCGTAAGACTGCCAACCCTGAGCAGCGAGTGCAGCAATTATCTGGATTAGAATGTGACTCTGTCAGTAACATCAAGTCGACCATGCGCTCTTCTCCCTCACGGGATAATTCTCATCCTGCACAGCAATTTCTCAATGCGCGTTCATCTATGCAGCATCCTCTCCAGCCTAGGTACACGCGCTCTGGTATCCAAAAACCAAATCATTCTCCCTCTTATGTTCCGTCGCCTCTTCGCAAGTCTCTCGAGCCTCAGACCCCCACCAGCACTCAATTGTTCTTGATGACGCACGCGGATGAGTTCCTCCTCTCAGCTTCTCAGGAAGCTCGGGAGCTTGCAGGTGGTGATTATGTACCAGAGCAGCCTAAGCCGGCTCAGATACCCGCTCTGGTCAAGCAATCTGGTTTCCGTACGAAGCCCTCTCTTGTTCAGCAACTTCAGATACACACAGTTTCCAAGACGGCGCCTCAGCAGTTTGTTCCCCACCAGCAGCTACAAAAGCCAGTAACACTCAAGAATGCAGCGCCAAAGCCCTCCTCCGCTCAGACGCCTGGTCCTGTCCAGAACGCTGCTTCAGTTAGACAGCCACCAAATCCTGCACCTGTCAAGCCCATGGCTCAACAGCCAGTCATTTCGCGCAAACAAATTAATCGGTTTGCTGCCACAAGAATTCAGAGCAATCGGGTTGTTTCTTTTCTGGCTCCACTGCCAAAGCCTGCCCCAGCGGCTCCCGCGCCCCTTAATTCCAAGCCCAAACTCATCGAAGAGACTGCTGCGGACGTGATTGCCAACATATCCTTTCAAGACATCATGTCCACCCAGGAAGAGCGAGAGCTAGAGGGGGCGAGCAGGAAGGATGCTAAAGTCACCAAACTGCTCAATGAGCTCTCTTTCTTCTCTACTCAAGACCTCTTTATATCGACTCAAGAGGCCAGCGATCTAGAGCGGCCGGCTCCAATCAAGGCTAAGAGCGTTAAGGAGCTCGTCGCCGCGGAGGAGCTGAAGCTGATGTCGTCTGACTTTCGGGATATCGAGGGCTCAGGGAAATTGGGGAAGCATGCTAATGGTGTTACAGAGCCCAAGACTGCCTCCTTTTGCACGCAGGATGTTACCCTCACCTCGTCGGACCTACAGGATATCGAAGCACCTGCAGCTGCTCAGACCAGCATCTCGAAAAGCGCTATCGAGGTTGTTCCTGCCAACAGGCCTAGCGTCCAGGCCGTGGCGGCGGACTCCGATTCGGAGATTAAGGACATCCCGTCGCCTGTCCGCCCCAAGCCATGCCGATCTTTGGAAATCAAACCTCCTCCCTTTATCATTAGAAATATAAATCAACCCAGCGCTGGCACCCCACATGGATCTTCTAACCTCAGGCTGCTCCACAGCTTTCTTCCGCCTTCGCACCGCACTACTTCTCCGAAGGGCGATCAGGCAGCAGCTATCAAGAAGCCGGTCAGATGCCCGTTGGAGGATATCGAGGATCCTGAGTCCGATAAGGAAAACGGTGTCCTCGACAAGAACGACAACAAGGAGGGCGCGAAGGACAAAGAGAAGAAGGCAGATTCTACAACCCCTCCTCCACGCCGAGAGAAACGCCGCTTCTTTACACCCAGCGGCAACGGCATCCGACTGCTGATGACCATCAGCAGGAACAAGAAGGCTAAAGAGCAAGAGATAGAGAGAAGGCGTGTGCAGGAGATGAGGGAGAGGTGGGCTCAGGCCACTGCTTCGAATAGCAACAACACCAACGCCACTAATACTACCGGGTCGAGCTGCGATCATAACACTATCGCCAACAGCAAAAACAACACGAGCGGCAAGTTGGAAGCCCAAATCATCCCCTGCTCTCCCCCAAAACAGATCACGGCTGTCCCTCCTGTTTCGAGCCGGCGGCGTGCGTCACCCACCGTTCACCCTCAACTTTCATCATCACAGTCCACGGACTATGGAGATCCGAACTTGGATGATGAAGATTTCGTTTTGTTGGGTATTTGATCGAAGATGAAACGTCTTGTTTTGATCGAAGAAGATGAAACGTCTTGTTTTCATTTGCTTGCTTGCATTGCATTTGCGTTTATATTTGGATGATACCCCTGCATTATGGTTTTCATTGTTAGAGAGTTTGGGTTTAGGTTTGGGGGATTAAGACAGAGTAATTGGAGTTTACTATAGCATTACATCGACGTTTGAGACTACTCTAGAAGGATTAGGTATCTGTTGAAATGGTTACGAGTATGGGTATGGCTTTACGTGACATGACTTTTAGGACTTACAGCATGGTTAAAGGGCATCATAGGTTATCAGTTCTGGCATTACAAATCAGAGGGTCACATTGGCATGCCGCTTTATGGGTATGACAAAGGCATAGACGATAGACATTACAGGGCTTATCCTCGTTGATTCTTCGTCCACTGTATATACCCTTTACCCTGGGGGGGTCTGACTAAATACCTGATAACGTAAAGCTGATCAACCTAATGGATATGGCCAGCATAAATTGCTGGTGCGGAATGTATGAGACAAGCGTGATTTTACTACCTTGACAAGCTATATGAGTTTCTGGCAAGCTTTTAATTCAATTTTATCTAACTTGACACTTGCAGCCCCGCTGTAACAGTGTGTGATTTAACGGAGCCCTGGTAGCGACTAAACGGCATATACCTTTTCTTGGTTGGAGAACGTTGACCGTTAAGTCTTACGCCAAGGTAAACGAACAAATACCGTTTTTACGGAGCTTGAAACGGAGATAACGGTAACTTTCGCCCCAGAACTGGCTGCTGCCTCTGCAACTTGCATCAACAGAGTACTGGAGCTGCAGACTGCTTAAACTGACTTGCTGGCCCCTACCCAAGTCACAACGAGGTTACTTCACCAGGCCCTCCGAAAGGCTGCATAGCTAGTTATGCCGGAGATATGGCTGCTGTTCGAGACCCAGGATGTACAGTCCTGTATCACAATGTTACCTGTAGGCTCTAGGACTTGATGTTGTGAAGAAAGTCGGGAAGGGGAATTGTGTGAATAGATGAAGTTGGAGACCTACCAAAGGGGTAGGTGGGTCTAGAGTCCCTGACTACCTACTAACGGCTGTGTGTATGCATGATTTTCGACCACTATCTACTCTTATCTAAGTACTCGGTCGTACCCAAGGCGACGGCGGGAAATAGGTTGCTAAAGTACATTACGCGGGAGAAAACCTTTTTATTCGGGGAAACCCCGTGCGTAGCTTCTACCCGCTGACCCCAAGCGGGAGAAGTCGGGGTTAAGCTGATTAAAGACCAGGGAAATGCGAAGTGGAGGGAGCCTATCCGAACCGACGATCTGCCGGGCCACAGCCAGTTTTTACCAGGCGCAACGCACCCCAACTGTGCCATCGCTTCAGATCCAAGAGTATTTGGGAAGGAGGGATGCCAAATTCAATGAAGCTATCTACGGAACCAATTTCACTTGGAGACTACAGTGAATCAAATCAGCAGACACGCGAAACTGTTGTAAAAAGCTACACCAGAGAATTTTGTCCTTCAATATTGAAAGGATAATGAAGATATAATGCGTTACTATGTTGTACCTCACACATACGATCTCCAATGGGTGGATTGAATATGAGTCGCGCCACTTAACACTGAGCATCAAGGCACCCTCCATTTCGGAACCGTTCGGGTCATTCTAACTTATAGGGATGCGTCTATGGAGAATCAGAGTACAAGAACTCTGCTGCCGGTGTGAAGCATACTAAGCTTATGACTCAGCCTGAATCTGGACCGTCATCATGTCAGGTTGGTTGGGCATACATCAGACCCTCTTCTGAACGGCCTCCTGGCTTGTTGTCCCCAAAGGCCTTTAGGGTCTGCAGCAAAAAAAGCAAATACTTGAAAGGCACTTATGGTTGATAAGCCTACGGGAGCCTTTCAATTTATCTGGCTACATTGGTTTCTGCGACTGTAGTCTGGCTCCTGACTGAGGTCTCTTTCCACTGAGTCTCATCACAGCGTTGGCCCTTCTCTGCATCTTTTTCTCCTTGTAAAAATTCCTTGCCATCTCTAAAATCCCTCTCGAATACTTCTCTGTTACGCCCCATTGTACTCTTACAAAAGCATCAAGGGTATCACTATGGTTGATCTTATTTGCGTCATCGGCATTGGCCGGCCAGCTCTTGAAGTATACCTTCACGTTTTATAACAACTGGAAGGATACTAAGACTGAGGCAGGAAGTTTCATCCTCGAAGTAGAGGCCCTCAGGACTGCGCTTCTACATGCCTGTTCTATTCTCTCGGACCCAAATTTTGTAAAAGCCATCGAAGATGATTCTTTAGCATTGCTTTCCAAGCTTGATCCCCCGCACGATATGGACACCGCTGTCCTCTTATCTGCCGTGAGGATGAGCTGCAGCGTTTGATCGCCAGGATGAAAAAGCGGCCAGATGGTTAAAGGTTTGGATAGGAGTATACGCAATGGAGCGAATCAATGGGTGTCACATAGACACGACAGTCCAAGAAGAAATATCCTTGACAGTCGATATATAGAACACCAGTGACACAAGAGCTGAGAAGGGCAAAAAAATATTTGATTGGTAGAGCCCGGAAAATATGAGGGGTTGGCAAGAATGAGTTAAATAACCTTGCCACGCTGAGGAGAACCCCTGAAGATCGCAGGAGACCGCGAGGTACTCGCAAAAGAGATTCTATAAGTGGGGCTACTTGGACACGATGAAGGATTTCTCTTGGGCTTTCCTCTCCCCAACACAAGGACACTGAGGACCAAGAAAGATTATTACACGTAGTAATTGACTTTGCTGTGCACTACACATCGTCAGTGGCCATCATCTAACCCATTTGACCCATTATCGATCCCTGTCTGCACTAGACCAAGTCACCCTTTACAATGGGCAACCGGCTGGATGCAAGGAGCTTGCCAACCATGCGCTATCCCGGATTATCTGCGGCAAACGTTCTCTCAAAACGACAGATGTTCAGTATGTATGCGCTGTCAAAGCCAGTGAGGATGAGCTTGATGAAACTGCGATTTTGATGCCGAAGACATACTTTCGGCACGTTGCAAGCTCGTTATCATCGACAAAGAAAGCATAGTTATTCGACTTTTCCGCTATACAATCAGGAATATTTCCAATATATTTTGACCCGATGGTGTCCGAATACCAATATGGTAAACGCCTGCGGATCATACCTTTCGTTCAAGGACTTTTCAGGTGGCCCTTTCAGGACGTATGAGGAGGTGTGTGAACGACTTAAGAACCTCTCTTCTCCTATTCTGTTGACTATTGGGGACATTATACACCTGCGTGTTCCTTCTGTACTCCTCAGCTGCTTTACTTGTTGACAAAATCGGAATGGGTTAGTGTGATGGTACAACTTTGTGACATTTTTCCCAGATCAGAAAGCGGTTTTGGTTTTATTCAGAAGATTTGTGGCCATCTCAGATTGCATTTCACATAGTTTGTGCCTGTGGGCTCAATGATCTAGCCAAGGAACTCCTTATGCGTGTCCGGGATATTGACCCAGATAAGACAAGGAAGGCCAAACGCCACTAAGTTGGGCTGCAGAATATGGATAAACAGAAGTTGTTACAACTCTGTTATTCGATGCTCGAGTTGATCAAGATCGACAAGAAAAAGACGGTCGAACGCTGCTGAGTCAGGCTGCAGAGTATGGTTATACGGATGTTGTTAAATCTTTGTTATCTGATGGCCAAGTCGATCCAAACCGAGCAAAATAATGAAATGAAGAACGCTGCTGAGTTACGCTACAGAATATGGCTATACCAATGTTGTCAGAGCTCTGTTACCTGAGAGCTGAGTTAGGTCAATGGGATAGTCAGGACTAATCTTGGACTAGTGTCATTCCTTCTGATATTGCTTGATTTGATAATTCATAAAAGCCTCATTTCTCATAGAGAGATAATTCTTCTTTTATCTTCCCTTCATAAATCTAGACTGTCCTCCTCCTTTTCAAGTTATGATATGTTCAGAGATAATATAATTTCTTAATTCTCTGTTTGAAGGGAAAATCTTATCGCAAACCTTGATAGTTTGAAGGATATTGTGTCATCTCCCTGAACAAAACTGGTTTGAACAAAATATAATTGGGGAGCAAGTTCTCGGTGAGCTAGACTGAGAACCCGATAAATACAATGCCAGGTGTGCCAATTCCGTGGCTCCCTGAGACGGGTTCGAAGATAGTGGCCAAGCTATGGAGTCTGAGAGACAGAAGTCCTTTTACAGAATGTTCAACACTGTCATCATCAGTTTGGGCAAGAAGCTGTCTGTATTGCTGACTAAGGAGTCATCATGGACATTCTCGAGCAGGTGGCTAGCTGCATCCTTATATACACGATGTTGATCATTCTTCCCTGGTGACTATCGCTGTCAAATTCAGATGTTAGCACTCAGATATATGGTGAAAGACGGTTAACACATTTATGTTCCTCGCCCCCAACGACCGGTCTCCAGGGTCAGGTTTACCTTTTCTTGTTTTACCGTGATTGTAGCAGCGAAACTTACTCGTTTCGGGTTCTCAGGGTGCCAAAGGAGTTGGATGTAAACTTGGCCATAACGGAAGGCAATTCGAGAACCTAGCCTAATCCCAGATCCAGCTAGAGTCAGTATTGCGCGGAGATCAGTCTGAGCTTTTGGGTTTGTTAGCCGCAAGTGACCACGGTGTGGTAACCGTTGACCTACCTCGGTCAGGCCGGGCTCCACTGAGGTCAGGTGCACACTTGACCTTATATGAGAGCCATGCTCATCCACCCTCACGCGTGTGTAGTTTAGAAGGTAGAGCGTTGTTATTCTGTGGCACCCGTTGTGCTTGACAGATTCCCTCAGGGCCGCATGTCCTGTAGGGCAACTCCCAAGTAAGTACTCCCGTCCACATTCACCATTTTCGTTTTTACAACCAACAGGGCTGCAAGAGATATCTTCCGCACGACTCCACACAGCGAATCCAAAAGCACAAGGAAATTCTCAGTTGTCACTCCACCGTTATCGTTGGTCAAGGTTAAACCAAGCATGAACTCCCGGGTTATCTGCAGGATAAGCTGCGGCTAAGCTGCAATCAGTGATTGAATGTCAAGTGTAAAAATAGGATAATTGCCTCTACACTTTATGTTAGTGATATAGGCCTCGGGCCGGTCCCTTCACATACCTGGCTCCCATCTTAAGCTCCATCTCTCCTGTTCTTCAGGGCACTTCCGTCTCATTTCGCGCAAGACTATATTGTCAGCCTCCAGTACGAGGTTTTCCAGACTTCAACTATATACTGAGTAATTCCATGTCACACGGACACGGCAGTCCAAGGAAAATGGGTATCCCTGACTGCCAAACATAAGGGACACCGGAGATAGAATGACTGTGAGCGGCACGAACCCGTGGCTGAATCCAGGAGATATCTGGCAGCCGCATGACCAAAAAGAATGAACCGGATGGCCGAGAAGAATCTATAAAGGAAGCTAGTCGGACACGATAGACTTCTTTTGGTTTTCCTCTCCTTAAAACAAGGACGCTGAGGACCAAGAGAGATTATTGCACGTATTAATTGACTTCGTTGTGCACCCCACATCGTCAATGGCCATCATCTAACCCGTCTTACCCATTGTCGATCTCTGCCTGCACTACACCAAGCCACCCGTTACATTCCAAGCGTCCGGACGGTTGTAACTTCTTGCGGCCCGAGCACTGAGCAGTCCTTACCAAAGTTCTGATGAGTATCTCAGAAAGGCTATCAAGACGGCCTTAAAATAGACCTTATCGCAGCAAAGATACACAGTTCAATCGTAACGGCATTGCATTGCCGTGCCTCTTACGACCTGATGTTTGCTTCGAGTACTTTCCGTTGATCTATTCCGTCTGACTCCGTTTGTAAACGGTATCGTTTAAAAGTGGGAGCAAAGGGATCCGTTTTTGGCCGCCTCCACTTATCCGTTCGGTCACATCCGTTCCAGAAACATAAGGATTAGTATCTCACCTCCCAAACTCGCAGTTCCGAATTACGATGGAAACCCTTTCTCTCCTGTGCCTCTCCTCGTCCACTAAGCCTTTTAAGTATGACCTGAACTTTTTATCCAGCCCTAAAACCTTCGTTGGGTTTGGGTAGGGCAGCAAACGGACAACACGGGATCATGACTGGACAGAAATGTCTGCTGCATCATTGCAAACCATGCCCACACGCCAGTCCATAGGCGGCTGCACAATGCTGCATGCTGCAGCGAGGGAAGCTTTGGAATCAGTTTTCCACAAATACAGCTAGGCTACAGTAGCAGCATAGAACGGCATACAAGGCGATCAAAACTCCAACAAGTCCTTACCTGGTAGCTGTTTTGACACAGCAGTAGGGGCTGTGCGCTACTGCGGCGTGAGTGGCCATTGCAAGGGTTGTGAGTGGTCTCGTTACTAGGCCAGGGCGTGCGTGCATTCACTGGAGCTGCATGTGTGGTGTGTGGTGTGGTTAAATTTGAAGCAAGCAGCCAATTTTTCGGGGCTCTGCTTGAAAAGGGAAGGGAAGGTTTCTTTGGACGCAATTCAATGTGGCGTCGGCTGAGCTGAGCTGGCGGTTTACTTGTCAACGACTAAAATCGAGTCAACCACACGGTACACAGGGGCAAAAGGATGCCTGATGGCAATTTGGCTTGATGAGCGTGCTGGAAGGGTCTCATTTTATCAGCGTCACAGGCACAGTCAGACAAGACGAAGACGGCCAGCGTTGCAGCACCCCCGCACTTGAACCTGACCCCATCGTTGGCCACGCCGCACCATGGCCCTTCTTGTCTGATCTGGCCTCTGCAGTCGGCTTCACTCATCGTACACTACTTCTAGGCAAGAAAAGTGGTGTCGTACACACATACATCCGGCCGGACAGACAAAGAAGTGTGGTGGTACAACACCACCTCCCCGAATCCCCATCCCCTCCGCACCGTTTCGTTTCGCTTTGCTGCGTCTCGTCTGCACAATTCGAGCTGTCCAGACCACCAGCCACAAGCCGCAGTTCACTGTGAGACTAGAGGACGGAGTAGGCTCGTGTCGCCTCCCGGTCCCAACGACATCTCTTCTTGACCTATATCTGCATATACGTGCCCGGAGACTACCACAGCACCATGACCCGACGATACCCCCCTCACTACGACTACGACTTTGAACCTCTGCCTCCTCCCCTCCTGCAACATTCGCATGACCCCGTCTGGGATGCACATACAATGCCCTACGCCATACCGCACCTCACAAGTAGTAGTAGCAGCATACCAGCGTACCACTCTGATCGCGAGTTTCGTCCGCGCAGCGGCGACCGATCATACGATGAGGAGGAGGACGCATACTTCTCCTCCGGTGCGGCAAGTACCCCGAGATTGAGTTCACGTCGTCCCCTTTCTCGCCCGGGTACAGCGTTGGGTTATACTAGCGAAATCGATCGCCACCACAGCTGCGACCGTAAGACGTTAGCGATATCGATGCGTAGGCCTGCTTCATCTGGGCCAGGAAGCCCGACTCTGACACGGGAAAGGACAAATCAGGGGAGAAGGCAGGTTGTGCATGGGGGGAGGAGACAAAGATGGGAGAGTTTGAGGGATGAGAAGAGGGAAAGAGGATGGGAAAAAGAGAGGGCAAAAAGACCGTCGATATCGAGCTTGGAGTCGTCAAGATCGAGGCCAGAGTCGCCATCTCCAGGTCGGAGGCATCGGGACCGTGAAAGGGAGGAGGTTATGAGTCCGCAACAGAGAGAAACCTTCAAACAGATGTTGTATCTTCCCGAGAGACACATCCCTCTTCCTCCTCTCCCTCCAACCCTAGACACGCTCGATCCCCTCCCCCCAACGTCAACAATTTATTTATCTCCACAAGTCGGGCCTCGCCTTCTCCCCGAACACCAAGGCTCTCGCATCCGCGCCCGCTCGTTATCCCTCTCCCGACCAGTCTTATCCCCCCGTCTAGCCAGCAGGGAAGTAGACAGCTACTCCGACCAATACTACGCCGATGCAGACGCCGACGAGGATTACCACGGTAGCACGACGACTGTCACTGGAGGGGGGTATTCAAGTCCTGATCCCGACAGGGATGATGATAGTGCTGGGAGGAGGTTACGTCGACGGTTGGTTGTTCGGCGCTGGGACTCGGCGCCCGCGCCGATAGGGGATCTGAGGTCCTTTGCGGAGAAGGTCAGACCACATCCGGTTTTGGTACCTGACCCGATGCTGCCGGCATTGGAATGGCACTCCGCAAGAAATAGGTCTAGGCCAGGTAGTGTAGCTGGTTTTGAGGGGCGGAGGGTGTTTGATGTAGATGTGGAGCCACCTAGGGAGGAAGACTTGAGGATGAGGTTGGGAGGAAATACCAGGAAAGATGTGGGGAGGGTGAATTCGACGGGGAGTTTGAGACGATTGATGGAGGAGAGAGAGGTGGGTATTTATGAGAAGGATAGGAGGGCTGGGAGAAGGATTAAGAGTCCTGCTAGTCGGAGGAATCGTGATTCGTAAGTCTCCAAGCTGCCCTGAAGGTTCAAAAGCTAGAGAGATGCTGACTGGCAAGAAAACGCCCCCGTCCCCAATACACTCAAGTCTATGCTCTCATCCTAACCTGGGAATTCCATGACCTCCGCACAGAAGACTACACCGCGCGCCCTCCGTCGGATTACGTCTCGCTCGAGGAGGAAACGAAGCGCCTGCGCGACACGCTCAAATCCTTCGGCTACACGGTGCACGAGTTTCTCATCCCCATGAGTAATCCCACACAGGCGGTGCAGGAGAAGCTGCGATGGTTTTGCTCGCTGGCGGCGGATGATACGCTGCTAATTGTGTATTATCATGGGCATGGCGCGCTGGATGATGACAATGAGTTGGTGTTTAGCAGTCATGATCATCCGGATAATTTGGAGTGGGCGAAGGCGGCGGCCGCAGAGTTGTATGCTGCATTGATGACGGGGAAGGGGTGTCAAAAGTGTGGGGAGGGGAGGTGGAGGGAGTTGATGAAGAAGTAGTGAGTGCCCCCTGAGACATATCTTGTGTCTTGGTCCTTTTGTCCTGTTCGTTTGCTTCTCTCATTGTGTCACGCATTCAGTATCCCTTCCTGTTTTCATTATCAGCCGCTCGTCCCCCCCCCCCACCCCCTTTACATCCTTCACTCTCATCACCTGGCTTTCAATCCTGCCTCACCCCATCTGGCCCCCTTTGGAAGTTTTTGAACTCTATACTGACCTTGATGTCCAGTGAACGCTACCAACCAGTCGCCTCCCTCTCCTGGCCCTCCCTCCGCGACATCATCCTGCATACCCCTGCTGACATCCTCCTCGTCCTCGACTGCTGCGCTGCCGGCGGCGCAAAGCTCTCTGACATCGATTGGCAGCCCCCGCCCGGCACAGAGCACTACACGAAGCACCTACTTGCCGCGTGCGGTTTTGAAAGCTCCACCAGTGATGATATGACTGCCGCGTTGTGCCAGGTTATGAGGCAGGCTCTCTCACCTCCTGGGCAAGAACCGGGACAGGGTGAAGGGAGGAGTGGTGAGAGGAGTATGATGGTGTCTGAACAATCTGGAAGATCAAAGTCCGTCTCTCGATCTAGTTCCCCATCCCACTCACACTTGCAACATCCTAGCTCAGTTAATGCGACCATCGGAACGACCGACGCCCTGTCCAGCGACCCTCCTGTTCCGCCGTCTCCTCCACAAACGAAACAACCCTACCACGGCATAACCACAAAACGCCTTCACCAACTCCTAGAAGACCGGCTACAAAAACAGTCTGTAGGATCACAGCCCATATTTAAGCAACTGTTTCCATTGGATCCAGAGCAGTATATCACGTTGCCTAATCTCAGTGGTGTTGATTATCAGAATCAGGCCAGTTACCAGAGAGCAGGAGGGGAAAAGAAGAGGGAGAGGAGGGGACGGAGGACGTTGAGGCCGAGTGTCTCTAGGGAGAGTCAGAGGGACAGGGAACGGGAGGAGGAGAGGGACAGATCAAGGAGTGTTATGGGGAGAACATCAGGGGTCGGGATTGGAATGGGAGTGGTGGATATTATGGTTGGGAGGGAGGCAGTTGAGGTAAGGCATTGATGATACCCTGCGTGGGATTGGATGGGAGATATCTTATTGGAATTTGGCTGCGTTTGGCTTTTCAAACTTGTTGTGTTTTGCATGATAATTGATCGATCAGATGAACAGGTGGTTCATGTTTCTTGGATATCCAGATGACGATGACGCTGATGATGGATGAATAATGACTTATTTTCATGGGGAGTGATCTCTATGGTTTTTCACTTTCAAAGTAACTGAAATTTACGTGGAAGTTGTGACAACTGAAGCATGACTCGTGTCTGGCTCTCAGGATCAGCAATGATATTGTCTATAGCTGGTCAGACTGAGCATGCCGTTCCAAACTATTTGTCTCTTACATGCCGCTATGTCGTCTTGTTCTAAAGAGGCTGACCAACTTTGAAAAAAAGGGTTTGAGGTTTAAAGACCCTTGAAAGGTCTTAAGCATGGTCCAGAGGGCATTATAATCTCAAAGAGAGCACCATTTCACCACACATACAGTGAAGTATCAGTTAATGCATTCACGCCGGTATCATGAACTACTCCGTGGCACGAACATACAAGTACCTTAAAGCAACATCTCTCCTCCCTAGGCAGTAAAACAAAAATCCAGTCTAGTTACCGAAAGGCGATCCCTATCTTGCAAGCAAGTAGCGAAGAAATGGAGCAAAGGCAACAACATAAGACCATCCATCTGTATGGTATTCTCCCGAATATCACGTAATATTGTATAGGTTTAGAAGTGACTAGGTAAGGAAACAATTATGAAGTCCAACTTAAGTTGAATGCATGCATGCAAAACATTGGAAGAAGGGGCTTGAGAGGGGCAGCGGGAATCATTATGCTGCATGCTGGTTGGACTCATTGCTTAGTTTGGACTTGTGCTTGCAGTGACCATAGAGTAGGCAAATCGGTCAGATGGACGGGAGATATAGCCCTAGAATCGGTTCAATGTCAACAGGGAGGCACAATTTCTAGCTCGGGGTGTCGATGATCCGATCCCCAAGTTGACGTTCTCTTGGCAGATAAGACAGCAGTGAGGAGACGAGAAAAGCCATCTTTTCTCGGCAATTCGGTTGAGCTAGGTTGAGTAATGTCTGTTCCAGTCGAGGAGTCGGTTGACTTCTCTTGTCCCTGACCAGGAAGGCTGCCCCTATTGAAGCCCGTCGACCTCGCGGCACCCCAAGTGAATTGTAGACTATTCTTTTCCCCTCCCCCCCCCCACAAACACATGCAAGCACGCAGCAAAGCAATGTGGTCAGCACCCCTGGCCATCCTATCTTATCCAAAATGGCTCGAGTAAATGATTCCATCTCTTCATCTCATCCATCTCAATCCCTTATCATGTGTCTTGCTCCTCACAAGCTACAAGCCTTGTCCCCTCATGCATACAGGACGAAAGTTTACTTCAACCCAAGTCAGAAAACAATGGCAAAGAAAATGAAGGCCACCTGAAAATAACCACGCCTGCATTCATGCTCATGAGTGTAACTGTTCTGTAGGATGAAATGTCAATGCAAATGTCAATGCAGTGTGCTGTATAACAAACACCAGACAAAACAAACAAGTATAAAGAAATCACAACAAGCCCTCCAGTTCAGTCCGAAACCTATACCTCCTGAACCAATGCCATGCCATGCGCCCATGCGCCGTCCTCTATCCCATCCCATTATACACCCCGTTATTCCCATCCGGCCAATCCTCCACCCATGCATCCATAAGTACGCCAGTATCAACCATGGGTATGTAGACGAGTAGGCAGGGTGAATATGTATACTGTCAAGACCGTCTAGCACAAGGCAGATGGCCTAAGGGTAAGGAATAAGGAGGAGGTATCATCACAACTCAAGTCAAGTGACATCAACCAGACATTACACCACCAAACCTCCCCCTCCTTCAAAATTCGTGCATGTTATGTCCACCGACGAGGCCAATCAAGTCGATAATGAGTTGCCTCATGCTCAAAGGCATTCGGGGAGTCAGCAAGCCGAAGCAAATCCGAGCCAAGTAGGCAAGCAACTTAAAACTCTGCCCATACAATACGAATATTCGGGGCAATAGGATATCCACGTCCCTAGGCTCTCGTTCTTCAACCCGTCCAGTTTTCGAGCTCTTGGTGTCGGTTGTATAGTCTCCATTGCAGAAGAGACTCATAAAAACAAGCCAACCCAATTCCCCTTCGGCCCAACGTCGCTCGTACAATCCGGCACAGCGCAGCATATAATGTCTCTCCCATTCCGATCCTTTTGCTTGCGGAAGCCGACCGGCCGAGGAACTGCACTTGAGCTGGAACCTGCAGCGCCTTCTTTAATCTCCTTGCCCGCATTGCGGCGGTTGTCAAAACACTCGCGGCAGTAGACCTGTCGACATTGTCAGCCTAGTCCTTTCCCACCAAACCCATGTAGAAAGTGAGGGAACCCACATGACCACATTCCTTGATCGCCCAAAAATAATGCTCCTCCCTGTCCTTCCTCGTCCTGACTCTCTTCGCCGCTGGAGGCCCTCCACTGTCCTTCGCATCAGGATCATACTTCAGCTCCTCCTCACAGCTCGGACAAACAATCATCTGCTCCTTGAACATCTCCTCATCACCCGTATCTCGTGTAAACCCCGCTCTAGCCTTCGGTGGCGCAACCCAGTTATTCTTGTTATTGTTCCCTGCATTGCTGCTATTGTTACCGGCAGCAGCGTAGTTAAACACAGGAGGGTTCCCCGCCAGGGGGTTATTCATCCCCCCAACGGCCGCAGCGACGGGGTTGATGAGCTGGATGTCCACGTTTTGTGGTTGACGGCCCCACACCCCACCGAGACGATGAATGAGATCAAATGTCCGCGCCATCCGGCTCATGGTCCTATACAGTGGGTCCTGGATGGCGTGGTCATTTTCGGCTTCGTTCGCGAGGTCGATGAAGTCGCGGGGGTGGGGGAGGTTGAGCATGTGACTGTTGTTGTTCTGTTGTCTGTTGCTATCACTGTTGTGATTGTGTGGGGGGGGATTGCGAGGTAGCGGGCGCGGAGGGGGAGGAGGTTGACGGTCGTTTTCGTCGTCGGACAGAGTCAAGTCGATCACGGGGGGATTGGCGTTGTTGTTGTTATTCTCTGGAGGCGCGGCGCGACCGACCCATCGACGGGCTCTCTGCGCGGGGCGATTCGGGCGGGCAGGGGGTGAATCAGGCTCCCCAGTCAAATCAATAACGATGGGCTCGCTCCGACCACTCCTGTTTCTGCCATCGCCATTACCGCGCAGGTCAATCTCTATCTCGATAAGCTCGTCATCAATGACGCGAACGTTGTGCCGGGCCCCTCCACTTTGTGTCCGATTATTTTGCTGAGGACGAGTCTCAGGCTCTCTCCTCCAACGAGCTTGCTCGGCAGGCCGCGAGCGTGCGCGCTCCGGCTCGGCCATCACCTCTCTAGTGCGGGCCAGCTCCTCGCGAAACTCGGGCAGCAGCTCGTCGAGCGAGGGAAGTGCTTCGCCTTCGGCGTGGTGGTCGCTTTGATCGACGAAGAGGGAGTCGTCAGAGCCGTCGGAGAATAAACTGGCGTGGTCGTCTTCTTCGGCGTGCGATTCTTCGTCAGAACCTTCCTCCTCTTGTGAGAATTCCTCCTCTTCTTCTGAGTTCTCGGCTTCTTCTGAAAGTCCCTCGCCCTGTGAGAGATCTGTGTCTTCCGTAAGCTCCTCCTCGTGCCACTGCAGAGGAACCTGTATTCTGCGGACCTCCCACTCAGGTTCAAACTCCTCCTCTTCGTCCTCGCCGTAATTTTCTTGCTCGCTCTGTGAGTCGTCCTCTTCTTCCTGCTCGGCGATTGCCTGTTCGAGTGTGGCAAAGTCGGCGTCGTCGAGCTCGTCTTCGAAGTAATCGATGTCAGGGTCGAAGGGGTCCATGACTTGCGTGCAGGAATTGAAAGAAGGAAACTTGCTTTCAGGCAGAAGATTCGACTTCAGTGGGCACGTGGCAGTCTGCCTTTAGCGCAACTCCTGGTCGCGGATAGTAGACTCGAAAAAACCGTGAAAGGCGCCTCAAAAGGTTCGAAAGAACGATGGGAAGCGACTTCAATGCAGACAGCCTTTATCGCGTGCTCTCTGCTGCTATCATAATGCAGAAAGCGAGAGCGTAAAATCGAGGCGCGGAAGGAATCGAGAGTAAGGGTAGTGACGTGTGCAATGCAAGAAGGAAAATGATGTTTAATTTCCTGCGCAGCTCTGGTTGAAGGCTTCGGTCGTCGGCGGATGCGTTGCCGCCTTCCTGCACAGGATGCGGACTGAATGGACGGTGGTGGGACGGTGGAGCGACTGTGATCGCACGGTGCCAGGCTTCACCTGCAGCCGCAGCGCAGTGCCGGCAGTTTTACAAGACGGCTGTTGGCAGGTGGCGACAGGTGGTGCCGGAAAGGGAAACATCAAAATACTCCTTCAATCAACCTCCTTCACGGTCCGAACTCAACCTCATTGTTTATGCTCGAATGGTTGCATGTTCTGGACGATTACTAGCACAACTTCCCATGTTATCTGTGATCCTGCTAATGTGGAAACAAAGGGAACTGATCAATGGCAAAGTGAATCAAGTGGATTCGCGGCCCTCTAGGCCAGACGAGTTGTCTACCAAAGGGCATAGGAGTGAAACCTTTTTGCAGCGACCCACGATGCTGTAGCTCAGTCACGTAGCGTTGGAAATTCAACTCGACGTCCGAATTCCCAATTAGATCCTAGACTTTTATCATGAGTTCAGCTGATTTACAAGCAATATGTAATCAACTGGCTAGAAACATCTATCTTTCAAGAACGTTTCATGCGATTTGTACCACTAAGGATAGAATCCTCAGTCATGTTTATCCTATCAAGATCCCGACTGTTAGATTGCATTACCAAGACGAAAAATCTACAGGAACTAGAGATTCTGGGAGCCTGCAAACTCAAGTTGAAACCGAGTCACTATAGCCTAGTTGGCTTTTCATTCCTCCCAAAACATCTAATTGACACTGTTATCAACTCAAGAATCCACGCACCCTTTTTTCCGGCGGCAAGTCTTGGTGTGACATGAGAAACCGTTCACTCAGTATTCCTGGTATTGGAAGACAGTTACAGGGCAAGAGTCCCAAGTCCGAAGCAAATGGGCACTGTCATGAACTCTATCTATAAGCTTTCCAACCACAACGTCTGGAATGGAAGAACTACAGGACCCAGGAACCTTCACCCGGCTTCTGGATTATCAGCTCTTTAGAAGCATAGCGAAAGTCACAGGAACCGAGGTTAGAGGAGTACGGGAACTTTCTACCCAGTAACACTGGTGCTTGGAGAAACAACCATTCCACTTGAATTTCTTGATTAATTACTGCCGGGGTTGCTAATCTCCAAGCAAACACCACACTGCTAGCGGAAGCCAGTCTGAGATCTTAACCTCATTAGGTATCCGTAAATTTTGCGCCGTCCCAAGCAAATTTAATCTGTTTGGCAATCAAGTACCAGATATGATACACCTGAATCTCAACTTCTCCAGAATATCATGTCTTCCTTCAGAAAAGAAAACCTCTGAAATTATCCTCTTCTCCCGATCCTGTTCCTTAGCCACATTCTCATTTCACTCCTCCTTCTTCCCCAGAACACTAACAACTCCCTCACGACTAACCACAACCAGTCTTTTCGCCTCACCCCCCCACTTAACCCCAACAACGGGCATCCCCAACCTGACCGGCTCCGACCAGCTCTTCGTCGCTTTAGTATACATCTGCACTGTGACACCGGTACCTCCGCCGGTTGCAAGATACTGCCCGGTATAATCCCAGCTAATGCTCAGAACTTCACCAGTCTGCAGCTCCTTGACGGCAGCCGCTGCGCCCGACTTGCGCAGGTCGAAGATGGTGACGCTGGAGGTGCCCTTGCCGGTGGCGGCGAACCAGAAGCCATTTTCGGAGAAGGCGAGGGCTTGAATGGGCGTACCGAGGGGAAAGGACTCGGCTTGTTCGAGGGTAGTGGTGTGGAAGACGAGGATGTGGCCGGTTTGCGTACCAGCGGCGAAAAGGTTTCCGTCGGGGTGGAAGGCGCAGGTTGTTAGGGCTGGTGGCAACGTTAGCATAAGAGTCTAAAAGTGGGAAATAAGGGGGTAACATACCGGCATCAGCATATCCCCTAGCAACTCTCTCCCCAGTCTCGAGGTCATAAAACACAAAGCTCTTATCCACACCCACAGACGCAAGGATCCTCCCGCCAGGATGCACAGCCAGCCCAGTCACTGGGCCAGCATGGGTCTGGAATGTGGCCGACTCCCGACCCGCATCATAAACCTTGACCCAGCCCTTGGCCGTGCCAATGACCACCTTGGTACCAGTCCACTCGGTCGCGGTAACCGGCTCGCCAATGTCGAGCGTGCGCTCCACCTTATTAGCCACAACAGAGTAGATATCCAACTTGCCATCCAGCCCGCCAACCGCGGCACACTCGTTCTCGAGATCGAGCGACGACGCCTGCGTGACATTGAGGTCGGTGTAAGCCACCTGCTGCAAGGCAGCCACATCATCGGCGGTGGCCCAGCCCTGGGGAATGGGGCGCTTCTTGCGGGTTTTCATTAACCTGTCGAGTCAGCACCATCCTTCCAAGAACAGGTGTGAGAGAAACATACTGCTGCTGCACCTCATTAACATGCTCAACCAGCCCCTCGGACAAACTCTCACTATCAACCGCCATTGCCTCTCCATTCTGCGCCGCTGGTGCAGCCCCCGTCACCGTCAGCCTAGCCAACGCCTCCCTCGCTTCATCTCTCTCCCGTGTCAACCTAGCAATCACCCTAACCGCGGCATCATGCTGGTACAGCGCGGTGGCCAGCTCCTCGCGCACGCGCGCCAGCTGCTCGCGTGTGGTGTATGTCTCGAGAACGAGGGCGTCCCACTCGTCCTGGAAGGCTTTAAGCAGGGACGGAATGGAGGTGAAGTTGGGGGGGCGCGGGCGCACGACGCGGGAGGTTTTAATGGGGAGAAGGTCGGTCTCCGGGTCGAGTTCTTCGGTTGTACCAGGTTCGATATTGTTATGCTCTTCTAGATACTTCAGGATGAGGCGCTTTTCGAAGAGGACGCCTAGCGGTCAATCGGTCAGCTTGGGGTTCTCTTCGTGATGGTTGGAAGGAGACAAACCGGTCTTCTTGGACACGACGGGCTCCTCAGGGATCTCGCCCGATACTGAATGGCCAATTAGCAGCTGGTTTATTGGAGTCACGCAAATCGAGCACTTACGTGCACACAGCATTTTCACCGTTGGCGATGGAATTGAGGTTGGTGTGGTCTCGAGTCCAGCAGTTTTCGGTTGCTGCTGGCTTCACGTTGCAGCTTGTCGCTGTCGCGTCTCGCACGAGCCAGGCTGCTGCAGCAACGCCAATCAGAACAGGTCTTGGCGAGTTATCTTATAATCTATCTTATCGATAAGGTTAAGTATTGGGCTATAATGAAAGTTGTTGACTTGCTCATGTTCATCAATCACCAAGCTTTGTGCAGATTCTTTTTGCCACAATATTCCTGAAAAGTGATATTGCATTCACTAAAAACAGTTCAAATTTTCTAGTTTTTCACGTCATTAGCTGACTGCCAAACCTTCCGAACTACTTCCCTCCTTTGCCTTCTTCCATTCACTTTCCGACCTTTCAAAGTATAACTCTCCCGCTCATAACAACCTCCGCCTTCCCTCCAAGCCAAACCTCTTTCACCTCCCCAGCTTGCACATCCACATCAACCACAACTTCACTCCTTCTCCCCATTTCAACTCCTTGCACCACCTCCAGCCTGAACTCCCCTTCCTTGACTTCCGATAAACCCAAGTATCCCGCCAAAGTACACGCCGCGCTCCCGGTAGCAGGGTCCTCGAACCCGAGCTCAACCATGCGAGATCGGACTTTATAGACTTTTTTGTTTCTCTGGCAGGTCAGTTCGTCAAGCAGGACGTAATAGTACCGAGCGACGAAACCAGTGCCCCATTCCCCTTCATCCAGCAAGCTACCCCCTCCGAAGGTAATGCGATTCCCTCCTTCCTCTGCAACACGAGCGAGATGCTCCAGGCTAGGTAGCCTCACCAACAGAAATGTCAACCCCCTCACCACACTAACTGCCGGCGCTTGGAGCTCTGCTTCCCGAGTCTCCTGGTCGTGAGAGAGGACGGACTCGATCTCCTGCACTGTAGGGCCCCCATTACCACTTCGATTTTGTTTCTGTGTGAGCAGAGAGCCAATAGTGTGATTGTGGATGTGATAAGCATGCGGGATACCCGCCCTAATAACCCCCCCCCTCAACTTCCTGAATCGGGATCTCTCCTGCTTTGATAACCAGTTTCTGGACATTCTTCCAACCAAGATACTTCCTGATGAGCCAAGCAGCTCCAATAGTAGGATGCCCTGCAAACGGCAGCTCTTCTTCAACGGTGAAGATGTCCGCTCTTAATGCCATCACACTGTCCGGAAGAGTTGTGTGGGGAGTGGCGGAGTTACACCCGGAGGGTAGGTACAGGAAGAGCGTTTCGGAGAGGTTGAATTCGCGGGCAAGGAGTTGTTTGGTCTGCTGGGGGAGAGAGGAGCCTGAGGGAAGGAGGGTTATAGCGAGAGGGTTGCCGGTGAAGCGGGTGTTGGTAAGACATCGACTGTGAGGAAGTCTAGTTCTAGGGAGGACATCTTGAGTGAGAGAGTGGGGGATGAGGGAAAAGAGATTTGGGTCGAGGAATTGAGAAGGTAGGTAGATAGCGCATGGGGTAAGGAAAGTAAAGTGTGTTGGGAGCTTCGAGTTGATGCTTCAAGTTGGACGGTCTCTGTCTCACAAAGACTGAGTCATTATCGAAGTTATCAAGCGGGGTCTGTATGCCAAGCACAGGTGTCAGTGAAGGGCGTCGTAACTGCAGGTCAGTTGCAGTCTGGTCACCAAGTCACTACACCTGAGATAAAACCATCTCATTGTGAGCAAGTTATTGCCCTTATTACTCGGACCAAAGGCGCCAATGACAGCAAAGAGCAGCATGGTCAAAGTCACACCAGCCGCTTTAGCATTAAAGCGATTGCCTTCCATGTGCAGTCACGGTACAGCTTATCATACTCTCTTTTGAGTACCAAAAGCCAATGATAATATATACCAGAGAAAGACGTAATGTCATTGTGCTCTGCGATAAGAGCTACATGCCAAGCTTATCTCAAATTAGCACTATTATTGGGCTTAGCATGACACGATAAGATCCCTCTTATTTCTTCTAAGCTCAGCTGAGAAGCAACATGCCAACCTGTCTTGCTTGACATGAACCATCAACATTTTAGATCAATTCCTTCGGCGACAGTAAATGGGAGCGGGCTCAGTGGTAGACTTAACGGGGGTAGCACTAGTTGTACTCGGCGTGCTGGACGTGGCTGTGGCCGTCGTCATCGTGGTTTGCGGGTAATAATGGCCGATGCAGTTTCCGTGCAGACAGGCTCTGCGAACCAGGTGTTGCTGGATCTTCACTGGTGTATATTCAGGGCGCAGCGTGTAACTACTTCCGCCGCTGCTGCTGCCGCCACCGCCCATATTATCCCCCTCCTCATAGATACCCCTGAAACCAGACGCGAAGCGGCCTTCTCCCTCCCACCTGAAGAGCTCGAGGCCGCCGGTTTTCAGGACGACAACGAACCATGCAGCAAACTTGAGATTGAACTCGCTCAGTGGGTATTTGGTTGTTGGGAGATAGGACACCTCCCAAACACCGTTTGTGGGGTGGCATGCGAAAGGCTTGTCTAAATACCCAATCGACCCGTTGTACCCCTCACTGGGAATGATGTCACGAAGCCACTTGAGAGAGCAGTTGGCTGACGATGGGCCCCAGCCGATTCTCCGGTCGCCATAGAACCAGCCTAGGGTGAGGTTGTTCGGGTCCCGGATGGTAAGCTCAATGTTACTGAACGGATAGGTTCCGGGACGGCCTGAAGGACTCCATGTTTTCAAGTAGGTGACTTCCCACGGAAGGAGGTCCGGCAGAGGAGGTGGGTTGTAGTCTTCGTCCGCTGCGACTGAGAGAGCGAAAGTGATGAAGGTGAAGAGAAGTTTTAAAAGCATTACGGTTGAAGTCAGTGGATTGAACGTGTGTCACAGTGTGGATAAGAGAAGACTCGGATTTACTGAAGAACAACCGCTGAAGCCTAACTCTCACCGTCCATAACCCATTTTATATCCTCAACCTCATCATGAAACTTCACAACCTGCCGGTAGATAGCCCCACGAGCGGTGCGGCCCGCACACCACATATGCATATATACGAGCCGGGCCGCAACCTTGTTGCAGCCTTGGCAGGGCGAACACGGGCTCAATCATGCCAGCCTTGCCAGGTACGGCTAATGAAGGATCTAGTTTCTGATTTGGTCATCGATGACCTCGACAGTGATGATTGACATCGGTAACTGTTATGGCTGATAGGCTGCAGCCTTATGAGCAGGTCGTTCGATGCTGAGATCAGCGTATGCAGCGCAAGTGATAATTCGTGCGATATCTGATGTCATCAATGATGGGGATAGTGATAGTATACCTGCAGTGGTCTCGCACTCGGACTCGGGCGGACAAAGGAAGCGCTGATGCCGATGATGCTGACAATGAATCAACTTGAATAATATTCACTTGGGCTTTCCACAATATGACAAAGGGTTAACTCCTACACTATTGTTCTTAATATGGAGTCGAGCAAAGGGACAAAGAGTCAGACCATTGAACAATCTGGGTTACATGCTACCCTCAACATATATGGACAAAACTTACATAAAACATTGAACACTTACACCAAGTGCTGTAACTAACCTCAGCACAGCAGCCTGACATTGGACATTTAGGTTTGTATAGATATTCTATAACGAAAGATATACAATATCACTATCTCACGATCATGCGGCCAATTTTTTTTGCTGTTCACCGGTGGCGCCAAAAGTGGATGGTAGAATACGAGGAGCGTTGCGCTCCTAAAAGCAAAACATGATGCATTAACTGGAAGCATACACCAAACTTTCGTTACACCCACTCTCGGTGGCATCATTTACATAGCATGAACACAAGCCTAATGTAAAAGTAGACAAGACATGTATTGTCCTCTATCCATAGCCGTAGTGGAGATCGAGCTTGTGTGGCCGCGCTGCACTCAGAAGGCTAGAGCATCACTCCCTCTAATTTCATCAACAGCAGTCCGCCGCCATGTTTTTCCATCTCTTTCATGTGTAACAGTCATCCCGTCCACCCCATGCTATAGCAACAAGGAGACTCTCTACCACTGTTCCAGCCCAGGCAACAACTTGGACAAAGAAGGCCGTTCAAAAGCTAAATCTCGTCCCTACCCTGTCGAAGAGGGTGTCTGCCCCCATTACCAAGCTCATCACATTTCCTCAGGTACATACTGGGCAGGCTCTCAAGCTACAACAATTCTTCAATACCCGGACCATTGGAACACCCCTTACATCGCCCTCAAGATCTTTGCCGCCGAATCCAGGATTGTTGCCAACAGGAAGGGGGTATTACCAAAGATCAGTTGAAGCATCGAAAGAGCCGGAACATGAGGTGAAGGCACACGACCTCTTTCATAGCAGCCCTCACTAACCCAGATGGCAGCAGCAGTGAGTATAAATGCCTGGGTTTTGCCCCCCATGCGACATGACTTGGTTCGGTACACGACTACCCGAGATATGGCGACCAAAGCCTAATAAGGGCCGTAGGTTCGAGGCTGGTTGAGCCTGTGAGATAGGTGCATGAAACATGCCATGTTTTGCACGGCGGTCGGTTTAGTTTTCCCTTCAAGTGCCTCATGGTGCAAGCCTACTCACTCTCTGCTCTTGACATCCAGACATCAGACACGAAGATATTCTCATCCCTCTTGAATCGCTCGTCTTATTGTCGAACCTCTCTCAGAGAATCCAAAAGCTCAAGAAACCCCTTTCAACCGGGCTCCCATGCCCAATTTCAACAGACAGCGAGGTAGTCTACCGCTCCACAGATGACTTCGGGCTGCTGCAAAGTTTCGAGTTCGTCAGCAAGATCCAGTTGGCAGACTTTGACTCCCCCATCTACATTCACTTGGATCGGAACGACAACCCAAACCTAGTTGCTTAGACTGAAAGAGGACGTGTATCGTCCAGCGAGGGTACTGTTAAGGTGCGGATGGAGGGAACCAGGAGAGGTGTGGAATTTGGGGTTGGTAATAAGTCCTTCCTTTCTCTTGGACAAGGGACTGTGTGTGTCAGAATGAGCGGCATCCTAATCAGTTGGGAACAACTTTGAATGATGGCCACCGGCCACGATCTCTTCTCCCTCTTTCTTATCACGAACGAGATAAGGGGGCTCAACGACGTGCACCGCCATCTGGCAAGGATGGTCTCGCTGATGGGGCTGCGCCAGAGGACTTGTTGCAATGGGAGTGTCGGATGCGGAACTCTGCCCCGCCAGTGGTTGATACAGTGTCCTCGAGCACACGTGGGGAGGGCGCACCACGCTGGGGGAGTACTTTGGGAGGCTGCTTTCTGATAATGATGGTAGGTATTCATCAGCCGCGCCCCATGATGTGTGTACAAGACTAGGCGACTAACGTGATGCTTCACTGAACCAAACAAGAGAGTTTATCCGCAAGGAATGCTCCGATTTGATTTCAATCTAGAGGATTGCATGCCACATGTGCAGGAGAAGGACGAGTTCTTGGACTCAATGCGCTCGATACTCAAGCAGCGGCCGTAAGAACGGCTGACGGCGGCAGAGTTGTTGGTACATCCTTGGTTTGAACCGGTTGAGGTGGAGGAAAGGGTGACTAACGTTTGAGAGGGGGTTTTAGAAAGTTTGGATGGTGTCAGTGCCGCTGTCAGTGCTCTGCGTGCTGAAATTTGGAGCATTCCAAAGAGTCTAAAGTCGAGTGTGCATGAGAAGCATCTATCTTGTTCGGTCAGTTATATTTGATAAAACCGAGCATTTCATCACTTTTCTTTATGGCGATTTCTCCCCTGACGGAGCATGAGGACTGTTACATTCTTTTTCAAGTGCCTGCTGCACGGACTGGATGGCTATGAGCTTGCACCTGCCACAAGCAAACCATCATGTGTCCCAATCATGTTCAATCATGATTGCTCCTAAATAGTGCTAAGCTGGTAAAGGCTCCGACGTTCACGTTGGGTGGTAGAGCCAGATGGGGTTTTTCATCATCACAGCTATGTCCGCGTATTTCTTGTCTGTTTCTATGAACTCTTGATCGGGATCGTGATTCTCTGATATGTTGTTTTCGGCCATATTTGGCTGTCAAAATATAACAATCGTTTTCAACAATATAAGATGCGAGGTTGAATCTAGAATTGTCTGAGATGGTTTTTATGCAAACTGAAGCGCTAAGCAGCGGGAAACCATATGATGGAGGATATGAAATTATGGATTTTATTCTTATGTCTTATGGATCTCGCTCAAGCCTTGACAGAACAAAGCATTCATGATCAGTTGGTTCATAGCTTTTGCTCATGTTCCCGACAATGCTTTGTCCATCCGCTTTGTCCTCGACATATTGGCGCCATCTGTTGGTATTAGGCAGCTCACACATAGAACCAACTGCATTCCTGGTGAATTAGCAGCCATTATGCTTGATGGCATGGTCATGATACTGCCTGAAATATCCCCAGTCACAGCAAAGCTCAAAAGCTACCGGTCAAGGATTATGGGCTACTCCAGGCATATAATGAGACTGAATCAACCAAAAATATCTAACATTCTTCATATCCAAATCACCACTTTCTCAGTTCCCAATACGCCGAGAGGACTCGAACGACAAACCCATTCCCCTCAAGCATAAATATAACACAACTCCCCACCCAATCCCCCAAGCTGATCATTCAAATCCATCAACTTCACCGGGGGCGCTGTCCATCCTAGATCAATGACATCCTCCCACACGCTGCTGCTGCCGCTGCCCTGTCTCTTCCCATGAATGTGTCCACTACCGTCACCCGGACCCCAGGTGTCGGGCTCTCCCGGGACGGCATTGACACGGTTCTCCGGGTCCTGCATCTGCCAGATCCACCAGACCCGGTCGAGCATGCCGTGGTGGAAGTAGAAGAGGGGATCGCCAGGGGAGCAGTAGAAGTCCTTGACGGATAACGGTTAGTTGGTGAGAATGAAAGGGGAAAGGGAAAAAACTTACACCGCCTGGATCGCCGCCGATGAGGTAGTGTCCTGCGCTGTGCAACTATTGACTTCATGTCAACCTTCTCTACCTCAACAACACCGCAAATCCTTATGTTGACAACCAAGTGACTTACCCCCCAAGGATACGGATCCCCCCTCAAAAACGGCTGGCCCAAATAGCGATTATAAAAGCTGTCCACATCCGGGTGATCCATGATGAGGCTGTACGTGTAGTTGGCCCTGGCGCCGGCAACAGAGTTCTTATTGACGTCTCGCCGCAAGCAGCGTGGGTTGTACCCGAGCCCGTCAGCGCGCGGGTTGCGCGGGAGGTTTGGCAGAACACCGCCACGGGGGCCGAGGTTGACGACCATGCTGGGAGATGATGTTAGTATGTGATATAGATGTCATGCTACTCCCAAGCGGGAGTACGTACTCCTTAAACGGCCCCGTCGTGACACAGCCGCCTCCATCTCCCGGAGGAATCATATTATATGGTCTCGGAAACCCTTGTGGGACTCCTGGATACGGTTCAGGCAGTCCGTTCCCCGACATACTCGATGGACTGCCATCAAACAGAGGCGAGTTGAGCGGATCATCTGCATATCGCTCATAGTTCATGTACTGTTATCGTTATCCCTGGTCAGTCAACCCTAACCTCTCCCCTCAGCATCTCGTTATGTGTAGATACTCACAGGCTGATACCCCGTATACCCACACTCCTCCCTCAATGCCTTCTCATAAGCCCAAATAAAATACCTATGCGCGGCAAACAACTTCCTCGGACTATGTAAGTCAAACGCCTGCGTAATATGCGTCGCAACGAAGTCATCAAATCGACTCCTCGCCCCGGGAACCTGATCCTTGGGAGCCTTGGAGGGCAAGGATTGCAGACACAAAACCGCGCGTATGTATTCCTCTCGCTCGGGGACAGAGAGGTCGCTCCATTCGCGGCGGATGGCAGCCTTCTCGAGGGTGCAGCCGTTGGTAGCGTTTTTGAGGGACATCCATGATTCGACTTTGGGCATGGTGTTGACTAGGAGTTGGTCGACTATGTCCAGCTGGTAGGCGGGGTTTCGGGAACTGAGAGGGAATTAGTGTGAGTGTCTGGGGATGAATGGGAAAAAAGGGGGGCTTACGGGTTGAAGTCCCATCTTTTAGTTGGAGGGGTTGGGCTCGCGGAGATGCCTCCTAGGAGGAAAAGGGAGAGCGTTGTAAATGTGTTTAGGGGGCGCATCTTGACTTGTAGGGAGCAGTACCGTCCTGGCTCCTAGGAAAAAACAATCCCTCTCGAAATAAAACTCGAACCAAGTCAAGAACCTGCTTAAATATAATAGATCATGTCCTCAAGGCTCCACATGGCACGCATTCTCATCACTGATCTCGGCTTTCAGACCCAAAGCAGTACCAAGAAGAGTTCACAAGCCAGTTTAGTCGCACAAACTTCCCCGGATTTTGCAAACAAGCATAAACTCTTCAGTCCAGATTGCCGTGTCCGCTCCCGAACTCCCAGTCCTCTATCACATTATATTAACCGCCATAGCTCTTGCCCAATAGATAGCCTAACTTCATCTACGCTCCCTCGCTTGTCTTGGCCTAGCACTTCTAGATCAAGGTCAGCATCCCCCTCTTAGCCAGTCTAATCTGGATCAAAAAAAAACTTTCAATCACATCCTCACACGCAGCCAATAATCATGCTCAAAATTCCATATTCCCAAGAAGCGTTTGCGTACTTCCTTCTAGTTGAAATGGATGAAGCCGATGGATAATTACCCTCTACCGTGAGACAGCCAATCAGCAGCCACACTCGAACGGATGAAGTCTCTGGTTGCCGGCATATATCTGGCATATGTGAGTATTATAGCACGCTTGAGTCGGTAGATGGGTTCCGACTGCCGAGCCGGTGCCGTTGGATCGGAAAACAACAGTCTGGGGATATTTGTCACCCTTCTCGTAAATCTGGATGAGATGAGACCATCCGATATAAGCCTAAGATTTAAGTCATACTGAAGGACAAGACAAACATTAGCAACAGCCAGAAGGGGAGAAAGTCACTTCTAAGGTTGGATTGGGAAAGTATCCCATGACCTCATATAAACCAGCAGAAGTAGGAGAGGTGAAATACTCTAAGCGGTGCTTGATAAAGGTGAATGGAGAAGTTCGAGATAAGGCACAAATATCCCTTTCCCTTGTACAAAACAACCATTTCATTCGCACTGCTTAAGTACAACCATTCGCTTGCTGTATGCAACTTCGCTGCACGTTTGTTTGTAGCATCCCATTCATGAATGCAAGACATTATCCCTCCCTCCCTGCCGCTCTTAATTGCAGTTATTGACTCCACCCTCCTTTTAACAATAGGGAAAAAAGGAAAACAAATCTTAACAGAAGAACCTGATCCCAGCAAAGGAATGCAAGGAAATTTCATTACGGAGTGTACGTACGTACTTTAGCTCCTCCTGCTCCTCCTCTCAGCGCGCTAACAACCCTTCTCCTTTTCATTAAACAGCAACAATGGTATCAACAGCAAAAGAAACAAGTCACAAAACCCCTTCACTAAACTCAATCCATCAAATGAAAGAATGAAACCAACAAACAATCATTACCCCCAAACCCCTCAGCAGCCCCTCATCACTTTCCCCCGTCCCAACCTAAAGGAACAACAACCCCGCAATACCCACCACAACCGCAAATGCGCTCGCTCCAAGCCCACTCCTAACCCCCCTCACACCCGCGTTCTCACCTGCATCACTTCCACCCGTGCAATCCTGTGAAAAGCTGCTACCATCACAGAATGAGCTCCGGCCGGTACCCGTGCCGCTGCCACTGCTACCATCACTGCCGGACGAGCTGCCAGGGACGGGGTTGCCAATACCAACGCCGCCTCCGGGGATAGCAAAAACAGATGACTCGGCCGCGGAAGCCGAGCCAGACTTGGACGCCTTCGCCGGGTCGCCTTTCGTGGGGTCAAGACCAGTAGCAAGAAGGGACTTGATGACAGTGGATTTGTTGCCGTCAACGACGGTATCGTTTGTGGCACGGTAGTCGGTGTAGTAGTAGCTGATGCCCTTGTTGGTGCCCGGAGGAGAGTCCGTCCTGTAGCACTTGACCTCGACCTCAGCAAAGGTGGCGAAGTAGTAGCCGTAGTTCTTGATCTCGTCGGATTCCCAGTCAATCTTGCCACCAGCCCAGTTAATGGTACCCTCGGCGTTTGTCTCGAGACCGCCGGGCCAGATAGAGATTTGCACGCGAGCTGGGGTCTGCGGGAAGTCCCATTGGTTGGCGGTCGCGTTCCATGTTTCAGAGCGTTTCTTCACGCGGCCAACCTTGCCATCAACGAGCCAGCGGATTTCGTCGGGGGTCCATTGGATTTCATAGTCATGGAAGTCTTCGTAGCTGTTGGACGAGATAGAGATGTTGCCCGTGTTGGTGTCTGCAAGTGTCAGTAGCTGCATCAGCACGAAAATTGGCATGGAGGACCTACAGTTCGGAATGCCCTGGAAGTAGTAATTCGTTTGGACAGTCCCGAGATCGACGCCAACCCATTCAAAGTCAATCTCGTCTTTGACATCGCTGTACAGGATGAACGCCGTGACAACGCCCCTGCCGCGAGATGTCTTCAACCGGGCACGCACAGAACCATACCACATGTACGTCGTGGTGGCTAGCACCGTGCCGACCGACTTGGGAGGCATAGTCAGCAGGGTGTTGCCCTGGTAAATGAGCGGTTCACCCTGGCCGACCCAGTCGGCGGTCTTGGGGTCGCCCAGATACTCGCTAATATCCTTGTAGCGGTCCAGCGAGTCCATCTTGTACACCTTGTCCTTGCAAACTGGCGCCGGGAGGCAAGAGTCTAGGCTGTATGACATGCGCGGGTCGCACCCGCCAAGGCAGTACGCACCGACGCCACATTGACCGTATTCTACAGCTGTCAGCATCTCCGTCCTTCATCATTCCTGGAAAGAGAGAAGTTCCGGGGGCCTACGAGAGCAGCATGGCATCTCCTTGGGACACTTCTTGTCGAGCGAGCACGACGGCGGGTCGACGGCCAACACGGACGCGGCGCCCAGCAGGGCTGCGCCCAGAACAGACGTCCTCACCATCTTTGTCGAGCTAGATTGTTCTGAGAGAGTTGCTGAAGATCAAGCACCTTTACGTTTGTGAGTTCAACTTATAAACGTGACCAGCTCTGGAATGTAGGGTTGAGCTGGAATTTGCTAACGAGTGAGTCGGGATGATCTTAGTGATCGGACACGCGCAACAGTCGTGATGTGATGGCTATTATGCAGTAGGTAAACGATGGGTAGGAGGATATGAGGTGAGGTGAGCGAGATGCGCTGTCGATCTTGTCGCGGTCCCAACTCGGCACGAAGTGGTTGTTAAACGTAGGATTATAGAGTTAGGATTAGGGGGATTAAGTGTCGTGTATTGTGTCGTAGGGCCTTTTTTTCCCTTTCTCCTTTGTTCAAAGCGAATGTCTGAATCAGAACGAACGAACGGACAGGCGACCGACTGGTCCCTTTGGTAGGTTGAGGTGAGCGAGAGTAAGGTAAAAAGGTGAGAAAACGAAGGGCTCCAGACGTCACACGCAATGGTGGGATCAGTCTTGGACGGTGGGATGAAGAGAGGAGAAAAACGACGGATGCTCTCTGCTTCTCTGCTTGCTCTCCCTGGCCGGGGTACTATCTCCCACTGCCCAAACGGGGTATCGACTGAGAAGCAACTCCATTATCTGTCTATTGAAGCTCTAATGCGCTCTCCGCCCCGATTTCTGCAGAAGGCATAGGAGCCAGCAGGGAAACGCTCCTGCACTGTGCAGGCACCGCATGCGAGCCCTGCCAGATCAGGCCTAGTGCAGCTGCATGGCGTGTCCACAAGCTCCGCTGTGGGCCCAGCGAGCGGAAGAAATGCAGCAGAATGCGCTTTCTCCAGAAGATCCATCTTGCTCCATCCTGCTCCACACGGCCATCTGAGGTGTGGAGCCCCTCGTGTTCTTGCTGGGTGAAAGTCACGAGCCGGGGAGCGTTCCCTGCTGTGCAATAAGATTTTGGAAACAAAAAAGGTGGAGCCTTCTCATGCACAAAACGGGGAACAGAAAGCGCTAAAATTGGGCCCTTGCAGAACAGGGATGCAAAGAATGCGCCGCCGTTACTCCCGTCCCACCTCACCAGAAAGCGAAGCCAAGATTCGGGTCACCGCGCCGATGTGGCTTTAGGATTGTCAGACATTGAAGCACAGCAGGTAGTGTAGCCTTCTGACCTTCTACCCTCAGACCGTGTCTCTGAATGAACTACATTTCAGACCGTGTCTCTGAATGAACTACATTTGGCATTTCGTGCTTCATGTAACGGCAGGTAGATATAAGTTTTTCCACCCTTCTTCTGATCCCTTAAGTCCTGGCGGAACTTTACAACACTGCCTCACTCCTGGCGATGTGCGATCCCTCATTAAGTGAATGCAACGGCGCCAAGCCACCCCCCAGAGGATCTCTACAGTGCAATCTCCATCCCCCATATGGGATAGCACCGCGACTGTTTGCTCTTCACATCGCGCAAACCCTGTCCTTGGCTGCAACGCCTTGTACTGGATCATTGCATTTTGTTGATGGCTGAGAACGTTTGATCAAACCAACAAGAATTTGGTAAGCAGTGCGCTGCCAACTTGGATCACTACAAGCAGAAGGTAGCCCGTAAGCAAGGCTGCTGTTTCTGCTGACTTTCATTGGGTCGCATGACTGTGTCCATCTCACGCCGCTTACTGTTTGCGATCACCTTGTGCTTTGCTTCTCAAGAGCCACATCACGTCAGTTCGTGTTTTTGAGTCGCTCCACGATCCTCTCTTATCCGCAACCCACAAGCCGAACCTTCCTCTATCAAGTCAGTCAGCAACATTCAGAGTTCAATTGCTACCCGGCTGATGGCAACCTGGAAGATGGAAAGAAAACCAGATTCCAGTACAGCGGCGCAGCTTTTCTCTCAATCAACACCACCCCACACATCGCACACCGCTTTTGAGGCAGAGTCATTCGCCCCTTTAAAAAGAAATCCAATCTTCATACGTGGATATCCTCGCCTTCATATTAATATCCCTCCCGAGCCATCCGAACACCAAACAAGCTCTGCATCTCAAGCCCCCGTTGTCCGTTGATCACTGCCCAGCCGTACCACCTCTCCGGACCGAGTCTCAAATCAATGGGTATCGACTTACATGGATTCGGCTCGATTGGGGTCTGGTCGACCGTCGATGTGCACTCCGCAAAGCTTTGCAGAATTCTGCACAAAGTAGTCTTCTGCGCATCCTTCTTTACCCCTCAGGTCTCGTGTTCTTGGAAAGGTAGAGTTGTAGGGATACCTATAGTAACTTGATTCAACAAGTTGGGCCAAACAGAGCCCATCTTTCTGTAGTTCAGTCAGTTAAGTTGTATATGTATATCATTCATCCTGAAGTTCACTTCTAAGTACTCATAAAGACAATTCCTCAAAGTTGAAGCCAGGGCGGGTCAGGGCTACACTCAAACACAGCTATTGATGGTATCAAAATTATGCTAAACCTAACCATTCACTTTTACGCCCAATAGATCTGTAGCATCGATGCTGGGAGTCAGCAAGATGAGTTAACTACAGTTTGTAGTCCTCAATTTATCACTACATGATGTCGTCAAGCTTGAGAGCATTCCTCATTCTAGGTTGGCTTTAGCCAACAATCTCCCACAGAATAGACAGATTATGAACATAACACAACTTCAGATCACAGCTCGTTGGCATTGATCGACGGCGGGAGCAAACTCACCAACAATAGGACATTTGACTCTGAGAAGTCTACAACCGAACCTGGAGTTGGCTTGAGCTATTACAAACGTGAGTATAAAACGGGCTGGCGTCAGGGTCATCACCCTTCATCTCCCATATCTCTCCACCCAATGCAGATAGACAAAGAGCTCACTTCAGCACAACCCCGAGCTGAACGGGTAGCAACTCTCACAGCACATCAACACGAGGGCCATAAGGGAGATAAGCTGACACGACAGCACAAAATCAATTGCTCCTCCATCCCACGACCATCCTAGCCTAGCCTAGCCTGCATACCATGAAATGTATGAAGTAGGTCCATTGTTAAGTACGTGCCTTCCAACCGAGTTAATATACTTTCTTGCCCAGTAGTAGTCCATCCTCCTCCCATCCTGAGTCCTGCAAGCCAGTCAGCAGCTCAAGCTGTTGCAGGCCAGCAAGTGCAAATGCTCCTTTCTCCTGTCTTACCCATCTCCATGGCCCATCACGACAACGACATGCTTGCCCACTGCAACTAAGCCAACCAAACGACGAACGGTCAGTCCATTCATCCACCAAATCAAGAAGACAAACTGACGATACCGCCATCCAGCCAACCACGCAGCCGCAGCTCGGTCAGCGCGGTTACTCTTCCCTTGTTTCCCCAACTAAACCCATTAACAGACAGGTAGGCAGGAGGTAGTTAGGGGGAAGTAGCCCGCGGCCAACCATGCTTCGCCACTCAGCAAGACAATTATGTCCCCTGAGCAAACAAGCAAGCAAGCAGTCGAAATGTCCCATCTTAACCAGACTAGGCCACTCATTCACGCAAAGAACGAAGCAGTCAGGCCTCGGAGAATGAAATAGCATCGTCCGTTCCACAAACAGACGACGTAGGCCACCGAAGCAACCCAACCAACCAGTCCCTATCCCAGCCAGCAGGTTATCCTTCCCAGCAACCAACCATCCTCCACAAACCAACCAACGAAACCACTTTAAATCAACAATTTGAAAAAAAGGGGGACCAGATACCAACCGAAATACAAGACAGTTCAGTTGCAAAGTGGAAATCCTGCGGAAAACTGAAAAAGATTTAGGAGGGTAACAAAAGACCCTACCAAAAATCAGACGAAAACCAACGAGATCAACTCAACGAACAAAACTCAACGACTCGCGAATTCCGAAGTTTGCGTTAGGCAGGGTTAGAAATTCACCAATAGTACCTTGAAACAAATCACCAGCGAAGTAGAAGACGAGAAAGAGGCCAATGAAATATAAGACTGTCGTTAGTTCGCTCGTCCGGTCGGTCGCTGTCTATTCGTTTGAAGTCTGAACGTCCAAAGGAGCGAGAGGTAGCTTGCAATCCGTGCCGAAACGAAGGCGGTATACCTCGAAGGTCGATCGGACTGGAAACTCGTCCTTACAATCGGCGTCCTTGTTGTCCTTGAGTCGACGTCGAACGGAACGTGCGATGGAATAACCCCTAGAAAAGACCAACAAGACCTCGACTACCTAGAAGCGCCGGAAAGCCGTGCTGTCATGGGTAGGACCGTTCAGCCGAACACCGTCTCCAAACCGACTGTAACGACGACGGTGCCAACTACCTACCACCTTTAGGAGGGAACAGTTCTACGAATGTCAGTAATTAGCCTCCTATACTTAAAGGATCAGGGTGCCTACCAGGAAACTGTTCCTTGGCATACTGCTCGCAAGCCTTGGCGGGCTTGCCAATCTTTTGGCCAATGACCTTCCACTTGTTGTTCTCGTACTCCTTGATGGCGTTGAGCAGCGCAGTGCGCTCGTCCTCGGCGAACTCGGCGTAGTGCATGTCCTTGTACCAGTGTTTCTTGACGCTACCTTCGGTACGCGTAGGAAAGCTTTTGGCGATCTCGGCCCAACTCTGGCCGGCGTCACGCATCTGCTTAAGTTTGAGCTCCTCGGCTGGCGTCCAAGGCGTGTTGGTGCGCGTCTTCTTGGGCGGCGGTGGGGCAGTCGCTGGATCCGGCTTTTCCTGAGCGGGCTGGGCCTGCGCGGTAGCAGGCTGGGTGCCAGCCGGGGCGCCAACGGGCTGCTGCTGCGCAGCTGGCTGCTGAACCGCCTGCGGAGCGGGCTGGAACTGGTGCTGGATGTGCTGGTTCTGCTGGACCTGCTGCTGTTGTTGGGGTTGCGGCTGCACCTGGGGCTGCCCCTTCTGCGGAACACCCGACTGAGCAATCTGGGGAGACACGGTCGGCGCCTGCTGACCGGGCTGCTGAGGCTGCTGTGGGGCCTGTTGTTGGTGCTGACCCGGCGCGGGGCCCTGCATGTGCTGAGCGGGGTGCTGACCCGGGTGCTGCTGAGCATGATGAGCAACGTGCTGGCCGGGATGCGGAGCACCATGCTGAGCTACGTGAGCGGCCTGCGGATGCTGGGCATGCGGCGGTGGGTGCTGCGGCGCATGCTGCGCAGGATGGGCCGGAGGATGCGAGCCAGGAGCGGGGCGCTTCCGCCTGCCGGTCGTGGCGGGAGCCGGGGCCGGAGCCGGCTGCTGGGTCGGAGCAGATTGCTGCTGCTGGGCACGAGCCATAGTCTGCTGGACCTGCGGCACAGCATGGTGCTGGGGATGCGCCTGCTGTTGCGGCTGACCCTGCTGCTGTTGTTGCTGAGCTGGTTGCTGTTGTTGTTGCTGCTGGGCCGGCTGTTGGGGATGTGGCTGGGCAGCTTGCTGCGGCTGTTGATACCGGTAGTCGACGGCCGGCTGATCGCGGCGCGTCATGTCCGGCTGCTGAGCAGGCGCAGCATAAGGAGACTGACTGTACCAGGCGGTATGGTTAGCGAACAGACTCGCATGTGAAGACTGCTCTTGCTGCTGTTGTTGCTGCTGTTGGGCCTGCTGCTGAAACACCTGTTGCAACGGCTGACGCTGCAGCGAACTCATCGACGCCGTCTGGGGCGGTCGCCATGACTGAACGTCGTTTGCCGTGCGCTGCCTCTTCATAACACGCGATAGCGATGGACAAAGCACGCCTCAACCACCTGGCCAGCACCAGGAGGCACGACAGCGACGCAGCTGCAATCCAAAACGGGCTCGGGGGTTAGGAGAAAATAGGAGTCTCGGGGATATGGGGATATGAGAACAGCTTGATAGCAATAGACGTATATCCGTGAACCACTGTGATGGGGCTATTGCCGCGGCCGATGCACGAGGTACTCGGGTTCCATGTTAGAACGAAGGTTCCCGAGTCCCGGGGAGTACACTGGGTACATGAAACGGCGTGGACGGGAGAATGGGGGGGTTGGGGGAAGATGGAGGGGCACGGCTGATGGCTGACGGACGGCGTGATTGCAGCGGTACAGCAGCGCAGGCAGGCAGCAGATACGAAAAGGTACAAGCGCTGGATGTACTCACTGGATCTCATTCGAATGATTTGTGGCGGAGTTGGAGTACAGATACTCCGGCACGGGCGAAATCGTCCACTGGTGCATGTTCTGATATATTGTCAGCAGGCTGAACCGGATTTGAACAGCTTCATATTGATAGAGACTAAAGCTTTGTGATGCGATGCAAGTTTGTAGATGAACGCGCTGTATTTACCACGCACTCGTTTTTCTCACTCGTTGTCGCGGCCATGTACCGCATTCACAATTGATGCGGGTGGGTAACATGTCGGCCTTGACCAAAACCAGCCAGGACCAGGTAAAACCAGATAACAGCAGGATTACCAGGTCGTGGTCGTGTCTCGTGTCAGCAGCAACCACGCGTCGAGCAGCCCTAGGCGACGCCGCGTTGTTTGAATACATCGTACCTCGACCTGGCCTCGAGCGGCGAATAGAGCTTGAGTCAAGCCAAAGCCAGAGAGTATCGTCTCCAGCGACTGCGTGCGCGCGACTTGCTTTGCATAGCAGACAGGGAAAAAAAGAGAGAACTGAAAAAAAAAAAAAAACTTACGATGGCCAGTCAGCTCAATGGTAGACGTGCATATATGCAGCGCACAACGAGTTGACGATCTGCGATGACAGTGAGCACGAGGTACTTGACAGTGACAAGATACCAGCGACGGCGTGGTAGCGACAATGGCAGCGACCAAGCCTCAGGTAGGGTAGTCTGGGTGAGGACGAGCCTCGAAGTGACTTGGTGACTTGGGTCTTTGGTGCGAGTGACTTTGGTGACTCGGATCTGGATGCGCGGGCAACAAAGAGAGAAGCTGAAATTGATAAAGGGTACTGTACCTTGAACCTGCTGACTCGTCTGTTAATGTTGCACGTCAGTTGCTCTACCCTCGGACGACTGGAACAAGGACGTAAAGAGGAGGGCTGGTACAGAGTCAGACGAGAGCACAAGGTAGCTGGGACTTGCTCAAGACCTGGGAGTGGGAGTGCTGGCACTGGGGACCGGGACTAGGGGTGGAGAGAAAGGAAATTCTGTGACCTCAGACCTCAGAGCGCGCACAACCTTCGAAGGACGACGCGGGCCTTGGGGTGGACCGGGTTTTTTGAGCAGCCAGGGGACGGAAAGCGGGGTCTGGGTCTGATGTGTGTGCCACGACCAGGTCCTCCACGGACTTGGAAGGAACCACTCACTGAAGTCAAGCTGGGTCAACCGGGCCTGCGACTGGGTCCCTATGCAAGAGCCTCAAGCCTCGATGTTCTGTGCCTCGTCGGCTGTGTCCTAGTGCTGACTGGAATCACGGAAAGTGAGAAAAGCAGAGAATAAAAAGAGGATTCTGCGACACCGAGGGCACAGTTTGGGTGACCAGCCAGGGTCAACGAGCGCGCTCAAGCCACAGGAAAACTGAGTGGGAAGGCGTCAAATTCGTGCTCTTTCCAGTTCCCTCGAGCCGTTGACAGCCTGCCAAGCCCCACTCGGGATGTAATATACGCGCACTGATTGGACAGAACGCGTCCCGCAAGCTTGTGTCGACGAACGTTTGTTTGCCGGCCGTGGCCGCCGCCACCGTTCTTGCTGACACAGTAGCTTGTTGCTTGTTGCGTGTTGCGCCTCGTCCATTTCGTCTCTTCTGCTCCCCTTTTGGGAACATGTGGGCTACTGTTGGCTCGGCAAGCGCAGATCAAAAAACCTTTCTGCAGATGCCTTTTTTTTTACTTTAACGCTATCTTCAACAATCAGACGAAAGCGAAGTGTCTCCGATCCAGTCCCATTCATAAGCGCCAAAACTTGCGCCAAACTTGCAAAAAGCAAAATGTGGGAAGCAAACCGTGACCTGCAATTTCACGGAGCCTTGGCACACGTTCTCTCCAATGGCTGCCCGCGCCGAGAGGCTTACACAGCCGCTGCGTATCTCACGTGTAGTCGCGCAGAACGAGCCGTTGGGGACTACGATGCTTGGCGAGCAACTTGCATTGTCTCTGCTAAGAGAGTCGACCGACAAAAATAATCAATGTTGATCGCACAAAGAGGTTACCAAGATGCTACTTCGTCAGAAGGTCACTGTCCATACTCTTCCAAGCTCTCCATGCCTTCTTTGTTGTGGGTAAAATTCTTGGCATTGGTGGGTTATCTCAGTGGAAATTTCATGGGGCCTGCACGTGCCACCGTACTCCGTACAACATGACGGCTCGCACGGTAGGCTGAGGAGGATCTGGAAGACTCAAGAACGATACTTCTCGAAAAAAAATAAATAAACTACAGAACACGCCTAGTATGTTTTCGTCTTTGCTTAGTTGTCAATATGAGGTGGTGTCAGGAATTGTCCGTCGTTCAGCAGACGTTGCTGCGAATATTAAAAGCCAGCCGCCAGAACAGTTGGGCTTGGTATCCGCTGACCCCACATTGCCCTCTCCTACCCCTCACCATCTTCCAACACCATCAAGCGCTGGAACCGCTGTTTCTTGGTACGAACTTAAGATCATTCCTCTTATCCAAAAGAGACTCGGATAAATATTGTCATGTGTTCTACTAGTTCTCGGACCCAAATGTCCTAGAGGCCGAAGTATTTGAGCCAACATCTTCTGAATGTCTTCTCAACCGTAGTCGCAGATCTTCTCGGCCTCCTCCAGACTCAAGGACCAAGCTTGATATCTCCCTTCTCATGTACAGTACCTTGATTGGCCCGTTGGTACCCGGACGTGTCATAGGCCTGTGTAGCCCGATCAGTGGCAAACGTAAATCAACAAAATGGTACCTGATTTGACAAGGGCTTTGTACCTCTTCGGCGGCATGCATGAGAGCCCCTCTTTTACTACTTTGGAGTCGTAAGAAGCTGACCAGTTATACACTTGCTTGGGAAGTTCAAGACTGTAGTTGCCTTGGTTGATGAAAGAGGTGGTAGTGGCGATGTCAGGGATGGTTGGCTTGGATATCCACTGGCTCTATCGGACGGGAGAGGAGTTACATATCACCAACTTTCTACTCCAGGATGGGCGCTCGACCAAAGCAAGCGATCCTTTCCGGGCGTCCGAGCCGGTCCTTTCGGCTTCACACAAGAAGCTTCTGATAAACGATGCCTATTCAACTACTCTGCTCGGCCTGGTCCGGCTCGGCACCCAGCCGCATATTTGCTTGGCGGGTCGCGGCACGGCACGGCACGGCACTTTGGCAGCTACGTACCTCTCAGCGATTCTGCTCGGAGGACTCAACCAATCTCGGCCCAAGTCCGGAAGCGGGACGGGGAGAGCCGTGCTACTCGGCGGGACTTAAGAAGTTCACTCCAACTGCCATACCGGCGATAGCCCGTTACTGGGCTCGGCACCGCTAAGAGCACACCGGATATTCGGGTTCCCAAAGGACGAACCGTTCGGTGATACATGACCGTAACAGTAGTTTACATGCCTAAGCCTCAATGTCGTGCTGTTGACATAGCTTCAGTTTCTCAAGACAGAAACGTTGATTATAAATGGCGGGATCTCGTTGTGTATTCTGGACAGAGAGAGCTGCCAAGAAGGCAGTTCCTGGACTGCATCCCATCGCTCGCACACTCAACGTTAGTCAGCTGCGAAAGCCGTTCACACTTCAAGTGTCATGGCCACTTCGTCACTGACCGGCAGTTTTCTGGTTCTGAACTTCAAGGCTTAGCAATGCTCTTGGCCTTATGTCTGTGGTGAGTGATGTACTAAAGTCATATATGATGTCTATTAAATCTCTTTGATACACATGTGGACATTTTCTGACTGTAGCCATTATGAACTTGCTAATCCAAGAGTTATGAGGGACTCTTCGTCCAGCTGATGCACAGCAACTCCCACCCAGTAGCCAACGTACATTTGTCTGATTCACTCTTCGACACTTCGAGAACTCTTTTGATCTTACCATGATTATCCAGCAAACCTTTGATTATATATCGGGATGTGGGCGACGATTCATTCTCCTACCAGATCTCAGACCAGGAAGGCGATGATCTACTCAAAATGTATGTCAGGACCTGATTCAGGAAAAGATCTTGGTCCCGGATAGAGTTCCGATGACGCATGGACAAGGATTGGGAGGGTATTCATGCTTTTTCGAGAACAACGGCCAACTACATCCAGAAAAAACCAATGGTACACTCGAAGCTCATGGGTCTGATACAGAGATTGATCAATGATAAGTCGTGACAATGATAGCGAGCTGGCTTGTGTAACCCCGGAACTTGTCAAGTTGACATTTGTCCCACTGGCTGACTGACACATCCGTCGTCCATCCAAAGTATACGAACCGCAACTTGAATGACTCTCACGGGAATAGGGCAAGGTAAGGAAGGTACGCTGACTCGCCCCTTTTTGAGGCTGTCAACTCGAACTAATTATTACAGGGGCCGGATAGGGTCCGGGATCATCCTGCCCGTATGCAGGTGGGCGAAACAGGAAGGATTGGAAAGGGAGGAGGGGAGTAAATATCTGAAGTTGTGGTGTTGAGTCAAGACTGAATTTATTGAGACGAGATGATGGAGGGAGGGTGCTTAGGTGGTGGGATGGTGGGCTGTTAAACAGACTAGATTGACAAGCTGCGATGGAGTGAAGGGGCTTCTTTTGAGTTATCCGGCCCATTATCTTGCTATTTTCTTTTACCGATCAGTCGAACAACACTCCTGCAGTAGGCAGTCAGGACGTTGCTTGCGTAAAGCTGTTTCCTAACAGCTAACTCAACTTAGATTGGCGTCGTTGAGTGACAATCCGTGAGTTGTCATCATGCGTCTTAACTTGGCATTCACTCAGCAAAAACATACAAAATCCCCTTCTCTCCAATCCAGTCCCTATCCCATGATGATTACCTCCAGTGAGTCTCACCTCGCAGATCATCATCCACCCATACAACGATCTAAATCATGCTCTCTGTTACCCCATCACCTCATCAATGCAAGGCCACATCCTCGCAACGGAATACCTACCGACAGTGAGGGATCGACATGTCAAAGCGCTTAGGGCAGGTGGATTAGATCAGATGATGGCTGGTTTAGGGCAAAGGATATGATGTGGGTGGGATCTGATGCTGATGGGGATGGAAGTTCAGAAAGTTTTCATGTGTGATGTAGAAACTCTTGAGCAAGTTTTTCATGGAGAAGTACATTTGTTGCAGGTGAACAGAGATATGTACATGAAGGAGGGTTTCGATTACACATTGCTGCCGCACTGGAAACTATGGCTGTGTCCTTTTGGGGGGGAGGGGGGGAAGGGGGATCTGTTGTTAGATCACGATGGTAGTACGTATCTTGCTTGATATCATCGCTGGTTCCTGAATTGTCTTCCAAGTTGTCTGGTGATGAAGCTGGACAGAGAAGATTCACCAACCGCTAACCGCCATCTTCAGTAACCACTTAGAGGAGAACAGTGCTTCCTTCTCAGCGGCAAGTAACAACCAATGTTCCCTGCAAATTCCCGCTGCTTCATTCGCTGTTTGGCTAAGCATTCTCTCCTCAGCTCAGCTGATTCTGTGGCTTGCATGCCCTAATGAATCAAGTTCGGTTATCTTTCCGCTAAGGTCCCTAGGGTATGGGCTTGAGTGGAGAAAACCTAAGGGGCTGTTCCTGGAAATCACAGCACACATCACTCAGTGGCACATCTTCAAACACATAAGCTGCATAAGATTGAGCTGTCTCGCGAACAAACAGCTGGAATGTGTTAACATAAAGGCCTTGAAGCGGAAAGGTTCTAGAACCGTGGCTTTGTGAAGCCTGGGGGATCTATAACTGTCAGGCTGGCAAGAGCGCAAGCGCCAACTCCTGCGTGCTCTGATGCAGAGCTGGCTTTGAAAAGTGCCTTGAATCCGTACACTCTCGACATCTCACAGCTGCCATCAGCAACTCGATCTCAATCAACACTCAGTATCGGTGAAGCGGGGGCGGGGTCAAAAGCCACAAAGCCAAGCCAAGGGCACCGGTCAGATCGGATGCAGGACGCGGGGGAAGGCCAAGGCCAAGGCTCTGGCCAAAGCCAAGACAAGTCCAAGAACAAGCTTGATCGAACCCTGCCAGGTCTGACACACGGGTGAGGTCGCGCCAACAGTTTAGCGAGTTTGAGGAGAGGCTCCAAAGGCACGCTGCATGGGCGGTTGGGGGCTGGCGAGGGGCGGGCAATCGATCGGAAGTTGAGGATCCAGTTTTGGGTTTTGATGACGTTGTGATGCGCTGTTGTTGAAAGTAACCTTTGTAGGTGGGTTTTGGTGGTGATGGTAGGATGTAAGATGGCTGCATGTGTAGCTGGGGTGGTTAATTTCGAGAATCCTTTGATCATTGACCGATGGCCATCAAAAAGTCTCACAAGCCGCTGGCCGTCCAAGCGACCTATTCTGTGATCAACTTGGAGGTCCAGCCAGACCACTCGCAGACTCACCTCGGCGAGCAATCTGTCGAGGCAAAACTCGCTTTCGAGCTGTGGCCATGAGAAACAAATCCATGTTTCAACTTTCCCATCCCAAACCAAACAAGCAGTGGGGTGCTTGGACGTGCATAGTCGTTACTGGACCCACTCACTGCTGGCAACCGGCAGCAATCATATGTGCCGGGACTCGGCAGCCCCTTCCAAGAGCCTCACCTGTGGGGTGTGGACTCTTGAAAAGGTCTGGCCAATGATATACAGTTATTGGCTGTAAGAGAGCCAGTCAGATGCGCTGCTCGCTGTGGCGGACAGGGGCCAGGGCAGTTCTGTGACAGCCCCACTTACGCAACAAGCTTGGCCCACAACATGGACGTTCACTTCACACAGGCCTCTTTTCTCTCTTTTCCACAACATTGCTGTTCTGGGAAGCAGAACTCGATACCTGTACGCGACTCATGCTAGGCGACCGTCCGTGCATCATTTATGTCTGTCAGTTTGATGGGATTGACGTGCTTGGTAAGGCGTACCTTGTGATGATGATGTTGATGCGCTTTTTTTGATGCCTTCCCAGTCCTTTACCTTGGGTTGAATAACCTAGCTAAGATTTTCAATCGATCATATTACCGCCAGCTACTTGCTAGATCCTCAAGTTGAGATGTGTGCAGCCCAGGTCCAATCAGCGTGTTTCACTGTTTTGATCCCTCGCGAGTCAGGACTCGGCAACTCGTCCAGTCACTGTACGATCGCATCCACAGCGGAAAGAGTGACAAGATTGCCCTGAGGAGCAGCTTACAAAGGAATAGAGCGACCCTCGCCAACGATGGACCCAGGTCTAGTGTTAGCCACCTGCAGGCGGCGCGATGGGGTCGTGAGCCCCGACATCAGATCTCAGATCGGAAGCGCCTGGAACCGGGAAAAAAAACTGACGACGGGAGCCGCGGCCAATGCGCACGTCCGTTTCGAGTCGTCCAAATGTGTTGTTCTGGCGACCCCTGACGCATCCGGCTTGTACCTGCGTATGGCGATCGTCTGGTCTTTGGACTTTGCTCGTGCTCTATTGCTTCTGAGATGGCAACAATAACAATAGCAACAACATAAGCTAATGGTGCGATGTGTTTGTGTTTACTCAGGATTGATCGCGTCCTGTTGTCTCATCATGCAAGTTTGGCGGCTGTTGAAGCTCGAGGCCAGATAGCTGGCCTCTGTGAGAGCATGCCCTGGACCCTAGATGTCACCCGTTCTCCAAAGTGGTCACCCGGCCTCGCAACCCCAGACGTCCCCACACAGTCAGGTCTGTAACAGGCCTCTGAAGCTTGTGTTTGGCCCCCCCTGTCCGCCCTGCGAGACTGCATGGGACTGGCTGGGACTGGATGAGGCTCACACGGGCATCATGCGTCAATACCTTGCATTATTATTTTCTTCCCCTCCCCTCCCCCTCTCCAACTCTTCCTTTTGCTCTTTTCTTCCTCTACTATTACCGTTGTTTTCCCAGCTAGGCCCTACCCACTGCATCTCTCTTCCTCTCTTCATCACTGCGCTGTCGCGTGTGTGTCCCTTTCGTTTCTTTCCTATCTCCCTTCTCGCAGCTAACATTGTCGCTCTTTCGTCCTGCCCAACTAGATTGGCTGCCTGCGCTCTTTTGTCAAGGGAGAGTTGTTGTTCGCTTCGTCAGAGGGGTATAATCTGGTTTATTATACTCGTCTTGTTCGCTTGGTCGACATTTGCACACTGCTTTGCTTTTGACCTAGTTTTGCTGGGTTGTTTTGCTCTTTCGACTATTTCTTTTTAAAAGTCACTGAGTGCCAACCCAACAAAACCTTCTCTTTGCAGCAGCTAGTTCTACTCTTCTTAACTATATATCTCTTTGAAGGTCAACCGCCTGGACGGTTGAAGATCAGGATAGTCGCTGGGCCAGCTCATCACGATGTCGCCCACCATGCACATGACAGCGCCTGCGATGCCGTATGCGCCCACGTCTGACGCCCTCAGCCGTCACGAATACGGCGTCACGAAGCCGAGGAAGACGACGACTGGCGGAGGAAGGGCCTGGAGCGAGGATGAGGTATGTCTTTCTGAAAGTGTTAAGCGCGAACTTGGCTGACTCCCTTAGGAACTCTATCTCCTCCAAACACGCATGCAGAAAATGCCATACAAACATATCGCCGCCCACCTAAAGAAAACCGAGCTCGCTTGTCGTCTCCACTACCACCAACTCAGCCACGGGAGCTCCCGCCGGAAGCGTGCCGCATCTCTCTCCTCATCTGGCAGCTCTTCTGCCCCTAACAACCACTCCCCCGTCATGCGCCCCTCGTCCATGCCCTCGCCCATCCACGAGCATGGAAGCCGCTCTGCCTCGCCAACAGACCACTCAGCCTACCACTGTGTCAGCCCCAGCGGTGCGAGTATCCAACTGCCCAGCATCTCATCCACCACAGCAGCAGGGAGCAACACTTCTCCTCGGCTGCCAGTCATCCTCCCGAAGCCTGCGTCCATGGGCTTAACTCTCAACACTATGGTCTCGCCTGCCTCAGCGTCCTCCTCGCCAACCGCCTGCCGTGCCTACCCTAACCCTCTGCACGACATCCCTCCTCCTCCTCCGCAGGGAATCACTTCTGCCCCGGCAAGCTACCGCACCTCGTCCAGCTCTACCGCCCCAACTTCAACGACTCCCAAGCCAGCGAGCCGCCCTGGAACTCATCACAACGCCCCTTCTCTGAGGCTAGACTGTTCCCCGGCTACGATTCTCCCCTCCCCTAGCACACTTTCAGCCTCTCCTTGCGGTAATAACTTGCAAGGGGCGAGTCATCCCGTCGATATGGCACGCCTGACAGCCATCTACAACGCGCATCGAGCACATTTCTGGAATATGATTGCTGCCGAGTACGGACAGGGGGCAAATCCTTGGGTTTTGGAGGGAGCTTGGCGGTCGACAAGTGCGAATAACAATACAACAATGGGGGGATTTATGGCTCTGGGGGGAGCTGTGACACCTATTACGCCTGTTACAAGTCCTGAGGAGGGGTATGGACTTTGCGGGGGAAATAACAATGTGAATGGGAGGGAGCAACAACAACAAAAGCAGACGATGAAGTCGGATAAGACGAGGATTAGTGCTATTCTGGGGATTGATGCTAGCCCGAGAAGCCCGAGTGAAAGAGAGATGGTTAGGAGGATGGAGGAGAGGTGTGCTGTGGGCGTTGTGGGGGCTTAGAGCAGATCTAAAACATAGCTTCTGCTCTTCCCTTTTTTTCTCTTTCGTTTTGGGTTCTTTAGGGTTAAGGATATCTTCTCGCAATTGAACATTGGGTTTGTGGGCTGGGTATTCTTAGTAGGGTTAGCATTGATTTATGGGCACTTCTCTCTGCGTTGTCGGAAATCGCCGACACAGCTGTTTCCCTTCTCTTCCGTTCCTCCCTCATTGCTTCTTCCTTGCTTGGATGATGACGACGACATGACTGTCGAGTCGTTGTTGAGGACTGGAGGACAGTTGTGCTGGGGAAAACCTTTTTTCCCTTCCCTTTCTGTTTCTCAGCAAAAGCTGTGGGATGCTGATGGACTGATGGCTGGGATATATGGAGGAAATGATAACATGAACCTGTGGCTGCTGGGTCATCATGATGCTGGATGCTGGATGAACAAAATGATTCATGGTCATGATCATGAGTGATATGACGATGAGCAGTGTGGTGAAGCACTGGCTCAATCTCACGGGAGGATGGATGGTAGGTTAGCTGGGCTGTTAACGATTGATTTCCATTCACACACATGTGGGCAGGCATGATGGTTGGTTGGGTGCACGTTCTGTTCTGGTTCATGGTCAGTTTCTGGAGATAGGTAGGTAGGTATCTAGGTAGGCGTATATAGGAATCTAGACGTTCATAGCAACAACTTGAGGGTGTTTTCTTTGTATGAATGTTTGTATCCGGGTGTGGATGGGCCGTTGCTCTGTTAGTGTTGGATGTTGCCATATGATGTTCTTCAGACCAGCTGGCATGCTCGATGAGCTTCCGATATCGTGTGCGAAAGTCTTTGAACGTAGTAATGAGCAGTCGTATCGGTTGCATACGTTCACATAGCGGTACATAGGGACAGGGAAAGCGAATATATATGGACTATTGTTCCTTTGCTTCCATCGTCATTCTCCTGGCCTTCGTCCATGGCAGTCTAAGAAGCTGATCGGTAATAAATATCTTCCATGTTCATTCTGAGGTATCTCTAAAAGTTTCTCCATTCAAAGACTGGTTTTGCACAGATTATATTGATATTGATGATGAAGATGAGCTCCAGACGCGATTTCCAATTAGAGCTCAACCTTGACGTATGATAAGAGTGAGCATATCAAGACTGAGAGCCTTGTAAGTTTCCTCGTTACCCAGAGTTGGGTAGCTCACTTTGCACGTTACCAAGTAGGCATTCTCGGGTGACGACCGCTCCGTCGCCTCTCCGTACAGCTTCAGGTTCGGGTACGCTAACCAGCTGTCACACCACCTGCCACATACCTCCCTGTATGTATGTACCCAACCCGGCTGAGCGGGATCTCGGCCTGCCTTAGCGTACCCAGTGTAGATTGGCTAAACTTCACCGAGTTTCCTCACCTAAGTCATGACAAAGATGGATACGGTTGCCAATCTTGACCAGTATCCAGGCCTGACACATGGCAAGCTACTTATATCGTATCGTTGCATGAGATCATGCCAAGTGTTGACATACTATCATATGAGCAATGCTTGGTGGTGACGATAAGTTTTCAGCTGACCTAGCTTTCAACAACCCAAACAACACCCAGATACAAGGAAAGCCGGCGGTTTTTTTGCCAAAAAACCGAGTCACCGCCAGTTTGACGATGACTGTTTGGTTCTGGCCATCAACTATGGGCATGAGCAGGGTCGAGTAGAACGGCGAGGATGATGTCAGTGCGTTCAGTTGGCAAAACGTGGTTGTGCCAGGTCATGTTCCAGAACTTCCAAAGCAGGGACAGGACACGTTGAAGTCTCTCCAAGTCCGGGGCTTGGTGCTGCAGGGCTTCGGGCATATCGCCTTGCTCCGGCCGGGATCTATGTACACCTAATTGTGTTGTGATTTTTGCTAGGAGGAGGGGAATGCTACAGAAGAAAACTTGACAGACGTAGCTTTCCCAATCGAACTGATGAGGGTTTATGTAGAGATGGCGTGTTCGAAACAATCTTAGCAGCAGCAGCAGTAGCAGCAAGTGAAAACCTGCTACATTGTCTTCGTACCACGGGCATTGCATCAACAATGGGTTGCGTCAAACCCCCCAAAGATTTCCATCATCTTGGCTAGGAATAAGCATATAAACCAAAGTTTAACAAGGTGAAGCAGCCATCTTATCAGCCACTGCATTATGCAGCTACCGCGATCAATATGCAAGCCATCTGCATGTCATCCGGTTATCAGCTGCCAGCTGTCGTGTCCTGTAACGACGGCTGGTTGCTTGAAGTTGGCCGCGGCCTTGGACAATACATCAATATTGCCGCGGCACAGAACTTCTGATCACTACGTTATCATCGCCGGTAGTTACATATTGTCCACACGGCCTGCAGAAAGTTGAGTCAAACACCTTAAGCCGATCGTGACACCGATGCCGACCGATGCCAACCGTGCCGTGCGCCGAGCATTCGGAAATTACCGCGATAAATCACAAGTGCTGTCGATATACATCGGCTTCGGAGCTGGTGATGTGATTAGCGTATTTCCAAGCAAGCAAGCCTCCATCTTCATCCTCAATTCTGCCACGCTGGCACCATGACACTGGTACCTCTAATTAATCGCCTTGAAATCCATCTTAACGTTTCCCCCCCTAATTTTTGGTCCGCTCCTAGCGCCCGGACTCTTGAAAGCAACATCACCAGCCGCAATGCCTAACAGCAAGCCCTTTTCTGGGAATGCCAGGTCCAGGCATTCGGAAGAAAGCTTCTAGAAAGAGAAAAAAACGCTTACCGTACCCGGCTTTCCCAAAATCATCATGCACGGACGAACGAAACGCTCAGGCAGCGAGAAGGGTCTTGGCCGCTGGCAAAGGAACGTCGTGTCGTGCTTCCGGTTTTTCCTGAGTGTTGGACCAGGGTTCCATGTTTGGTTCGTTGCAACGGCAGTGAGAGAGGAGCGGCCCTAAAGTTTGGTTGTATTTTACCGTACCACGTTACGGAATTCGCTTACTAAGCAGCTAAACGGACAGGATCTCGAGACACCGATCAAAGATCAGGATGCTGTTTGTCTGCAAGTTTGAGAGAGAGAGAGACAGAGAGAGAACCAGAAATTTGTTCTCGACGTGTGTCAAACTGTGTCTCTGTTCCAGAGTTGATATCGACTCAGATGTCTAGTATTGTCTGCGTAATCCTCAAGGCAGGCACACAGAACGGGAAATGCAACTCCCTCAACCCCCGGTTTCCGGGCCCGCGTTTTCCCCAAAAACTCGCCTTCGCACTCACTGCACGGTACCTTCGGACGGGACAAGGGGCGATAAGTAACCGGACCGGGCGTGCTTCCGCTGCTGCCGGTCCACTCATCTTCTTCAAATGAAACCGTTATCGTTATCAATGCTCTCTTATGATCGACAACAAACATGAAAGCTGGGCCGGGTTCCGAGGAAGAAGCTGCATAGGCGACGGCAGTTGATAGCACGTTGGGCCGGCGCTATTAGTGTGAGGACCCGATCGGGTGCAGAAGCTGCAGGGCTGCAGATGCTGCGGCGGCATGAGGGATCGGTTGATATGGGTGCAGAGGTACGTTAGGGATTTATCGCGGACAAACTGTTGGTTGGTTTGGCGGAGAGGAGGGGCAGATGACAGAGCGGTGTTTGTAATATCTCTGTTGGTGATGATACCACAGCTGTGGTGAAGAAGGTTGAGATGGCGATGGAGATGCCGATGACGGTGTAACGGTGTACCTGGCCTGGCCTTCAATTCAAGCTCGACAAGCTCGGCACATGCAACACCGTCCTGCTTCTCGAAAAGCATCGACACATACCGACACTCGGTTTATGTCTCGTCCCGTTCTACACAAGGAGATACTGCCGACCGACCGACCAGCGCATCCTACAAAAATATGTTCGGGTAAGTAACCCGTAGCCCTCCGTACGTAGGAACGTATCATACCACGACCACTGTGAAATGACCCCTGCCCAACCACGTGGATTCTGACCAACCAATATGCAATAACCAACAGACGACCCCGACACCCCGTTGTACCGTGACCGTTGCTGTTTCGATAAACCTGTGGAAGATGGATGAACGGCAGGACATTGAGGTCGAGCCGCTACGCAGGCTGCACTGCGTATCCGTCCATCCGCTAGCGTCGTTCGAGAAGGCCGGGGTCCTGGGCCATGTTGGATACGCCAATACGGTGAATTTCACATGCGAGTTCGCTGTCGTGTAATTTACCTCGTTCCTCCCGCCAGACCAAGTCCCGAGCTGGAATTAACAAATCGGGTTCGCTATCGCTATTGCATCCTGAGGGGAGCCGAGCTGAGCTGTCATGATGCCATCCGTAGCGGCTGCTGCGGTGATTCGGCCATGACGCCAGCGCCTGCGCGGATGCACAGCAGCTGAGAAATCAAGGAGTAGCAGCAGCAGCAGCAGCAGCAGCACAACGACGACGACACGAGTCCCTGCTTGCGTGCCGTGTCTTCCCCTACATCAGGGCCGAAGCCGGCGGCCCGGGGAACCTGGGATGGAGCCCGGGAACGGGGGATTAGGTTGCTTCAGGTACCTGATGACTGGGGCGTTGGTTCCAGTCGGGCACGGCGGCGATGCTACACTACTCCAGATGTACGGGGTTATGCAGAGCTTCGAGAAACAGTACTACCGTAGGTGGTTGTATCATATCTCTGGGCTGGGCTTAAGCTGAGTCTTGACTGTTGACAGCAATCTCTGCTCAGTCAAAGTTGATGGATGGACGGTTGGTTTGCTGGTTGGCTGGTTCGTTCGCGGGAGGAAGCTCCAGTAGGCACATATGTGGACGTTGGGCTGTTGCATCGACTCCCAGGTACCAAGCAGGATGGGGATACAGTCCAATACATTGACGAACCATGCGGCTGCTCTGCAGTACGACCCCTTCAAACTGTCTGCCGTATCTTGTCTCACCCACCCTGGGCTTGCAACTTCAACCTGACCTCCTACATCGCAATGACGGGCTGCTATCACCATCCATCCATCGTGATCAAAATCAGGAGGATGATTTGCCTGCCTTGCTTGCTTTCCGCCGATGCAACCGCCAACGCTGTCATCCCCCGGGCCAACTTCAGCAAACAAGAGTAGTACCTACTCCATACGGGGTCTCCGGGCCCTGATACCCCAACAACTGGACGTCGCAGCGGCGGCCAGCGCGGTGAGCCAGAGCCCTGATCGGACCGTTACCGGCGTGTTTCGTGGGGCGTCGTGTCATGTCACGTCACGACTTGACGGGGCCGCTGGCATGGCATGGTATGGCGATGCACTGTGACTTGACCTTGGCTGCGATACTTGATGATGACAGGAGCAGTGGATCTGCCGCTGCTTGTTCGCTCGTAGCCGCTGCAGATGCAGACGCAGACACAAGACGAGAAAGCTCCATCGGAGAAGTCTAAAGGAGTCAAAACAGCTTGCAGCTGGCCACACAAGCTGCTCAACGAAATCGATCGTGTAATGCAGCAAGATGGCAGGGGAAAGACTCCGCCAGAGAGAAATTTCGGTGGAAAAATGGAAGAGTGGAAGAAAAGGAAGGGCTCCCGGGCTCAGAGAGCATCGGCAAGTAAAGAAAGCAAGGATGGCCCAGCGTGCAGCTGAGGCTCTAGCGGCCTCCACTTTCGGCACAGTAAGCCTGAGAGTTGGCCAGCGAGCACTGGAGCACCTGGAAAAATGAAGAAGACAGCGACGATTGACTTGACGCTTCACGAGCTGCGACCACATGCTCCATTCCCTACTCGCTGGATATTTTGCCGGCCCTGTTTATGCTGGTCTGGACGAAACAGTCGTCATGTCGAGTGAATTCGATGTTGGCGAGTCAGAACTCGACTCAGGCCTGGAACCTGGGCTCGTCCCTGGGAAGCCTGGCAGCGCACAAAGAGCGGTAGAGAAGGCAGAGTACACAGTAGATAGAGCTAAAGTATGGCATCATCCTGTAGTGTGGACAAACCTCGGGGTTGATATCGGCATGCTCGTGCGCTCTTCAGATCCTTGGAGCGAGGGACCAACCATGTACACTGTAATCACCGTACCTCCGTACCCTTCGGTAGATGTCCGTAAAAAGAACGGAGCCCAACCGCCTGAAGCCCGAATCCGCCCTCCTGCCCAGCCCACTGTTCAGTGCCCGCTGCAGCGTACCCGCTGCGAACAACCCAGCCTAGGCCAAGCATCCCGGCTCGAGCGCAAGCAACGGCCGGGCCTTTTCCACCGCACCACCAGGGGACCAGGGGTATGGTTGGTGCCAAAAAAACGGGATGAACGCGACGTGAGAGTGACATTGAGACCTTGACACGATGACGGGAGATGATGGAATCGCCATAGCGCAGGAGCAGCGCAGCAGCGATGCAGCGATGCATTGCAGGACCAGGACCGACAGGGCAACTTGCAACAGAAGGCAAGGCCGCTCATCTGGACTGGAGTTAATCATCCGAAGACGAAGCAGCTCGGTTGGTATGCCCGAAGCCAGCGTTGAAGCCAAACCTTGCCCGGGCCAGGAAGGTTCCTAGTCAACTTTTTGACTAGCGCAGGCGTGGATCTTTTCATCTGGAGCTCGAATGGAAGGCAAAAAAAAAAAAAAATAAGCCCTGGGTGATTCGTAGTATGAAAAAGGCGTCATCCCCTTCATGCTTGGCCTTTACCTACCTTATGACCCGACTTCCATCCCAAGGTCACCCGAAGAGCCAGAAGCTTACGACCTTAGCACCAGTGGTCATCCATGAACAAACAAGTCTCCAAGTAAAGAGCCTCACAACCGGCAACAACAACAACGATCACGCACCAAGCAGGACTTCGGATTGGTCTTTCTAACTCCCCCTTCAACATCGTATCGAGACTAGAATCGTGCAACTGCAGAGGGAGTGCCAGAAAAATATTTAAGGACCTCGATCGATCGCCTTTTCAAACCATTACTCAATTCCCAACTCTCCCTCTCCCACATTCACGTCACATCTGCTTCGGCATCTGCAGCTGGTGCTGGCAAGTTGGGCTCCGAGTCGCGGGTTTTACTTATCGATTAGAGCGAGCAGCGAGTTATCGATACGATTATTGCAGGCAATTACTTTTCCCCATTACTTTTTAAGACTCTAAGAGTGGCATCCCACCTTTGCTGAGTCGCGACTGGACCAACCCACCAATCGACATCACGACTCTCAAGTCGTCGACTGCCCGCTCCCGCATCACGCATCTGCGAGTCGCTGCTCTGGGCTAGCAGGAAGGGTTTCTTGGCGATCGAGCTTGCATCGTGCGTGCATCAAGCGCCCAAAGTGAGCGGGCGAGAGCGAGCTTTAGAACAAATCGACCTGCCTAAATTATTACGGAAGAGCTCAGCTGCCGACGACAGCCGATCTGGGCGACTTCCCCTCGTGGAGAGCGGCATAGACTTCAAGCCAGTTGGCCTCATTAAAGTGAGGGAGTTGAAGAAGTGAAGCGGGAGAAGCATGGCGCCTCACGCGGACGAGGCTCATGATTTGGACACTGCAGCCCCAGAGCAGAAATGCCTGGGCCTGAGCCAGGTTAGGCGTTGTGAGGACCTGAATGGGCACTCTTTGTCGAACGGCCACTCGAACGGCTACTCCAATGGCAACGGCTGCTCGAATGGCCATGGTCGCCTGAATGGGCACTACACAAACGGTCACCACAATGGCAACGGAGTTCACTGTACCAATGGCAATGGTGCTCGTACCAGCAATGGTAATAGCGTTCACAATGGCAACAACAATGATCAGGGCATCGACTCTGAGACGGCCAGCATTGCTTCCAACTGGGACGCGGCCACGGTTGTCGACATGCCGGTGCCGCGCAACTTGCCCCGACCTGGAGACTACATTGAATTCCCTCAGCTGAAGCATAAGCAGGGTGCCCCGCTCAACCGCTGGTCGCATTTTATGACGCGGGATAATGACTCTCCTGGTGCTCAGGTACGTTTTGCTCACTTCTAGTATGTTTAACATCGTCTGGCAAGTCCCTTATTCCCGAATCCCGCTGGACCCTGCATAAGGCATGTGTGAATGGGGCATGGCGCCTTAGGTGCGACCCGGATGCCCGTGAGGGGTTACAGGGTACGGCATAGAACAGCTCGCCTCTTGGACATGTAGGGGATTCGTGACTAGGGTTTCGGGAGTGTGAACGTCGGGTGGTCACGAGAAGGGTAAGCATGAGGACCGGAAATGCTAACCGAAGCGCACACAGAGCATGCTTTATTCCCAGATCCAGAACTGGGAGAAGACAAAGAATGCCCCTCAGGTGGGCATTGCCACTGTTTGGTGGGAGGGCAATCCGTGCAAGTGAGTTTTCCCAGTCCTTTAAAGTCATGCCCTTGTTGATATGATTTATTCAGGCCTGATGCTAACATGAACATGAACGCAGTTCTCATTGTGAGTAGCTCCGTGTGGGCCAGTCTGTATGCGAGTACTAACACACGACACTTAACAGTGCGCGAGCTTGGCGATCTTGTCAGGAAGGCCGTTTGGGAAGAGGGGATGATCGGCTGGCAGTACGGCACCATCGGCGTGTCGGATGGTATCACTATGGGTAGCGAGGGTAAGTTTTACCCTGATCACGAGGGTACTTACTAGCAGCAGCGTCGGGCCCCCAAGACCGGCTGCTACCCTCACCCAATGAGCGTTTTTCTGACCCTGAACTTAACCTCTGCTATTACTAGGCATGCGCTTCTCCCTGCAATCACGCGAGCTCATTGCTGACAACATTGAGACCATCACCTGCGCCCAGCGCCACGACGCCAACATTAGCATCCCCGGCTGCGACAAGAACATGCCTGGCGTTGTGATTGCCGCTGCCCGTCACAACCGGCCATTTCTCATGATCTACGGCGGCACCATCCGCAAGGGCTACTCTGAGCTTGCCGGCAAGGAGATCAACATTACCACGTGCTACGAGGCCCGCGGCGCCCTGGCCTCTGGCAACCTGAAGCCCTGCGAGGAGCACAAGAATGCCACTCCTGAACAGGTCTTGGAGGATATCAAGACGCACTCCTGCCCCGGTCCCGGCGCTTGTGGCGGCATGTACACCGCCAACACGATGGCGGTCGCCATCGAGGCCATGGGCCTCACCCTTCCCGGTTCCTCCTCTCATCCTGCCAAGTCTCCCGAGAAAATGAGAGAATGCGAGCGTGCTGCCTCCACAATCAAAATGCTCATGGAGAAGGACATCCGCGCTCGCGATCTCATGACGCGTGCGGCCTTCGAAAACGCCGTCAAAATTACCATCCTCATGGGTGGCAGCACCAACGCAGTCCTGCACCTGCTCGCCATGGCCTCCTCGGCCGACGTACCCCTGACTCTGGAAGACATTGACGCCATCTCCCAGCGCACACCTCTCCTCGCTAACATGAAGCCCTTCGGCGACTACCTCATGGAAGACCTCAACAAGATCGGTGGCACGCCCTCAGTGCTCAAGTTCCTCATCCAAGCAGGCTACATCGACGGCAGCATCCTCACCGTCACCGGAAAAACTCTCTGGGAGAACGTTGCCGATAAGCCCTCCCTCGAGTTCGGCCCTGACAAACAAGCAATCATCCGCCCCCTACATGACCCGATCAAGACCAGCGGCCACATCCGCGTGCTGAAGGGTAACTTGGCCCCCGGCGGCGCAGTCGCCAAGATCACGGGGAAAGAGGGCGAAGAGTTCATCGGCTCGGCACGCTGCTTCGATAAAGAACATGAGCTTGACCGAGCCCTGCGCACCGACATGAAGCTGAGGACTACCAAGGAGAATATCGTGCTCATCGTGCGGTATGAGGGCCCCAAGGGTGGCCCAGGCATGCCCGAGCAACTCAATGCAAGTGCATTCCTTCAGGGTGCGGACATGGCGAACTTTGCTTTGGTCACTGACGGGCGGTATTCCGGCGCTAGTCATGGGTTTATTGTTGGGCATGTTGTTCCCGAGGCCGTGGTCGGAGGGCCGATTGCGCTGGTCAAGGACGGGGATGTGATTAAGATTGATGCGGTGGAGAATCGGATTGACATCATTGAGATTCCGGGTGTTGGCAAAGGGGAGGAGGTGGTGAGACGCGAGTTGGAGAAGAGGAGGAGGGAATGGAAGAGGCCGCCAGTCAGACCACTGAGGGGCACGCTGGCGAAGTATGCCCGCTTGGTTGGCGATGCTAGCCATGGTGCGGTGACGGATTTACCTGTTAAGAGTGAGAGCCTTGAGTGGTAGAGAGGGGACTGACTGGTACGACATTTTTTCTTTTTTGGGGTTCACTTCACTTTCCGATACCCTCCTCCCGTCTCCCAACAACATCCCCCTTTTTCTTCTGGATATCCCACCAGTACTGCATGTCGGAGCTTGTATGATCATGATCGATCATCTCACCTTATCTGCGAAGGGGGGAGGGGTGGGGATGAGATCTCGACTTGGTTCTGGGCATGGTATGGCAAGGATCTCGCATAGCACGGTTTGGGATTGATCATTCATATCCCTCTACCCTACTTTTCTAATCATCTACCTTATAATTCACGGCGGGAAATGGTCAGTTCACGGCTCAATGGAGGATGGCGTCTGGTTAGGAAGTGTTTTCTTTACTCCTTTTCTAGTACTCCCCCCTTTCTCTTTTCTTACCATTGAGTCACAGCATAGACGGATGGTTGGATGGACAGATGGACATACAGAAAGAAAGGAAGACCCTAAAAACAAGATATAGATCATAGGCACGCACGCAAGACCACAAATGGGTCATAGATAGAGTGACGGCGGCAGCGAGATACCATCATTCTAGACGGGTTTCGCGCAGGGATATGATAGGCATGATAATAAGACAGGCAGCATTGGGGGATCGCTGATTTCCTAAATAAATAGATTTTATGTTGGGTCTGTAATTGGTGATATGACCAGGGTGTTTAGTGATACGTTGAGGCGGTCCTGTGTGATTGATAGGTGCTGACTGGACTGGCTCCTTTGGTGTTCTGGTCAACGTGATAGGTAGCACTTCGAAGCCAAGGCTGCCTAAGACGTTGTAGCAAGCCTCTTCACGTGTCATGGGGCCTGGAAGGTGGTACTTAAAAACGGAGGCACTTGTTCGCCATGCTCTTTGCTGGCATTAGCTTTGAGCTTTGCATCAGAAACCTCTCCTTAAAGCTTAGAAGACTCAGCTATGCCACCGCCTAGATGTCATCAAAGACAGACTGGAGTTGAAGTGAACTGGTGCTATTTGGCCAATTAAGCTGAATGCAAACATTTGCTTCTCCTAGCAGTCAGTCCTGCAGTCAGGCCCCTTAGCATCGGGTTAAGAATTGTGGCACAGAGGTAGACGCTTCAAGAGGAATATCAACAACACTAAGACAGGACAAGCAAAGACTAGACCACTAACCAGATATATATCACAATACTACTTACGTACGGAGTAATTATCCCACACAGAACCATGTCGGTAGTAGGTACTTAACCCTTCCCTCTCTAACACCAACCTCAGCCCAACCCGGCCTCTGTCCAACCAGTCAGCCCTTTGTCAACTCCAATACCTCAACCAAGGCTCAAGGACTAGCCCAGCCACCAGCAACCTGCACCCATTCAGCAAGACAACTTCCCTCCTTGCCCTCAACATCGACAATATCTGTATCACACCGGCATCTGCAGCCGACACCATTCTCCTTCGGCGGATCAATCTCATCCCAGTACTGGTCCTCCTCAATACGCTTCTTCTCGTCCAGCGTCGTCATTTCGAGGTACGGCGGGCGCGGCAGCTGGCGGGCCGGCGCATTGGCAGGACAGTGCTGGATGGTGGTGTGGCGGTAGCCGAAGTCGCGGAAGTAATGAATGTCCTTGGGAGAGAGGAGGGCGCCGAGGGCGAGGGAGTGGATTGGGGCGTCACCCCACTGGGAATAAAGTCAGCAATGTGTTCAAGAAACGTTAAGGGGAAGAGGGACATACCCGCTCCATCCAAAACCCACCACTCCGATCCATCATCTGGAAGAAGTCTTCGTACGCCTTGGATCGGAAAAAGTCCAACCGTGCAATCTCAAAGTTCGACCAGAAGTGGCACATGTTGTACTTTTCACCCTCCATGGCCTCATAGTCAATCTCGGGGGGTCCGTTGCGGCCGGGCTCACTGCGGAGAATCTCCTCGGGAATGCCCGTCGGCGGCTGCGGTTCGGCGGGCTTCTCGGGCTTGGGCTCGATGAACATCTCCCAGAGGCCTTGGGAGGTCAGGTTGTTCATTCGCTTGTAGGCCGAGGCGTAGCGAAACATGTTGGGGACAGTCTCTCGAAGCTCCTTGACGGCGATAGTGAAGCCATACGTCTTGTTGTGCTCAATCATCATCAGGAAGGGGTCGCTGAGAAGTCAGTACGAGATGCGAGGAAGTCGATTGCAGACAGAACATACTAGGTGATGTCGCAGAAGTACTTGATCTCGGGCTCCAGACGCCAGTACCACTCGTATTTGGCCAGCAGGGGGTGCTTGTAGAAGAAGCTGTTCTCGTTAGCCATGCCCACCTCACAAGAAGCATGAGGACACCTACCCCGAGTAAAACCGACACATAAAATGATAGCTCTCCAGCCCGCCATACATGATGGCATTATCACCCTGTTTGGCGATACCCTCCTTGGCCACCTTGGGATCAACCCAGTCGGGGTACCCCCACATATCGGGGCCGACCTTGCCGAACTCGACCGAGCTGCTGGTGTAGTTGCGGACAGTCTCCTTGAAGTGGTCATCGAAGTCGCCGTCGTTCAGGAAGACGTAGGGGTAGTGGTACCAGCGGTTAAAGTGGCGTTCAATGGACTTGAGCGACTGGACGACGCCGTCGAGCTCCTTGTTGCGCGCCAGCACGACGAAGGCGGCGTTAGCGCGGGGCTTCGACGTGTCGGGCTCCAGGCAACCCGTGACGAAGACCTTGTCATATTTTTCACTGATTTTTCTGTACACACGGCTGTCAGCAAATATCTAGGGGAGCAAAGTGTATAGAGAGGGAGGCATACCTTATTGCAGGCGGCGCCCCCGCAGGAATCAATATCCTCCCGCCGGAGTTGGGATGCCGGACGATGAGCACCAAAACGAAGATGATGACGGCTAGCGGGCACAGGATGACAACGCCCAGCGGCACGGTAATGCTGGAGCCCTTTCGTAGGCGCAGCGGGCGGCGTAGGTATGCCAGACGCGATGTCCATGTTAGCCGGCGCGGCTTGTCCTTCTCCTCTACGATGGGCAGCGGCGGGCCGACAGAGGGAATGAACTTCCCGGCTCGTCGGAAGAGGTCCATGGTGTCCTCAAATAGATTAGATGATTAAATTGTGTCTTTTTTTTGTGCTTCTCTCTCTCTCTCTCTCTCTCTCTCTTTGTGTGTGAGTGTGTGTATGTGTTTGTCTATCCGTAAAGAGTCATCCGTTTTCTTGGGATCGTCGTCTTCGTTGTGTCTATCGTCGTCGTGTCGTACGCAAGCAAATCGTCCGTCCAGTATCGGGCCACAGAATAAAGCGTCTATTACCAGCAACTAAAAACGAGACTGAGGGAACGAAGCGAATCGGCCGCGGAGCATGGATGGATTTCGAAGTGCGAGATGCGGGATGCGAGCGAGCGGCAGGGAAGAAACGACGTCTTCCCCTGATCTTGATCCCTCTTGGGGGCCAGAAACAACGAGAAGTGGAAAAATGAGAAAGCTGAGGTAATAAGAAGATGTCGCGGGGACTCGCCCTTGCGCGTCTCAAGCTCTTTATTTTTTTTTCTGTTTCCCTCTTTCTCTGTCTGCTCTTGTTCTGGAGATGTCGTGTCGAAATGTGTGTGGCTCTGTGGCTAGGCCGAGAGGACAAGGGGGCGAACCTCACTTGCTTTCTGCCGAGTAAGCGAATGCACGTTGTGCTCCTCACTGCTGCTGCTGCTGCTGCTGCTGCTGCTGCTGCTGCTGCGGTGGTGGCCGACAGACAGTCTGACAGTCTGCTTAACCCCTGAGACCCTGAAGTGTGTGAGCGATGAAACACTTCCTTGGAGACACTTTGGCTGTGGCCAACGAGAAAGAAGTCGTGGAATCCTGGGCCTAGAAATCGATTGATTTGGAACTTGGCTGGAAACGAGTCGATTGTGGAACTGCTGGTCGAGCCGATGGAGCCAAGATTTGGACGACTGCCGTTTTCTGACACTGTGTGTAGACAATGCCAAACGCAATCACTCTGCCAGCAGCGATTGATCGAAAATCGAAGGCTTGAAATTTCCTTTCCTTGGCTGCGAGTCGCCCACACACCACTCCTGGCCCTGATTGATGGATGGGCCCTAGGGGAGCACAAGGAACCAGGACGGGCTGTTCCGCTCCGACAAGGGAACGGCTCAATGCGATGCAAGACTGTAAACTTTGTCTAACAAAGCAGAGTCGTTTCTAGCCAGCATCGCACTGTCCTTTTCGCATCTTTCTGTACGCTGGGCAAAGTTCCCTACTGCGTCCCAAGATTACGTACTGTCTTCAACTTCGCACAGTGCTTCTTGCTCAATCATACACTGTCCTCCCCTATCTTAGCAAGTTTTACCCCCATCCGATTGGTCGCGCCAAAGCTTGACCGCCGCATCTTCGGGCTTCGGCAGTGGCTGCCAGCTGTCAAAGTTAGCCCCCCTGGCGATTTGGGGGTCCAGACCTTTGCCTCGATCCACTTGTGAATTTGTTGGATGCAGGAGAGAGCGAAGTGCGCGTCAGCGTGGTTCAGTCGCTGTTCTGTATCTACAGCGTGAGATACGGGTATTGATCCTGATGCATCCAGTTATCGTATGCGAACAAGATTGTACTTTTGGTCCGTACTTTTAGTCCGGGTATGAGAACGAGCGCAAAAACTGTAAACATGGGATCGAAGCACTTGGATCCAAACTCGCCTCCATTGCCCCTGACTGACGCTCTCTGGCTCTGCTGCCAACTTGCCCCCGGCGAGGTTGCCACCGACCTTGCAAACAAGCAGCTACGGTGGGAGGTGCCCTTATTATGAAACTTGGGGACCGTCGTATAGCAAGGCGCGGTGGCAGAGTGGTCTAATGCGCAAGACTAGAAATCTTGTTCCTTCGGGAGCGTCCGTTCGAATCGGGCCCGCGTCGCATGAATCCACTCACTTTTTACCTTCCTACACCTTTTCTTTTCTTTCTTGACCTTGTGCCGGCTTCTTTTTGCACCTTATGCGGGATCGGTGCAATGTTGTTTTCTAGTTACAGTGGTTGGGTAGAGACACAAGTAGAGTCCAAGCCTTCGCGTCAAAACACTGGAGAGCAGAATATGGCTCTCTTGACCGGGCTGATGTGCAATAAGCGCAATGGTTGCACTTTGAAGAGGAGTGTTGTCTGTCGGCATTATATTCCTGTCCAGATCTTTGGCTATGGATTTGGAACAATCATGAGAGGAATAAAGATCGACAGGAACGAACCACTAACCTACAGTCAGATACACTGGACACAGACAAGGTGCTTCAGTGAGATCAATCATGTACAGACTGCAGGTGGAGCCATCACTGCCTCCGGTGATGGAACCACCCTCCTCGAACTTCGCTCTTTGACTTTAGGTGTTGCTTGATTCTATTGTTGGAAAAGGAACCTCAAGTTAGCAAAACGCCAGTGTCTTTGGTGCCCTTTTTGAGCGTCTGGTCAAGAGACTTTGCCCACCTGTGCCTTTGTGTCGCCCTCTCATTGTCCTCCTTTAGCCTGCTACCGTGACCTCTCATTCTCCATCCAACCAAGTTCGACTATTCTTCGCCATGTCTTTCGCCCACAACCCCGACTGGCTCCCGTCCCTCGAATCAAACGTTTCTGCATGGTCCCCCTCCATCGTTTGCGCCGCCCAAAACCCCTTTGAACGTACATCTACCGATATATCTAGTGTCTGACCTTATATTACCGCTGCAACGTCGCAACAATACCCACTCCTTCACCATCTATACAACCCTCCCCTCCCTTAACACCTACCTTCTCGAGTCCCTTTTCTCTACCGCTCTCCCTATCTACGGCAGCAGCAGTGTCCTTATTTTCGTCAAGCCCTGGACCCGCAAAACTGGCCCCCGCTGGCAGGGCATTTTCCGTCTGCAAAACGTCGTTCATTTCCTCGATGCAGTGTGTAATATCATTGGCAAGCCGGTTGCACCGTTGGGCGGGCTAGCTTTTGCGGATGTGAACTTTTGGAGTGAGTGGGCATTGGGCCTTTGATGGGAGGTATGGGAGAAGTCCGTGGATGGGGATTACGGATTATGTGGGTGAGAGGATTGATTGTTTTAAGAGGTAAATGCGCATGGAGCAGGATGATGGCTATGAAGCGGGTGACTGATTGGGTGATAGATGGGTACTGAAGGTGAGCGAACCGCCGACAGAGGGCCGCTGCCCGGGAGGATCTGTGCTTGGAAAGGTGATGACGGCCCAGCAGGGGAGGGAGTACGGGGTTGTGTGGCCGATGAGGGAGAACTAGAGCTAGTTTAGATGGCAGGAGGAGAATATTAGGGAGATTGAGCAGCGACATCTACGGAAAGTATTGTTAGTCAGCAGCAAGCAACATCAAGCTCACTAGAATCATAGTAGATTAGAACACTTCACAATAACTAGATGTCTGTCCCTTGTTGACCACTCACAGGAACTGCTCACCCAAGAACATCAAGGACACAACGATCGGAGCAAGCACTATACTTGTGCCTGCCTGCCATCTACATCCAGTCCCGGCACCTATATGATCATGGGTATTTCTTTTTGCAATGGATTATAATATGGGTCAGGATGAGTATAGAGACTCGAAATTTAATCCAATCCCTAATTTCTACTCAGGCATTTTTGGTCAAGTCGGTTCGTTACCGTCTTACCTTCTTCTCACGGTTACTGGGGAAGAATACTCTCCCCAGGCTTCATAAGAATTCACCGACTTTGCCATCAAGAATCTAACATACCTACCTAGGTAACTGACCCTGTACCGGTATGATTACATGTATGGGTAAGATATCAGGGGGAAAGACCCAGTTAGCTGCTATGCGCGACTGAGACAGTCTTACACTCGTGGCCAGACTTTGCTCCCTTGGATACCAGTGTTGATTGATTTAGGCTGATCAGTTGGCCCACCACATCAGTAAACAGCTTGGTAAGTTAAGGTTTATCTTTCTCTGGCCATTTGACGTTCGGTTCTATTTCAGTCATTAAATCAGTTGGAATGTGTATCATATGTCTCTACTCTCATAGTAGTCGAGCTCGCCATTCTATGTGGTACTCTCGAGGAGCTCTTCCACCTCCTTTCCAGCCTTGGTGTTGACATCCTGAAAGTCAAGGGACAGCCTGCGCAGTATCTGGAATTACGTCGAACTATCATTCTCATTCATGCCGTTTGCTAATTCTCGCGTTGTCATCCTCTCAACGTCGGTATCCAAGAATCGCCTAACTAGTTCATAGCCTTGATAGGTTGGATATGAAGAGCTCTTGGAATCAATGTAGACCAACTCTTTTGTGTTTGGAACTACAAAACTTATCTGGCATAATTTTACTTGCTGATCGCTGCCTGGTCACTTGATCGCATTGACCAGCCATTGCCAGAGTTTCACCAGATGATCAAGCCTTCTCCCTTAGTTAGGGTCATTGAGGGAGTACCGGCCAAGAGCAAGAAGTTCTGAAAAGAGTGATTCAACTGAATACGAGGTCCCTGCAAACAATTGTTTAATCCATATCCACTGTTATTAAACCAGAATCTTTCCCTGAACCTCCCTCCACCTTAGCAATCTAGAAGCCTTACCCTCAATCTCCCCGACCACTAGTGGACTTCGCAAGAATAAAACAACACGGTAAAGGTCTCAAACTAAAATTACTGTCCAGAAGTAACAGTAACATTTATGACGACACTTTCCCTCCAAGAGCCGAAGACCATAAGCGCTGGTTGCGATCCAACAGTAGTTTGTAACTTTGAGGAGACAAGGATTTTGGGGTATCGAACAAGCAGTTTCCAAACCCACAGTCACTTATAAGCTAGAGAGAGAAATATCCTTTTTCATCGTCAAGTAAGCATTGTTCCATAGAGATTACTCTCTACGTAGTTATGGTCATCACCTAGTTGATCTCTCAACAGCTGAAGGCCTGTTGATATAAGTGGCCAAGAAAAGGGAAAATCCCAATCGGAAAACAAGTAAACAAACAGTCTGAAATTCCACCGGCTCTTACCATACCTTTTAGATGCATCTCTTAAGTGGACCGGCAATATTCCAACTTGAGCTGCACTTAGCTGGCCAAGAATCGAGATTTATTACGACAGATGTAGGAAAATTACTCCACAGTGCAAGCTGTTATTCTCACTGTTGGCTTAATCACAGGAAGACTGTAAAATGCACAAAGTTATTACAGACTATGGTGTTACTGTTAGCTAACACATCCTCTTAGTCAAGCCGGCAAGCTGCTGAAGGATCCAACTTAAGCACATAGCAGAACGAAATAGCAAAAAATAAACCCGTTGTCAACATCTGAAAAAAAAAATTCAAATACCATTACACTAAAACGGTAATCACTGCTACTAAGGTAAAACAGAGTAGGCCATTATTCCGCCCATCAGCACTGAGATCATGTATTCCATCCAAGCTCCTGCTTCTTCCCTGATCGTAACCCACCTCTCCTCTCAACTGTCTTCTCCTCCTTCCTCTTCCAACTGCTCCCGCACATTCTCGGCAATCTTCTCCAACCTCTCCATATCTCGTCTCTTTTCCTGATCCCATAAAGTGGCAATCAACTCATGTCCTACAAAAGAATCCCGTACATTCTTCCACAGTTGAGTGTGACTCTTCAGAACTATATTCTGCATCCCTCATGTGCCTTCTCAATTTGCTCCCAATTCTTGACATAGTGCCAATACACCCTGCTATCTTTGTTACCACTCGTTAGCACCCTTCGGGTCAACAACTTCCTGGACGGTACTACTTAAGAACATGAAGGAGAAAAGGAATAGGATGGCTGATTAGCTCCACTTGAATGTCTGAGAGACATAAATTGAGAATAAGAGCCTCAGTCATTCAAAACCATTGACAGCCACTCTCCTCTTGATTCCCGATTTTCATTTTTTTTCGCTTCCGAACCTTCCTGATCTTTTTGCTTCGAGCTGCTTCTGGATTTTCTCAGCAATCTTATTTATGCTCTCTGTGATTAGTTTATTTCTCCTTCAAAGTCGTCGACGGGGAGTCCAGTTACTCTATCAGAGCTCGCTCCAGCATGCTTCGGATGCCCCAGTTGCAGTCGGATAACTCAATTAGCATACTGCTTGACACACTCCCAGTTCTTTCTTTCTGTCTTGCAAAACTATAGCTAGATCTTCTAGGCTCCTGCGAAGTTGAGGCATATTGAGTTGCGAGGCTACCAGAACGAGAATCATGAGTTTGCATGTGAAATGACTTGAACACTGGGAATGCATAATGGTTGTCGGGATCAGATCAAAGACTGTGTAAGTTGACAATGGAGCTTTTATCATAGGTGATGTGACCTGGCTCTTTCTGCGGTGAAACTTACTAACCGCTTCAGAGTTTTCTTTTTAGTGAAACACATGTACTGCTTCAGCAACGTTAGAGAAGGGGCGACTAAGTAGTTAAGTGTTTTGTCCAAGGATCACATAGTACTATTCAGTGACTTTTCTCTGAGAGGGGGTATCAAAACTTTGCAAAATCAAGTGAATATAAGAGGGAAAATGAAGAAGCTCTTTGACCCCTTTCACTGCAACAGAATTAGGGCTATTCAAGAGCAACACAAAGTAGACAAACATCATGATGTCAGGGCAACCAACAAGGGGGCAAACAAACAGCTTCGAAATCCTAACACGCATGGGGCCAGTCACTGGCAAAAAGAGAGACGAAACTAAACATAAACTAAGCGAAACAAGATCCGAACTAATTTGTTTCCATAACTCTGCATTCTTTTTCCCAACTATCATTACCTTTAACCTCTGCCATCCATTCTCCTTCCAGTCCCTCATCCCCTCAACTACATGTTTAGGGTCTACGCCCCTAGAGCCCACCTCCAAACATCCACCTCGCCACACATCAACCCCAGCAAAACCCTCTCCCAATACCCACACAACGGTTCCTCAGGCAACTCCAACTCCTGCGGCACCTGCATCTCCTCTTCCCCATTCTTCCCCTTCACCTTCCCCTTCCACACCCATTTCCACTCACGATCCCCCTCCTTAACAGGATACACCCCATTAGAAGGATACTCCCCGCACCACGCGAGGTCAGTCACCTCTCTCGGCCCGTCGCGCAAGCATTTGGCAACGTACTCCTCCTCGCCAGGTTCCCAGACAGTAGCAGAAGAATCGCTTACGCGACCGCGTTCCAGGACCCAGCCTGCGCCAAGAAGGGCTTCACACGCCCACAGGGACTCGTCATCCACGCTTAGACCCTGACACGCAAGTCTTACACGCACGCTGGAGTGGATCCGTTCGCCGGTGTTAAGCAACGGCTCGTCGGTGTCCTCATTGGTGGTCTCATCTACTCTCAAGGTTCTCCCCGGCCGGCGGATGGTTGTCCCCGCCATGGTGGTCATGACGCTGGTGGGGCGACGGATCTGGCCCAGGGACCAGGGGCGGGCGCCGTAGGTCGTGAATAACGTCGCCGGGGGGAGAGATGGTTCTGGATGAGGGGCCGAGCAGGAAGAGGTTGTGCGGAGGGTGCAGGGGCCAGGGGAGCGTTTCACTTTCTTATGTTTCGTCTTCGATTTGAGGGAGTCGGAGTCAGAAGAAGAGGTGGGCGTGCCGCCGTTGGGGGACGAAGAGTCTTTTGAGGTGTTGAAAGGGGAGTGGTAGATGGGTGAGCAGGCCCAGGGCAAAGGCGAGGTCGATTTCGACGGGAGGAGGGAGCGCACGGGTCGAGTTACGAGGGATTTGAGTGAGGAAAAGGATGGTGAGAGGATCGGGACGTAGGGGAAGGGATGAGCGGCGGAGAAGCGCAGGGTCTCGGTGAAGGTGTGCATCATGCGCTTGAAGTTGAACTCGACGCCGAGCGAGGAGAGTTGGTCGGCCATCCCTGCGGCATCGCTCATTAGATCAAAATTTCAATTCACTAAGGCAAGTCTTAGACCTACAAGCCAGCGTGATATCGGCAATCTGCTGGTCCTCCCAGCCGCCCCCGACATTCGAATGTGAACCCGGAAACCAAACCTGCTTGAGGCGTGTTGTGCTGCCCGGTGCGCGCTCCCACAGCGACGGACGGAAGGCATAGCGTGGCTCGTCAAGGGCGATGGCCTGGAAGGCGTTATCAACCTTGTTGGAGATTTGCGTGTTGGTGAAACGCCACGTACAAGTTGTTAGTTATGGACCAAACGTTCTAGAGACCTAGGGAGACACTTATTGATCTGCCGATCCCCTGACCCCTATCACCGGGGCAGGGGGGATGCCCAGCGTGCCGACGGTATCCCAAACGGCGAGAGCCTTAATTTTAATTACTGTGCTGCCGTCTTGGTAGGTATCACGAGTAAATCCGCGCTGTTAAGTCCAGTCAGCATCTCCTCCGTCTACCCCTCTTTTACCACACTCACCTCCTTCAGCGCGTTCTTATATCTCTCCATCCTCCTCGCCTCCCATTCCCCCTTTTTCGTGCCCACACTCCCATCATACTTCTCCAAATCCCCCACCAAAAATTCCTCGACCGGCCGGGACGTACTCCCAATATTCTCGTAGTCCTCAAAAATCTCGTAAAAATAGTCCAGCCCGTCCGGCGTCAGCAGCCCCACGCTGGCGATCATATCCGCAACGGAGCGCGCAGTAAACGCTCCGCGCGAGAAGCCGATGAGAATGATATCGTCGCCGTCGACGTAGTTAGTGCAGATGAAATTATAGACCTCGCGGATATCCTGGTCCAGGCCCATGCCGAAGGTGCCGCCGGTGAAGCGGTCGAGCGAGTTGGCCGTGCCCACGCCAGCGTGGTAGCTGATGACTTGGTGGGTGCCGTCGCTGCAAGTGCGGCAGAGCACGCGGGAGATGCGCGTCACGTTGGAGGGGGGTTCCTGGCTATACAATGTCTTAGTAGAGTGTTCTTCAGCTCTTCTTGAGAAGGAGACACCTACTCCCTAGCACCAAGAGAATCCTGCCACGTCCCATCGCAACACACAATCAGTCTCTTTGGCTGGCCGTTCTTGTTGGCGCTGGCCCCAGATAGTTGGGTATACAACGGTGCGGGCATCTTTGTCCTTCCAGTATGTTCACTCACGCCTTAGAATCCCCTCTTCAATGACATAACCCAGGCAGATAGACTGGGCCCCTCGCCCTTATGTACTGTATAGATATCCCCCTCCTTCCCTTCAGTTCTCGTCTATCAACGTGTCGGTTTCTGTCTGGCCCAATGACATGACCCAATTGCCAGACCAAAACACAAACACCTTCTGCACGTCCCCAACCACCAACTCCTCCAGTCCACAATCCACAAATGCCCCGTGCCCTCTCACAAAAAGTGGCTTCTCATGTTTGGCTGTCTGCACTCTGTATTACACTAGACTAGCGTAGTGGCTTCCCCAAACCCAGCTGATCCCAGCCCCCCAACCCTGCATGCCAGGCACTAACCGCCGACAAGGGCCTAGCACAAGTCCCTCAGCTCTTGGCAGGACCACTGACAGGCCGGCGATCTCTCCGCCTCTCATGTTGTCATGCTTTGCAGCAGAGGTTCTATCCAATCCAATCCAAGAAAAGAAGGCACAGGTGAAGATCGTCGTCGCTTCTTGTTGCTTGCTACACCGTGCCGTGCTGATGGATGAAGACTTTGGATCTGGACTGGAAATACCAGTTCTTTCCTTTTGAGAAAGAGCCACTGTCAACTGAGAATGTCGATATCTTAACGCTATCAAGCGTGCCAGCGTGAGGTCCAATAGAAAACCCCGGGCCTCTATCACAAGCTGCAAAGTGCTGCTCCCTTTCGGATATCAATGATGGCATTAACCCTGTGATATGGCTGGCTGGATGCGTGCATGTGGTTGGAACTGCCCATAGTTGTTGTGGTTGACCTGAAGTGTGGTTTGAGATCGACGCCCAACCCCGGCTCGGTATGTTCCATCCAATTGGGACGGGTTGAGATGGGGTTGGGCTTGCCGAGTGCCGAGACATGGGGGTTATTATCACCGGACGGTCTATTGAAAACCTGGTTGGCGTTCGAGAATTCTTATCGGAGAGACACTGCAGATGACATGGATAGGGCAGTGGTCTGTTCGCTATGTCATTTTTTTTCCTATCGCTGTCTTCAAGTCATAGTCATATCTTATTCTCTCTAACCTCACACAACCCATGAGCCCAGGCCCCAAACATCTCCAAGTCTCCTCAACTCATACCAATAACATCATGATAGACTGCGATATCGAGCGGCCTTCCATGTCTCGGACCTCGTTTTTACATATCCCAACACGGACAACTCCCAACCCTAACTCTTCCATTTCTGTCTCAACCTCCTCCCAAACAGGACACAAATCCTAAGACTCGCGTTGATCATATGAACTTCATCTCCATCCATTTTTTTTCCCAGCAGAAGACGACCGTCTGGCGCCAGCATTCACAAGACAATGCTGTGTTCTGATGCCCGCACCGAGTGGCAACGTGCTGCTCTCCAGAAGTGTGGACAACCTCCCTGATATGTTGCTGTCATCTAGTTGATGACATTGTGTGTTGGGTTCCCGTCGCATCAAAACGTTAACAGTGTTATGCGGCTGGCCTTCGTCGTTGCATTGACAGTTCTTATCGTGCTGTTGCTACTGCTGTTACTGCCGCGTTCCTGACTCACTGGCTGCTAAAGCCAGACAACTCAATTTTCGACCACAGACAGACCCAGTCGACCCCCCCGGCGTCAACCTCCCTTCCTTCTCTTCAGGTCTGAGGAGTTGACGGGTAACCCTCTCACCTTACCCTCGAAGGCGTGCCCCTGACTGGAGTACTCCCACTCCTACTCCTCCTGCTCCTCCTGATCCTCCTAGTCTGACGTCTAGTATCTTTCTCCTTCTCCAAAATCCTCGCCAGACTTTCCATCCCTGCGAGCGGACCTCCCTTCAGGTTTGTTTTCCTTCCCCGGGACGCCCTAGTCCGTCCAACTGCATATCGCGGTGATGATTTCTTTCCCCACACCGAACCCGGACCCATGGTTGTCCCCGGCATAGGCGGTGAGGCATATAGTTCTGTTTCAGCTAGTCGTGGGTATGGCCCTGGCGGTAGGGGAGGGGGCAGAGGAGCTGTTGGCGGAGGAGGTGATTCGGGGAGAGTCAATTGCGATGGGGTTTTGAACTCAGTTCGAGCTTGATCATCGAGAATTGGAGTGGGAGGGACAAGGGGAGGCCATGGCGGGCTAGAGCCGATGTTTGGGGCTGAACTTGGGCCAGTTATCGGGGAGGTAGCGGCCCGAAGATGTTGATACACCCTTCTTGGGGAAGGGGATGGCCCCGCTGCGCGCAGGAACCTCCAGGGTTCAATGTTGGGAGAGTTGTTGTCGCTACTATCCTCATCTGACATGTCCTCTGAATAATCCTTTCCAGAGTCACAATCTAGTCCAGGAAGATCGTCTTGGTCTTCATCGAGGACACCATCAACCCCAAACCACGTCGCCAACCTTGACCTTGACCATGAGTTTGACGACTTGTTCGGCGTCTGCGGTACCCTTTCCCTCCCTTCCGATCCTGGACTTGCGTTTGGCGTCTGCCCCCTCGACCCAACAGGCGTATTCCATGGCGTCCTCGTCACTCCCATCTCATTGCTACCCCTCAAATCGTCCTCCTCCTCCGTCCCCCTCTCGGCGGCCTTCTTCTGCCGGGAAGAGGAGGATCCCGACGGTGATCCACGCCCGGGGGACCTAGTAGCCCAATCATTAGCTGGGTATACAGATCCGGAAACAGCCAGCGAAGCACCTCCATGAAGAGGAGGGTTTGGATCAGAAAGAGGCGTGTGAGGAGTCGGATGAGCCACCTCGCCATTTTCGTGGTCCTGGCGATCCTCCGAGTGGTTGTGAATGCGGAGGTTGTTACGGGCTTGTTGTTGCTGGCGACGGCCGCGAGGTTGGGCTTGGTTCAAGCGACAGAAGCGGGTTGAGAGGAAGGGGAGGGTGAACATGTCCATTGCCTGTGCTTGGGCGTCAAGACAAGACAGTTAAGAGATTGAAGATAAAGATGATGGTGATGGCATTGTATGGATGAATTGACTGGGTGTGGAATGTGGTACGGGTGCTTGAAGAAATAGCATTGAGAAGACAGGCTGAAGAAGACCGGTGAAAGCCATGGGCGGACATGTGAAAGGACATGGAAGGATTACCGGTGCTTACCGGTACGTAGACCCAGGTAAGTGGAAAGAACAGTTAGTTATCAAACATCCACATTGATTAGCGGGAACATGCGGCTGGGGACTGTAAACAGCTGGGTCATGTTCAAACTGTCCCTTCCCTGAGTGTTTTCGTGTGTTCTGGACAATAGGACAACAGGTCCCATGCCCGTGAGATGTAGGATGGGGCCCGGCCACACTCCTTTGCGGACTGGACCGGACCAGGGCACCTTTTTGGGGGGCGATGATCCCCTTACCCTTCTACGAGGAGTTCCTTCGACTGTGGAGACAAGACACATCACATTAAACATCTCTAATCGTTCTATCATTCCTCTATGTGTAACTAAACCGACCGAAGACATGGGCACAGTGGAGATGACTTGCTCTGGATGACCAACCCAGTCACTTGTTAATGGAGCCCTTCTGTCCACCCATAACCAAAGCCCGGGTTTCTCTCAATTCTGTGTCCCGTACTCCTCACACTCTTCATGATACCAGTCCTTTGAACCGCGAATGCCGTCTTCCCAAATCGAAACAAGGCCACAGAGTGTCAAGGTGCGGGATTCTGGACGTCGAAATTGATATCTTTCCGTGTGATCCTGAACAATATGGCTCTTTATTTATAGCACTGCGCTCTCCCGCGGAGCAGGATCTAAAAACCTGCTTGATGTTGCTGTAATAGTTCAGTTCGCACCCAACTTCCGTGCCCGGTCTTTGGCAATATCGCACATGGCCTGTTGACGGACCCATTGTTAGCTTTACATTCATGACGAAATCCAGCCCTTCCTTGCACCTCCTCTGGGGATCTTTCCAAAACTAGCTTAAGCTGTTTCAACCCCGAACTCTCCCCAACCACCTTTCTCCCTAAAGACCTCAAACCCAAATGACAAGCAACAGTCGTCACCTACCTGGATTATCTCCTCCACCTCAGCTGTGTAATTCCCTCTGTTAACCCTCCTCCCCGCATTCTCCTCAATCTCCGTTGTCGATCGCCCATTAACCCACACCACATATCTCAACCCCGGAAACCGCTCCTCATACACCCGATTCATCTCCATCAGCCTCTCAATCTCGCCCCTTAAATGCCCCTGCTCTTCCTTGGATAATCCGCTCAGGGCCGTTAGTTTCTTTTCTCCCAAGCGGGGATGAGATCCCAGGATGTCCAATAATTGCTTCTTGCTTTCTTCATCACCCCCTGTTGGAACGCCCGGATTGATGGACCTGTCTTGAGAGGGGAATGCCTTGGAAGAGAGGGAACGGAGTTGCTCGCCGACGGAGGTAATTAGCTCAGCGTAGGAAGAGAATTGGCTGGAGCGAAGGATGGGGAGAGCAAGGGAATGAAGCGAGGGAGAGGGCTCAAAGAGGAGGTCAAGGGTCGAGAGGAGCTGGTCGTCGGGGAGCGGGGAGAGGGAGGAGATTTCGGGGAGGGACATTGTGGCGTGTTTTGTTGTTGTTGAATCGGCTATGGTTGTTGGGCTGCTCGAGAGTTGACAAGGTTGCTCTGGGAAGTCAAACACTGTGTGTCGAGTTGTGCTGTTATTGACTGATGTTATACCACTTGCACGCTGAAAGGTCTTGGATTTTGGAGCTCTCTAACAGGACAGATCAAGTCGAAGCGTCTGGCGTTGAAACCTTGAAAGCTGGTTGGCGTTCCTTGAACGTGCTATTCCTGCAGTCAGCACTCCCCAAATAGAAGCAATAACACCCATAAGTAGTCCCCCTGGTCTTCGAGCTGGGATGGATGGTCGCACCAAGATAAAGGTGTGTGGTACACATCCGTGGCCTTGCCATCCCATGGCCCTGGATCGCCTTCCCCACAACCAAAACCATAGGAACCCGACGAATGACGTCGATCGGCGCAGCACATCCCCGATCCGATCTCGGTTCCACCTCTCCACCGTCGGTCGGAGCCCGCCGAGTGGTCGATTGATCAAGAGGATCCGGTAAGAGATCCGGCATATCTCTTCTCTGGACTGGCAAGCTAGCTGTTGCCAACGTAACACACGCACACGCGGTCAAAAAACACAAAACATCAACACAATATCAAGCACCAGAAATCCGAATAAAGAAAATGGATTATTCCATTCATATCATTTTTGTTTCACTCCAATATAATGCAATGCGTGTATATAAATCTCAATAGTCAGAATGTAACTCCAAGCCAGATCAGATTGCCACCGTCCGTCCATCCGTGCTACCCACCAACCCACCAATTCCAGGTTCACCGCATTACCCTTTTGCTGAGTAAATCGCCAATGCTAATGATATAAATCATGTCTGATGTCCGATTTTGCATCCGATGCCCAAAACTCCGCATACTGTGGTTGTTGATGTCATTCGTCGGTATCTCATCTGAATGTGCCGTCCCCGTGGTCCTTTAAACCCTTGCCTTCAAAACCGCCGTCCTTTTTCCCATCATGATGATATGTTCAACGTTGTTCAACACCTTGCACACCAAGGAATCCCATCCAAATCATCCATATAATCCTCCACATGCTCGCCATCACCTCCCTCCCCTTCCTCTTCCTCGATATCATTTCCCCCTCCCCCAAATATAACACTAAAGTCGGCATACACTCCCACCTCCTCTTCATCATCATGCATATACCGACTCTCGTGCTCTGAAGTTGGGAATGCAACGCCATCATCATCTGTATCGTCGGATGGCGGGCATGCCGGTATTTGTACTGAGCCTTCGTCGAGCTTGGATAAATCCTCCAGCTCAAGCGGCACCAACGGCCTTGTAACGCGAAGCTCAGGGGATCGCAACGGCCTAAGCTGCGGGCTGGGGATGCGCAGGCGGGCGGTTGGTCCGGTTGGGGGTGGCGGTGGCGTTTGTTTTGAGATTTGTGCTGACGAAGAGGGTGAGGGATTTGTTGTCAAGGGATGAATCGGTCGAGCGTTTGAGCAAGGCACAGGGCTGACAACCACGGGGATCGCCGTTGGCTGGGGCAAACCTGTGGCTGGTCTGACGGCAGACCCCGGTGCCAGACGATTGGGCGTAGCGTCTTGGACGAGATACCGACCGCCCACAATCGTCGCTGTCGCCTGGCCCTGCTGCCGGAAAGCAGCTGCCTTGGCAGCTAGGTCAGCAGTCGCCAGGATGCCTCCTCGCTCGGCAGCCTCGGCGCAGACCCTCTGGCGCAAACGGTTTAGCACAGCAGCCCGTCTAAGCCAGGTAGACGGGCTCGGCTGCTGCATCTGCTGCTGCTGGCCCAGTGTGGTAGTAACCATCCGCCGGGCAGCCATCATGGCCGCCAGTTTGGCGAAGCGCTTGTCGCCGGTTGCTGCCGATTCGCGATTGACGATATGCGTAGCCGGCAGGGAGAAGGGCTGCGAGAGACGTGACGTGACCAGGTTACGGAGCAGCCGGCGCTTCTTGCAGCTCAGCGAGGCCGTGTTAGGGCCGTCGACGTCGGTGTCTGGCCGACGCCGTTTCAGACTCGGCCGGATGACAGGCTCACAAGCCCTCTCCAGTGGAAAAGTAAGAATCGGACCCTCGGGCACAGACAGATGCCGGAAAGTCCAGTATGGGTTCGGGGCGTCCGGTAAAACAGGCAAATAGCTCTTCACGGGCGTCGTGGGTGTCGTCGGGGGCGTTGAAGGCCATGTCTCAGCAGGTGGTGAAATGTGGCCTGTTGAAGGCCCTGGCGATGGCGGTCGTGACGCGGTTTTGGACACCGACAGGACCACCTCGGGGATGATAGCATCGCGATGCGTCGAGCCCGAGGAAGCTTCCCGCCGACCGGCCCTCGAGATCTCGCGCAGTGTGTCGTTCAGGCCGGGAATGGAGGCAGTCTGCAGCAGGGCAGCCTCGAGCTCGGCGCGCTGGTCCTGCTGAAAGCGGATGTCGTGAAAGTGCCACGGGCCGTACTCGCTCAAGCCCTGGTTGAGGGGCTCTAGTTGGACTCCCATGGCGGCTGACATACACTCGTCCTCTTCCCCGATGAATCTCTGGTGAGTCGATCCCACCGATCAGTCCTCCTAGGTCGCGATGACTCGTTGCCGTATCAGCAACGCATGGCCGACGTGTCGAGAGTGTGCAGAGCGGTCCGCAGAGACCATATCAGTGTGGTAGTGTATGGTCAGATGGTCAGGACAGCAGCATCCAGCTGGATCGTTCGTACGCTGCTGGGCCAACTGCACTATTCACTGAAACTTAGAGTGTATCTTTCAGTGCCGTCGTGGATCCTGACGAACAGTACGCGCGAGTGCAAAAGTTGAAGACCAGGTCGCACCAGTCAGCGAGATGCGTGCCTTGAAGCCTGCGCACGCGGGAGTGATCCAGAGGGTCGGAACTGGGAAGGGTGGGAAGAACAGGGCGGGATGGGATGACTGAGCAGGTGAGGTCAGAAGCAGTCAGTCCTGGAAGTACGTGTACATAAGGTAGGCATGCGTCTGTAGAGGATGTACGAAGACGGCAGTCCGGGGCGGGTGGCTGTATTTTTTAAGGGAAAGTTTGACGGGCTGGGCGATCAGCTCTCTGGCTCGTGTCCCTCTTCTTGCTCTGCTCGATCCAGCCAGTCGGCGCCAGGTGGAGAGTGGCTCGTTTCCTGCAGGTTGACCCCGTTCCTCTTCTCTCTGGTCGTCTTTTTTTGGGCGTGCGTGTGCCGTGTGCCAGGTGCCAGGCGAGGTCGTACTGAGCAGGCCGAGATCTGGGGGAGCAACAGATGGTAAATCAGCACGATGCGCACGATGTGTCGATGGCCCCGGGCCGCCAAGGTGCCAGAAACGCTAATGAAGGCTAATGGGCGCAGTGGAGCCCGGGGTTGGCTGAGGTTGCACGACAGGGCATGCCAGAAGGGACGACAAGGGGAAGCTCGCTGCAAGAGTCTGGGGATGGCCTTTCGAGAGCATGAGACTGTATGGGGAGAGACGAGGAGAGAGAACAAGGCGGGGCCAGGGCTGGCACGACGCCCAATGCTGACTGGCTGGCTGCGGGTGGCGGCAGCGAGGACGTCCAGCTGGGAGGGAAAAGAAAGACGGACTTCGTTTCTTCATGCGGTTGCGTTGCATTTTCATCGAGGGGCGCCGTCGCTGTCCAAAGACTAGCTTGACGACCACAAAGGCAAGGCGAATGCGGAGAATCTGGCTGCAGCCACCATCAGCATCACCATCTCATCCATCTCACGGCTCACAGCTCTCGCTGTTCAGGTTCTCTCATCATCACGGCATCGACATCAGCACCATGCTTCCAACACTAATGTCGTTCGATCCATCTCTATCGTCCTCGTCGGAGCTTGCCAGATATCGACTGTTGGCTGGAGTAAAGCATCGGGTATAACGCCCACAGTATGGCATTTCATCGCATACGGATTACGTTGTGTAAGGTAATTTCAGCCTGTGGTACTAGCTGAAATGGCGAAGCTAGCCGACGGTGTCGAATCACACCCAGAGGATCGGCAAATCTGACAGGGCAGGCCAGGTCGTGAGAGGAGAGAGAGTGAAAGCCCCGAGATCTGACTGAGAAAAGCGCAGACTACTCAGACTGCATAGTATAGACGCAGGCTGCGAGAAGAGCTCAGCCAGTGGGCGATTTCCATGTCGTAATTGCAAGACCAATTCATTTGCTGCCTGCGCTTCCCTTCCATCATCCTCTGCAGTGGCAGGCGCCGTTCGATGCATTTGCTCTCCTGCCTTTCTGGGTGCGCTGCCAGCTGCTGCCGGCCGCTACACATAGCTGTCAAGCTCGGCAGCAACTTGTCTCGCTTCGTCCCGAACGCCCTAACACCAAAACTGCCTGGCGGCATGCATGATTCTCAAAGTGTCGAATTCTCACACTACGCGCGACTATTTTCCCCTCTTCTTCTGTCTCCCTCAAAGTCCCAACAAATCTTTCCCTTGTTCAATGACAAGCTTGCTGACGAGAGAACTATCCAGCCCCAGGACCCCGTGATCCTTAAATCCGAGACGTGGTCGCAGAATATCGGAAGCCGGCGACGCAACGCTGCCTTGCTTTTTTTTTTTTTTGCTGCGCTGGTCTTGCGTTTCTCGTTGTAATTTGGTTACAGTATGTTACGCCACAACAACACTTTCCACAGTGTTGGAACGGGGCGTCTCCGCTGAACGGCTGGCTCGTGCCCTCGATTTGCGGGGAATGGTACCCTCGCGAAGCCAATCAAAAACAGTCCCTCCCCCCCTTCTCTCTCCAACTGCTCCGTGCTCCATGTCCAGCGCGGATCCGCAGCTTAGCGGCTCTCTCCTGCACCGATGCTCCATCCATGGCCTGACACAGGTGTGATCACACCCGTCGGCCATCACCAAAGAAGCGTTCTTGTTGACCTCGAAATGCCGGCCATTTCCGCAGCCGTGGTTTGGCTTGGGACATATGTCAAGTCTATCTGTGTCGTGCATTGGCATCTTGACATGTCTCTTGAGATGAACACGGAAAATTTCTCAGTGTTGCTGCGGATTGGCATGCGGCTGCGATAAGTTTGATGAGCGTGGCGTTTTGGGCAAAGCTTCACTCTCAAAGACTTTGAAAAGTGTCTTGATGAAGAAGAGGTTGATGAGCGGGGTTGCAGCCAATCGCCACATGCAAGCCACCGTCTCCCAATTCAGCCACGGACGGCTCCCCTCAATTTCTGAGCATTTTCTGCCCGCGGTCACGCGCACGTCTTCTCCAGACCCAAGACGTCGCCCAGCGTTACCCTGTGTTGCGCAGCGCGCTCCAATTTCCGCTGTTCTCTCTCCTCCAATGTCACGTTGCTTGTTTGCTTGTTTGGTTGGTTAACCCCCGGTTCTTCTCCTGGTTGTTCCCCAGGCCTGCGCGCAGCGCTCCCCTTTGGGCTTAGGTACTTTCAGTGCTACCCAGCCTGATGGATGATGCCCCAGCCTGACCGAACTACTTCGACTTTTGAGGTTTAATTCTGGATGCGATACTTCATGCTGACATCTCGTCAGCGCTTCCGCGGTCACGCATATGGCTTTCTTTCCGCAGTTCCTGCGACCATGAAAGCTAATGAGGCCCGGCGAGAGTTGTACGGTCGCACTATGGGGAAGCTCCGTCAGCTCACCAGCACTTCGCCGACACTGCTCCTCCGTTTCCGTCCTCCAAGTCCATGTCCGTGATGGTTGTATATCCGACCGCCGCACCATATCTCACGCAGGCTGTCCTCTTGCCTGCTTGACCGCCTGGAGAATATGCTGCTGCGTCGTGAGAAATTGATGCTGCTGCACATCGACGATAGTAACAGCAGTCAGCTATGTTCCCGACCGACAATAAGCAAAGACGTGTCCTACCGTCTTGCGGTCTGCAGCAAAACAGCCTGGGCGACGCATCATAGATAAATTCTTCATTAGCATGTATGCAACTACCTTAACCTGGTGCCTCGTCTGTCTGGCAGCTGAACTATTCGCAGCTCGGAAGTGCAGTCTAACGATGCTGTGCGAGCTGCCTGACGTATTCATCCAGATGAAGGTGATCTATCTTTACAGCCTTCCGACTTTCGGATCTTAGCTTCCTACTCTAGTCCAGTCGTCATCAAATATCCAAGTGGAGTCTTTCGGTTGGCTCGGCGTCGGGAGAGATACTCCCGACGGACGGTATGTCGTCGTCTGCTCCAAGGCTCACCGCTTGCGTCATTGACGTTGACAGCATAAACTTCCCAGCTAGCTGGACACTCGTGCTGCTGGAAATAGCATCCTTGGAAGACGGAAGCACAAATACACACACGCACACACACACGCATCCACACGCTCTGTGGACCGTAGTTTGGTTGACCAACCATCCAGATTTTGAGGTTTGAGAAGCAGACAAGCAATTGGTTATCTAACGGTCAAGCTACACTGCCTACCCTCCACCGTTGCACCGAGAGCCAATACCGGCTTCTAGCTCCTAGCTACCGGAGTTCGAGGAGAATGGTTCGCTTGCCGTTGTTGTATGTAAAATGTATGCTGGATGAATGCCAGCCAGGCTGTCCTGTACCGCTGCGGAGCTCTCTACATTACTTGGACGTTGGTTCGGAGCAGTTAAGGTAGGGCCAAGAGTAAGGCTTCAATATACATTCATCAAATGGGCGGGGCCGGGCAATTTACGAAAACCGACCCCTTCCAAACCGACACTCGTCTGCTCCGTAGTTGAGACCCAGCGTCGCGGCACTGTCTTACTTTGTTCCGTTCTCGGTGAGAACCAAAGCGGAATCAACCGAGCCATTGGGACACCGACGCTGTTTCTGGTCGCCGATTCCGGGAACTTTTTTCTCAACAAGCGCTTCAGATCCTAGCGTTCTGCATGTAGCCCAATGGGTCGGTTGCCCTGCTGGCCAGCAGTCTGTAGAATACTGCTGTTGGTCCACTAGAATAGATGTGTCGCCCTCCTGCTGAATAGGATGCAATGCAAGATTGCAAATCTTGACAGCCTTGCCCTCCTCCCAACCTGAAACTACAGATACGTAGCCTGTCGGCGGTCACCGACAAGCTGGACGGATGGATGGATAGATGGGTTTACAGCTTCGCTCAGGCCGAAGGAGTGTTCGCAGAGGAGGGGGAGCTTCAAGCTACGAAGGTACATATGCGTCTGTAAAGGAGGATGGAGGGGAGGGGGGCGCCCCACATTTGTACTACCGCCGCACTTAGCTTCTGGTGTTGGCAAGGTTCTGCAAGGTGGGGGTCATCCCCTCCTTCATGTGTTGAGTTCGCTGCAGCATCTTTCGGTTTCGCTAACTCGCTTGTGAGCGCCCCGTCTTGTTGCCGTTGGAGGGAGGAGGTGTTGGGATTGGGCGGTTGAAGGGAAGTAGGAGTGGGAAGCTCCGTTTGAGTGGGATTAGAAGACTTAAGACGGTTGGTTGGTTGCTGGGCGATCTACCAGTCTTATTGATTTTTATATTATGTAGCAACGACTTGATAAAGGCTGCAGTTTACTTGGCTCTATGAAGTTATGATAGACATATAGGGGAAGCTGACATCATTGGCCTGCATTGTATAAGTTGCTTGAGTCGATGTCCTGGGTTTGTATTGCTACTTGAAATTTTCTCTCCGTGTCTTGACGACGGCCCCGGGCCTCAAATGTCCTTTAGTGCTTAAAATGAGGGTCGACAAGCTTCTTTGCAAGAAACACGATGCTCGTATGGAACTTCCCAAGCTGTTCTGCTGAAACAGGACTTGCCTTCAAGGTCGGAGTATGAGATCCAAGTTTGATGTTCTCTCATATTTTGAGAGTGCATCAAAGGTTTGGCCTCAGTGTAGGTATGTGTGCTGTCTTCACAACCCTGTGCCAGCGACCCTCATGACAGCAACTCGCCAGCTCTGTAGAGAAAAGTGCACATCGCCAGCTTCTCTAACTGGTGTCTTTCTTTGGTTTGAGGTTACCTGGAAGATCTCTATCCATATGATATCACTTACCCTTTATAATCTTATCACTTATCACCAAGCCTTTCTCTGGAATGGTCACATGGAGCAATACCTCGGCATCCACCCTGCCCCGCCCCACCGGGTAGTCTCAGACTCCTAATAAATCGGGTTACCGTGGCCCGGAAGTGGGGCCACCAGCCGAGTCCCGAATGCCGAGGTGTGTGGTTCCGCGCCGTTGAACGCGTCGTCGTTCTGAGAAAGGTAGGATCACCGCGTTGCGGGTCATAGCAGACTAAAGTGAAAGAGTGGAATTCCGGGTCCGGGGCTGTAGCCGGGTGATGAGATCCGTAATCCCGGAGGGGTTTTGAGGCAGGCGCTTTATTGTATCACAGCGGCTGTTCTTTTTTTTCGTTGCATATGATTGTGTCTAGGTCGTTCTTGAGATTTGGGAGATTAGTGATACCCCCAATCGCGATCACTTCGACTCCGCTGCTGCTTTACGGGCCGGACTTGTTACGTCGTTCCCCTGCCGCTGCCGACTGCAACGCCGGGCCGTGAGCGCCGATCCGGGCCGCAGATGGAGACGACACTCTGTGACGGACAACCACCTGCTATACTTGAGTTTCCTCGACTGTGATTCCATTGTCGCGGCAGCCGGTTCTACCACCCACCTTCGCAATACGAATCCTCCATTCAAGCCAACCAGCTGCAGACAACTCCAATCCTAATTCTTTCCCAACCAACTACCATCACAATGGCAACCCCCTCGGAGCCCGCTGCCCTCTCCCAGACCCGCAAATCCAAACTTCCCCCCGAACCCCTCCAACAAAACCTCGACCTCATTCCTCTCCCCCGCCAAGGCGAGACCCGCCGTTTCATGGCCGCGCGCGCGGCCTACTTGCCGGGATCTGACATCGAAATCGATGGCGAACTGCCGATGAACAGGGCCAATGCCTTCGGTGGACATGTGTATGGGCAATCTGCGCTGGCGGCGGCGTGGACATGGAGGGAGATTGAGCGGGAACGGGGGGCTAAGCCTGAGGAGAGGTTGGATCTCCACGTGAGTTCCCCCGAGACCGTCGAACTGAGAGAGAATGGTGCTGACAGAGTTCAAGACAATCCACGGCTTTTTCACCCGTCCCGGCGCGCGTGACCGTCCCTTCCTCTACGACGTAACCCCTCTCACCTCGACCCGAACTTTCGCCTCGCTCAGCGTCATCGCCCGCCAACCAACCCAGTCCTCAACCGCCGGCCCGGCCGCCATCAACCAAGGGTTCCCCCTCGCCGACGCCTCCCTTCCGCTCGCCCAGCCCGCTTTCACAGCCATGATCTCGTTAAAACAACCGGAGCATGATAGTGCAGGGGTTGAGACACAGGAAGAGCCGCCACAGGTGAGATTCAAGGAGATTTTAGAGTCTAGGAGGCCGGAGGAGTGGCCCCCTGCTCCTCCGGTCGATCTTTCGGCTATTGTGGCCTTCGTCGGGGCGCATCAGGAGGGACGGTTCCCGGTTGCCATAATGAAAAAGGTTGATATGCGGGCTTGGAATAGGGGAAAGCCTCTTCATGAGAGGAGGGAGTTGGTTTTGTATAAGCTGCACGCCCCTTTGCCTGTGGAAGATGAGGGGAAGTGGGATGCGAATGCTCATGTCGTGGCTCACGCGTACGTCGCGGACCGCAACGGGCTGCTCATGGTGGCGAATAATATGGGTTTCGGGTTCACTTTGGAAAAGGCGGCGAGTCTGAGCTATTCATTTGTGATGCATGTGGGCGCGAAGGAGGCAGTGATGAGGGAGGAGGAAGGGTGGTGGGTGCAGGAGTTGTGGTTTCCTAGGACGGGGAGGGGCAGGGGCATTGTGGAAAGTAAGATTTGGAGTCCAAGGGGTGTGCATGTGGCGACAGAGTATCAGGATGGAATGATTAGGGGGTATGAGAGGGGATTTGTGGATGAGGGGGAGGAGAGGGAGGAGGGGGAGGCGAGGGAAAGCAAGTTGTAGGGGCAGTGAGGTTGTTTAAGTTCAGACCAAGCATAGGGGCTGTTGGTTAGAGACGAGGGCATAGATAAGAGGTCCAATTCGTTAAACTAGAAGATATCGTCTGTCAGCTAGATATACACCGGATGGATGAGGTAAACTATGGGGGGGGGGCATACATCTGTTTTTTTGCTCGAGTTAGAGTTTAGGGGGAGAGATATTAGCCCTTATTTGTGAATACATCGCAGACGTTCAATACTCATATCTCAACCTAAATTGCCAGATGAAGTATGACCTCTTCTCTCCAAGTTTTTTGCTTTCCCCGGGGAAAAGCCGGATGCTCAAGCCTCAAAGATCATCGATCGGAAGCTTAGGGGAGCTCCGGTGGGCTACAAAGGGTTAGGGTTAACCGTCTGATAGCTAGGGTTGTGATGATGTCAATGACGCAACCACAACGATGGTACTTCAAACATACCAGGTCATAAAGTAAAGCATAAAGTTTCTAGTTGATATCAGAGCCATTCAAGACAAAAAAAATCTCTTTAGGCCCTTCTTCGGGACGAGTTTTTTGCGTGTGCAGTGCTGGTCACGTGCTGACACACGTGCGCTCCAAGCCAACAGCTCAACGTCTTGGCAGGCAAAGCTCGGCTGCTGGAGCTCTCGCTGGGGCCAGATCAGACCATTTCTCACGCTGCAGGAGCCGGCTTCACCTTCCAACTCCTCGACCCGCCGCCCACTACAACCACCATCCTCACCGTTGTCGTCCCTCTCGATAACATACAATCAAGCAGCCAAAATGTTCCTCCAGCGCTCTGCCGTGGCCCTGGCCCGTCGCGCCGCTGTAGCCCCTGCCCTTCGCCGTACCCTGGCCACGACCGCCGTGCGCCGTAAGTTTTTTATGCCCTTGCTCTCCCTCACTTCGCCCAAGATTGGCTGCCCCTCCACGCGAGCGAAAAGAGCTGCTGCCAAAACCCGAAATTTCCCACTGGGCCGACCGAGCTCCGGAAATCTCGCGCAGCTCGACGACAGCACACAACGCAGCGCAACGCAACGCAAAGACAACTAAATTTATTCCCCCCTCGACGTCGAAACACCGCATCACTTCCAAATGAGAGTCAATTAGTCGGCCACAATGCAAGGCTAACACGCGATTTGTTACTACTGCAGGCAACCAGGTTCCGGAGCGCAAGTTCAAGTCTCTGAGCGGTACGAATTGACTACGCCCTGCTTGTTCAACTCGAAGTGTTTTTTTCTTGGCTAGCTTTACAAGTGTTACGACCCCGCGGCTGCCAGCTTCTGACGTCAGTTGCTGGTATGCTGAGCCGAGCTGCGTCAATTGGCGCCGCGGGTGCGGATCAGTCGGAATTTGTTGCTGCTCAGTTGGGAGCTTGAATAAGCTTCATTGAGCTGCAGCATAGAAACGACAGTTGGGGAGATAGATTAGAGCTAACATCTGACAGAGGTCAAGACCGATGAGGACCTGATCGGCCCAGGTGCCCAGCCTGGCACCGTCCCTACCGATCTCGAGCAGGCCACTGGTCTCGAGCGTCTCGAGATTCTCGGCAAGACTGAGGGTGTCGATGTCTTCGATATGCGCCCTCTGGATGCCTCTCGCAAGGGTATAATTCCCACAACTCTGGAGTCAATTGAGACCGCCGACTGATCAGATTCCCGCAGGCACCCTCGACAACCCGATCCCTGTCCGCGGCGTCGGCCAGGAGCAGTACGCCGGCTGCACTGGCTACCCTGCTGACTCGCACATCGTCGTCTGGCTTCGCGTAAGTCTCTTCCTCCCCATTGATCTTGCTCAATTGCGCCTCCTAACAAACTCAGATGACCCGCGATGACCCCATTGAGCGCTGCCCCGAGTGCGGCAGCGTCTACAAGTACAACTACGTCGGCCCCGAGGACGACGGCCACCACCACCACCACCACGTCGAGCCTGAGTACCCCGAGCCCAAGACCTGGGCTGATTACCTCAAGCCTGAGTACAAGTGGGCTTAAACGCTCGTGCGCTTAAACCTTTTTAAAAATGAGGGGGGCTTGGTTCGGCATTATACAGGGGGAGTTGGTGAGCTCGTTGTAGATTAAAGATACCGTCAGGTGAGGTGTGTATAGACGATTTTATCTATGACTTGATTCCCAAGAGGGGAGTGGCCGGTGTGATGACCCTGTGTCTGGAATCATGATCGAGGGGAGACGGAAGCTAAAAGAGGCATTGGAATTGCTCTGATGCCTTTTGGGCAGCTTTGAATTTGACGCAAGTAATGAGCTGGCTGAAGGCTCAGACATATCTCGGGACTGTGAGCCCTGGGATATGCATGCAACGTCGCCTTCTTCAGCCTTGCCGTCCCAGTATCCTAGTAAGATGCCGAGCTTCCCGACCATAGCCCATGAGCTTTGCTGCAAGCTCCATGGGCAGGCTTTGTACTGCCTGGTAGAATTGCTCGCGGTTGCCGTGCCAGAGCCCCGTCTTCCTCCAACCCCTTCAGCCGTAAACCGTCAACCGCGTCCCAGCTCATCCCTCATCCTCACCAAAGCTCAGCTTAATCTTCTTTGCCTTCTTCATCTTGGCCGGTTTTGCTGTCCCAACTTCAGACTTTGCGCCCTCCTCATCCGCCTTCTCACTCGTCTTCCCAGTCTTAACCTCCCTCTTCTTGTTATCCCCATCCCCCCGTTTGTCATCTTTGTCCCCCTCGTCATCGACACCCCCCCCTACAACCCTAGCCTTCCTCTTCTTCCCCGCCCGTCCAGCCCCAATACTCGCCACCACTCCCTTTTTCTCCCCCATATTCCCCTCCCCTTCCCCCTGCCCTTCAACCCTTTCCCTTGATTTCATGTCCACCTCCCCTTTATCCTCGCCTTTCATCCCCTTAAAATCCCCATCCTTCCCCACAACAACCCCCTCCACGACCTCTCCCCTCTCGTCAACCACCACAGGCAGGTCCTCTGCCTCTTCGCTTGCAGAACGGGGTTTTGCTGCACGCCGGTTGGATACAAGTATTGGGTCAGGACGCGAGGGGTCGTAAATGCAAGAGGCTTCACCTTTGAGACGGGCAAGGAAGGGAGGTGGTGCGGAGTGGTACTGGAGGTTTTTGGCATTGAAATTGGACATATTATAACCGTACGTATATGGGGATACGTATATAGAAGGGGGTTGTAAGCTGGGGTTGATGTGGGGGTGGCGAAGTTGTGTCAGGGAGGTTGTCGGATGCTTGGTGTTCAGAGTGTGTTGCAGAGAGGAATTCTCAATGCGTACACGATGCGATCGCGTGGGAAAGGAGTTCGGTTACTTGCCGTTGGGAGTATCTCGATTTGTTTGGGCGTTTGGAGTCGAGTGGTGGGGTGGATACAAGCTCGATGAGAGAGTCAATGCTTCGAAAGTACTGGTATGATCCGTGGCATGCCAGCGGCTGGGATGCGAGTCACAGGTGTTAGGCGACTTTGGCTTAATGATCTGTTTTGCTTTGCGTGGATAGCGACTGGTGCTGTCGTTACGATGGGTTGCGTATTGGAGGCGGCGAGTGCCAAGGAAATTTCTTGGTGGGCTCGCCGCTTGGTCCGTGTGTCTATACAACGACGATTGATAATGTACGGAGGAGTGCCAGTCCGCTTCCACATAGAGGCGAACTTCTCCAGCGGTATCACCCAAAGGAACTCAACATATTGTTGGCAATTGCGCAATCAAGTCCAACGAAACAGAGCAATTCTTGATCATGTCATAATCAAATGCCCTGTAATTAATCGCCACATCCAATTACTATATATATATATATATCTGTAATTACCGTAATGATCCCGTAAGGCTCTGGGGGCCCGTGCTTCTACGAGGAGCGCACGGATCATATGCCAAGCAGATCTGGAGAATCAGGCTGGCCGCCTTGCAGGCGTTGACGACCACGATGAATGAATGGTCCGCGGGAAACTGCGCGTCATCGCAGCAGCGTCTCCTCACTGGTGTCGTTTGCATGGAAACGGTTTTCAGGGCCTCCTTTCCGATTGAGTGCCAGTCCTATATACAGCGCCAGCTTTTGTTGTTCAGGCCATTCCGCTCAACGACAAGGATTCATGAAAGGACTCAAGAACAATTTACCTACTTGTACTTCCGGGTTCCTATTGTTTTCAAATTGGCAATTCGGTTGCCTTGTTGCTTGGCCAACAACTTCCATTTCTTGTCACGTCTACTGAAAGTGAAATTAAGGGTGTTGCAGAATTCCAGAGAAAAAAAAATTGGGCAGATTCTCTCTTGGTAATTCCGGGCATAGCCTCTCTCTGAGCTCCCCTGCCAACCTCTCGGGTTCTGTTCCGCGAGCCCCAACCCTCTCTGCAACTGCACGTGGCCCAAAACTTCCACCTCAACTTACCAGCCGGTATCTTGTACTCACACGTGGGCAGTTACAGGTATAACTCGAGCAAGCAATTAACTTGACTCCGCTTCTTCCAGGTTCCTGTCTCAACACCCTGGCTCCAGCTCACCCCTCCCCCGCTTTCTTCCCCACCATGTGCCTGTTTGCTGGGCTGAATTCAAGCTCGCGAGGACTTTTGCCGCCTAGGCCCTGGTGACGATCCCCCGGAAAGATAGCCGCAAACAAAGCAACCTTGGCAGAAGGAGGATGGGAGAAGCACGGGAGAGACCGAGGTGGCTGTTATCCCCGGAAGCTGTACCGGAGTTGATGTGGCCGAAACGATATGCATACTAAAGAAAACAGCTGACGCTGATGATTGCCAACTCAACATATCCAAGCGCAATCCAACTCAACCGGGGCAGTCTCCCAACATCCCCGGGTTTCACAATAACACCCTTCCAAGCGTGCCGCCCCTCTTCGTTGACGTTCGGCTGCACTCAAGATTCGCTGGAAACCACGATCATGACATGAGGCGCGGCTGCTATTCTCCTTTGACTTCGCCTTATCGCGGCGTTTTCACGCTTCACCGAATCGTCGCCGGAAGAGTAGGACAGCATCAGGGCTCAAGTCAGCCCGCCGCTTGCGTCAAGTGGCTTCTAAACTCTTCCAAAATCGCAACCTTATCTTGTAATCACACAAGGCTCCGTGAAGTATAGTACAAAGCGGCAGCGCAGGGCTGCAGCTTGGAGTATCCAGATTCGACATATTGAGAGCTTAATCTCTTCCAACCTCTCTCCTCCACACGTCTCGGCTGTTTTGTCCGATCAAATGGGACATCTACCGTCGGGTCGCTATGCTGCTCTCGATCCGACGTTCTGCTCATCGGCAAGGTTCATGATACCGTCGCCGGCCCTTCTTCAGACTCTTCCCATGCCATTTCTCTTCAACCATTCGAGATTGTTCCCCCCACCCCACTTCCCTTGAGCCTACTTATGGCGGTGTGCAATATGCTCTGCTCACTCAGCCCCAGACTCAACCCAAAGAAGCGTATTGGCTTATCTCAGAGCCTTTTGACAATCACCCACACAAACAAGCATCGAGTTCGGCTGGACTCTACGTCCGGGACGAGTTCCGCGGGTCCAACATGCCTCCACTTGTGACACAAAGACTCCATTCATTGCCCCCGATCGCCCTGTCATGCTCTTATGGTCTCTCGGCGCTTGATATTACTTACTTCCTCACTGGTTGACTGGTTGACAACCAGATATTGTCCAGTCATAGCGTCTGCCAGTCTTGCAGTGTGACCTTAAGCCCAATCAGGTATCCCAAAGCCACATCGAGAAACAAGTAGTTGTCGTTGAATGGCTCGGGATCCCGAAATTGTCCGCAATCAAGACGATGCGGTCTGTCCAATTTGCAGCTATCAACCTCACTTGCCGGTCGAACTTCTCGGGCCCGTGCCCCGCCCTACCCCCCCCCCAACCTTTGTTTACTACCTCCTTGTCAGTATATAACTGAGGAGCTACCCAGTTCCCTTCGGTTTCTCGTTTTTTTCTTACAGCGCTCACCTGCTATACATATCCGACTTCGACATTGACAAACGGAGATCTACGACATTGGTCCTATCCATTTGGGCACCGGTGCTATGCGGCGTCTTGACTGGCAGGGTCACCGCTCCTTCATCGAGGAGCTCTATAGGAAGTATCCCCTCAAGGTGCTGAAACCTATCATGGAGACACAGTATGGCTTCAAAGCATCGTAAGTATTCCCTGCATCAGTTCTTTCCTTTGCTGATCTTAACATCCTCCTGTAGGGAGAAGATGTATAAGAAACATCTCAAATCTTGGGATCTCGGCAAATACATCCCAAATAAAGTGATGAAGGCCATCGTCATCATCGCTAGGCGGCGTCTGCGATTGTATAACAAAAAGACAATATTCATAGTTCGTGGCCAACTGCTCCCATACCACAAACTGAACCGCTGGATTCGTCGTCACCCGGACGAGACTATAGACCCGGAAAACGAAGAGCCAGGTATGTCAAGAGAAAGCTGATGCTTCACATTTCCTTGTTTAGGCAGCATCCTGATTCCCCACATCAGTGGCGACTCCTAAAAACGTCAAGTACATGACACCGGAGCCTGAACTTCCCCAGAATTTAAGCTTACCTTCCGTCCCATCGGCAACCAATTCGGCTGTCAACGAGGAACGAGCCTCGGGCATGCCTGTCACAAATCATTTTGAGGCCCCTCAGGCCTCTACCTGTCCTCCAACGAGGGCTGTTCATCCCTATGAGCCTGGCTCAACCTGGCCCCAAAACTCTACAACCTATTCCACTGCCGGTCCCTCGGATCACCACGTTGAGACATTCATCCCCAATGCTTTCTCGGGCCCGCAAGTGCCGGCTTCCCTTAACAGCATTGCTGTGCTTGCTCATCAATGTCAAAACATCCCTTCTTTCCATCCTGAACCTGCCCCGCCGTCCGAGCAGTTCGCTCCCTTTTATGGGTATCAACCTCCTCATACTTCCTGGGAGACGGCGTTGATATCATCAGAGGCCCTTATCGGTCAGCAGCACAACACATGGTCGCCTCTAGAAAGTTTCGAGACTGCGACCATCAGCACTGCGTCTTCTGGGTCTAATACCTTGGACCCTGAGGCTATGTCCACAGCTGACAGTATGCCCGCATACCACCCGCTACAGGACCTCAATCTGAGCCCTTTGCACTATGCCGTTCTAGATAACGACATTAGACGCGCAGAAACTCTTCTAAAAGCGGCGCACGCTAACCCTAACTGTGTGGCCCGCGGTGGTACCAGACCTCTCCATTATGCTGCGTTCCAGCGCAACACTGAGATGGTTCGCCTGCTGCTCAGCCACGGCGCAAACTATGCGGCTAAGACTGATCAGGATCGCTCCGTCCTTTTCTTCGCTGTGCGGTGCCCCAACATCAACGACGTCGACATGCTGCCTTATGTCTACCGCGGTTTCCCAAAAGATGTCTTCACCGACGATGCCACAATGGCTGTCATCGATGCTCTCTATGAGGACCCTGCATCGTGGACACCCAGGCGCCGCGATATCAAGATGGGGGATAGAAACGGCGTGACACCGTTGATGCTGGCCGCAGAAAACGGTTTTATCAAAGCCTCCCGGATGTTTCTCCAGCTCGGAGCCAAGCCCGACGCGCGCGACCATGCTGGACACACAGCGATCAAATATGCTGCCAAGTACGCTGCCGCAGCCAGGCGCCGCGACATCATTCAGTTACTGCTGAAGACCGATCCGGCCGTACCTTCTGACATCCATCACATGTTGGAGCTTGTACGGAGAAACGTCAGTCTACCCGATGTGTCACAGGCGGGAAATATGTCGTGGGATCTTGAAGGGATCCTTGTCGCCGAGGAGGTGGTACGCATGTGCTCAGAGAAGGATGTCCTCTGGAAGCTGGAGCAGGTAGCTGAGGAAAAGAGGAATGGGGCGTTGGTGAAATTGCTCTACCATGTGAAGACGAAGTTGAGGTTGGAGGAGGGTCAGGTGAGAAGGCCGGGTGTGGTTAGGGGATGATGGGGAGCGGCCTGGGTTGTGGGTTGGGATGGTCCATTCCGGTTTTCTTGTCTCGATGTTCCTTGCCCTTAGTTCCTTCTGCCCTTCTATGTTTTTCTGCTTCCTTCTCCCCTTGCTTGTTGTCTTGGCTTTTACCGTTGCTCTTCTCCCTCTCACCAGCTCGTCACCTCCATTAAATCCTCCTCCTGTTTGCTTCTTTGTCCCGCTCTTCTTCCATCCTCTGCTCCCCGCCCCCCCCCCTCCCCAGTCTTCCTCTCTCTTTTGCATCTTATTTTACACTGAATGTCGCGTTAGATGATACCCCTCGTTAGATCTGTCCATACTTGGGAGGAGAGTTTGTTTTGAAGATCACCTATATCTCAGCGCCGAGTTTTATCCAATTTCCCGTTGCTTTCCATGCTGTAACTAATCCAAGTTAATGATATTGGTTGACGTTCTTCATTGTAAGCTTGGCCTTAGCTGGGGGTTGGGGAAACCTACCGCCATAGGAACGGTTGGATATGAGATAGAAATGGACATTGGGAGCCAAGGCTCAAGTGATATGGATATGTTTCTTGTTTCCTTAGTAATATCGTCTTGATAGATAGATTTCTTTCATAATTTTTGTCCTCATGTCTGAGATGGTTTGTACACTGGGAGGTATGCAATGACTTGCCAATCTGTTGAGTTGTAGAGAGCAAGTACAAACTGACTGCATACGTTATATCCTGCAAACCCGTTATAGTCGGCGTGCCGGACCAAAACTGTTCATTTTGTTTTTCTTCTGGACTTACCCAGGCTGATGGTTCACAGATTGTTCTGTTTTCATTTTGTGAGTAAGGTAGTTACCGCGTGCGCACCGTCGAGCGAGGCCTAATAAGCATATGAGTGAGGTACATTATGTGAAGCCCTTTTGTATGATGTCAGAGAGCTATTAGAAGGAGCTCGCCAACAAATCAACAGAATTATGAGCGGAGGTGGCGCTGTGGCATGTGGGCCCAACAGTTTGCCGCTGCTGATTATTGGTTGGTTGCCCCCAGCACCCCACGGTTTGTTTACTTTTGTGTTACTTACCCCAGGATGCAGCTCAGGGGTTTATCCCAACTGGTCATCGCGAAGTTAGGATATGGAATTGACAGAACAAAGAGTAAAGAGGGATATATGGAGTTTGGCTTGCAGGTATCTCTATAAGAGCCCTTCGACAGAGGGACATCAGCACCATACCTGTCTTAACTGCCGTGGAATGACGTTCCAGCTGATGCTAGGTTCAATGGGCTTCACCTAGTACTAGCTAAAAGCCCATGAGTAATAGACAATAACTGTCGCTAGCAGTTTTCCTCCCATTCTTCGATCAATTAGTATGTGATTGCAGCAGAGTTGATCCCATTCGCCTAAGGTTCTGACCACCTTCAAAAGTCTCTCACCTTGGCTCTTTTACCACATCCGCTATGACCGACACCAAGCTTCCTTACACCGGTAAGTTTCTTTTCTCACAAGAATACGACCGATATCGAGCCAAATGCCACAATTTCCTCGCCATTTTGGCCTGCATAGGGACGACCTACTCCAGCCCCTTATGTCCTCTGCACAGCCTACAAACTCTTCACCCCCGACCTCTTCATCGAAGTACCGAGGCAAATCCGTTTCTGTTCAAACTATAGATCATTCTGCAAACACAGGAACAGCATTTTCATGCGGTGCATCGCCCTTTTGCGGTGTCGCCTAGCGTTGAAGACAATAAACTGCACTTCAACGCTTTTGGTATGCACACACCCTTAGGGATGCAAAAAGTTAAGGTGCTCAATTGGCACAGATACATCACCGACAGCGAAACAGGCTACTGCCCCTTTTCAAGGATCTGATCGCCACTTTTGGTTTTGTGGGAGACTATGATCCCTCAGATACGGCTGCGACAGCCCGAAATGGTCTCTCGAGTCACTCTTGTTGTAGCAGTTACATGTACTCTATGAGGGGTACACCCTTCCTCAGGCTCACAAACCTGCGTCGGAGCGGGCGGTGAGGATGCGAAGGGGAGGATGTGTCCTAGGGTGGGGGAGGTATCGGACAAAGTGGTGCCGGGGGGGAAATTGCTTACCTTGTGCAATGTGCTGTTTATGGGTACAATGAGGGATTATCAAGCGTCTTGAAAAAGGTTAGGTGGGCGTTGGGATGAGTCCAGAGGATCAGAACGTTAGTGACAAGGAGAGGAGGATGACTGACACATGGAGGAAGAGCAGGGAGAGAGTCCATGTTGGGAGATGATAGAAGACTTGATGAGGTGAGAGGAGGATGTGGATGTGTTTTAATGGGGTTCTGTTCGTAAGCAAGTTGTGGCTGAAGATGAGAAAGACTGATGGTGAAGGGAGATCCAGGGGTGATTGGGTTGATGAAGACGAGGTTAGTTGAGGAAGAGTAAAAGGTTGGCAACTCGTGATGTGTATGGAAGAATGGTTGCTGTCAACAAAGTCAATGAAAGCAATATTCAAATGTCCTGTAAATGCAGTTCATGATGACAATAACAAGTAAAACTCTGATCCAGCAGGAATGCAAACCATCTGTATTATAGAACTGGAATGGGTGTAGAGTTATGGAATGCGATCGCCCAGTGGAAAAAGCAGCTTTGGTGTTTGATTCTCCCATTCTTTAGGCATGTGTTTGGATGTTGGAATGAAATCGACTAGGTTTTTGGTAGATTAGATAAAAAAATCATGAAGTGCGGTGTTTGAGCTGTTTGTAGTCTGCTAGGCTTTGTACTTAATGACGGTTGCTCACGCGTACATCATTTGCGCATGGTTGGTATGATTTATTCTGTTACAGATATGCCATGGAAGTTATTATTGTGTGGAATTGATATTGAGCAATTAAGGATAGGAAAAGGGAAGAAAACTGAAGAATTTGGGAGAGCGACAGTTATTTGACAACACATCTTCCTTTAGCAAACTTTTGCACCTTCCATACTCCTAGAATGTGTAATTCTTGAGATCTGAAGAAACAAATTTTGATGGCATTCGGTATAACAGCATTTTCATCAAATGTTTGCGGGCAGTTCATGTGGTTATCAAGGCAAGTTTATTTACTTCCTATGTTACCCCTGAATGCTGTTAGGGTTTTTGATAGGAATCAAGCCTCTTGAAATCTTGAAATCCGATCTTCATGAATACGTGTAAACAGCAACAGGCTGAATATATAGACTGTGATGATGTTTTACAACGGGTCATTTTTGTTGCTTCTGCATCGAGTGTTCGAGCCGGCCTGAGTTTCCGGCCAAAACTTTGCACCGGACCTAGAACTGAAGTGCAAGTGGTCAGCCGTCTTCCCGTTCTCTGCTCAAGCACATTCGGCTGGTCATCTGCGCATGGGACCCTGTCAGTTCGCTCCATTATCTGTCGTCGGGCATACCATGGCTGTTGTCATCAGACAGCTGAAGGACCAACTGCCCATATGCTTGCCTGGAGAGATCACTTACCGATAAATGCCCAAGCATCACCAACGACTCGTGTCATTTGGCAATATGTAATGAAGAACTTGATGGCTGACAGGACGGCAGGCTCACTTCTCCAAGGACCCATTGAAAAAAAGTACTTGAGGCCGAGGCTCCCCGCATTTGCTTAAACTCATTTCACCAGCATTAGCATCGTCACATCATCAGCCATATCCTAGAACACTTACATGACGACCAGAACACACCAGCCACCCAATAATCTCCATAAACGCTCCAACCAACACCAACATCAACGGCCCCTTCCCGCCGCCTTCCTCAACGCCGACGATTCTCTCCCTCAACCCGGCCAAATACACCATCTTGGTCGCCCTCCTCACGTACTTCGGCGTGATCCATTATAGCCCCTCCCTCTGCGTATCTGCAAGAACCATGCCTTCGACCTTGTCGTCGAAGCTGCCGAGCATATCCGCTTCCGCGATAAGCCTGTCGCATTCCGCGCTCGTGCCGACGTCCATTTGCGAATTAAGCACCAGCCAATTAGCGCCTGGCTGATCTTTGGTGATGAGAAGCTTTATGTGCAGACTCTTGGGTCATATACGGAGGAGAATACGTTTGAGTGGGGGCGATAAGAAAGTACGCAGGAGTATGGGTTGGTACAGAGATTGTGAAGGTGCTGTGGCCGTTGGGAAGCGAGAGAACGGGAAGCCAATGGGGTGGATGGCGCTTTTGCCATAGAATTGCTGCAATGTGAGTCGGGGGTGCTGCAGGTTAATATGTGTCGACCGACAGTCGAGGAGAGGATTGGCTGTTGACAGGAGTTGCTCAATTACTTGGCGGATATGAGCGACGAGGCCGTATGCGGGGTCCTGTTCGCGCTGTCTTTTTGTGCACCTGCCGCAGGAAAAGCCCACGCAGGCGAGCGCCGCGCCGTCCTGGGATGCGTGGGTCGTTGTCAACGGGCTGATGGATACCCGGCTGCAGGCTCTTCTCACCAGAGGAATCGTTTCTATTCCACAGTCAGGCACCAGCTGGTGGCCACAGATGCAATCTGTGCTGCAGCGTGACAGGTTGTTGGATGTTGTTGCCACGGAGGTGAAGTGCAAGGAGTACACCACTGTCCTCGAGGCTGTCAAGAATCAGAAGTGGAAGGCTGATTGGAAAGCGAAGTTGAAGGTTCTTGAGCACGCCCATAACGGCAGGCTTGCTGGATTGCTCGATCATAGCAAGCGTCATTTCGTTGATCTGGTTGTCCTTGAGGATCAGAAGTCGCTTTGGAAGAGTCTCATCTTTGGGAACGAGGACCATGACAAGTCTCGCGGCCTGCGTAGGGATATTCAAACGAAACTCTAGGAGGAGAAAGAGAAGAGCTGGGCAACTGGCAGCGCGTGAGGCTTCCGTTATGACTAGGATGGTGTCTTTCATTGGTGACAGACCCCTCCAGTCAGCACTTACTGAGAGCGAGAGAGTTTGGAATACTGCGATGACATCACGACTCTTAGCGCTCGAGAGTAGAATGGATGGTCGTCTCAATTTTGCTCTTGTCGGAGCGATTTCGGCTCATGGGCTTCTGTGTATCTCTTACACAAACAAACTGAAAGGAACGTGCTTCAAAGAGATAAATAGATCAACCAACCGCAGCCAACGCACTGTCCTTCTCCAGGCTGCAGACCGAGGGTATTCTGGGATTGTTGAATGGCTGGCCAAATTGGCCTTGGAGGGCAATGACAAGTCTCACTTGAACATCGTTGCATGAGACACAAAGAAATGCATGACAGCGCACCGGGCCGCTATGAAAGGCAATAATAGCTATTGTGTCGATGTCTTGGTCAAGGCTGGCGCAGATGTTGCCATTACTGGCAATAATGACTGAACTGCACTGGAGCTTGCGTATAGCAATGGTCTATCAACAACATCGATTCCAACTACGAAGCAGTTATTCATATTCTCATTGATGCGACTCTGGAGATGGCAAGAAACGATCCGGAGCTGGTCGCCATTCGGACGGCTAATGGAAACACAAACCTTCTTGAAAAGTTTCACAGTCTCGATGCACCTCTTGACAGACCTGATAGGTGGATGGACACTAGCCGATCTTGCGAAGCACTTCAACCATCAGGAAACGGAGGCCTTTCTGAGAAACCAAACTGGAAAACGCGTGCAGCTCCCGAGCCCTTGGTTAGCTGAGTTCCCTGGAACCACTCCTCTCGGTGCCAGGAGCATACAAGCCTCGAATAACAGCGATGCGAACGGTTGCACAATCGTTCATACAAGCGCCAAGCGTGTCTGCATCTCGGCTGACCACCCAATTCCCCCTGAGACTTGGCGGCTATTACTTTACGGTAAGTCTTCAAGAGCTCCCAACAGCTGCTGGAGAATATGGCATTGGAATCATTGGCGAAACAGGCAATACCCCCCAAAAATACCTGGAAATGGCGATTAAATTCTGTAGTCCAGGAGATTCGGCCATCAAGTTCCCTGGATGGTACTCTCGCACAAGCAGCTGGAGCACGTCGGGCGGTGTCATGGGGCTATCATGCACACCTTGGCCGCGTCTATGGGTGGCAGACTCGCCAAAGAGACGAAACCATTCACGAAGACAAGCGCTATCGTGAAGGTGGCACCGCTGGGGTTGGAGTCGACTCCAAAAGAAAGCAAGATCTGGTTCAACAGGAATGGCCAGCATTTGAGAGAGGAGTCGGATCTTGGAGGTGATGGTCGTCTGTTCCTTGACATTGGGCTACTTGACGACGTGGCACTTCCCACAACTTTTGTGAGAAATGAAAGCCATACCTTCCGGTGGCATCCTTACTGGTTCCCCAAGGGCGTCGCTGATGAAGACATCAATTCCTTTTAAAGATGGAAGTTTTGGACAGCAGGAGACACAGGAGGTTTAGGGTAGACATGGAGACAACTGATGTGGATGAAGAGAGCATGGAGGACAGCGGGGGTTGCGAATGTGGTTATGACACTGGACAAGAGCTTTGGAATAAAGACAACAGTGGAGGAACTACCAACTGTGGAGGTCAAGGGTAATTAACCAGTTTGTCTTCAAATGTTTGTTATTTTATTTTATTTTTGGGCCAGTTTGTCTTGATGAGCCTGATCGCAACTTTATTTCTCGGAATTTTAAGTTATACTCAATTCTTCTACTATTGAAACGCCAGTTTGATCTTCCAACATGACTATATTATGACCAACATTATAAGCAAACATGACCTGGGCGACCCACAATTGTGGTTTCTGGAACTAACACAACCGAGATGTTTATGAACGGCAAGGTGACATGTGAAGTCATTCGCAACTGGCCAGAGGAGACTCGACCGCGACTGGGAGATTCTTTGCGCATTTCCCCCATTACGACAGTCAAACTAATCCAGAATACCGCCCCACCCAATCCGTGAACCATTCATCATCCGTCTATATCCATTCATGTCCCAAACAATCCCACACGCCCTCCTTAAATCTTCGTATCAACTCCTCCTCACACCAACAGGTATGTCTTACATTTAAGCCAGGACGGCAAAGATACCAGCAGCTGCCAGTGCAAGCATGCTGCCAGCGGTAGCAACGGGGGCAGCACCGGTGCTAGTCGACGTCGAAGCAGCACCCGACGAGGTCACAGAGGCGCCAGTAGCCGTGCCGGTGGTGGTAGCAGTCGTCAGGGTCGTGGCTGTCGAAGCAATAGTCGCATCAGTAGCCGTCTCAGACGACGTCTCCGACGAGGCCTTGGTGGTCGTCGCCGAAGAAGTAGTAGCAGTAGAGGCAGAAGAAGTAGACGAACTCTTCACATCATCCTCATCATCGGTAGCATCGCCCGAGTCGATAACCTCGAACTGCTCCGACTGGGCAAGGATACCCGTGTTGCCGGGCTCGACGCTCTCAAAGTTAAACTGGTAGCCGCCGTCGTTGGGCACCTCGTCCAGCTTGACGACGTAGCTGCCCTTAGACAGGTCAACGGTGGCGATGTCCCGCTCGAAGGGGGTGTGGCCGCCGGCAAGGTTGACCAGGCGCAGCTTGGCTTGGGCCGGGTCGGTGCTGACGGTCTCCCAACGGACGGTCACGCCATCATCGAGGTCGACTTTCTCGTTTTTGACGGGGGAAGTGATCTTAACGGCGTTGGCCAGGGCCGCGGCAAGAAGGAGGGTGCTGTAAATTGCGTGCATTTTGGCTGTGGTTGTGGGTATGATTAAACCAACTATGTGGTTAGGTTTGTAGTAGTTGCTGTTCAACGAGTGTGGTGAAAATTCAAGGTTTGTCTTTGGTGTAGCGAACGACGATGACGACTGGGAAAAGCGAACGTGGGTTTTTGAAGTATGTGGATGAAAGAAAAAAAAGACCGACCGGAACGCGTGGAAGCGAGACACAAGACGAGTTTATCAATCAACAAGGAGCGACAGACAGACGAATAGAACGGTGGGAACGGTGACACATTCTGCTCTCGGCGGATGGAGAACGGAGAAGGATTCTCGTCCATCCACAGCGTCATCCACATCCAGTGGGACAGCCGGTGACCAATCTTCCAATGTCCACTGTCCCGCGGCTCCGGTAAGCCGCAGCGACTCCACTGATTAACGCTGTTGCGCCAGTGAAAAGCAGGGAATACATTGGTCCCTCTCCACTGAGGGGCCCCCGTCAGCCCTGCGTTCCCTTGACGCCACACTTTGCCAAACAGCGAACTTGGAAGCAAAGCGTCGACAAGCCAATCTGCGTGCAGCCGTTGGCTGCTTCGTAGCCGGCACTCTCGTGATCGACGTTGTGATGGGTGGGCTGTGTAAGGGGATTACGAAGCGCAACACGTGTTGTCATGGGAGTACAGAGACATGCCCATATCAGCATGCTGCCAGCTAGGTATGCAATCCCTACTCACACCAAAATTGAGCTGCTGAGCTGAGAACACGTTGGGTAGGGTACGAGATTTTGCTCGCGATAAGAATAACCCAAAATGCCAGCAGACAGCAAGATGAGGAAGTACAGCGGGGAGGTAGGGAGCCAAGGTAGCGCTGACACGACATTGGACGGCGCGAGTCAGGCAATACGAGGCGCAGCAACGCTGGATCCTACTGTTCCCAGGCGTGCCGACGGCGTGGTCTGCGGCATCGGATATGCCTGTCAGGTTTATCAAGTCAGGATTCATTACTGCTCGGTTACTATTGTCAGCAGCAGCAGCAGTCATCGGAGCCCAGTGGCAGCCTGCGATGATGAGAGACAGCACAAAGGCGGAGGAAGACAGTTAAAAATGGCAGAGATGGGCTAAGTGCGTAACACAGTGTGGTCAGCGTCGGAGTCAGCCTTTGTCCATGGCTCCATGTTTGATGGCTCCATGCAGGCGGGCGGGCGGACTGCATCTCAAGCTGTCATCGTGCCGGTTGGGACAGATCGGACACAGGCATGAGGCCTGGTCTGGATTTGACGTTGCGGCTGCCGTTTGCGGGCAGTCGAGTGCAAGATGTTTATCGGGCTCTGACTGTTGACGGGCAACGAGGAGCGATGTAAAGGTTTCACCAGTCTCTTTTAAGTCAGCTTCGAGGCAGCAACTGATGTTCGGAGTTTCCGTCATTTCCATATGCCCCATGTGTCAACTTGACTAAAAAGTAAAGGGTGAGAGCTATTTCGCTCCTCAGAGACTATAACCGCCCCTTCGCCAGACCAAGAGCGCAGTCTTCTGAATCATTTTGTCTAGACGGGTTGCTGTATTCTAGCTGTGTTCTATTCCCGTTTTGTCATCTGCCATCTTCGATCGGGTCAGGCGTGCGGTTTGGTGTATCAGGATTAGAAATGCAGGATACGATGACTGGCTACACTAGCGCTCAGAGCAACTGGGAATGCTAGCAACCGTAGAGTTGTGGGTAGTTGTCAATCGGACCCCGGGAGTTCAAAGGATGATTCTTGAGAACAGCAGGCTGGGAAGAAACGCCGACGATCCGGCTTATCGCGATCGCATGCTGATCCCATCGGTTTAATCAGGCAAGCCTGCAGTCTTGAAAATCTTCAGGAGGGTTGCTTTCCAAATCTGCTCGATACTGTGACGGCTGGTGGAGATTGGCCTGCACTCTTCAGGAGATACGTGTCAAGGCAGCACATCTACTTGTACGTAAAGGGGACGGTAGCAGCATATACTTCCAAGTCGAACGAAAGAGAAAAATGCAAGCAAGTACACTCTCTACGCGTAGCAGATGCTTAAAAGCAATCTTAGGGCCCAACGATCACCAGCATCGCCATTGGCAGCTTGGCATCGGCAGCCGGCAACCCCCACGCTGTTTAGAGATGTTTGGCGCAGCCACTGGCCAAGGGATCGCCCATCGTGCGTTGGGGCCATTGGTGGCGACCGTGTCGGAGTGATTCCATTTGAGCTGGCGGCGATAGTCTCGATCGCCAATTTTCTTGCCTTGTGGGCCGTCGGTCGAGTGACAGAGCTCGCCGGACTCTCGATACTGGCTCCGAATCAGGCACTGGCATAAAACAAAGACGGAACAGCTTGGGGTAAGATTTCGCAAGACCTTGTTCCCCCACACATTTTCCTGTGTTATCTCACTCCCTTTTAATTGTTGTGATGTAAACTATCGTGGTGTTGCACTATTTTGTCGCGGAGCTTAGCAGAGGGCTCTGCTGGTTATGGTTAAGCACAGATCAACGGCAGCGAAAAAAAATCGAAAATCACCCAGCTGCCAAGACTCGGTGACAGCTGCCGAGGGCAGGAACCAAACCTGAAAAGGCTCATGCTTGCGACACTAGGCAAGGGCAGGCTAGGCCATGCCAAGACCGGCCAAGGGTCTTACGCTCGGATATTGTGGGGCGCATCAATGGATTCTCGCGCTGTAATTTGCTAAAAAGAAACTTGGCAATAAAAGTGAGCCGGTTTCAACAAATGTTGCCAGCTGTTCCCACCTGCCAATCTGCGCCAAGCTTTTGACCCCTGGCGCGATCATCTGCAGCCATGGGAACGACAGCATTTCCTTGACAATCGACGGCGCCGGCTGCATTACATCAGCACATCCCATCCACCCCAGCCCACCACACCATCTCGACAGAATTGGCATGGGCCAGGCCATGCTTGGATTCAGAACCCGTAGAAGGGAATCGGGAAATCGATGATCCTCGTCTTCCGGCTCGCCTGCCTCGCTGTCATGCGCGCCACAGCCACATGCTGGGGGATGCAGTCGGGGAATTGGGGAATTTGGCTGTTTTTCGATTCTGATGCCGAGCTGAACATCGAGGCCACGACGCTGGGAAAGCCTGTGTTCTCCCGTTGTCATCTGTGACAAGCTGTGAGTCGAGGCGGAAAGCTGAGGCCAAGGGAGTGAACTGCAACTCTGGACGCAGAACAGCCATGGCCCATACATGATCCATCACAAATTAGCTCGCCGTCTGTTCCGTCCCAGAAAGAATGTCAAGTGGCCATACCAGATTGACAGTTTCTGTGTCGGCCTTGCACCTAAATGACACATCTAGCTTCCAGATTTCGCATTTTCAAGCGAAGCACTACACCACAAGGAGGACCTCGATCCAAGACTCGAATGAGAAAGTGAAACGATCACAGGTCCCATCAACTGTCGCCGTCTCCGACCGGATTGCATAGGGCAGACACGTTCTCCAGGGGGGTTGCTCCGCGAAAGGGAAATTGCCAGCCAGGATGCCGCTGCTTAACGGCCTGGCCGCGAGCATTGACGAGGGTTGGCGTGCGGTAGCGAGTGGCATCCAATGGAAGCCGGCTGACTGTTGGCTGCCGATTGGCCGCCGACGCCCTTCTAGAACCGATTGGGGAAGGCCTTTGGCCGTGTCCAACATGCTTCCAAGCCTTTTTCAGGACCCCGGTCGCAGTTTGGCTTTGGCGCTGTGCTGGCTCTCGTTGGTCTGCACTCCTTGGCTTTGCTGGGGTCCGATCGGGGAGAAGAAGGGGGGGCTTTGCGCTAGGGACGCCGCTGGAGGGGAAAGGGTCGTTTTAGGGCCTGCTGCACTATTGATGCAACAATGCTGGGCCGACACTGCGCTGCCGAAGGGCCCTGTTAAAACGGCGGTTGCTCTCGAGACCCTCTGGGTGCTGGAGCCTATCATGACTGGAATGATTTCATTTGGAACGGCCAACAACCGCTGACTGCCCATCCCCGTGTGAATCAACTGCGAGCGACGAAGTGATGGACGATTGCTGATCGCTGAACGACGACGAAGACGACGAGGACAGTGACGATAGAGAGCCGTGAGTGTGTGCGACGGTGTGTCTGTGCAGGCAATGATTGTTTGCTGGGAGCTGGGAGGGAGGACTGCGCGATCACGAGACTAATATCAGACTGGTTGACACGTCACGGAGACTCACTTCGACTCCTCACCCTCGCCTCAACATCGACTTCATCCCCCCAATCGACCGAACCAAAAAGAGTTCAAACGAAGGATAGGACGAACAGACGGGAAAAGGAAGGACGGCACGGCCGCAGGATCGTCATGGATTCCCTGCACTCTTCCAGCAGCGGCATCCCGCCGCCTGCGCTCGCTCCTCGCCGCGGCCGACGCGAGAAGCCGTGGCCGCCAGGTAAGCAGAAGAAGCTGCTGCGTCTCTACGTCTGCACTCAGAGCGAGCGCTTGCCGCTGGTGCGCATCTTGGAGCGTCTGAAAGATAGCACGTTTGATCCAAGGTGAGTCCGTGTCCCCCTTCACTTTCCACGCGTGCCACTCTGGACGCCGCTGACGGCCCAGGCAACGCAATTCCCACAAGCATCTGAAGAACCTGCTTCCAGACCGTCGTATTGATGACTGGCGGCCGCGTGACCTGGCGACCATGCTGGTTCGTGTCCGGTTTCTGAGGTCAGTCCGGGAAGAGCGCCGCCGGCGACACAGACGGTACCGCATGCGCCTGGAGATGGCCCGCGCCCAGTTTGACGATGCCAGCTCCTTGTCACCGCAACCTGTGATGTCTCTTTCCCCATTACCAGTATCCATACAACAGCAGGACGCGAAGCTACTCTCTCCCATCGATCAACCACAGACCTTCGACAGCCCCGTTGCTATCAAACAATCACAATCCCCCGGATCAACACCTCCTACCCTCGTTACCTCGAGCGCCAGTCCCCCAGACTCTTATCCCCGCGACAAGTCACCATCCCGAGCATCCTCGGCACCGTCATCAACAAAGTCAGCAAAGAGGAGATCATGGGCATCGGTACTATCGAGCATTTCGTCCGGCATCTCGAGTCTCGCCCGGTCGTCCTCATCAGCATCATCAAAGCAAATCGTGGTCAACCCCTCCGGCGTCAACACCGCCCTCAGCAAGATGACCCGCGAAGAGTTCTTGGCATCCCTGCAGGACAGTAAACCGATCAAGAAGGGCAGCAAACTCGGCAGCGCCCTCCCAACCAGCCTGTTCAAGCGGTACTCGACATCGAATCCGCCCGACGAAGAGCTCAATATGGCCATACTGCGCATGTGCTGCGCCAATCATGCCCGTAACGACAGCTCACAGCACTGTGTTCACGTTAGGTTATCAGATGCTATCGAAGCCCAGGCCACTGAGGGACCGGCGTTCAGGCATTTCACGCTGACTGATGATGAGGCGAATATGGTCGATAAATATGGTAACACGTTGTTGCATACTGCGGCACGCTGGGGTGCTCGAATCTCATTACTGTTGTTGATCTTGCGCCACACGGACGATGTGCAGGCTGTCAACCATCGGGGTGAAACCTTCCTGCATGTCTATTACCCTCCGGAAGACCCTCGAATGAAACCGGTCTCGTTCTTGAACCTGCTGCGGCAGTTGCGGGCACGGGGATTCGACTTCTGCCATCGCGACGTCGAGAAACAGACCTTCTTGCAACCACTCGTCGCGAAAAAAGGCTTCCCCGTCGAGACGCTGTACTATGTCTTCCGGGAAGTTGGCCAAGGGGCAGCCAGGTTCCTCGTCGCCAACCGCTGTGCCAATGGCGAGAGGTTATGGCACAGCATTCGTCGTAACCTGGACCAGGCTGCTCCGAAACTGCACCGCATCTTCGGCGACGAACTCGAGTTCATCCGACGGTATCTTCCCGAGTTTTCATGTGAGACCAAAGCCCCCTCTACAGCAGACACCTCAACTCTTGGCTCCGAAAGCTCAATCTCTGTCCATCCAAACGACTCTGATCCCGATCCGAACGACCGTAACAGCGCTCAGAACCTTCGTCGGACCCCGATGATGAAGCTCTTCCGTCGCGCAGCTTCAGGGCGTGGGTTTCCAGATAAGGAGCTAGTTGAGAAACTCGAGAGCTTATTTGAGTCTGCCTCGAAACAGCCTGACTTCGACCTCCAAACATACCTCGGCCGCCGCGACACAGAAGGCAACTCCGCTCTGCACTACGCCGCAGAATTCGGCCTTGTCCCTGCCGTGCAATTCTTGTGCGCAAAAGGCGCCCAAGTTAACGTTTTCAACAACTGCGGCAACACCCCCCTGCAGCTGGTCAAATTTGCTATCCAACGAACCGACGTCCGGTCCGACATCCACATGGAAGCCCGCTACCTCCGCTGTGCAGTCATCCTCCTAGAAAACGGAGCCTTTGACCAGAGCAAGCTTGTCTCCGAACGCAGCGAGATCTTTCCATTTGACGTCTTCGATGGCTCTGAGAGGTCGATTGCGAATCTGGTGAAGCAGGGTGTAGCTAGTCAGTGCCGTGGGCTACATCTCCTCACCTCGTCGATGAGCCACCCGCATTGTCCACCCCTGCCACCGGCTTGCCACGGAGAGGATGGGGAATATGAGGGGTGTGCGCCGAGGGAGTGGCAAGTGTGGGATGGACCCAATCAATGGCAAGCTCAGGTAGGGGGCGTTGCTGGTGTTGGAATGTCAATGGCGAGCGGGCAGCAGCCTTGGGAGTGGGATGAGAATCATGGGCATCATGCGTATGGGATGAATCTGACGTTCCAGACAGGGACGGGGGTGCTGACGCAGTGAGCGTTTTCTCTCCTTTTGGCATTTTTTGTTTGGTTGGTTTCCTTGATATACTTTCTGAAACAGCTTGGATGAATGGACGGGAACTTTGGATATCATAGAAGGTTCAGTCAACAAGTCATGGCAACAACATCAAGCAAGCGGTAGGCTGGCCGGCAGGCAGATGAGGCGTTGGGGAAGAGGCGGCCCTCATGACAAGTGGTCATGCGGCTTAGTCGACATTCCTTTACTATTTTCGCTTCCTTTTTGGTTCAGTCTTCTGGATCTGTATCACTACCTTTTTCTCATGTGGGCATGTGCCCCCTTTTTTGTCTATGTCTCTACTAGGATGTGATGGATCAGCGCTGGCGTTGGGAGTGTTGTCAAAGTCGATCCCTTACGATTTTTCTTTTTTATTAGTGTCCTTCAAGGGGAGGTTGAAGTTGATTGAGAAGATATGAATACCCTGTGGAGGAGACGACAGTATGTATATAGTAATAAGTCTAGTGTCAACCAACGATTGCGGTTGAGCGTCGTTTGCTTGTCTTTGTATCCGTCGTTCCTGTGCTTGTGTTTGTGTTCCTGATCCTGTTGTACGATGTTACGCGGGCTTCTAGCCATGCAGCTTCCCCACCTTGTGTATTCTGTCCGACTTGTTCCAAGACATGGAACATAGGATTGCAGTGCCAACACATTCGGAAGAGCTACCAGTAACCCCTGATCCTTGTCATCTAACCAGCCGTTCGGATCATCATTTATGGTAGCACCCGAGTGATTACCCCGGAGTTGTTCAGCTCCGTGGAAAACATGACTGCATTCATAAAGCTAGGTCAATCTACAGTTCTCACAGGAACATGTCTATGCCCCAAAATATAGTGAAATGCCCGCATCGGACTAACTACTAGCTGCCGGCCCCTAACGACGAACCATATGTTGTGGAACATGTGTAACACGGCGTGCGTTAGACCATTCAATGACAATGATTTTATTAGCCATATTACTAGTTTACAAACATCCTCTATCAGAAGCAATACAGGACAAACCCCAGATTTTAGGCGACGACGGCAAACAATATGCAGCAAATTGCTTCACGTGGTGGCACGAGCTGGATACTACTCAACATAATGCTTCCGGAGAGGCTTTAAGGAGGTGATTTTGCGCCTTAAAATGACTGAAGGCAATGTAGTCGTCATCGGGGCGGGGGGATATATCTGTTCTCTAACAAAACAAACCACACCATTACAGCAGTTCGGCGTTGCCATCCCGCTTTTAGCTTCCAAAGATCACAGAAAAGACTCAAAACACCCACCATGCGCCTTACAATCCTCCTCCTAACAGCCCCCCTTGTCCAGGGGGCCTGTCTGACCCCCCGTCAGAGCGCAGCTACCCAAATCGTCAGCCTCTCCTCCCTGGAAAACCTCGCCATTCGCTCCAATGGCCAAATCCTCGCCACAAACATGAACTCAGCCCAGCTCTATTCCGTTGACCCCGTCTCCAAGACCTACACTGCTGCCCTAACCGTCTCTGGCGCGTCTCCAGGCCTCTCAGGCATTGGCGAGGTCACACCAGATGTTTTTGCAGTTATTGGGGGGACAAAGCAGGTGTATAAAGTAGATTTTACCGTCAACCCGCCAACGAGCTCCCTGATTGCAACAATCCAGGAAGCAAATAACCTCAACGGCCTGGCCGTCTTTGACAATTCCTCCGTTCTCCTCGCCGACGCAGGACGTGGTGTTGTGTACAAACTGAATGTAGCAAACGCCCGCTACGAACAAGTCCTCTCTGACCCAACCATGACTCCCACAGGCGGCATCCCCTTTGGCATTGACGGGATAAAATATGATGCCAAGACAAGCACAGTCTGGTACACCAACATCTTCCGCAACAGTCTGCACTCCCTCCCTGTGGAACCTACCACCGCGAAAGCGACGGGCGTAGTAAAGACGTGGTGGACCAATTTGATGGGTGATGACCTGTGTCTCTCAGGGGACACAGGGAAGGTGTATGTGACGACGAATATGGGGGGGAATTCATTGGTCGAGTTGGATCCGAGTGTGGGGGAGGAGAGTAGGAAGACGATCGGGAGTGTGCAAGGGAGTACAGCGTGTGCGTTTGGACGAAGGGAGGGGGACACGGGAACGGTTTATGTTACCGGGGCGCAGGGGCTTTTTGCTGTTCAGGTGAAGTAGGGATGAACAGAGACTTGAAAGGAGATTAGGTATTGTGGGAGGGGTATAGTATTGAGTGGGACGTCACAGTCTACAGAAAAATGCAAAGTGTGTGCATGCATACCATGCTGTATGTTTCCTTTTTTTTTTTGTTCTTGCCAGCGTGAGGGTTAAAATAACGAGGATGGGGATCTAGTTTCAATGTCCTACCTATAAGCGATGAAAGTGCAACATATTGACACTAACGCCATGAACCAATTGACCAGACCAAAAGAATGACCAAGCAAAAAGCAAACCCATTACGGGCGCAACCGCTTGTTTACTTTGGACGGGCTGGGAATCGAACCCAGGACCTCTCGCATACGCCTTTTAACCAGAAACCGCTGTTTGTTAGGGTAAGGAAGCTTCTGGTTCGGAGAGATGCTAAGCGAACGCTCTACCAACTGAGCTACACGCCCATCGCTTGTTTGGTTGTTATTGTGGGATTGTTGTTTGGAAACAGGGTTGATGTTGCGCGGATACGTGTGGGGAGTTGAAGAGGGATTAAAATTCTTGTGTGCGTTGTGGGGATTCAGGAGTTTAGAGGTCCAGGGGTCTCGAGTGATAGCGCTGCGGGGATAACACCGGAGTTACTTAGATAGCGCCAACAACCTGGAGAATGTCAGAAAACAACATTCATTCATGATATAATTCTCGTTTCAACATAGATAAGTGATTGCATATTGCAAATCCTAAAGCGTCATGACTAAGAAGGGCTCTATCTGGAAGAGGGGGTCCCGTGCAGCGAACTGATCGGAGTAAAAGGGAGTTGTGACCCATCAAACCTAGAAATCTGTCCTCAATAATCCCACGCATTGGATAGGCGTTCCTCAACGCCATTGAGGAGGAAGGAGCAAAGGAAGACACAAGGGTGTATAAGATGTAGATAGACTCCAGGCAGGACTATCTGGCCGAAGAAGCTCCCCCAGTCAGCAATAGAAACAGTTATCTGTTTAACTGGTGATCACCATGGATCATTCTGAATGTGCGACAACTCCGTCTCTCAGGCACAGCGGCCTGGCACCTCTCGAACCCATCTCAAGAGGCCTGTCTGGATCGTCGCACAAATGCCTTCGGATAGCAGCTTTGTAACGTTTATGATGCGGGTTACTAGCGGTTGTCTAGAGAGATACTAGTTAATAAACAACCTAAGTTTAAACATAGCTATAATGCAATACAAGATGAAACTAAAGATAGCAATAGCTTCAGGGGCTTGGTAGTAAAATGATGTTAAGTTATAGTGAGAGGTATCAGTGCTTTGGATTCGTTAGCAACAATTCTCAAGCTAAGCTGTGACGATATGACAACCTTTTGAGATGGTTCGAAGGTGGTAGCCAGGTTATAGAACTTGAGGGACTGAGTTTCTCACACAGTAGTATGTGTGATTGGCTTGCGGTCAGCAGTTGTTGGTTGACAACTGTTTCTATTGGTGATTGAGGAAGTCCGTGTTATGATCCTGGAAGTGGGTAAATATATATAAATGTGTATATCCAGAGGTCGTTGACACGCCTATCTTGACGTTTAGATTATCGCCAGCCAAGTTTAGGATTATCGTCGAGAGTTGAGGTCGATAATCGGCGACTCTTTACTTTGTTAATAATCTTTCCCTGCCTTTGATTGGTCCGCACTTCGACATCCCTCGGAGCTTTCTCATTGGCCAGGTGTTGGTCCGCACCTGAGCCGTAATATAAACGCTTCTCAAAACTTTAAATCTAAACCTTTCGAATGTAGTAGACTAGAGCGGGGTTCTTCGCCCATTGTGCGACGATCCAAACAAATTTCCCGAGATAGGTTCAAGAGATGCCAGGTCTATGGACCTGAGAGACAAAGGTTCTCACACAGCCAAAATGGCCGTTGTGGTGACTAGTTGGTAAACAACTGTTTGTAATAGTGCTGGCTAGAGAGCTTCTTCGGCCAGATGGCCCTTCCTAGAATCTATCTACATCCTATACACCCTTGTGGCTTCTTGCTCAAAGACACAAGCTATTGAGGGTCAACATCCTTGGTGTTGAGGATCAATGCCCCCTGGCATTGAAGAACTACTTTCCAATGCATGGGCTCGTTTGTGGTGGGGGGAATATTTGGGCTTGATGGTTCACAACTTCCTTTTCCTCCGATCGGTTGGTTGCACGGAACACACTCTTCCAGATAGAGCCCTTGTTGGTAGTGACACGATCCGCTTAATGCACTCATTCTCCCTTCGTTGCTGCTTCGGTGTACAGCTTGTTTAGTTGACCACGATTGATATGGCCGTCTCCAATGGTACCTGTTAATGGAGGAACTTTATCAAGTTGAACCGCGCATCTCCTAGGCCATTGGGCCGTTGATGAAGGTGGTGTTGAAGATCTTCAGAAACTCTCCTCCCTCTCCGATATAACATAACTAAACTCATCCTCCTGACTGCATAAGCACATCAAGCGTCTGTCTTTGTCCGACTGAGCGCATTGACCGAGAACAGCATACAGAGGTGACTGATTCGTGGTTTGACAAATTCGAGGGGTTCAAAGCAGAAGTTAGAAGAACCCGGGCAACCATTTCCTCCAACAACCAAATAATGACTTGCAAAATCAAAGTCGCTGTCTTGGATCCTGGCTCATTTTCCAGCTGACTCGTTGGTGACGATGATGGGTTGTCCCACCAAGACCCTCGCCGAATGTCACATGGACACGGCAGTCCGAGAAGAAATAATTTTGACAATCGACATATAGAACACCAGTGACACAAGAGCTGAAAAGGGCAAAGGCATATCTGATTGGTAGAGCCCGGAAAATATGAAGGGTGGCAAGAATGAGTTAGATAACCTTGTCACGCTGCAAAGAACCCCTGAGGATTATAGGAGACCGCGAGGTACTCACAAGGGCAAAGGGATCTTGTAAGGGAGGGTACTTGGACACAATGAAGGATTTCTCTTGGGCTTTCCTCTCCCCAACACAAGGACACTGAGGACCAAGAAAGATTATTACACGTAGTAATTGACTTCGCTGTGCACCCCACATCGTCAGTGGCCATCATCTAACCCATTTGACCCATTGTCGATCCCTGTCTGCACTAGACCAAGTCACCCGTTACACCGAATGTTGTGTTCAATCGACTGCTTTTTTTCTCAATAGCCGGCAATTCTTGATCTTTGTCAAAGTGTAAGACAAAAAAACTCATAAGTATATATGTTGCTGAAAAGCAGGTATTGTCGTGGTGTCTCAGATTTACTCCAACCCTGGCCTGGATTGGGGCAATTGGGACCTCATGATACAATTTATGCTCAATATATTACAAATAATGAATAAACCTAAACGGCTTCGAGCTAGATTACTTACATAGCAAGGTTTATTTCCAAACCATCACTGATCCATCAAGAAGAGACGAGGTTGTTTTTACTTGAGCAGTCATGAGACCTGTAACCAAGAAGAGGGTACAGGTTAAAGGCCTAGAGTTTTTCTTTATGTCATGAAATCTGCGACACCCATTCGCTTGAGACGTTCAGCAACATAGTCGTCTGTTGGTCTGACTGTTCCATGCGTCAAGTCTTGGGAAATGATATTGGCATGTGAGTTTCTGCCAACACTGCCACAAACGGTGGCTAATGTGTTGAGACTCATCACTGCGCTTACTGGGAGTGCAGCTTGGGCCGTGTCACTGATGTTAAGCTTTCTTTCTTGAGTGACGACAATGTCTTGGATGGTCTATGGACCCAATGGTTCCATTGCCGGGGGGAGGGCCGCGGGGTGGGGGGGGGAGAGAAGTGATGAAGACAGAAGGGTCTCGGTTGATCACCCCCTCATGCTGTGAAGCAAGTGGCCAAGAGTCAAGGGAGCTGTCCCGGGTCATCCTGATATCAGATTTTCACATCAAGGGAAGTAACTTTGAATAGTTCCTTCAAGACAAACCAAGACTTTTTCATCATGCTAGGCCCGTATCGTCAAGGATTTTGGAGGAGGACCTGGACAGACATGAAGAGTCAACGATATATAAGACTTTATATACCGGTTAATATATCGGAATCCGTATGCTTTGCTTGGATTTGCTTGTAATGGTTTAAATCTGCACGATATATGATTTTGCTCTGAACATGGTTTCATAACAGATTGAACGAAAACCCTTTGACTACTTACTGCGGGCCTCTTTAGAAGCCTTTCAGCATCGATGCCCAGCTGCCCAAGTAATGATAGTCACATTTTAGTGGTAAGAAAGAACTGCTGGCTTCTAATTGGCATCACCACCAACAGTGTTTGTCATGGTCCACAACCACAGCATCCAGACCTGTACTTTTGTCTACCTTCACAAAGCAACGAAGCCTCGACGGGATCTAATCATCCAATAGACTTGGGAGGGTATGCTAGGATGGGGGAGTAACTAGTCATGAAAAGAATGTATTCAATGAGTTCCTCGAACACGCATCAGATACATGGAGGCATTGCGTACATTGACTGTTCCAACCGAAGGATACCTGTTATAAATACCAACTTCTACCCAACCTATTATCTTAGCTAGATATCTCCACCAAATACATATCTATATTAGTACGTAAGCGGGATGAAATTGATTGGTTCAAGGCGGACCTGGACTCCGCCCAATGATGAAGCGGTACTGCGTGATCAAGCGCAGATTCGGGTTCCGGAACTCGTTCTTGACGCCTTCGATAGTCACTTGGCATTGTTGCGGGGTGTAATGCCAGACACGGGAGAACAAGGCTGGCGTGTGTGAGGCAACCGACATCTGCATATGCAGCTGCTCATATCGACCGAGTTCCTTGAGGTGGGGGTCCTTCGCCCAAGGCCCAATGGGGATCTGTATGTCGTGTTTGTAGCCCTATGTTAGCGTATACTGGACGACAAAAGCTCACCGAGTATGTGGAAAACCCACCCTGAACATTTTCTCCTGGACATCCTCAAAGCCCGCCTCAATCATCCACTGCTTATGGAACCGCGCCACGTTAAGGCGCTTCCCATACATTTGGCTCGCCTCGTCCAGCTTCTCGACCCAATTCTTGGTCCAGACCGCCCGCTCAAAGCTGTCGTCGTCGCTGAAAATCCAAGCATCGTACTCCTGCATCTCGCACCACCCACCCGGCTTGAGATGTGTGCGTACTTGTCGATAGAACCGCGCCCAGTCCGACACCGTCCCCGACAGCGCACGCCCGTGGATGTAGTCGAACTTTTCGTCCTCGCGATACGTCCAGTCGTCTTCGTAGTCATCCACATGGAACCGGCAGTTGGGCGGCACCCAGTCGGGCTGGATCGGGCTGAGATCGATGCCAAAGACTGAGGCTTGCGGAAACTCCTCCGCCATGTCGATCGCCCAGATGCCCGTTCCTGTCCCGAGGTCCAGGATGCGGAAGTCTCCCACCGGCCGACCCCAAGCATCGCTCTCTTCGGCGGGGATGTTCAGCGGCGCGGTGTACAAGCCGCCATGGAGCAGCAGCCGCCAGATGTGGTGCTGCAGGTCGAGACGCTCCTGCTCGGCCTCATCGTTGGGCAACACATATTGCCCTGAGCGGTAGGCATGGTAGCGGCGGCCGTTTTCGTAGACGTAGTTGTAAATGGAGGAGGTGATCGAGCCGGTGCGCGAGGAGCCGGCTAGGGACTCGTAGGCGGAGTCGGTGTCGGAGAAGACACTGGCGTTGTCGTCGTCTCTGGTGTCGTCTTCGTGCCAGATGGCACTGTCGTTCTGGAGGGGGTGGGGGTTAGTAGATGTATCCACGTGTGTTTTTGGGATAGGGGCAAGGAAAATAAGGCCAAATCCTTCAATAGTCTAGAGAAAAGCCTTCAGTGATGGAGGGGGTGTCCTTGACTGGACCTTGAGAGGCCGAGTCGGAAGATTGGATACAGACTGAAGACAAGAGACTTACATCAACAACAATTGGTACTGGCACCTCATCGTAATCCCCGGCCTCGCCGACCTGGCCGGCAACCACGTGGGGTGACCCGGAGGAATCCGATCCGGATCCGTGAGGTCCGTCGGCGGTGCGGGGCTGCGATGCCGATGGGGCGGACGCCGACCGAGGCGACGACTGCGAAGGACTATTGTTTGTGGGGTTCTCGTTACCTGGGCACATTGCGGTTCATTCTTCGCATCGTGATTGTTCGGGGTTCCCCCTCTTTTGAGAAGGAAAGGAAAGGAAGACAGGAAGAGGCTCCAACGGCCCCGTAAAGCCCCGTTTTTTCCTGGGAATCCTGGCCCTAAGTCACTTCTTCGCCCCCCCCCCCCCGCGGGCGAGACACTGCAGCGGTACTTCTGCTGGGGGACGGGCCCCCCAAATCGCATGGAAGCCGAATATGGTGAGTCCCATGGCTGTGGATTTGGGACGGCCTGGTTCCTTGAAGCGTGGAATGCTTCGGAGCTAGACCTGATTGATATGCGTGCATTTTATAATGTCGTGGATCCGGCTCTTTTGTTAGCGGTGTCTTAGCTGCCGCCATCCTACCGGGCCATGCCTGAATTAGTAAAGCGATCCCACCATGGTTCCACTGTTCTGAGTTGTTGTCCAATTAAATTCAGTGTGTTTGGCTCGTTTTCTCTGCCGAGACTCTGCGTCACTCCACTAGCCCCTCCACCGCCGCGTTCACCCCTCACTCTCTGGCAGCTTCAAGGCGCCCGACTATCATCTGGGCATGCAGCGGGGCAAGCTTCCTATGCCTTCGTCCAGCTTCGTCTTCCCCAAAGAGGGTATCCGACAGGGAAAGGGGTCCTTGGAAATGGTACGTTTTGCTCAATGGTGCATCACTCGTGGCTCTCTGCACGGGGCGGGAGCCAGCGATAGTTAGTGACAGAGAACGATGGCCTGCATTCTCGAACAGTATGCCACCAGAGGCGCAGTGGCCAGCGAAAAGTATCAAGAGGCGAGAGGCTCGCTGATCTGGATGCTGGGATTTCGTGGTCTTTTTCTTCGTCGTCACTGGACAACTTGCTCTCTTCTTCGTTCGGTACACAGAAGCGAGCTTGAGCTCGTCGCGGTGTAGGTACCTAGTGAACGTCAGCGTTCCAGGTTGCACAGAAAGCACAGGCTGACAGCAGCAGAAGACAGAGGCTTAGAAGGGCTGGCCAGGTTGTAAAGCTGACAGCCCGCATCAGGAAGACCCCCAGCCAACTGTCAGGGACAGCAGACCCATTCACATTCATCAACAGCACATCGTTGCCACCAAAACCAAAGATTGCCGACCGCCACTGGGAGTTTGGGACAGCGTTTACCGGCCCACCAGAACCCTGACCACCAACCAATCAACCACTCACAGCAAAGATCAGCATCATGGCCTCCGAAAACACGCAGCAGGCGAAGAAACTCATTGTCGTGGTCGGTGCTACCGGCAACCAGGGCGGCTCCGTGGCCCGCCGGTTCTTGCAGGACCCTCAGTACGCCGTGCGCGGCCTGACCCGCAATCCCGAGTCGCCGGCGTCCAAGGAGCTCGCCGCGCTCGGAGCTGAAATGGTGAAGGCCGAGCTGGAGGATGTCGAATCGCTCAAGGCCGCCTTCAAGGGCGCCAATGTCATCTTCAGCGTCACCCAGTATTGGCAGCCCTACTCCCGGCCGGACTGCCGGGCTAAGGCTAAGGAGCTGGGCGTCTCCATCCGGCAGTATGCTGGAATGGTTGAGCTGCAGCACGGCAGGAATATTGCTGATGCTGCGGCCACGGTTGTCGACACGCTCGTGCCGAATGGCTTCTTGGTGTCGACCCTGAGCCATGCGGGGAAGTGCAGTAATGGCCGGTTCACCAATCTCTATCACTTTGACTGCAAGGCGGAGATCTTCCCTGACTATGTGAACGAGAAGTATCCCGAGCTGGCAGCCAAGATGTCGTGCATCCATACCGGCTTCTTTACTACCAGCCATCTAATCCTGCCCGACTCGTACTTCAAGAAGGTCAGTATTCCCCAGTTCATGTCACCCTGACGGCATTGACACAAAAGGACCTGCTCACACGCCCCCAGGTTGCCGACAACACCTTCGAAATGCGCTTCCCCATGCGTCCTGACCGCCCGACCTGGCACCTCGACGTGAACCACGACCTGGGCAATTTTGTCTACGCCGTCAGCAAGATGCCCCCGGGCAAGGCCTACATGGCTGGCGAGCAGCGCACCTGGCCCGAGTGGGCCGCCGCCTGGGCGAGCGTCACCGGTGCTACCATCACATATAAGCAGGTCACACGCGAGGACATGGTCAACGAAACTCCCGATAAGGATGTGGGCTTGGAGGTGGCGATCATGTTTGAGTATAGCGATGATCCCGGGTATGACGGAGGGATGGAGTTGCTTACGGTCGAGGATCTGCGGAAGGTAAAGTTTTCTGAAGCAAATGAGATCAGAGAGAATGGGAGCTGACAGTGACGTGATTAATAGGCTGGCTTCGACTGCCCCATGTCGACCCTGGAGGAGTCGTTCCGTAGGCAGGACTTCGCGTATGTGCTGAACAAGCCTATTGCCTCCTCCTGAAGGCTAGGTGATGGAAAATGTCTTTGATCCGACGATTAAATGGGTGCATTCTCGACTTTAATGTGTATGACATCATCTGATGCTACTTCCAAGGTGTCTTGGACTTCGTGTTCTGGTATTTGCGGGAGCCTGTTTCTCTTAGGCAGCATTGCAGACGAATGTTTCATGTCATGAGCAAGGGCTATCAGAAGCCCCTTGGCGTGTTTTTGCGCATCTTTTCAGAACAATTTCTTTAAACAAGGTGTCCGGTGCTCGCTTGAGCCAGTTGATACCCCATGAGCATAGCTGTTTGCGTTAGGCAGTGTAGTAAGCCAATCATCAATCTATTCGAGGAACAAAGGCTGCGGTTCAGCCAAGCTTTCTTGTTTCGGAGGTCATCTTTATACTAGTGGTGCGCTATATCTATATCTGATGCATGCAGTCCCTGACCCCGGTTACTCCGAAGCCTTGAAAGCCAATATCCGGTTCACGCTCTATTCCCTTTCGCTCATCAACTTCCTAAGGCATCCATCATCCTTAGGAGCAAAACGGAAGGCTCATCGAAGGTTTAGACATAGACGTATGTGATCACACCATAGCACCAGCCCTGTTGTTGCCCAAGGGTACGTCACTTGACCTCGGATCCCTACGGCTGCTCAGTAACTGATGCTTGCCAGAATACTGGCAGCATCACAGACGTTACGGGCATGCTGGTAGCCCATATTCTGCCTTCGCATGTCACAAACACAAAACCATGGCAGTCAAAAACCAGGCTCACTCCTGTCATCGACAGCCTCAGCTCCGGACAGCAGGAATCAAAAAGCCCTCGAAAAACTCCTGAATGGACTCAGCATCGTTTAATGTCGTTACTTTCGCAACATCTGGGAAAGCATGTCAGTAACTCTCCCCCTTGCCCCAGCTACCTTGCCTATATGGAGGGGATGGAGTAGTCTCACAATGGTCTGGCCTGACGACAACCAGCGCCCCCTGCTCGCGATCAATGCCAAAAGCCTTGTACGCATGTCCGTGGCCGGAGTTGTAACTTTCGTCGTCGACAAACACTTTGGTGAGACCTGATCACTATCAGCATATGACCATTCAAAGGGGAGCCAGGGGCAGGGGTCAGGCCTGGGTCAGGAGGGGTGTTCGTTTACATCTCATGTTCCACTTGCCCGTTACCGGGGTGAAGAATTCGGGGATCTCTTCCTGCTCAACACTCTTCCTTTCTGAGGAGAGAATGAGCACGCCATCGATGACGCTGTCGGGATATGATCCTGTTGGAGTGAACCTCTGGACTATTTTCTCAAGAGATGAAGCGACCTGTTTAAGGGTCTGTCAGCGCTCGTGGCGAGAACCCGGCAGCTTGGGTGAGGGGAGTACAACCTTCTGCAAACTTGCTGCCGTTTCCGGCTTCTTGATGTCGCCCCCAAACACTACAACATACCACTGCCCGTTGGCGGGCATCCCATTAATCAGCTGCATGGCCTTGGCATCACAGAACCGCACGACCTGCGCGGTCGGGAACTTCATGCCCACGGTGATCTTCGTCGCAACCTCCTTATCCCTTGTCCCAACTGCAGTTATCTTGGACTCGTCATAATGTATCGCCTGTCCAGCGGTGTACCGTCCGGCCTTAATGAACTGCTCAGAAACCATCTTAGGCGTGATCCCATGTTCGGCCCGATACTTCGAGTTGAACAGCTTCGTAAAGCCCCGATCAAAATCGATCAGCTCCCGTGCTGTCCGCTCCCGCTCCAGCACATACGTCCTCAACAACTCTGGCCGAGCCAGTCCCTTCAAAACCATCCCGAGCTTCCACCCAATATTATACCCATCTTGCAAACTAACATTCATCCCCTGCCCCGCCTTCGGCGAGTGCGTGTGACACGCATCCCCCGTCAAGAAAACGCGATAATCCTTATGAAACCGATCAGCCAGCCTCTGCCCAATCGCATAGGCCGACCACCACGCGGTCTCCGCAAACTCGACTTCATACGGCCTGAACACCAACCTGGCATGGCTCTGCAGCCTTTCCAGTGTCACGTCGCTGACCTTGGTACCAGGCGGTAACTCGGCGTAGATGCGCACCATCGAGTTCCCCTCGCGCGGCACGATCAGGATACTCCCGGCCGTGGAGTTGATGACGCATTTCTTGCGGATGTCGGGGAAGCTTGTGCGTGGATAGACGTCCATTACTCCCCAGATTGCGTCGGTGCTGTCTCCGACCATTTTGTAACCGAGGGAATGGCGCACGGTGCTGTGTGCGCCGTCGCAGCCCTATCATGTTGTCGTTAGTGAAGTCGAGTAGGAGTGGGCTCGTGCTGACTTACTAGGACGTATTTCGCCCGGTACGTCTTCTCTACTCCATTTTTCAAGGCAGTCACGTTCACTGGGTATGCCTGAAGATCCTCCGGATCCGCCTGCTCAACCTCAACCCTCTTCACCTCACACCCATACTCGACCGGCGGCTCTGTCCCCAACAGCCCCATCATCAACTCATTCAGTCTCGCCTGATTAAGAATAACATGCGGCTGATGACTTATTTCTGTCTCCTTATCCGCCACATACCTTGTCCGCTTAATCGGCCTGAATCCATCCTCCCCTTCTTCTTTCACCTCAGCATCAGGCGCCCAGAACGCAACCTCCAGGACGTGATACGCCTCCTTGAGCAGGCTCTCGGCAATCCCGAAACTGTCGAAGATTTCGACCGTGCGCGTCTGGACTCCATCTGCCTGGCCGATGCGTAGGGGCCCGTCGCGGCGTTCGAGCATTTTGTAGGGGATGCCGAATTTGGCCAGCCAGACGGCGGCGCAGAGTCCAGCGGAGCCGCTGCCGCAGATGAGAACGTCGAATTTTTCGGGAGAGGCCATGATATGATGTGAAATTGTGAAGGTCGTGGGTCGGTTGGATAAAATCATAAAAGCGGGAGAGATTACCTACACAGGATGCCCTGGTTGACGTCAGGTTTGTTGAGCTCTGGAGATGGTTTAATTGCTGACGGTTCTGCACGTCGCGCTTTGCTGTTACACACGTGCTTGAGTGCCGCGGGTGATTTGCACTGGTAGCCGGTAGTGCCGGAAGACTTCCGGAGTCTGGGGAAGTGGACTCTTCGAGAGTCAAATCCCACTCCCCACTTGTTCGGATATCCGTTCAGGTGTGGGTTTCTTGATCATGAAAAGGATGCTCGAACAATGGACTTGGCAGCGAAGTCAAGAAGCTATGGCTAACAGATGTTACTATCACTATATTGCTAATTGTTTTGGCAGTCGTCGATCTTAAAGACCGTTGTGCTAAGAGCTGGTGTACCAGTACCTAGTTAAAGGTTTATGAGTCTTTAGGACAGTCTCTCTGATCTCTGCCCCCTACCCCTAAGGCCCGAGCTCAAGCAGACATCATAACCTCGCAACCTTCCCGAACGCCATCATCCTGCATGTGACTATCTCAAACAGCTAGAAAGATGACAGTCTGGTCAAGTCAAACCAACAACAATTACTTCCATCAGTCTTCCCGCTCCGGAGCCCTCAAATCCCCACCCTTCTCCATCAACTCATGCCTTTCCCCATCCTCAACTACCTCAACTCCGATCACACTCTTCCTCTCCTCCTCCGGCACCCTGAGCCCAGCACATTGAGCCACAAACTCACACAACATCTCCTCAGCCTTCTCCGCATTCCGACTCAACGAGTGATTATCCTGCTCAAACACATGCAACATCCTCTTCCCCTCTTCCCCATACCAGTGCCACAACCTCTGCGAATTTCCTACCGCCAATGTATTATCCCCGCTCCCATGCAACAACATCACCGGTCGGGGAGCTAGATGCTTAATCCCCTCCGCATCATGGGTCTGGCTTGCAACAGTAGCACAGCCAATCACCCTTGGGTCGTCAGCTGCCACGCTGAACACAACCGCCCCGCCAAATGACCACCCAACCAACACAAACCTATCCAGCCCATACATATCCCTCAGATACTGCATCCCTGCCTTCGCGTCATTCACACACTGCTTGATCTGCGCAGAGTACCGATAGTCCAGCCTCAACGCTGGGATCCCCTTCCCCAGACTGGCCAACTTACACGCCAGACTGATATACATCCCACTCGGCCCGGTGACCCCGCCTCCAGCACCCGAAAGTAAAATCGCCGCCGTGCGATGATGATGTGTCGGTGGTTGCGAGGGCTGTCCTGGGATAGCATTGGAATCGGACAAAAAATCAGGGGGTAGGTGTAAGAAGCCTGGGACGAAGCCGTCTTGGCTGTCATCAACGTCGATGGAGAGGGGCTCGATGTGCACGTGCTTGCGGGAAGAGGCTTCAAGGCGTGAGAGGTGAGCTGGTTTGGCGAGACCAGCGTATTCGTGTATGGAATGGGGTTTGGGGGGTGGTGAGGTTGGAGTTGCGGTTGGAGGGTTGCTGCCATTGTTGAGGTGAGCTTTAATATACGGTCGTTTTAAGTGGGCTTGGGGAAAAAGAATTTGAAGAGGAAGATATAGATTGTGGAGAGGGATCGAGACACTCTGGGAATGTTGGGCTGTTATTCTGAATGGGTTCGTGAGGGGAAGGAGCCATGATGTCATCTCCACGCCGGCGACGGTCATGGAGGGTCCAGTTTTGCCACTCGACCATTAAGCTCTATAACAGCGTTTAAGAGCTGGAGAGAGCTCTCTAACTGGGAAAAACAACAGAGTTAACATGAAGCACACTCATCGAGTTGACCCGGTTCAGGTGGGGTTGATGGTCGATGATGAAGGAGCTACTTCTATCTTAGCACCTTATCTCGGTCAATGAACTTGAAAAATAGACCTTTGAGTTTTCCAGGGGTCACAGATCTCGGTTTTTGGGACTTTCAAGTGCAATTCTGCGTAGTCTCTAACTCAGAACTGCACGTCGTCAGTCAAGCGTCATTAAGTTCCTGTGTCCTGCCATCTCATGACCTCTGCTAACAAGAGATCGTGTAAACCTTAGAAGGGAGAAAGGCAATTATGGAAGTGAATGTCATAGAGGTTCTCGTAACCGTTATTAAGAAGTTTGTCTCAGATTTCTGGAATACACTTAATCTTTCAACAGTCATGTCGCATGTTCCACGAAGAATCTGAGTCTGTCAGATGTCTGATGCGAATACCCGGCCGACAATCCAAAGACTGCCTCTCTTCTCCTGGATCATCATTCATGGTGGCTAATTTATCTCTCACATATGGTGACTATACGCAGCAGCTACGGTTGCAAGCTGTCTTAAACTAAGTGTGCGAGCTCAGTTGCTAAGGTCTGTTCAGTTATTCTCCGAAGCGTGTCAATATACTCATTAATCCGCACAGCCATCAACACTGCTTTCAAGCTTCCAACACGACTTCACTTGGATCGAACCTTTCTTTTCTCTGGCTACCTTTTTCCTCCCTGAATCACTAACTCATACTCACTTCCACATCAGACTAACTGCCTCAGTCATCTTCAGTCTCACACCTCGCTACATTCATATACTAGACACCCTCGCTCATCGAAACTCACTAAACAAGCGTCTCGATATCCTAATACCTCAAGAGAGTTCACAGTGCATTGCTACGTTGCTACCTCGTCGGCTTCCATCACTCCGTCTTACACTCCCACAGCGTAGCACTGGCTGCACACACTCCCTCTTCTCTAGCCCTCCCGTCCAGAACACCGGCTCAACTACACGACGATGTCCAGCAACATCGAGCCATTCTCAATGCCATCGTAGCCATAGTCTCAACTGGTGGGGAATTCCCAAATCCCCAATGCGCTCACTTTTTCCTCGCGACGACGACGATGCTCACTCCAACTAATACCGTTGAACCCTGACCCTGGACGATGGTGAATCTCAGCCACATTCCCCCTCTCATCTCATCCCGCGCACATGGCACGATGGCCAAAAGATGGCCTGATGGCATCGACAAGTCTTGTCTCCCCCTTCAGGATGGCATTCTGACAAAATGCCTCTCTGGCGGAGTAAATCGATAATTGCCTATGCATTCGTTGCTACCGGTTTCGCTGGGCCCGACCCAGGCACAGCACGTTGTCACAGGCTGAGATGGGAAAGTTTTCCGCATGGGATTCTGGGCCTAACCCACGCATCCCTGCCAACGCTTTCCCACAAACAACCTGGTTGCGTATGCACTCCTACGATGGTGTCTCGGTATCCGCATTGAAATCCTCACCTGATCGTGTCGTCGCACAATCCCAATCCAGCGGACCGGGATTTCATCCTGAATTCAGACATCAGAAATCCAGATCACCTAAATCCCTATTGTCAGGGCCGTTGGCGTCTCTGTCCGTCCCCATGCAGTGGAATGGTCTCATCCCCAAGAGCTCACCATCGCAAAACATCCCAATCATCCCACTTACATCCCCCAAACCACAATTCCTCTTCTGTGAAAAAAAGGACGCTAGAAGCTGACAACATCCCCAACCCCGAATCTCGTCATCCCCTGCGAGTCTCGACCCCTGACCATCCCATTCTGTTCTGGTAAGTTCCCCTCTCTATTTCATAAACTCCACTCTCTTGTTTCGTTCCCGCTGAAAGACCCACCCAGGACACACTGGACAAGCTGTGGAGGCTTTGTGGAAAAAGACCAGGCCCCCACGCGAAAGCGATTATCGCCGGCAAATCAGCATTTGACGATTGCCGAGAGCTCGATCAGGACGAGGACAAATACACATCACTCATGTTATGACTTCAGCAAACATTCGATCTGATTGTCCTGAAGAAAGAAGCCAAAATCGCATCGTGGGTTTGTTTGAGATCGAATCGAGCCATGAAGAGTGAATCCCAGATCTCGGCAAGCAACGAGCCGAGCTATCGAATAAAAACTCTGACCCTAGTGCTTGGGCAAGATAGGGATAAGGCCAGTGCAGTATCCGACCCGAAACCCCTCCGGTCCTGTCGACAACTGCTGGTCTCGTTATCGTCTAACCACATCCACATTACTGCTCGGTATACGATCTATACTCTACCAGTATACCGACCGACCGCGTCGGTATACTCTACACTAACAATTCTTCCCCATCACTAACATTCCCTTTTCCGTGCCTAGGACTTGCTTAATCCTCTGCATTTAGCACTATCCTTAGCAACCACCTTATGCACCCCCACCGCCGCCCAACACAAACCCAACGCTGCACAATCAACCCAGCATCGCGTGATGTTGTGTCTACCCACGGAGTTTAACAACCCCCAAACTTTCCCAGTAAGGCAACTAGGTAAGCATGTGTGCGGCAAGCATCAGCACATGGTGCATAGGTCTCTGATATCTAGTCAAAACCTGCCAGTGAGAACCCTCACGTCGCAACATCAAAGCACCTTGACGGCTTGCGGTGCGGCATGGACGGGTGGGAGCGTGGATGCAGCATGCCCGTCGTCACACTGCACGTTGCTGTACTGCATGCATGCCCATGGACGTGAACCAAGTCGGAGATGACGGAAGAACTTCTAGAACAGTGGACATGAAGCAACTCCAGCTGAGCGGAGAGGTATCTTTAGTAGTAGCGATAACGATAAACGATAAAGATCCACAGATAAAAACGTGCTCAGCCTAGTGTGGCCCTCAGCCTTACATCTCATGAAAATTCTTTCCTTGTCTGAAGCAAAAGGAGGGCTGGAACGCGGCTCATCAGCGCCGGAAGAGACTGGCACACTCGCTCAATCGCTCGCGGGTAGGGGTTCGTTCCATGGACGTTCTGAGTACGGGAGCTTTCGCTGTGATGGGGACTTGGGCTGTGGGTATGGATCGACATCGGATGTGATGTGCATATGGATCACAGTTTAGTGTGGGTACGGATACTTATCAGTGGATGAAAAGCGTGCTGGGAATATCCTTATCTCTATTGATTGGTGAAGGAGCTCGGTGGATGATAGCCCGCGGGCCGAGAGGAGCTGGGATGCTATTATTGGATATTAATGAACTGAAGTGCAAAAGCGATTGTCAAAAATGCGAGTTGAGAACTTGCTGTGGTTGTCGTGGTTATACACTAGCTTTCATAGTTCATGGTCATGAGCGGAGTCTGGAAAGCTGAGTTGTGAGTGTGAACAGGAGTGTGAGTGTGAGCGCGAGTGAGCGTGTGAGTGGGACAAGAATGAATGGTATGAGTGTGAGACTGAAACTTATGGGCTTACCGCCAAGATGTGAGACTGAATGTGTAGCATGGATGTGATGTATGAAATTGAGTTCAGGCTAGCACTACTGGTCCTTCGCTCTGCAAGGGTCATAGGTGTAGAGGGAGGATGCTGGGTGTGTTATCTAACTTTTGCTATCTCTCTCGCAGAGACTTGGATTCAACCCCCATGCGCAAAAACCATCCTCTTCAACACCCTTTCAATGTTATCACCACTCCCCAGATCGGAAATCATTCTATCCTCGATCTAGCCTTCCCGTTCATCATCAAACATCACGCAACATTCCCCAGGGAGACGATGGCACGATCTTGACGCATCACTGCGGCTAATCCTGCATCTAAACCTATGTCTAGTCTCGGAGATTTCCCTCTCTATCACGCACCCTCAACGTTATAGTATGAACGCTATGCTTTAGGTCTGTGAAGCCGGACTGATGGAGGTTTGGCGTGCTTCAGGCCCTGACCACGAGGATACTACTGCAGGGGGGACACAGGGGGAATACAGGGGTAAGCATGCACAAAGCCAGGTACGATCGCCGTTAATATCCTCAAACGGGAGGGGGAGATGCACTGAAAAGAAGAGGAGGAAGGACTGCCGTCTGCAGTCGGCTATCGATCGATCTGCGATGTTCGCGTGGCAACCATGATCCCGCCCACGTGTGGTGCGGCGCACAGGCATGCAACGGCGCTAGCCAAGGTGTTGTTCCTCTCTTTTGGGGACCCACCCCTAGCTGTCAGATAACCTAGTGTAGTTTAGCAGCGGTTATCGGGGAGCAGAGGGATGAAGAGGTGATGTTAGGAGTCAAGACGGTCCAGGAACGAGAGTGGAGAGACCGATAACCGTTTTCCGATAGCCAATTCAAGAGTAGGTACTGTGTAGAGTAGTATTGTGTTGTAGAGGAATTGAGGTCAAACACATCGACGATGCCATGTTCAGGTTGGCGCGCGGGGATGGCTGGTATTGGCTGCGCGGTGGCTGATAAAAGTGGACCTCGGTGAGCAGCTGCTGTTGGGAGAGTTCTGAGAGATCAACAAGTCCGAGCATCCCAACTCACACGGCCGCCCACATCGGCGCCCTGTCTCAGGTTCTCAGCCCTGCGCCGAGCCGCTGGGTCGAAGGTCTGGTGCGGAATGGACATGTGGCTGGTCCCGCACCGGCGGGGGTGGACATTATGGGTGCATCATTGGCGTTACATCGGCGTGGTGATCCTCGGTCCACTCGCTGTCGTCAAGGTGCCCTCTTCGTCCTCTCCCCTGTTGCAGGTTACATGGCCTGGAAGAATGCAGCATTACACGATAGAGGCAGCAAGTTCGGCCAAATGGGGACGACGGCCTGTACATGCAGGTGTAGTAGGCGCGAAAGCCAATGCAGCCAAGCATCCCATCGGCGACGGCAAACAAGATGAGCTATGATGACAGGATGAGGAGGATTCAAAGCAGGAAAAAAGGGAGAAGGCGGGTTAGAGCTTTGGAGGAGTGTTCAGGTAAGAGGCGAACTGGCAGAGTTGAGCCCAGGTGACTCTTTTAGACATACCAAGGACACACAAGGGATACTTCGTGAGATAGCCAAAAGATGGGGTGAAAAGGACGGTTCCTCTTGTAATTCACATATTCAAAATTGTACATGCTTAAGATCTAGAGTACATGCCATGACCCATGATATCAACTAAAATCCCAAAACACAGTGGTATAGGTAACAATTCCAACCCTTCTCCTTCCCAACCCAGTAACCAAGCCAGTAGGTATACACACACAAATCCATGAACCTGTGCGTCGTGACACCCAGCCCAAAAAAAGACATCCAAACGCCTTGTAAACCAACCAAGTTTCCCCGATTGTGCGGTCCCCGAGGAGAAAGTGCGAGCTATAGCATCCGAGAGTCTCGATTTTTGTTGTAATTCCATCAGAAAGCTACAATGCTGCGCAGTTTGCTTGCGAGCTTTTCCAATTTCCTCTTGGAGGTTTCCGCGGGTACAAGACTGTGCCTGCTGCCAAAACAGTATGATGTGTGAAGTCCCACTCCGGGGCCAGCTTGGGCAAGCATGGTCTCCTTCCATTGGAGCCACTCCTCAAGATCCTCACGGCTCTGGGTAGCCCGGCTGGGAGACCTGATCCAGATACGGGCAAATCTGACCTTTGAGGAGAAGGTGTCGTCCGGGAGGATGCTGGCCGTCTCGGGCCGTTCATATAGAGCGGCAGTGGGATCCCTTGGAGTCTTGGGGAGCCAGAGGGTAGACCACCCAGTTGGAGTGCGTCTGCGGTGAGTGTATCCAAGCTCGCTCTCAATATCCGAACCAAAAACTGTCTCCAGCTCGGACTCGGCAACTTTCAGCTCCCAGCCATGTTCTTGTTCAATGACCTGCCGGAGCCACTCATACTCTTCCTCAGGCATCTCCATACTAGTGCTGTCACCATAGAGAGTCCAGGTGTACTCCCGGGTGGGGCCAGTCAAGCACAGGCCAATGTGCCTCAAGCGAGGGAAGGATGAGCGTAGGGTATCATCGAGCTGGCTGAACATGGATGAGATGGTGGAGGTGTGAGGGTGGAGCAAGCGCAGCCAGTGGTTGTTGCAGCGGACGTCAAACTCGAGTGTCTCGAGGTTAGGGCAGCGCCTCTGGAGGGCAGGGATCAGTGTCTGCAGAGCACTGTCCATCTCCTTGTTGGGGGACAGGTGAGATTGGATGAGAGCGTATGGGTCCACTGGGAAGGGGACGGCCAGATGACGAAGGAAGGCCGAGTTGCGAGGGCCGATGCAGTCAAGGAACCAGCGGAAGAGGAAGTTGGCCTGAACCTGGTGTGGCGCGGCAGACGAGTCGGCCGGAAGGACGAACTTGTTCTGAGAGTAGAAGACCGAGCTGGCCTCGAGGTAGACCTGGCGGCAGGTCAGGAAGAGGGAGACCAGGCTCTGATGGAGCGAAACGCCATCATCTGATTCCCCCTGAGCATCGCTTCTCCTGTAGATGTGGACAGGCTCCGGGAGGACAAGCAGGTGCTGGTAGATCTGATTGCGGATCTCGCCAGGGAGACGCAGCAGAGGAGATGTCTGAGTGGTTGGCTCCGAACGGATTTGGGATGAAGATGGTAAAGGTGCAGGTGAAGATGATGATGAGACTGGGAAGAGGCGGTAGCAAGATGGTGCCGAGGGGCAATTCGACCGCGGTCTGAGGCCCAGCATTTTGGATATATGAGTATGTCTGGGGATGTGAAGTGATGCGTTGCCTGACTGCCCAATGATGGTGGTATGATGAGTGGCAAGAGTCCTTATGAGGAAGATGTCAAAGACTCAAATCAAGAAGCTGTCAGGCCCAACGCGGCGAGTCAACTGTCGACGACAAGAGGAGTGATGCGAGTTTGGCAGCGGGCCGCGCTCAACTTATATCGCGATGCTTCCGTCGCGCCTCGCGGCGTCCCGGATGATACTGTGGTCGTACAATGTCGTACAAGCAGCGGGCTAGTCGGCGGATGGTCGAAGATTAGGTGATAGGCCGATTAGGTCGTTAGGTCGTGCAGTAGTAGGCCGAGTGGCAGACTGCCGTAGGTTGCCCGTCGGCGTGGGACTCGCGTGCGCGGTAGGTGGGAGTGCGGTAGGAATGGGAGTGCGGAGAAGGCTGCGTAGGGCGTGTGCCTTAGACAGGACAGGACACTCCGGGATGGATGGCAGGAACTTAGGAAGTCTGGGGCTGACAGAAAACGTCCGATCTGAGAGTCCGCTGAGGATAGTGCAGCCTGTGAAGTATGGGCGTGTGCCTACTAGCTGCCGGCCTAGACACTCGATTGGGCAGCTACCGGTCGGTCTGGTCCTGCCGTCCTGCAGTCTTGCAGAGGTGCAGCCAAAATGCAGCCAAAGTGCAGGCGTTGGTGAACTGACTGTCAATTTGACATGCAGGAGCTTGCGCGCGGCGCCGCCTCCTGGCTCCTTCCCAAGTGCCTTGGCTTCTTGGCTCCATGGAAAGCATGGAAAGAATCAGCCAAGAGTCGAACCCTCGAGCGAAAGCGCAAACGGCCGCCAGGCGCTCGGGAAGGAAGGTATCTGACAGAATCCCTAATTCCACGTTCCACGTACAGGTGCGAGTGCAAGTGAGAAACAAGTGCCAGCCAGCGAAGTATGGGTGCTGGTGCAAGTACAACCTGGGCTTCCGCCCAGCCCATCGCTGAACTCACACCCTCGCCCTGGACCGGTGTCCATTGCTGGTTCCCACCGACCGGGGCTCTCCTCCTTCTGAGTCGATCATGGGTTCCAGCTGCTGTTGCTGGGCTCTAGGAGTACCTGGAGGGTTGTGGCCGCAGCTTGCGTCGAGACCCAGGCCCGCACGTGATTGGCCCGATCTTACGATTGACACTGTGCGAAAACCTGGGCCAGCTGGACGCTAAACTTGCCAGGATTGCCGCTAGCATCTTATCGCGGCAAGACGTTGGAGAAAATGCAACTCTGTGGCCTTGGCAGCCATTCTCAATGCGATTCATGCGATTATCCGCAGCACGCCAGTGGCTAAGTGAGGGCCCAAAGGATACGCCAACCCCACTTGGCGCTTGTCGAGTTGCATCAGAGTGCCATCAGCCAGTCCCCATCACTGTCATCCAGCCCCCAGGACGCGACTCGCAGCTGGCTTTCTGCACCCCTCACAGGCTCACCGTTCTCCTCCTCACAGCACCAAGACCAAGACAGCCGCTCCCCCGACCGCCTTCCCCATCCCCGCGCCTCACACTTTATTTGCGTGGTTATCGGAGTCTTGGAATTGCACATGCTGCACGATCGCTGCAAGATGGACGCGACGCGGGCTGATGCCATCGTGAGAGTCAAAATCACGCACAGCTGAAAGTACAATTGATGAAATATCGCTGATGGTCAGAATCCCGGTCATCAATTTGTCTGCTGCCAGGTTCCAGGCCCGTCGCGCAGCAATCGCGGGACGGTCCAGTTCAGCACCCAAGACTTCAGTGTCGAAGTTGTGGAACTACAGCGCAATGTGGACTTGCAGTGGATTGTGGATACAGAGGTGGCTTGGTGGACTCTGCTTGCGATGACCGGGAGTGCAGGTCGGTCGTGGAGAATCCTCTGCCCAAAACGTGCGATTCGTCTAGTCTAACCACACCAAGCAAAGCCTGGCCTGCACTTGGGTAAGGGTTGGGGCTGGCCACCGATCAACCGAAGATCAGTATCGGATCGCGATTCGCGAATCTGAGAATGCCGTCCTCGAGATAGTGTAAGTTGCACATTTGTAACAAGCCTTGGCTTTTAGTGTGTGGACAGGTCGTCGAGGTGGTCAGTTACGTGGAGTCGAATGGCTCCATGGCATCTCCCCAAGTCCAACGTCTGTTTGTCTTGTCATCTGCTTTCTTAACAACAAATCCTCTTACCAACTTCCTAGCGACCTACGTAACACACGCGTTTCTCATTCCGATATGACTCGTTCCGTCCTCTCCCCTCACGTCGGCTTGTGCCCGAATCCTATGATTGGCTTTTCAACGGCTGACGCGGCCATGTCGGCTTCCCTGTGGCTGGCCCTGAAACTGTTGCCACTGGCTCAAACCGTTGAACGGCACGAAAGCGAAAAGCGAATGCGACCGCGAGCCCAATTCTCTAACCAACAACACCTTGATTATGAAATCAGCTCTGTGATACTCGGACTTGGAGCCATGAATCTGGCCGGCCAGAATCTTCTTGCGCATATAAATTGCGTGTTGAGCAAGATACCTATCTTCCTAGGCTCAAGAGTCTATTCCCGAAGCAGACTCGCCGGGTTTTCTGGACTCAAGGTTCACGACAATCGTGCTCTTACCCCTCACGAAACCCCTCTCCAAATTGCAGATTACCTAGGCAAATTGCCATCTCGAGTCCGATTTCCTTGACACCCTGGTGGGCAGCGTAGCAATCACAACGCGTGCTGGGCCCCTCTCCTGCAGGTAGAAGTGGGTTTGGGTACGGAGGATTTCCAGATCTGGACACGACAAGCCCTTGACCAAGATCCAACAAGCCCATCCCCGCATTGGCGCACATGGCTCCCGGTGAGCACGTCAAAGGTCAACCAGGACAACCCAAGATCAAGCTCTACTGGTCCGTTGCTCTAATCTGGTTTCCCCTGCCTCAATACTCATTTTGGGCATATTATACTGATGTAGTTTATGTTATTTTGTTTATCTGTTATCACAGTGCCTTGTGCTACTCTGTCCCTTATCGGATTCTCTGACAACGTTTCCCAGGCTCAATGCCTCGCGGTCTCAGCGAATTGCCTGGCTGCTGGAGGAGCTCGGACTAGACTATGACGTCGAGCTCTTCCAGCGCACCCCTGACATGCGTGCGCCCCCTGACCTGCGAGATGTGCATCCTCTGGGCAAAGCGCCCGTCGTCAGCATCTCGATTCCCAGCGCCGAGAAACCCCTAATTCTCGCAGAGAGCGGATTCATTGTCCAGTATCTCTGCGATCACTTTGCCCAGAACTCAGATCTGGTCCCAAAGAGGTATCGCGACAGCAGCCACGAGGGCATCGTAGGTGGCGAGACGGACGAATGGATGCGCTACCAGTACTTTCTGCACTACGCCGAAGGCAGCCTCATGCCCCAGCTGCTGGTCGGCCTAATCTTGTCGAGTGAGTGTTGAGGTTCACGTAATCTGTAACGGCTGGCTACCACTATCTTAGCTGCAGCGACCGGCCTAGGTAGTCGTACTTGTACTAGCCTAGCCTGTCGCCCTGCAGGCTGCAGCCTCGTCGACCACGCCACCTCTGACATTGCTACACTAGTCCAAGCCATTTGCTAATTGTAATCTCCCCTCATATGCACACTAGTCCTCAAGAGCCCCAAGATCCCGATCTTCATCCGCCCGATCACATCAGCCGTCGTCGACAAGCTGCAGGCCGCGTACCTGGCTCCCGAGATCTCAAGGCATCTCGACTTCCTAGAGTCGCAGCTTGCAACATCGCCACGTGCCGGATCGTACCTTTGCGGGCCACATCTTACTGCCGCCGATATCCTGCTCTCATTTCCCCTGCAGCTGACCAAGCAAAGGGCCGGCGGCCTCAAAGTTAGCAAGGGCGAAGGGAAGATCGTCGACAAGTATCCTAGGGCGTGGGAATATCTGCAGAGACTCGAGCAGGAACCGGGGTATAAGCGAGCAGAGGCCAGGATCAAAAAGCTGCTGGAAAGTAAGGAGCAGACGAGCTGAATCACTTTGCACAGGTACGTATGTCCGGGGTGAGAAGAGACGAGTAGGTCGAGTTACTCAGACAGGTTCGTATGTCAGGGGCGAGGTTGAGGCCGATGAAGTTTGCTTGTTTACGGGGTGCACCTTGTTGTCTCTCATTCACATATTTTACTTCTTTTAATGAGTCACCCTGACAGCCTAATGAACTCGTGTATTTCCAATCATACTATCATATCTCTAGGTCCGAGCAGGAGTGACATGAATTACCCTGAGTGCATTTCACTTTTCTTCATTCAATCCTTTCTCTCATGTGCCAGAGTTGTGTCAAACTCAAACATTATCCGACCGATGGTCAAATTCGTCTCTAACATGGAAAGGCTGTTCATACTCTTAATCACTCAGATATTATGGATATAGCCCGCGCTTGAAGATTTGCTTCCTCCAAATGAAGATTTATTTTCCCCAAACAATCTTCTGGACAGATGGCAAAATGCTGGCCATCTTCCAAGTAACTCCAGGTAGTTCTTTGATTGATTGCGGGCTTGAGTTACTGTGCCGTCATAAGGTTTCATAAACTATCGCTCCGAGAAGAAAGAGGATGAGTCATTAGTCCAATTGCCAGAGTAGTAGTTCATGGCGTGTTGTTGTCTGCAACGATATGTTAGTCAAATTGAGCCTATTTACTTATGGAAAAGTACTATGACAGCATTATTGGATCACTCACCCATTACAGCAAGACGTTCCCAGCAAACCACACGGCCACATGGCTGTTCCTATCTTAAAAGCTACTTGGAGCTTGAGGACGGTGGTACAGTCCCTTCAATATACAAAACCGTGAGATACGGCAACCAGCTCACGTTAGCGATGGCAATGTCCTCTAAACTTCCAGTTTGAACCGTTGTCGCTCCTCGATCATGTTATGGAAAAGCATAGCACGAATGCATGTAGACGCCCCATGCACTAGAAGCATATCAGTCCCAAATTTTGAATCAGGCAACCAACAAGCCTCATCACAAAAGGCATTTTGAGTCGACCTGTGGATGGAAATTACCTAGGTCTTTGACGCGGGTGTTGGGGGAAGGGGGAAGAGATATCTGAACTCCAACAAGGGGAACGTACTGGTTCGTGGGAGCCACCCTGATTGTATGCGATATCAATCCTTGGGTTTTTGGAACTGAGGAATATAAAAAAGGATAAGCATCGGCGGCCGAAAACGGATCCTTTTCTTCCCGTTGTTAGCGATACAGTTTACAAATAGATCAAACGATATAGCTTAAAAACTTGTCATGAGAATGAGTGCAACATTTGTGGTAAGATTTCCCTTCACAGTGAACATTATCAGCGGGAGATATAAATCTATATGGATAGGTACTATCGGCTTTTCCTTCACAATCTGACATATAAGAGGAGAAAAGTGCACCGTCAACCTATGTGACTATTTCACAACTTCCTGAGGTGGGTTCGAAAGTGATCACCAGGTTAGGGAATGAGAGACAAGTTTCCACACAGATCATATAACACTGTGGTCACTAGTCAGGGGCACCAACTGTTTCTGTTACTGACTGGAGTCCCTGTGGGCTTCTTTGGACAGGTGGCTAGCTGTATCCTTATATATACGATGTTGACCATTACCCCATGCTGACTATCACTGTTTTTTGAATGATTATCCTACCTGTGTAATAAACTACCACTCTTGGCTGTGTAATTATTATCGGGGCATGCATGACTGCCTTCTGATGGCCCAGTTATCTCGGGTCCTTTCTCCCTTGCAAGTTGGGCTTTTCTTTCATGTCTTGTTCATAACGTCAAGAGAAGGATGTTATATAAAGAGCTAGTCGCCACATTCTCGATAAATGGTTGGTTTATCGTTAGAGTTGCTTTAAAACTGTAGAAGACTTTATCTTTAACCTATGAAGTTCAATTTCAAATATTTTATTCAACCTTTTGAACAAAAGAGATTATTAGAACCGACTACCTATATAGTACATAGTGTTAAAAACGCTTATACAAATTCAAATAAAGAGCATATGAAGTGAAAAATCAAAAACAAACAAGTATAACATTAGTACCCTAGAGGGTTAATTATGAGCCCACTTTGAAAGAAAGAATATTAGATAAGCATGTTATTCTACACTATCTTAGAACCTTTTTCACACCCCTTCCTATCGTTCTTAGCGGCTACCGACGCTTCTGCCGGCGTAATGAGCTGTATGTGACGATCCAGACAGACCTCTTCAGATGGGTTCGAGACATACCAGATCGCTGGACCTAAGATATAGGAGTTTTCACACAGTCAAAATGATTCCTGTAGTCATTAGTCTAACAAATTGTTCGTATTGCTGACTGGAGAGCTTCTTTGGCCAGATGGCCCTGCCTGGAATCTATATACCCTTGTGGCATCCCTTGCTTCTTCCTGCTCAATGGCACAAACTGTTGAGGGTTAACATCCTTAGGTGTTGAGAATCAATACCTCTTGGCGTTGAGGAACTACTCCCCAATGCGTGGGGTTGTTGGGGGCAGATATCTGGGTTTGATACGTCACAACTCCCTTTTCCCCTGATCCGTTGGTTGCACGGAACCCACTTTTCTAGATAGAGCCTTTGTTGGTCTTGACACGGTACAAGCTCAAAAAGATCAAGCAGATTAATCCAAGTTGAAGGCATAGCATCTAGCTCCGGCTTCGAGAGATTCCGTTTGGTAAGGAGCATCTTTATCATACAGGCCGCTTCATCCAGAGACTCACCAGCTGCCTGGCTCCCAAAACCCCAAACCGCGGGCACCTCCTCCAGTTCGAAGGTGTCTCCGGCGCTGGAGTTGCTAACCGGAATACAGCAATAGGCTCAGCAGAAGCGGAAGCTATGGAAACAACGGACTTTAACGCCAGACTAAGATTCCCAAACCCCCTTACCACGGCTGGTCCCGCTTGCATCAGGCAGCTTCTGGTCTCGAGGCTAGGCCCCAGTGGGAGCCCAAACGCCTAGGCGTTAGGGCGTGGCTCGGCCTCCCCACCAACGCTCCCAAGAGACGCCGAGTGCCTTCCCCCAGGCATGCGTGGATTGTGGCGGGCTAACTGTAATGGGTGACTTGGTCTGGTGCAGGCAGGGATCGACAATAGGTCAAATGGGTTAGATGATGGTCACTGACGATGTGGGGTGCACAGCGAAGTCAATTACTACGTGTAATAATCTTTCTTGGTCCTCAGTGTCCTTGTGTCAGGGAGAGGAGGGATTAAGGGAAGTCTATCATGACCGGGCAGCTTCTTTTATAGAATCCTCATCATGCCTCGGCCATATGGCTCATTTTCTTCGGTCATCTGGCTCTAGACATCTTCCAGGATCAGCCACGTATTTGTGCCGCTCACAATCATCCTGTCTCTGATGTCCCTTGTGTTGGCAGTCGGGGACATCCCTTTCCTTGGACTGCCGTGTCCATGTGACACTAACAAGCCTGCCTCGGCCCTTTGGGATGGACACACAGCCAAGCCTTTCCTCGAAAGGTTCTCCCGGCAGTGTCTCTCCCGCTGGCTAGCGGAGGATTCGGGCCATGGCGACTTCTCAGAATACCATGTGCGATTCCACTACTCCCGAAGGGCGCTAGAGAAGTGCCCCTGCGGCAGAATAGCATCTAGAGGTCACTTCTTCCCCTGCCCCCTCGCTACCTTTAACAACCCGCTCGCCAGCAGGCTGAACCCGAGGGTGTTCTGGTTCTCTTCAACTATTCATGTCCAGGGCCTCCCAGATCGGGCTCTGGGGCCAGGCCTGGGATGCCGCCACGGGGCGCCTTATCCCAACATTGAGACCCCTCCACTTCCCCCTCCGTACGCGATCACAGTCCCACAGGGGTATTGACCCCGACGCCGATTCCTCGGATTTGGAGTCGGAGCTGTAAATCCACATCCCTGGGTTCGTACAAGTGTGAACCTCCCATTCAACCCAGGATACACAACCCCCCTTGGCTTACACCGGTTTTGCCTCAAGTGCAGGCTTTTCCTCCGGCGTTACTTGTATGTAGGTTAGTTCAGTAGCTATTGCTCGCCGTCGTCGTGGGCACGACCTAGCACCCTCAAGGGTAGACCCGGTCGAAGAATAGGATAAATAAATAGATACGATTCCCAACGTCAGAGAGCGGATCCCTTATAGGGATACCACCTCCAATCCCTCGATCGTCCTTGCTATCTGAGAAATGGGAAAGTATCTATAATTTAGGTAGGCGAACAATCCATTAGCATAGTAGCCAACCGGAGATAGTCAGCCAGTCAAAACTAAATCGACAATCGGGCCATAGTTATTGCCACCGGCTTTAGGGACAATAACTCCGATGGATGCAGACGAACATTGTGGTGCCTATTCACAGAGCAACTCGTAAGGCAGATATATTCACTTCAATAACCAGGTCCTCTAGTGTCGTAGAATACAGAAAACAAGCTCCATACCTAATATCGTTTAATAGCAAATGTACAAATCGAGTATCACCGCCCTTTCTTGTAATATGTACCCATCACTCGTCGGCCGCACACAGTCCAGGCCTCTCTGTTGCTTGACTCTGCTGTCTTATCGCTCTCACTTGCCTCAGCACTTTCCCAGGCACTATTCCATGCTTCATTAATGTATTTCCATCCCTTAAACAACAGCTGCAGAAATCAGACTCATTACACGAATACATCACGCAGTTCAAGAACGTTCGAACCTTCTTACCCAGTCTTTGACAGTCATATGACACAAAATTTACCCCTCTCTGAAAGAGATCAGGGGGAGTCTTTCTATTCAGAAGTGCTCCATGTCCTTCGGGGAGACCCTGCCAGAGCAGTGTGGAGAGATCATTCTGCGCACAAAAGCGTAAAGCTTCACCAAACTGTCCAGCTGCAAGCAGCCTGCAGACAAACCTCGCAAGGTCTTTGGTGTGGATGTTTTTTCTTTTGGAGGAGTCGAAAAAGTGCTGAGCGATGTCCAGGCCTATTGGAGGAACTCGGCCATCAGATAGCAGAGCTTTAACAACCTTCGTATGGCCAAACTTTGCAGCCCAACTCAGCGGCGTCCGGCAAAGTTGTCTTGTCGGTCTAGATCAATATCCTGGGCATGCACAAGAAGTTCCTTTGCGATATTATTGAACCCGTAGACACAAACTATCTTGAATGCATTCTGAGATGGTCTGAAATTCTCTGAATAAAACTAAGACAACTTTCTGATTTCGCAAAATTTGATACAAAGCTTGTAACATCATACTAACCCATTCCGATTTTGTCAGCAATTCAATCAGCTGAGAAGTGCAGACACAACATGCAGATGCATAATATCCCCAGCAGTCAACAGCATTGGCGAAGAGAGGGTTTTTTCAAGTCGTTCATGCGCCTGCTCATACGTTCTGACAGGGCCAAAAAAAGTCTTTGAACAAAAGGTATGACACGCATGTATTTGCGATACCGAGGTGGGCGTTTCGGAACCACCGAGTCAAAGCATTCTGGAAGTACTCTGAACTGTGTACTGAGCAAGTCGAATGACTTCGCTTTCTTTGTCGATGACAACGAGCCCACAACATGCCGAAAGCATATCTTCGGCATCAGGAATCGCGGTTTCATCAAACATGTCCTCACTATCCTTGACAGCCCATGCATACTGAACATCTATCGTTTTGAGGGGACGTTTGGCGCAGATGATCCAAAATAGCACATGGTTGGCAAGCTCCTTGTATCCAGTCGGTTACTTATTGATCAGCTCCATTGCGTTATTATATGCCCGGTGTAATAGGGTAAGCTTTGGCTCTTTCATAGAATCGCTTGGAAGCTCGTATAGTGTTATCGGATAAATTTTGCGCTAACCTTATCTTTAAATGACTCGAAGAAGTGATGAGCGAGTAGAAACCTAACTGTGTAAGCATAAGCTCAATTGGATCAATAAACCATAGTTGATGGGACAATGACAACTTACATGTCATCTGCGACATTGGCAATGCAACTGATGATCTTGCGTTGAAGGTCTGAGTACTTTGGGACAGCGCGCAAATTAGACATCCGATTTCGCAAATATCCCTCGATGTCATCCCTTTGGGCTATGATCTCGAGCCGGGAGTGCCCATCAAAAGCTGCCGCAATATCAGGTACAGGGCGGGATGTGGTCAGGAGGTTGATATTAGTTTCTCTGGGTTGAAGACAGAGGAGTGTTTCAATGGACTTTGAACGAACATTGTCGCTCATTTAACTTTGTGCAGCGCATCAACAATAAAGACCCTATACTATATAGTGCAGCAACAGCATGGAACATCTCCTCGAGATCGCTCAACGATGTGAAGTATGTGGATGTCCAAACTAAACCCTTACGATTCTGATTCTTCGTTGTTAGGGGTGCGCATCGATCGAGATTGTAAGGTCATGCGTGAGGGAGAGTGGGGAGGGCGTTGAGTAGAGATGGCGTGTCCTGTTTTATGGTCCCTGGCTGAGCCGTAGAGTTCGAGTTGTGATTTTCTATTCTCGAATAGTTGATATGAGTGCCAAAACGCTCTGGGGTTTAGGCGTCCAGCAAGGGGGCTGTCAAGGGAGGAGAGTGGGCACTAGAGGAAGTGGCCTCTGGATACCGTCTCGCCGCAAGAGCAAGTTTTGATCGCACTCGGCGGGTGGTTGAACCGGACGTGATACTTGAGGAGGTCACTGTGTCCTGATACCTCGGCAAGCCACCTAGCGAGGCACCTCCTGTCAAACAGGCTGAGGAAAGGTTTAGCCGAAGGGCCGTCCCAGAGGTTGGATTTCAATTTATTGGCCCTCCAGGATGACGCTATATCCGGAGGTGGGACATTATGCGACCTGAGCGAGGCTGGGAGAAGGCACTGGGTTTTATTGGGCCAGAAAATGTCAAGAGAGAAGAGGTATATCAAGCTCAACAACAAGGAAAAGAGTGAAATGCCTCGTCTCTATACATGCATGTAGGCCAGGTGCCAGGGGTCAAAGCCAGGGGCATTGCCAAGAATACAACATACAGCCACAGAGTTCTGAGCTACTGTGGCAGCTTTAAAAAGATATAACTGGACAGTAAAAATGAATTGTAGCAGACATTCTTTGAAGGGCTGGAAGCCACAAGACTTAGCTTGAAGTCTCTGTTTTTTGAATAACCTTCAACTCTCAACCTTTTCGGTGCCGGTCCTGAAGACCGTATGGGTCAAAATTGGATATTTCAAAACTAGACGCCTTCCCCGAGTTGTACCTAACTGTTCGCTTTCTTAGCCTTACTTAGGCAGAAAGAGATCAAGAACTGACCAAGTCGCACCAGAATTGGGTGAGATATCATCCTATATCATCCTATATCAACCGAATATAAGCCTAGACTGGTAGTTCCTTGTCAAAAATTTTTGCGATGATTTCGAGAAAACCAAGACCAAGGCGCCCTCAAGTTCTTACCGACACCACTGTCCAGTTTCACAAATGGATGGTCTCCATAATTCTCTAAATCACCAATCATCCCACAAGAACCAAGTTGCCAATAATATCCGAGGTTGTCCATGCGTACCGTTTCGTATGGTGGATCTTTCCCAGCATTTGAATGTCTGAGGTCGGTGTATGAAAGATGATCTGGGCCTACTCGAACAACATGGCCATATCGTTTATGAAGGGAAAGCACCTTACAGGGTCCATCCCCACAGAAAAGCACAGGATTTGAGTGATACATGACGCTTGGGACGACAAAGATCAGGGTATCTTGCTAGGGGATGTAGGGTGAGCTTGTAGGGTGCTTTCAAAAAGAGGGTTGAGAGAATCTGAAACAGCAAAACACTGTCAGTAAGCTTCAATATTACGATACCAATTTTTGATTGTGGACTAGGCATTCCTCTACTGCAATAAGCAGCCAGCAGAGTAATTATACTGGGGAAAGAGTTGAAATCGTAAGGAGAAAATGATGATGCGATAAGTTGTAGTGCTGAAATCATGGTTAGGTTTTAATCTGTCAGAAAGGTTCTGGTGCCTTTTGAGCAATATGCGGGATGGCAATTTATAAGCAGATCCTAACAGCTCACAAGACCTGGTTTATAGGTTCCAAGCCATCTGTTGGAGGCACACCTCTCGCAGACGTCAAATAACAATGCTAAATTGTGATTGATTAAGCGTGACGACAAGATTATAGCAATGATGGCGATGAGGATCATCACAGTTGCGATGGGCATACCAGATAGGTGAATGGTAGTGCATACAGCGCCCGTGGAACAGAAACCAACAGGTTGGACCCGTTGGTTGCCCGCCACCGCTCGATAACTTTGGGGTCATGATTTCTTCGGCAAGTCGGCTAAGGACATAACCTGTTGTTGTAAGCATATGAGCATGTCCAAGCTCTGGGACGCACCATGTCAACGGGACTTTGACGATTGCAAATGAGACGCTGAAAAATTCTATGCGCCCTTCTTAGGTGTGACTCGCTAGTGACTAAAAAGGGTTTTTGATGCCTCAAAGTTTTAGGCTCTTTTGGATGGACATGGATGTCTTCAACCTTATAGAATCTTCACTTTGAAGCCTAGTTCGATGTAAACATTTACTTACAGAAAATTTGAGCTTGTCTGCTTCTGTTTGGTCATGGCCCGTTTGTAATGTAGTTGGCCGCTGTCTCATGTCAGCCTATCTTCTCACTGGTCAATTCAGTGAACGATCGGGTGTGTGTACATGTCTGCACAGCCCTCCGTTCCAAGTGAGCAGGTGGCCAACTCGGGACCTGCCGCATGCATGCCGGAAATGAGGCAGACACATTGGTTAGCGGGGGTTGGTCTTTCAGGCATGCCAAGGCAGTCTCATGAAGACCCAACAGCAACGTATGACCCTCAATTCACTTTCAATTCATTCATTGAACTCTGAAGTCCTCAGCTGTGTTAGGCCTCAAGCAAACTTCTGCCAGAGAAATCCGTAGAGCTGTGTCTTTGCCAAACTTATCACGTTCCGGCATGAATGCTCTAAAGAGCTGAACAGTATGATGGTGGAGAGGATTTCGGCTCCTGAACTTTTCGTCAACACACGAGAAACACGAAGTGACTTGGTATAAGGCGACAGGTTGCCTTTGCGCTTGCTAGGAATAGGGCTGAAAATAAGAATCGATTTGTGGAAACGCGGACAATAAAACATTCGCCGCAACAACTCAGACAATTGAGTCAACTCGTCGATGTTTCTCGTCGGTCCGGAATTTCCTGCAAGTCTGATGAGCAATAAATCCATTAATCAGTATGCAATCCATAGCAACCACGCAACCAGTTCTAACCGTCTACCGAAGTCCTGAGTCTCTGGCCAACATTATCCCTTCAACAACACAAGTCCAGATCCCTTAGTAAGTAATAGTAGCCGCCTTCCCAACCCACTTCCCGGCCTCGCCCTCAACAATCTCTTCAAATACCCACCTGCCCACATCTTCCCTGCTAATAGTATACCCAATCGCGGTGCTCTCAACGACCCCTTTCACTAAATCCTCAACACCAACCCTGATCTTTCCCTCACCACTCCCCGCATACAAGCTCCCCCTCACAACCGTGAACTTCTCCCCGCTCTCTATCAACATCTTTTCCATCTTCCTCTTGTCCGCATGTGCCGTGCCCAGAAGCAGCCGGTACATGGGTATCATTAACCACGGTAGATCTCTTGTGCGCTCGGATAACCCTGTGGATGAGACAGCCACGATATGTGGCACCCCCTGAGAAGTCTCCTCAAGTCCGTGGTCCTTTCGTAGCCGCTGTAGGGCATCCAGCAAAGCTTGCACGCCGCGCTCGCAGACGTGGGGATCGTCCATGCCTTTGAGTGTGGGTCGTGCTCCGAGAGAGGTTACGACGATGTCAACCAGATGAGCTGAGAAGGATCCAGAGACGGTCAGGGCATGTAGGAGTGAGGAACCAGAATGGGCATTGCCTTGGAGGATGTGAAGGTTGGGTGGTGGAGGGTTGGGCGGTGCTGGTGAGGTTGAGGAGGGCTCAGAGTATCCCAAGAGGAGGAGAAGTTTCCTCGGAGTCCGACAAAGTGCGATGCAGGTGTGGCCAGCAGCTAGAGACCGCCGGAGCGCTGAGAGACCGCAGCCACCTGTAGCCCCAAGGAAAAGGATTACTTTTTTGCTCGCGTCTGACATTGTACTCTGCGTTTGAGAGGTTGCGTCTAAAGTGTTTCCTCAAAGACCCTTACCTCTCCCCCCAGGGTTCGGGCCCCTTTTATCTTCGTCTTGCCGTTTTGATGGACACCATCTCTTCAAGCTCTCAGTACGCCTCTCGGACGACCAAATGCGAGAACGATAGCGCTAACAGCCGTGGCGTCGACTATGCGCTCCAGCAACTAAGATCGCCCCGGTTCGCATGGTCGAAAGCGGGGCCTCGACGGAGGCTTCGTCGAACATTCTTCCGCTGACCCACTGTGGCTTTTTTTCACACCTATTATTGGCTGTAGTTATTGACCCGTGTCCGGCTTGGCAGAGAGCGAGACGGGGGCCAGCGCCGGGTGCCGAAACGGCTGTTATCGCAACTCTTATCGATAAAGCTTCCTGATCTGATGAAGTCAACGTAACCTTCACCTGCATCATGGAATACTTTTTTTCGGAACTCCTTTAGGGAACATTGCATTGAGAGATGTTGCATCGGTCTCTCCCTGATAATATTTTTATAGTCCTTAACTTCATCGTGTTTGCCAACGTAAGAAAATCTTGAGATACACTCCGCCTTCTCGAGCCTAGTCTGTTGCTGCAACCTTTGTTTTCACCCTCGTACGAACCCCCAAGGTAGGGTCTAACGATGGCGAGAATACGTCCAAGTCATTTTTACGCACTAATAACAGATAAGCATCGATGGCGCTAGGAGCATTGTAAGTGTCCAGACAGCATTCGCCTTGATGCCTTTGCATGACTCGCACTCAGCATTCTCGCAAGTTGTTGATGCCAAGTCGACATGCGTTGTTTCTCTGACACTTACTTGCAGGGCATCTTTGATAGTACCCAATGGCAAATTTATGAGAAGAAATGTCTCTCTCACGTTGCAGTAGCTCTCTGCATATATATTGTTGCCCTGCATAGCCATCAACTCCCACCTCAGTGAGCGGGCGGTCGTGGTTGAAGTGCGTCAAAGTTGGACCAATGAGTGTATCACACATTCAGCCAGGTGTTGCACAACAGGAGCCGGTCTGTTGTCTCAGTCTGAGGGGAATTGAGGACAAGATAAGCTGGTGACGCAAGTTTCTGGCCGGGATATAGAGTTCAAGTAGGTGTGACTCCAGAGGTTTAGGGATAATAGACCAATCTTCAAGGAGTGAATTCCGATAGAGTCCTCTTCTTCGAACCGACATCGAACTGAATCGAAAGAGGTTACTGTCCCTAAAAGGTTGAAATTGTTAAACTTATCGCGACCTCAGCTGTGAAATCTAGACAAGCTATACTTCTGTATATGTCCAGTCCTAGATCGTAGGGGAAATACAGCAATCTTAGCTCTAATGGTCTCACGACCTGCTACCCATCTAGAGTAAGTCGTCCTTCCTCAATCGGCATAGCAACTTCCGGCCTACTGCAGAGTAAAGGCCAATGCGTCGAGCATGTCGATTCACTCGTATGCATCTGGGTTGACCCAAGATTAGGACGCATCCAATGGCTCCTATGTCCGAGTGGAGCTAGCTATGAGCGGAAAGCCATTATCTCTACACGAAGCAACCACTCATTAAATATGTGCACGAGGGTGCTTACCCGAAACACTATGTTTCACATGAAGGGGCTAAAGTGATGGGGGAGATATCTTCTCGACGTCATCGTGGAACGCAAATAAAAAAGATTAACATCTTACAAGATATATGTTGACCTCTGCGAGACGCGAAGTGTAGATAATATCTCGAGCTCCAGGTTGATGTTTTTGTTGGTCGAGTCACGCTTTAGCAAGGACAAACCGCGTTAGCGGGTCTAGGACACTAGGCTAAGCGAGTAAGCACGTCATGCCGCGCTAGTGCTTGGCGGACCATAACAAGCACAGAGCTAGCTCGTAACCGCAGAGCGCCTATTCGCCAGCCTATCTGAGCGCTGCAACTGCCCCTGAGACTAAGACTAGAGAGAGAACAACGCTGCCATGGCTAGTATAGGAGCGGATCTTGGCTGATAACATAGCACTCTCCTTCAATTTCCGAAGATATATCCCAGCCTCACTCCTCAAGCCCGAAGGCGTCCGGTCCCCCAGCGCGCAGGTCATGAGGGTATGACCGAATTCAAGGTCAGACCTGTAGAAAAATGCCAATCAACGGCCCTAATCGCCTGTGTTCTAAGGGATTCGCAATTTTAGGGCTTGTGATCCCTTGCTAGCGTACCACAGCCACGGGTCATATACACACACTACGTGGGGGAATGATGCTTCAGCCACGTTAATCTCATTGGAGCAAACCTTGTGTGGGATTTGTGCGACACAGCAAACCAACCAGGCCAAGATTCCCTCTGTACTACCTGCGGTGCCGAGGGGCCCTTCGTGCCACGAGGATGCAGGCACCAACTGTTTCCATGCCGCGTTCGACCCTCCTTGTTCTAGGGGTGACCTTGAAAACGAACTGAAAGTCTATCCCGAAAGCCATATACATTGCCATTGTTCTCATTGCACATTCAACCGAGTTTATACTTACACAAGCTACTCATGGTCTTTGGCCTCATTGCCTCCAGTCGACTTACACAAGAGACACAATGGCAGCTATCGTCATTAAAAACCAGAGCCAAGTACTGGCATCTGGCTTCGATCCGCCAAAATGGCCAACGATCGCCCCGGCTGTTACACAAATATCGGATTCAGGAATTACATCCGCACTATTGGGACGGCTCAGACAGCCACTTGGGGAAAGTCGAGCGTTCAAGGAGGACAGTCTGCAGCAGGGAACCATGCGGTTAACACGTCCCGTCCGGAGTCGCAGCTATGGTCAACTGCGAATTTTTGACGAGATTCGCGTTGTTGAGCTAGACTCATTCGGCCAACGTTCATTAACCGTCGACGGAAATGGGGATACTCGGGATAGCAATGGGTATAAGGACAGTGAGACGGTTACATTCTCTCACCAGAGCCTGGATAAGGTTCTATCAAACATGGTCATTGTTGTCCCCTGCATGAACGAGAATCTTGATATTATTCGAAACGTCATTGAAGCCATCCCGGCTTCCTGTGCGGTTATTCTGGTCAGCAACTCTCCGCGGAACGAGTATTTGTTGCAGGTGGACATGCTGAAGAAAAGTTTCAGCAGAACAAGGCGACTAATGGTCTCAATCCATCAAAAAGACGCTGCAGCAGCAACTGCTTTCGCAGCTTCTGGTATGAAGGAGCTGTTGGATCCGGTAGACGGCACCATTCGCGATGGCAAAGGGGAGGGTATGCTTCTGGCTATTGCTGTTGCGGCCAGCTTCTTCCCAAAACACCGCTACGTCGGCTTCGTCGATGCTGACAACTTTAATCCGGGATCTGTGAGTGAATACTGCCGAGCCTATGCCGCCGGCTTTGCTATGTCAGCGGACCCTGAAGTTGAGCATTCCATGGTCCGCTTGCGCTGGGCGTCAAAGCCAAAATTTCGCAACGGCGAGTTCGAGTTCGTCTCGGAAGGAAGGTGTTCAAGAGTTGTCAATCGATGGTTGAACAAGTTGTTCAACCCAGGAGCAGAGCAGTACTTCAGCGAACAAAGCAGACGATTATCATCAGCTGTATCACTGACAAATGATGCATCTCATGGAGACGACCTCAAGCCGTTCGTGTCGACAGGAAATGCGGGGGAACATGCCATGACCATGGAGTTGGCCTTGAAGTTGAGATTTGCCGCCGGCTATGCCATCGAGCCATTCCACTATGTGGATTTGCTTGAGCGCGCTTGTTTCATGCTGAGACAAGGGATAAAGGAGTCGTCTAACAGTGTCAAGCGGCTCAGTCTCAATGGAATAACCAGGTCGGCGGTGCTTCCTCACGCCCAGCCGCTGAAGAAGCCTGTGAAAATCCTACAGATCCGCACTCTCAACCCTCATTTCCATCGCTCCTCCGGCCAAGAGCATATTAGACGCATGTGGGCTGCTGGACTCGGCGCTATTTATCACAATTTAGCGCCCTACTCTCAAATTTCTGGCGTGGAAACGGCCAACATCTGTCAATTCCGGCAGGATATGCATGCGTTTGCGGTCGAGCACGGCGGCATAAGTGAAGAAACAGGTGAACTACCCCGCCCAACGGTCTATCCGGCCCTTGAACAGGCCAACTTGGAGTTATTCCGGGAAGTAATGAAACAAAAGAGCGAGTTGATGATATGGGTGCGGCCGGTCTGAAAACCGCAAGTTGCATATCCTCAGGAAACTCCCCATCATCTAATTTCTAATCTCTTCTGATTTTGGCTTTAAATGCATCATTTACGGCATATCATACTCCACAACCAATTAAGAAACCCGTCGCAAGACACAGCTTCTGAAGTTTCTCACCAGATACCACCCCGAGTCACGGTCAGATCCATGTCACCTAGATAGCATTCGTAGTTTAAAATCAAGACAGTAATGACTCATAAAGAGACAAGGGGCTCAAGAACATGTGACATATCACGGAAAGTGACTTGGAAAATGCCTTGTCGTTGAGGAACGCCTGGCCAGCTGGGTTTCGACCGATGCGGCCTGTTATGCGGCCTGGTTGCCAACTTGGGGGACTCCGCCAGTTTCCTGTAGAGAATTACAAAAAGTATCAAACTTGGTTCCGATCAGCCTTATTGAAGCCTCGGTATTGCAAGTTCGTAGAGATCAATCTCAGATGAACCCTATGACAGCAGCCACACGTGGCATCACCATCATCGAGACATGCACACACATCGCTCAGCGGCATCACAGTCATCGCTGAAACGCTTCCCACATCTTCACACAAAAACCTCTTTCCATGATCAGAACCACATAATTGAGCTCAGAAATTGCTGTACAACATCCCGTTTCCGACTGTGTTCTGGAGTTGCTTCTCCGTTATCATCGCTCACTCGCCCAAAACTGATGGACATACCGCAACTTTCCTCCCTCAACCCTCAGCTCTATCACTGTTGATATTCCTCCCTTGTTTTCATCCTTCGCTACCACCCCAACAGCACCGAGTGCCTCATCCACAGTCCATTTTCTGTCCGTGATGCCCTTGCCTTCCCCTGCTGGGGGCAGCTGCAGCCCCTTACCACATCTCTCGGTCTCCCCCGGAACAGTGAGCACCGTACCTTCTAGCCTTGAGCATGGCTTGCCCCAGAGTTCTTCCCCTGAGTCATCCTCACTTACAGCTTGTACATCGGTACTATCCTGGAAGTTCTCTTCCCCGCCAACAATATTTAGATACCGTTCTGCCACTGCCTGCAAGTGCTGAACGTTGTCTTGCTCGGGCGTCCCGACGACACCCCAAGGCTCTTTCTTCATGATCTGCAAGAGGTTTTCTGCGTCAGCATTATCAGGGAGTTTTGTAGAAGAAGCAGGCTGCAGCCTGGCGTAAACCAAGTTGATCTCCTCGGCCAAGACGGCCTCCAGTCCAGGGCGAGTTTCATCGTAGCTATATTCCAGATATGCACCGACAGCTAGGTAACTTCTTGCTGTCGCATTTGTCGCTTGTACAGACTCCATGTCCTCACCCTCGCCGCCTGTCTTTCCTCGCCCTAGGGGAACAATGATCTTCACAAAGCCGGTACATCTGTCTTGTTCATCGACAATACTGTGCACGTAGGCATCCTGCAGTGTATCTGCGACCTCGTTTGGCCACGCATGGATCAGGCTTTCCTCACCCAGGAAAGCGATATGCTTGCCGTTTTCTATATACTTGAAGTTGGGAGATGCTGTGAAGAGAGGGAAGGTTGATAGAAAGTCGATTGTCTCGCTTGGTGCCAGGAGGGCCTCGATAAATGCGTCAGTTGCCTGCCGGGTGCCCTCCCATGCACAGGCTGGGGCACCTGGGAAGTGATCCCGCTGAGCAGACGCCACAGGCAGAAAGAAAGTGATCATGAGGCTGGAGAGTAATGTGCGGTAAATCATTGAGGTATCCATCTTCGGTCAGATCGATCATCACCAGGATAGTATGTGCACAATTGACAAAACCCCTGGTTAAAAGAGGTTGGAGAAATCGAGAATGACTGGGACATCATCTCTACTTTCCTGCCTGCCAACTCATATACACACAAGACTGGGTTCCTCACCAGTCCATAACTGTCTTCTAGGTTATTGACTTGTCAGCTCGCTTCCTGAGAATATAAGGGCAATCTGGGCTCTATATTGACCGGTTGCGAATCTAACCGGGTATGCCGGTAGGATCGTGCTTGTCAGCTTCTACTCGCTTACATCGAGTGACACTGGTTACACGACGTTAAAAGCCTGCGGATTAGACATATTACCCATGGGCTTGTCCAAAGGGAATAATGCATTTTTTTATCTTCTAATCTTGTCTGCAACGTCGTCTTATCAACAAGAAACAAAAACGATAGCCCGGTTAAAGCGGCCATGATCATCATTTCTGGATCTTGGGCTTCTAGAAAGGTGTTAAAGCAAACAAACTGATCTTGCATCCATAACCCTAGCACAGTCACACGATCCTCGTACTAGGTGCCTGACTTAGGACGAGGCTGGCGCCAAGAGGAGCCACCGCGACTGGGGGCAACTGTTAGCTGCATCCACACATCCTCTGCATGCGACCACCGCGAATGTGCGGTCGGCGCTTAAGTGACCAATCTAGATGAACCAGCCGTTTCGATCATTCCCCCAGTACGCGCATTTTTGGATTTTGCATTTTTCCCGTCGCATTGATCCATCAACCTTCCCACTGCATTGAGCTTGTGATGGTGATGTGCTTGGCCCTCACATATATCTCAATTGAGGCAAATGGGATCGTTTGGACTACGTCTTTCGAATAGAAGTATAAGTCAATTTGAGGACTCGAAGATCTTCATTATCACTTGTTACAAGGATACTACTGAGAAAACACAGCCACCGCCGACATGGAAGCTTCCAAGGGTTTACTATCGACATCTGCGGCCAACAACGCGACAGCTTTTAAGCTGATGGCTTAGAGATCGCATGGCCAAGTCAGCCATTGCATGTACAATGAAGAGAAACTCAGCTTATTGCTCGGCAAATCATCGAGTTTCTACAAGGACTCGGATCAGGAAAAAAAGCTTCGGGCAACCAGAAAGAGATCTACAGTTGAGACGTTTAGTTGAACATATAGACTGGTATGCTGGAGTATTGAATTGAATTGAATTGAATTCTATTTTTCGACCGATCCCACCCCTGAGGGTGCACTGCGGCCAAAAACCCAGTCCACACTGGTTCAACAGAATCCCAGAACCATAAAAAGAAATCCAGTGGAAGACTCACGACTCTCAAGCCCCAAACTTGCGAAACGGTTCCCTGAAGAGATGTCATCGTTCTTTACGTCTTCAGTTCTTGTTACAAACTAATCACATCAAAGTAGAAAGCGGAAAATATAAACATTTACAGACTGTGCCAAGCGCCGTAGTCTTCAAGATCGTCATGACATTAATTGCCGAACTCTGAGCCGGTCAAGCTTGGGGCAACTGGGCTGAGTCCCCATGTTCGGAGGCTCGATGGTTGCATATGTGGCGTTTCTTGAAGAATCATGCCATGTTGTCGAACATGTAGTTTCGCGTTATGTCCTAGCACTCTCTGTTTTCCAGGACCTGAAATCCTGTGTAACCTTGGGATGATCGCGGCTGCGCCATCAGCTCCATCATGGAGACGAGCACGAGTTCATACTCGAAGTCATTAACGCGGTATTCCACCAATCATTACAACGGTTCTGTATCGGAAGATGAGGGCTGGGCGCCTATTGCGTCTATCGGGCTCTAAAATGCGCCTACGTGAATGCCGGACTCCAATCTCCATCGCAACTTCGCCCTCCGCGACCATCTCGGCGACCCAACTGACCCACACCGACCTTGTCTGCCGCATGCGACCCTATCTGCAGCCCCGTGCCTCCAGGCTAGCCCGAAGCAGAGGTTACCGGCATTCACATCCAGGGTTCAACTGATTCCCAACAAACGTTACCGAGCTGGAGCTAGAGAATGTATTGAGCCTCGCAACAGCGTCTTGTCATGTCTCGATCTTTGGCTTGCCTGCCCGGCTGCCGTCTTTGCATTTTTTAATCTGGTCGCAACGTCGCACCGCCCCCTCGCTACCTGCACGTTTAAGGCACCCTCTACTCCAAGAAGTCTCGATCTGTGGCAGCCATGGACATATTTGCTAGCATTAAATCCACATGGCCACTTCTACGCCATCTTTTAACTATGTTGTTGGTGCAGGAAGATGCAACCCCCTTCCCATAGCGAAGTGGCATTCCTAACCCCCATGATACGGCTTTACTACCTATTTGCCTTGCAGCAGCCATGGCGGCCGTGTGAGTAGTCTCCCATATGGGAAGGCCCTGCTTTTAACCAGTCTGTTCACGCTGGGACGGGGCACTGCCGCACCGAGATGCTTCGATAGATCTCTCCTTAAGCCACGTCCAACATGCATATGTTGTTGGCTATATGTCTAAAAGATCTGTATGTCGCCCTCAGTGATGTGGAGTCCGATCTGTCACCAGTCACGCTGTATGGGGCACATGCCCTCCGCCATGTCGATGTCTCAGCCCATCACACTATTCTCCTGATTCACAATAGGTATTCCAAGCTACCTCCCATCGCAATTGCGGTGAAGGGACATAAAAGGACCGTCTGGTCTTCCCATAAGGACTCGGTTCCTCACCAACGACGTCAGCAGCTCAGAGATATCGGAGAAAACAGAGAATAGCCAGCTATAAGAACGCTCTTAGCAGGTTCGGCACTAAGGAAGACATCCTACACACGGTCACCAGCGTCCGGTCCGATATTTGGGCACTCATCCTTGACTAACCAACAAGCACCTTCGAGTCTCGCTCGATCATCACTACTCAACTGCATCCGTCAACTCCCTCACGATGTGCTGGTGGAACAACATCTACTACGAGCAGTGCAAGCACTCCGTCATCGTCAAGGTGCCCTACTCGTGTGAGGAATACACGCGTCACACCTATGGTCCCTGCCAGCCTACCAAGAGCAACCAGCATCGTGTCACTCCTGGCATCAGCTATGGGCTTTGCCCTGACTGTGAGGAGTTGCTCAAGAAATATACCAACTTGTGAGCATTGAGGATGGTGTTGTCCCCCTGGGACATACAAACCGGGGGAGGTCTTAGGGGGTAGATGATCGGAGGCAGTCAGGGAGAGGTGAGTAAAAACCCCGGACTCAATAAGTTGGACATGATCTTTATTAACCGTGATATCCAACAGAGCGACGCGATATCAGGGTGCACTTCAACAATAGCTGAGGTTTTGATCTTCTCTTCTTAGCGCTTGAGGCGCTGATTGTTCGTCTATTCCTCCAACAACTTCTTAACATGCCATGGTTGATCGGATCCGAGACGATGAGATAGACTTCGTAGGACTTTGGTGTGTTGTTTCTTCCTGTCTTCTTCGCATCTAGATTGCTCTCTGTTCTTTGCACATCTTTGTTAAGATCTTGAATCTCAGTGTGTACTTAGTTAGACTCACTTCATCAGCAATGATGGCCATTATACCCAGCCCTGAACGCTAAGAGCCCGTTCAACCGTGCATCTCTGTGTAACCTACCCGGTACATTCCCCTGACAAGGTTCAGGGTCCATGAGCGACAAGTTCTATTCCTCCCCCTACCCAGCTCCAAAAAGTGGAGTTCCGTATCCCGAAAACACCCCGCTTTGCCGCACGCCTGCATATCATGACAAACACTTAGAGCTGTTCTCCGCAAGCACCTGTCGCTCCCATCCAAACACCAACACATCCAACACGAGAGTGTGGCGGCCATAAAGGAGTGTTTTGGCCCCCATGCCATTTATCTCCTGCAAGTATACCGGGTGCCGCCCCGAATTTGCGGATCCAGCCGCTCCGACCCAAAAAGGACCCACGGCTCGGCCCCACCTCGGAGTTGTGGGGCATGATCGCACACCTCGACTCTCCGATTGTCCACCGGTTGATGTGGAGACGGGCCGTTACTGGGTGAGACGCGGCCAGCAGATGGCTAGCTCACATAGCGCATTACTATCGTTCCACCCAAAACGGTTTCCATGGTCCCACTTTGTATCCCTAAAGCGAGCTTAGTTAGTTATCTCAAGAGTCTTGAGTTGACTAACAATATAATATAACTTAGCTCCATCCTAGCGAGATGCAGTATTGTTGGGAGAACTCTGATAAAGCCAGGACTCAGCAGATCCTATCGAACACAGCCTTTATGTGTTTGGTCGTGTAGCGCAGCAACACAGAGAAGCAGGATATCGATGTACTTTGTTGAAAATGGGTCAATAGAACTAGAAGATCGCGAAAGTCATGGAAGAAGGATTCAAGCTATAATTCTCGTGACTTTCACAAGAAAACTGAAGATCAAACTGCCCATTGAGTTGTTGAGAGTGATCAGCATCGTTGGCATAGTCGAGACCTCGAAGCACACTTACAAACATGGACCCATCCCTGCTTGAGCACTTCTAAGTCTTGTTTGCATCGTTATCATGATCGGCCAGTTGTAACCGATATCATGAGATCATCGCCGGGTTCCAGCCTCTCATTTAGAACAGCAGCAAGCTTTTCGACCAACAGAACCCATGATATTGCGGTCTACCGACCCTCAAACTGCAACAACAACCAAGTCACAACATTACGTAGCCACTGCAGCACTCGTTGCCGGTCCCTGGACGCTGTGTTACGGAAAAAATTGCCCAATTGGACGCAGAAATGCTGTCAGAGTTACCTATGTTTGCAGCCTTTTCATGCGCAGTGGTCTGTTTGACTTCGACGACACACTGACGAACAGTCTTAACAAAGATATAGCAGAAAGGCTGCTCCAGTCAAATTTCAACCTTACTCACACAAACTGACCGTCGTTGATTCATAAGTCATTACTCGCCCTTCGCACCGACAACTCTCGCGCTGGCCATATTCTACACTTACAATGGCGTCATCAACAGCCATAGAAGCAAACTTCTACCCGCTTCTCACTGGACACAGACCTGTCATCTTTGACAAATGCCCCTTCTTCGAGGGTTATCACTTCTTTTAATAGCTCGACCGCAACTAGAGCTCGAACACAAAAAAAGATACCAGGCGAAAAGGGCTACGAAAACGTTGTATCCTCTCCCCTGTCAAGCACAGCCCTCTAGCACAATCAATGTGTTACGATTCCGAAGCCTACATGGCCACACCCATCATCCCGACACTGGCAATGCCCAGTCCTGGATACGAAAGGAGAGGATGCACACCGAAGTACCGATGTAGTGCATTACGGGATGATGAATGTTCTATGTCCCCCAAGCTTCTGCCCTTCCTCCAAGTTCATCCCCCGTCATCCCAAGAACTCACACCCAACCTTTCCCCCTTCCATCACCAAGCCCCCTACGCTAACTCTTTCTCGTCCCAGAGACTTTACTGCCATACGTTCCTCCACCATAGTTCTTGGCACGGATATGGCTAACTCTGATCTAATCCCGATGGATCCCATGACCCAATCTATCCTTCCAAATTGACGATGACAAGAACAACCAACTAATTTTCGTATCTATTAGTCAGCATGGAAGGCCAAAAGATGGAACATAATTACGATAGCTGCCAACCGTTCGAAGATAATCCGGCCGAAGAACGAGATGGCCCGGGAAGAAAGAGGCTTTGTCAACGTTAAAGACAGCGAGGGCTGGAGTTAACCATTCCATCGTAAGGGGACTGGTTTGGTCTGAGGAGCAGAGTAAGATCTCCAACAGTGGATCAGAAATATAGTTGTCTTCCTAAAGATTTGACGGCACGTTCTCGTCTTTCTCTTCATTCCCAGGCTTCTTGACCTGCAGGACTCCAGTCCTTTCGTCCACAAGCTTCTATCGTGCCAATATGTACGAATCCGTATGCTAATGGTTTGCATCTGGGAGGACACTTGCTGACGATTGTATGCATCAAGCGATAATGGGCTGGACGGCAGAGTTGAGACAGCTCTCCGTAACTCAACGGTCCCAAGATGCATTGTTATCTCGTCTGCCGCATTATCTATGGTTTCAAGCCGGAGTCTAACTAACGGAGAGGTCCCTAGTATCGCAGTATCGTTTCAGGGCCGCAATATTGCGTACGCCGGGTTGCTAGAGGTAATGGGACTATCAACCGTACAGCCAAATGAAGTCATATATTTTTAAGATCTTTGCACTCACTATCAGGGTACGGTGAAGTCCAAAGGCTGTCGATCCCCCGGCTGGAATCGGGCTCGACGCACATGATTGGGTGAGCATGCCGATGACTCTGAGTCTCTGGGTTACAAAGGCATTCGGGGAATCAACTACCGATCGGGGCTTATGGACCCAAAGAATTGAGGACATCTGGTCTGACCAATCTGGAAATACACACGGGGAAGGAACTGGAAGCGAGTACAATATCACACACCGAAGACACATGGAAAAATGATGACGAACAACTCTTTTCTCTCTCCATGCCACCTAACCCACAATCATGACCATGCTCCCATGTGATACCATAAACACACTCCATCAACCATATTCCTACCTCTAACCCTGTCCATCGACAATACCTAACTCTGCCCCTAACTCTGCCAAAAACCAGAGAAGAACCGAAACAATGCCATCCGTGCCCATATCCCACTCCAATAGAAAGATCGTAAACAAAAGAGCGCAAGAAAAACCAAACACATCAAGACCTCCTCACCAAGTTAACCAAATGGGGCCCTAAAAAACGCAAGCCGACGGTTGCACCAACTGCCACACACCAAGCATCCCACCCTATGTGGGAGAGCTAAGACCCGTTACTCTCCTCGAGTCAGGGCCTTGTTGCTCAATGGAGATGGTTCCGGTGCCGTGCCTACACTTGCTGCTGCGGCCGCGTCTCAGCAGCAGCGGAGGAGGATGAAAGTGAGCCCCTTTCGGGGCAAGGTGTGGGCGGCACGAGAGGAGGTGAGGAGACCGAGGCCGGGCAAGCGGCTGAGGAAGAAGGCACAAGCCACGACGGGTGGCGGGGGCCGGAGACGAAGTGGACGAAAAGCGTGGGGCTGGCCGACTGATAACAGCAGGTTCTCCCACCGATCCTGGGGGTGCAACCTCGGGAACGGAACAAAACTGCTGGCGGAGAAGGGCAGCTCGGGCGGGCCAGCTGGACTCTTCTCGACTGGAGATCCCATTGGTGATTCGATTCAAAAGTCATTTTGGGGGGGAGGAGAGGGGGAGAGAAGCAGAGTGAAGGGGCCAGAAGAAGAGCCTCCAGCGACAGCAGCAGTGGCGTCAGAATCGGCGGACCCACGACAGCACGAGCAGTATACAGTTGGACCCAAAAGTCTGGCTGCTTCATCGCAGCGTGCCATCCAAAGATCCGACCGAATTCTTTAAAAGATTGAAGCTGCAGATCCAGCTCCTGTTTTCAATCCGATCGACCATGTCGCTAAAAACAAGTGGGCCAAAATTTCGCAACTCGCCGGTGACTTTGGGATGAATGGGAGGTAAGACGAAAGGACTTGATTCAGGCCATGGAGCGGTGCGGCCGCTTCCTTTTATCCAATCTGTGGGTAGACCAATGAAAGCACACTGCCGCCCGTCTTATGGGTATTTGTGATTAAAATATGCATAGTTCTCTTGCTTCAGTCGCATAATCCCCTTCCAAAGCCAGCGAGGAGTCGACAGGACCGCGCCGTGGGTGTGACCGACATAAGAGCAGGAGGGCCACTCAAAAGAGGTGATGGAAAACATGATAGCTGACTCTGTCTGATGTTGGTGATTGAATCTAAAACGCGTGTTGCTGCTGCGGTGAATTTCGATCTGGATGGTGACTGCTTAGCAATGTGTAATAACCTGGGAGAATTTAGAACTTCCGAGGAGGGGAAAGTGGCAATGAGTATTCTGGCCGAGCACCAGTGTGTGTCCTTGCCCGCGATCACATGCAATGACCCAAAAACACGTGTTAATCGTGAAAATAAACAGGCACGGAAGATGCGGTCCCGATTGAAACGGAAGGCGCTAGTCTAAGCTGTAAAGCGGGGTTCGCGGTCTCCGGGTCACGGGAAGAAAGTGGACCTGTACGTTGGAGAAACTCCGGTCCGGGTACAGTACCTGCGCCGAAAACGGACCCATAACGTCGACTGTGAAACCGAGCTTCCTTATTGCGATCTGCGATGCATTTAGGCAGTCTTTAGAGTTCTAAAATATCAATACCAGTTGAATTCTGTTGTAATTTACAGTTTTCATTCTGTCATCTTTGATAAAAGCTTCTAATGGAGCCGCAGCCCTCAGCGAAACGATTCCTCGAGGCTCGCAGTGAGAGGTCACTGGGTCAGACCACATCTCCGGCATCCTGGCTACGAGTCGCGACGCGAATCACCAAGCTTCCGGAGCTTGGTCGCAGTCAACGCTCCTGCGTAGACAGAAAGGAAGTCGCATACCGTGTACCTGCCTATGTCTTGTCGAGAATACTCGTTACTTGAGAAGTGACGTGGCGTGTTACTGTTCGATCAGCAGGTACAACTCCGGGCTTGTTTCCCCACACGCCGCCTAGGGAGTGGGGCGACATAGAGATAGGTGTTGACGGAGAGATAAGGCGGCACGAACGAGTCAACAATGCCTAAGACAGAAGCAGCTAACCTGCTGGCTATCTGCAGCTAACAGCAACGGTTGTAACGGGAACGAGCTCTTCAGCAACCAGCCGGCTAGAGTCAACATGCAGAGACCTCAGAATTGCTCTGGACGTGTTGATGTCATGGTAGATGTTGCTATTCGCAAGCTTTGCTACTTCTCTCACCAGGCATTGCAGCCATCCAGTGGCACTGCTTATTCGAAATTGAGGACTGCGCGGAACTGGAAATCGGCTTCGCAGTCGTGAGATATCGCGGTTTAGGCAGAAAGGAGAGCTAGAAGAAAATGGATAATAGAGGTAGTAAGACAGCAGCGTTGACTTCCACAGAGGTAGGGCTTTGAAAACGTAGGAGAAGGGGGTGGGACGTCCGCTCAAGTGATTTCATATATCGACTTGAATTAAATTGAATTGTAGTATAATTTTGACCCATGTCGCCCTGGAGAGTGCTTGGCCGTACCCACGACGGGCGGCCAAGAGGTGATTATGGGCTGCTTAAACTGCACTATATACACATCTCGTGTATCAACCTCTAGATTAAACGGTGACTAGCGTTTCATTGTGCCTAGCCCTCCTTGGAACATCAGTTGTGCTCAGGGGAGCGGAAGAGGTCGGTCTGGTGTCAGGAAAGCATTATATTTTTTAAGATCCACTTCTCCCTTCAGGTTTTGTGGACTGCCGTTGACCAATCATCCAGTTAAGCCCCTCAAGCCGCAACGCCAATATTCTGAGCTAAGAGCTTTCTCATTTTTGTCCCTCGGTATTGACTAGCTCGCGTACCGAATACTCTGACGAGTCTCCTGATCATGCGTCGTGGTTCAATTGTTTTTAAGATAACATTATAGGGTTCATCCCTTATTGCATCAGTCAAACTCACTTCCAAACACTCACCCACCCCTCATCGCTGCTGCAGTTCTAGCCTTTGGGAGGATGACTTCGACAGCTCCCTTGCTTCTTGGTACCTTGGCTTTAATAGATGAACCTCTCTACCTAAAAGCCAGCTACAGTTTGATGTAGATCGTCCTCTCCAGCTTCGTGACCAATATCGACACCCTTTTTCGACCGCGTTTCAAAAGCCACTTAGCTGTTCAGGGCATGGACCAAGGAGCAGATTCTAGAATCAAATGTTGAAATTGGGTTAGAGGTTGCAGAACAGGGCTAATAACATGGACCACAGAACAGCTGCAGGAAGAAAAAAAGGAAGAACGTCGGAGGGTGGGGGGAAGGAGCGCAGGATAAAGGACAAAGAGGACATGGGTAGAAGGATGAGAAATGGAAGAATATATGGCATTTACAGCACTTAGGAGCAAGCCTAGGGGTAAAATTACTGAGCTACCGGGCTGTTGAGCGGACTTTAGATGTGTTTCTGGTATAAGAGAATTAAGTGTCGTGAAGAGAAAAACCCCAAACAGTGACCAGTTCTCGGAATCGATCAGTCAATGTAAACAAAGAGATAGTAACATATAGATTGCAACAATTCCAAACTGACTTCTAAAAGATCGCCTCAAAATGCGAGTCTCGTATACATTGTCTAAATAATTGCGAGACCAGCGTAAGCTCGCTTGCCTTGGAAATAGAAAACACACTCATTGAGGCTTCCGCATTATCCCAAATCCCATGAACAATTGAGTTGAATTCATTCAGAAAGCGCTTAGGAAGTTTCAGGCTTGCGAGCATATACGATACGGCGCATCCAGTAGAGGTTTAATCCTGGTTCTCTAAGCTGCCTTCGCACGTGGGCTAGGAAAACTTGCGACGCCTCAGGCTGCCAGCCGAGAACCTCGTTCAATACATAAATGATCCATCCTAAGAGCAAGAGATCGTGATTAGTTCTAGGTGTTAATGAATAAGATATGGGAAAAGAACATACCGTCAAGGTCTGCCATCGCTCCAGCCTTGGTAATAAGGCCGATCTCTCTTTGGTGTTCATCTTCTGGCCAGTCGCCAAATGGAACCTTAATATCTCGGACGTGAATATCAGTAAACCCAGCGGCTTCCATGCCTTTTTTTTGGATTTCGTCTTCATAAAGCATGAAGGTACGACCCATTCTGTTCCCAGCTTCCCGATAGATCTTGGGATATTGACCAAGCGGACTATCTTCGTCGATTCCCTTCTCAGAATACCAGTGTGCAGAAACTTCCTGGTGCTCAATCCAGCCACCAGGCTTGAGACAACGGAAGGCCTGCTGGTAAAGAGCATCCCAGTCGATGACGCATCCAAGCAGGAACCGGATGTGAATGAAATCGAATGTGTTTTCCGAAAAAGTCCACTCGCGGGTTGCATCGTCGATTTGGAAGCTGACATTTGGGGGAACCCAGGTTGGTTGGATAGGTGTAATGTCTGTGCCAATTACCTCGACATCAGGGTGAAGATCACCAAAATCACTGCAAATCGTTAGCCACGAGAAGGCTGTTTATTTATCGGATGATGGTTTCACTTGCATTGCCCAATGGCCTGCACCTGTGCCAAGATCGAGAACTTTTTTAACCTTTGGAAATTCCAGAGGGGCAAAGTGCAGTTTTCCGTCCATTGCTAGCAGATAGGAGGCATGCCTGCATGAGTGTACTTGAGTTAGTTGATCCGGATAGGCCTTAGGGAAAAGCAAAAAATTGGCCAATGCTCAAGCGGAGAAAACATACAGGAGGTCTAATGACTCGATATGCTTTCTATCGTTTGGCTCCCAGGCCTGTGCATTACCAAGCTCAGAGTGAAAGGTCCGGCCATGAAGACTGCGGAAGCGCAGAAGACTACTTGTTATTGAAGCAGTACTCGTGAGAATCGACTCTGCATCTTCTTTGCTGTCCGGACCCTCTTCAATTTCCACAGGGTCGAGCTGAGATCATAAACAGTGTAAGAAAATAAGAATATGACGGGGGAGCAGTAGGGAATTTGTGATCAAAGCTTACATTTGTCCAGTGGGAATCTGGAAGAATGCCAGGATCATTGGATTTCTGTGTCATTATTAAGAGTGGAAAATGATATTGGCCAGAAGTGGCTTCACTAAAAGGCTTGAGTGTCTGCAATGATCCGATGTTAGAAGGAAAGCGATCCGTTCAATCAGACACTGATTTATCTTTGGCTGGCATGCTCAAGGTCCTTATATATCCACTTCAACTGCCCCTCGACCAGGCATCCGGGTAACTCTGAACCCTGCCGCATATCTCTGCACGCATCACTTCCCCACGCAGCATGCAATGCAACTTTTCGTTAGCTAGGTCAACATTGCATGCTGAATTACGCAGTGCATGACGTCGTACCCAGTGGCATCTGCTTAACTTTTAAGACGATACACGGTGTATATTTCGGACTACTCATGCAGGAGGGATTACACAGTATGGGTGGGCACATAAACCGGAGCATTAGTTTTACATTCGAGTCCACAGCGGAGTTTGACTACGGGCTGTTGAGAATAACAAGTTTTGATTCAATGGCCAGACCAAAACACACTGCATTTCCCTCCAAGCTACATTCGACCGGCTTTCAGCAAGTCTCTGGCTTACGACCGTAGACAACACGACGTATACAGTAAAGATTCAATCCTGGCTGATTTAACTGCTTCCGGACATGGGCTAGAAAAACGAGAGCCTCGTCTTTTTTCCAGCCCAGCGTCTCACACATTGCATATAAGAACCACCCTGAAATAAAATTAGCGATTATTCGTTTGATGTGATATAACAAGGATATCTGTGCTCAAAGCCTGGTTCTGAAATTTTAAGGGGAGACTTGCCGTCAAATCTGCCAGTGTAACAGCTTTTGTTACGATACCAAGTTCTTTTTGTTGTTTGTTTTCTGGCCAGTTCCCGAACGGAACCTTAATGTCCATAACTTGGATATCCACAAATCCGGCGGCTTCCATGCATTTTTGTTGCACGTTGTCAGCATATAGCGTGAAGGAACGTCCGGACTTCCTTCCAGCCTCGGGGTATACTTTGTTAAGCTGACCTAGAGGGCTATCTTCGGGGAATGGTGTGTCGCTACGCCAAATCGGATCAACTTCCTGGTGTTCAAGCCAGCCACCGGGCTTGGTGCAACGGAAGGCCTCCTTATAGAAGGCATACCAGTCTGAAATGCAGCCAAGGAGGAAACGGATATGAATAAAGTCAAAGGAATCGCTTGGAAATGTCCAGTCTTGATTGGCGTCATCGATTTCGAAAGTTAGGTTTGGGGAATTCAAGATGGCTGGATTGGCGTAATGTCCGTGCCAATAACCTCTGTGTTTGGATGAAGGTCGGCAAAGTCTCTGGGAACTGATTAGCTTACATATAACTACTATAGGTGTTTCAATACTTACATTGCCCAATGCCCTCCACCAGTTCCAGCATCAAGGACCTTTTTCAGCTTTGTATCATCGAGAGGAGTGAGATGAAGCTTCCCATCCAAGGCTAATAAACATGAAACATGTCTTGGACAGAGCCTGATTAGTTTCTGAAACAACGATGCGCAGATAGCAACCCGATCACATACAAGAGACCCAATACTTCGACGTGTTTTGCATCGTTTGGGGTCCATGACTCGGCCTGCCCAATCTCAGAGTGATACGTTCGGCCATTAAGGCTTCGATATTGGCGGAGACTGCTTGCGATGGAGGTAGTGCTTGATGCAAGGCTACCCCGTACCGAAGAAATATCGGACCATTCATCTTCCTTGTCCTGCTACACTGCCTCGATCCCGAGCTGCGATTGCGTTGTTAGAATATATGTGCAAAAGAGTCAGTTGACATATCCGAATCCTGTTGATTACGTATCCTATGCCTGTGGGCTTGCCCCTCGCCCAAAGAATTCTCCTAACTTGCTTGAACTGACATCGAAGAGAGGGGAGAATATACATTTGCCCAATGAGAAGCTGGTAAGATGCCAGAATTGTTAGCTGACTCCAACATCGTTAAGGACGTGGTCACAATCTCGAGAGCAGTTGTCTGGTTCAAGAATGTCGATGGCCGCAACGATAGAGTTGTTGGCAAGAGAAAATTCTGCAGCCTGGCGTCTGGTGCTGCTGTAGAATGTTGAATCTCAACTAAAGGTACGAACACGTCTCAATAAATCACCAGTACTCATTTTGCTCTGAAGGTGTAGGTATTCAATCACAGACGGTGTCCCGGCCTACAGAGCGAACAGAGCGAAGGCCGACAGGGCGACGTGGCTGTTGTCTACGGATCTCACATGGACATCTGCATGTATACAATCATACCAACATGCCTCAGCGTCTCGTAACCAAAGTTCCCCCACGGTTCAAGCAGCTGTTAATGCATACATGCAGTTGGAATCATCAGATATTTGCTCTTCAGCAACCAAGCACATGCACCCTTATCAAGTTCAGAACCAACAGAACCTGTTGCATACCAGCATATGCATATACAATGCCATAGAAGAATAAAAATATGTAACAATATGTAGGTTGATGCTGCAATCACAGCAGCTCGGCTGCTGCTGTCCTGCAGAAAACACCCCCACATGAGGAACCCCTCCGATGCATGCAGGGGTTATCGGGAAAGTCCCCCGAGGTCACTCGGTTCTGTCACCAAAGCGAGAACGTTACCTCTGAGGATTTAAGATACCCAAGATCGTCAAAGCGGCCAGCCTTCCGAGCTTTCGCTAAACTTCTCCGTCAAAATCATACAAAAGCTGTCTCTTTGCAGGTTTCTTTGTCCATCAACTATTATTCCTATAACATACGTCAAGAATCTTAAGCAAACCAGGTCCTTCAATTGATCTCATCCTCAACAATGGGAAAGTCAGATAATAATCCAGGTGTTCTCCCGGCATCTCATTGGGGGAAGGTATGTTTGACAGTCCTTTGAAATTACTCGTGTGTTATCACCTGCTCACTAAGTGACCTTGCGTCGAGATGTAGAAGACCACGCAGGAGCCTGAGGATGAACAAAGTGACACTTCATCGTTTCGGAGTAGTTTTCTTTCGAGCACCACATCTGTCGCAAGCAGCCTTCGGCACTACCGAAGCCTTCATGGTCGTACTTATCATTCGGAGATTGGAAATGCCCAGTCATGGACCCCGAATGATGAGAAGCATGTTGAGGTTCAGGACCTAGTGTACGGTTTTCATCAAACGCAGAGTCTATTGACGTCAAGTTGCTCGTTCCACTAACTAGTGCTTGTTTCTATTATAGACATGCCTCATGCTTGTTGGCAATGGATGGAAAACTCCATCTGTCCCCTCTCGACTCGGCCAAGATACAAAAGGTACTCGATGTTGGCACCGGCGCTGGACATTGGGCAATGTAAGTGAGAGTCACAATTCTTACGTTAATGATGGATTTTGACTATTCTACTTCAAGTGACCATTGTATCTCGTTTCGTGGGCAATTCTAACTGTGCTTTCCTAGTGATTTTGGTGATGTTCATCCTAATGTGGAGGTCATTGGTACCGATATCACCCCAATCCAGCCATCCTGGGTCCCCCCCAATGTTAGCTTTCAGATTGATGATGCCAATCTCGAATGGACATTTCCAGACAATACGTTCGACTTTATCTACGTGCGTTTCTTGCTAGGCTGTATTGTTGATTGGAACGCCTTCTATAAACAGGCGTTCCGTTGTACCAAGCCTGGCGGTTGGTTCGAACAGACGGAGGTACAATTGAAGTACATATCCGATGTCAAGCCGATCCCCCCGGATAGTCCGCTAGGTCGCTTAGAAGCTATCTTTGCGGAAGCGGGACAAAAATCAGGCCGTTCGTTCACCTTATACCAAGACGACCTCCAGAGAAAGGGCATGGAATCCGCCGGTTTTACGGACATCCAAGTTCGAAATATCAAGGTGCCGTTCGGGAACTGGCCAAAAGATGAGCTCCAGAAAGAGCTCGGCATCATTACGAAGGCTGCATTCATGGAAGACCTCGATGGTAAGCATTTTCCCTTTCTCTCTGTTCCAAGAACTAAGACATGCATCACTACCTATGCTTCATGCACTTGAGTCAGCGAGAATAAGGATACTAAGTTAATGCACCTAGGATGGATGCTTTACACATTGAACAATATCCTGAACTGGAAGCCAGAAGAAAGCCAGGTCTTTTTGGCACATGTCCGAAAGCAATTGCATGATCCGGAGCTCAATCTCTACTTCTTACGTCGGGTTGTATATGGTCGCAAGCCCGAAACCAATTGAGGGTTGGCGCAAAGTCTTGCCGTTGTGCACGGTATATTAACTTCAGGATATGGGCAGCATGTTGGAATTGGGAATCGCGATTTGTCAAACCGCGGCATGGAATGATGTGTGCACTGAACCTGTCGTGGACGCACCCGAGTTTCTGCATGTATACAGTCATTCAATGATCTATTCGCTTCAACTTACATAATCTTTCTGTTTGAATGCATCCTATCATGGGCGCGGGGCTTGCTGATATCTCGGCAGTACCGGTAGCTAATGATGTTTCACACTATTACAACTTGCAGAAATGTCAATTATGCCAATTATCAAGATTACAGGTTCCTGGTTCCTGTTGATATCGAAAATGGAACGAGGACGTAGTCGTTTGAACTTGTGATCCTGCTCTGCAATGGAGGAGCAAACAGCCCAACTCTAAAGACGGGTTGGTTCCTGAACTTCTTAGGTGCCTCGTCTAACTCTTCGCCCAGGGAGTTGCGTACAGCTTGACCGAACATATATAGGCCTCAACAACCTTTCTGCATCTGGATTCTTAAGCCGCTTAAAGTTTATTGTTTTTCCTACGCTACAGTGAGAAGTCCAGCTGACAATAATCTTTGCATGCCTTTGGACCAACATTTTCTACTGATGACTATCTGGCCCAAACGCAGCTGCCGCAAAAGCCCAACCCCAGTTTCATGGTGTAGGTAATGTTGCTCTTTCAAAGCCATGGAAACAAGCCGAAAAAAGATCACCTAGAATGCTTATATTTACGAAGTCTCAGGCTTCCTGCCGTAAACCACACGATATCTGAACGAGAGCTTTCGTTTGGGGTTGTTAATTTCTTTCCTGACATGGGCAATGAAGACCTGCGTATATTCCGGCTCCCAGCCGAGAATTTCAGTGAAGGTGAAGACCAACCATCCTGGGTAGAATTAGCACACAATTCTCAGACTGGGAACTGGTATAAAAAAATTCACCGCGGGGGGTACCCTCCGGTGGGTGGGGGGGGGAAGGAGAGGCGAATGCAGCATACCCTCGAGATCTGCTAATGTGTACGCTTTGGCGAGAAGACCGAGTTCCTTCTCATGCGCATCCTCGGGCCAAGGGCCGAAGGGGATCTTGATATCCTTTACCTGAATATCGACGAAGCCAGCTGCTTCCATTCCTTTCTTTTGTATGTCGTCCGGAAGTACGTCGAAGGTACGCCCGGCCTTTTTTCCGGCTTCCGAGAAGGCCTTGTTATAGATGTCCAGCGTGCTCCCCTCAGGAATCGGTTCCGCGTCGTCATACCAGTGGACGTAGGCCTCGAAATGTTCTATCCAACCTCCCGGCTTGGTACAACGGAATGCCTCACGATAAAAAGCATTCCAGTCGGTTATACATCCAACAAGGAAACGCAAATGAACGAAGTCAAAACGATTATCGGAGAAGGTCCACTCAAGGTTTGCATCATCGATCTGGAAGCTCACATTGGGAGGAACCCAAGACGGCTGCATGGGCGTTATATCAGTGCCAATGACCTCGGCATTCGGGTATAAATCACCCATATCGCTGGCGGTAGTAATAGTTAGAATCAGAAACACTCTTGACTTTATTCGACACTCGGGTGGGTTTGTCACACTTACATGGCCCAATGGCCTGCGCCTGTGCCAACATCCAGGACACTTTTCAATTTCTCAGTATCAAGAGGTGCTAAAAACAGCTTCTCATGTATGGCTGTCAAACAAGTGGCGTGCATTAAATCGAGCATCTCGATATGCTTCTGGTCGTTTGGTGTCCAGGACACAGCATTGCCTATCTCCGAATGATACGTTCGGCCATGGAGACTGCGAAACCGGCGCAGACTGCTTGCCACCGAAGTAGTGCTCGAGAAGGAGTCTGAGGTGTACAGAGAAGAGGTGTCGTCATTTCCTGCAGCGCTAGGTTCATCATCGGGCTAGATAGAAGAGCGTTGTTATAAGTAAATGATCAATAAACTCATGATTCATATGAGGAAGTGAGTAACATACATGTGCCCAGTGAGATGCGGGAAGAATGCCGGCAGATGGAGTATCGTTGGCGGTCTTGTGGCTTGACTGTTCGACCATGGTATATGTAATTACAGGCGAAGTCCACGATGTGGTTTGAGTCGGATAAATGCCAAACTAAAGTGCTCAGGGACGCACAATTTTGATGTCAACAGTTACACAAGTTTCTCTGCAGCGGGAATTGAAGGTTTGGGGAAGAGGCTGATTTGGGGGAGGGGGTTACACCAAGGTAAAGTATACGGCTTATAGCCCTGGATCTAGCGGGAGCCAGCAGAGCCTTGGGCGACCATCTGCACTCTGCATGCATGGCACCATCAGTCACATCCTAATAGGGCATATCGACTGCAAGTCTGTTGCATCCGGCCTACCCCTGCTGCAGCGGTCAACTGAGAACTGCTTCGAGGTTGGCTGTTTCGTGTTCATACCCCACTCCTTGCCACTTGTTGTTCGCTCATCTTTGAACTATTCCATAATCCGTATGCAAGTCCCACTGACGATTAGGGGCTTTCGTTTTTGTCACCATGCGAGCATAACTCCCAGAATACTTGTCGAGGACTCAAAGGAGAGCATCACAGAAGGAGGAGTCCAACAGATAAGATACAGTAAAAGCGATGATCGACTAACATGCTAGAGGAGCAAAAACGATCAACAATAACGTTCTTCTGGTTGACACGTCGACAGTCAAAACTGAAGCTGTTATTCAGCTCTAGTTCGATTGTTACCGACATCCTTGGGATACGAATACCAGTGGGTAGCCCCTCAAGTTGAATTAAAGGTTTCTCTTTGTAAAAAAACACATTGACTGTCTCCTCTGGTTCTATTACTCTGCAAACCTCTTGGTTGTCATCATGAAACTGACACTATGTGGTTGTGAGGTATGGCGTGGCGCCGTGAATCCTTCTCATTACCAATGATGGCTCGACCGCGAGTAGCAATGCGAGGTTAGAGTCGAATAAAAAACTGCCAGGGACGTTCCAACACCAGCGTGCACTGATCCGTTGGCATGTGCATCTGGACTCTTCTACAGCACCAGACACTAGTAATCAATAAAACTTTAAACTACAACTGCAGATTACCCAAACAAGGTCAAGCTGAATTCACGCCCACTACTTTCTGTTCATAGCGGCCTGCACTTGGAATTTGAACATGTAATCATATCATTGTATGACTGGATCTCCACATAAATCTGGCATCAGCTGATAATACGACAAATAAACATCGAATTGAAACTTATTGGGTTGGTGTTGAGAGCGCGATGTCAACGTACCTGTTGCATGTTCCAGTCTAAACACGGCAGGCGGTGAGCAGCGAGCCATGTGGCAGAATCGCGGAACTTGCCGCCGAATTTTCCGCCGCCAGGATATGCGCTCAGATCCTTGTTCATCGACCGCGACCCTTCACTGGCCAGAGAGTCCAGACATCCAGCGCAGCGACAGTGAGAAAGCCGTGACGTTCGCTCGTTCAGTGCCGCCGCCAATCGCCAGGGGACGTACCTCTCCAACGGATAGACACTCACTGACGGTAAACACCTTGCTGCCGCTGTGGTAAAAAAACCAATCAAGATGCTGTACGAGACGATCGGTATTGTGAGTGCCTTCGCTCCGCCAGACCACCCACTTCCCACAAGGTTCATTACTGATAGGCTTTTCGCCTCAACTCCAGGTCCGTCCGGGCTCCCTCAACGAGGTGAAAGAGTACGTCCCCACCCTCCTTGTCCGATTCTATAGACCATAGATATTCCGAGCTATCTACCCAACCAATTTCCCATCCCTCCTACAACGAACGACCTCCCACATTCAACTAACGGCCCCCTCCCGATCAAAACAGAATCGTCCTCACCGCAGGCCAACTCATCCTCCGACAAGGCGGCGTGATCCGTGACATCGCCAACTGGGGCGTCTTCATGCTTCCCCGCTCCGTCTCGCGCAACCAGGTGCGCTACAACAAAGGCCACTACTTCGTGATCCGCTATGATTGCTCGATCCAGACGCACCAGGCCGTGACCAACACGCTGAAGGTCGACCCGCGGGTAATTCGGTCCGGTGGCGTGAAGTTGGGAGATGGCAAGCTCGAGACGTTGAGCAAGTTCGGGCAGATTCAGTGGAATGCCTTGGAGTAGAAGGTTGCAGAAGACGGAGGGGGCCCCGGTGAAGGTTGGGGGGAAGGGGGGAAAATGGGGGAAATGGTTTGGGTGTGACGGACTTGATGGTCAGTGCTATTATCCCTTGATAAGCTGGCATTATGGTCAGCTGAAGACAGACATCAAACGACGTCGTTAACCCGCAGCACGCCGGCTGAAGGAGTGCCGCACCAGGAAAAGGAGGGATATACCCATTTGAGCAGACCTGAGCTGACGGCGTTCTTGGTGATACCCCAAGTCGGTGGGAGCCTTGTCAGAGGAATTATGTGAGAGAAATGTTTCTGTGTACAATAATGTTCCGACTCAAGCTCAAGTGTACCATACGGGATGATAGACGGAGTAAGGAATGAGGAAGATCTGGTTGGAAACAATGGATGATCTGGACTTTAATCGCGGAGCTCGCGTTTTGCTGGCTATGGCTCAGTTGTGTCGACAAGACTTCTCAGGTTCTCCCGGGAAGCCTCCGGCTCGCCAATTACCGCCAGCTCGCCTGCATACACTTATGCTGTTAGGCCTTCCCACCTAGACCCATTCTTTGTTCCTGCTAGTCTAATTCTGTGTACCCATGCAATGTTCAGTCGTATCGCCATTGAACATCACTGTAACACACAAAGGTAGCTCCCCGGTGCTAGCCATCCTGCCCTCCATCCCCAAGCCCTGCCCAAACACCAACTCACATTGCCGCTCCAGTCAGAGAAAAAGGACCGGAGCGCCATACACGCTTCGTTGACCTCCCGCCTTAGGCTACACCCTAGCATTCGCACTCTCTCCACCAGTATGCCCCCTTAAATCATTATCCTCCCCTCGTTATGAACCCCACCCCCCTAGTTATCTACATCCATTCCATCCCCCTTCACAACCCCGTTCTTCTTGCACCACACAACGAAATCATCAATCAACCCCGGCCAGGCCTGCTCCTCCGACCAGAACCCCAAGGTCTCGTCCTCAAGCGTCTTATACGCAAACAACAATGTCTGATTCCACAAATCCTTACTGATCGTCCTTGTCCAACCATCCGTCTCCAGCACCTCAAGCGGCTCGTCCGGGTCTACCGCATGCCTCTTCTCGGCGTCCTTGCGCGCCTTCTCCTCGCTGCGGAAGCGCTGCCGCAGAAACTCCTTCCAGTGCGTGAAGAAATCGACGTGCGTCGAACGCCAACCGCGCAGCGTCGGCTCGAAGAGCAGCTCCCAGTAGGTGAAGGCGATCGGGATTTCCATCTCGCGCTTTCCGGCTTCTTTGCCAGCAAGAAAGGCGCTGCGGTAGACTTTTTTGAAGTATTCTGGATTAGAGCGACACTGGTCGATGCAGCCACGGATGTGCTGCTTTTGGGATTCGAGAGATGGGGTGACGCGGCGGTTGGACTCGTAGAATTGCTTCCAACCGTTGACGAAACCATCGCGGGTGATCTGGCCCATGGACTCGACCTTGACGAGGTCGGTCAGGACAAATAGCTCGAAGGAGTTCGCGTCGATGCCGAGGGCATCAGCATAGCCTGCTATCTGCTCGAGCCCCAGCTCATTCGCACCTGAGAGTCGGTCAACTCATGCGTCCAGTAAACGCTCTCAAGGCAGGCAGAACATACCACCTGACAGCGAGTCAAACAGCTGCTTCAGGGCCTTCTCAGTAGGGTCTTCCCTCGATCCCCTCGCATACCCGGCATCCTTGCTATCGAAGTATCTGCAAGGAAGCGCGTCGTTAGTCTCTCAGTCGGGATCAAGAGCTCAACTGATAACATGATCGAACATCGTGACGGACCGCGCGGACGAAGTCCCCTTCGCATAAGGCTTTTGCTGAGAGGCATTCGCCTTCGGCTTGGGAGTCCTGGGCATACTGGGTGTAGCGATATTGGAGGGTTGGTCCTGCAAGGAATGCAGTTGGGCCTCTTGAGGTGCTGGCGAGGTGGCTTCTAACCTCTGATTTGGTGGGAGTGAAGAAGAGCAGGGATTGGATGACGATAATGGTGATTGGAGATTATTAAGTTTGTGGTTGCTGTCCGTCTCGGTCGCACCTTTCAAGTGGGGCGACTTTGAGGGAGCGGGAGGTTGACGAGGTTTTCTTTGGAAGCAGGAAGTAAAGAGACGCCGGAACATGGCCGGCACATTGGCTGTATCAGCCTCACTCATAAGAGAGTCTCTCACAAAAAAAGGAGTGAGGGTGAGGATGATAGCGATAAAAGCCACACGAGGTTTCACAAGTGAAATGAGCGCGTGGATTATTCATCCAAGCGATGAGTGACTCCACTGGAGCCAGCGATCGAGCCCTTTTCTAGGAGGAGGCAAAAGGAACTATGTCTCGGCCAAAGATACCAGCCTTGAATTGGCAGAAGTGAAGCAAAATGGCCAGAATAAATGGAAACTAAAGGTGAATCCAGGGATGGATGGACGCCTGCATTGGTGGCGGCGATGGTGAAGGTTATGAGACACTCGCGTCACAGTGCCGAAGCCGTTTTCCAAAACCCTTCCAATGGTCGGCCCTAACACACCGGACGGGCCCGGAGGAACGCGGTAGACGGCAATTCTTGCACTGCTACATCCGGCGGTTCTATGATCGACGGACTTAAAAAAGTCCCACGGTCGTACCGTCGCACAGGACGCGATGGCGGCAGGGGATGTAAGAGATCAAGGCCAGCCAAGAGGCTTCACTTGAAGCCAGCCTTTCGCAATCCCAAGAATAAGCCCACACGGAAAAAGTCATGAACGAAGGAATTTGTGACTTACTGGTTCACCGCGCGTTGGATGTCATAGTTATTGCTAGCCAGGTACTGTCGCATCCAGCATCGCAGTCAGTTTTCACGAGCAACAGGAGGTTAATGCAACAAGGATCAAAGGTCCATCGGTATCGGCCCGAAAGACGACCCTCTGCTCGGCCATGCGATTTGAGCGGTAAGGGTGTATGTCGGGACGGTGCGAGACCGCGAGGGACAGTGTCAAAGATGAGATGCTGCAAATAACAAAGAATGGACAAAACCCACATTCAGTGCAGTTTCCCTCGAGGCATTGGTGTGCTCGATAAACTTGGAGATCAACTCCCGTTGTCTCTGTGTCGAGATGCTGGGCATGATTGAGATGGGCTCTGGTTTTTTCTAGAGTTCGCGGCTGTACTCCCTCCGAGCTGGTGACCAAATCGGATGCTGATGTGGCAGGGTGGTGTCAAGTCTTGTCGAGAACAAGTCTTGTCGCTGCAATCAAAGGGGGCCTCCTCGATATCTCGGTCTAGGCTATTTCCCAACAGCCCTTTTTGTCTGCCTGCTCGAGTAGGCGGCGATGTATGTAAGTTGTAAGTACCTTAGCGAAGGCTGGCTGCCCTAGACGAAACGGACCCTGCCAAGAAAAGGAGACTGTGAGACCCGAACGACCTGACGTGGGGAAAGAGATCGGCTCGGTCGAGTCGGGTATCACGACAGAAGACGAGTTGATCGAGGCGGGAGACTGTTGGAGGTTATTAGGGGCTGGAGAGGCCCAGGGATGTGAGAATCGGGTTCGCAGAGTTGTTGGAAAAGAGACCGTTATCGAAGCTGGAGAACGTTTCCAGATCCAGCTGTTCGTTCGCTGTCCAGGGTCTACTCTCCAGAGAATTGGCGGGGAAAGAACCTGAACGTCCTGGCGAGCACTGAAGGCTGGGGGAAAAACGTCATGGCGGGGTCCGGACGGGTTCTGAAGAAAAGTGGAGGCGGCTATATGAAGCCCGACTGCCCGACTTGGCGGGGTAACCTCCTGCTGGTTGGCCTGGTGCTGCGCGGCAAGCTGACACTTTTTTTGAAGCATCATAAAGCTTGTTACGGCCTATCCAGCGGCATATTGGAGGTCACAATACCTCGCGGGAAGAGGCAGCATTCCGAGCATTCCAAAGGGGTTATCATAACATCCTGTTGAAATCAAGGACATCAACACCACACATCACAGCATCCAACCCAGCATCACAGGTCATTAACACACATATTTCATTGCTATTCCGACATTATACAACAGTTCATGAGCCAACAGCCTGAGTAAAAACGGACCAACGATGACTTCTCGAAAGCCATTCGAGCCATGGGTATCACAACCTGATAACGTCATGCTCATTGCGACATGTACAAACTTATCATAAACGCCGTCATTAGGTAAGTAAGTGACGAGGGAAAGAGATATGTGCATGTGCATGACATAAGATCAGAGAAAGGGCAAGGGAGTGCAGTGTGTGCCCTCGGTAGGGCGAGGTGAGTCCCCAAATTTGGGGTTCAATCAACATGGGAGGGCGTGCCCCTGAATCCTTCTCAAGGACCCAAGGGCATGCCCTCGAGGCCATCCATGAGTCGACGCCAGTTGTCAGCCAGCATCTCTGCGTACTTAACGCGCTCTTGGGCCCAGTCCTGGTTCCAGCGAGACACATTATACTGGGTGTGTTGGAAGTATATAAGCTCGTCGCGGATGCACTCCTTGATGAAGACGGACCGGTTGTGTTGGTTGACGATCGATTCCTTGTCCTTTTCAACCTGTTAGTTTGAGCACTTCGTGAAGACTTCAATAAAGCTAGGAAAGGATGCTCACTTTAATAATCATCTCCACAATCTTCTCAATCTCCCCCGGTTTGACCATCCCCTCTGGCTTGGACCGTAGCGCCGCAAGCTTGGCCTCGTTCGCAGCGATGCGCCGCTCCAACTGCGGAATATTATCCTTATCCAGCTTCTCTCGCCTGTCGAACAGATCCCTCAGGCTAACAAGCGCATCTCGCTGGCGCTTCAAATCCTCCAAAACACCCTCCTCCCAGGCACGAGCCTCATCCTCCATGAGGGTCTGGGCATTCCGGAGGTGTCGGCTCATGGTCTGAAGCCCATCATTGAGCATCGGCACGTCGCTTGCATCAGTTGCGTATGTATCCTTGCTCGCTTCTGTGAGAGATATGAGGGAGAGCGCAAGACGAGCATGGTCAGCTGCCACGCCCTCCGTCCTCTTGACCAGCCGGTCCATAATGTTGCAGATATTGATGTACAACTCTGCACTGCGCTGAACGCCAGCACGAGTCCGACTGAAGAGTTCTTCTAGGGTTGGCGGGAGTGACTCTTCCAGCCCAGGGGGCATCGGGCGGCCAGCGAACTCATCTTGAATAGTAATGGTAGCTTGCTTGCGCCAGACAGACAATTCCTGGTACTCGAAAGTCAGCCAAGGTTCCCCAATACAGCGCTCTGCCACTTACAGTAGGAACAGTCAAGAACATAACCACCAGCTGCTCCTGACTAAGGACAGGGTGCCGAACAAGCGCATTGAGGAAACGCGCAAGTCCGCGACGCCTCTTCTCAATAAAAGCCCCATCGTTCGAAAAATGGTTTCCATTCACAGCAATCCGTTTCGGTGGCAGCAAAGGTAACACCCTAAACGGGTACCTCTTGTGCAAGCACTCCAAAAGCCAAACAAAGTCACTGTAACGCCTGATGACTTTGCTCCCCCTTTTCGCGCAGGTAATCTCGTAGTTGTGATGCTGGAAGAGGAAGATGCCCTCTTTTTCCGGCATCAATGTGACTGTGACTGTCTCCTCCACAGGCGACACGGTCCGTCCGCCGCCAATGGTCCTATTGGGAGCCGTCGTCGAACCCAATGGACCAGTACCGAAGGGATTCTGATGTGCTGGGTCACCGAATCCCCCCAGCCCTGCGGGCACACCATCCAGCGAACCCCAAGCATTTGTGCTATCCACTACAGAGGGAGGTGCTGATGTTTGGATATTGCCAGTGGTAAAGGCAGATGTGCTTCTCCGGGATGTATCTTGCGGGCTGGTACTGAACAAACTGTCCCCGTTGGATACAGCAGAACTGGTCCGGGCATGGCTACCGTTTGTTGTCGACGGTTCGGGGCCATGATTGTGATTTTTGTGGAGGTCTGGAGTATTCCACGGGTCTTCAGGATACTCCATTGGCGGTTTCCTGACAGTAGCGCGCTGTTGTTTCGGAGATGGGGGGTTCAGAGCAGCTGACGATGAGGTAGGTCGCTCGGGGGACGTCGGGGTCAGTTCTGGAAGGGATGGAGCTGCCGTTGACTTGGTAATCAAGCCATGAAGATCAGGCTGTGGAAGATCTAAAGAGTCAGAAAGGCAACGTTAGCTCTTGACCGTCTTGTTCATGAGTAGCCTGAGTTGGATCTCAGGCAGGGACAAAACGCTGTCTAACAGCTCGCCACAATTCGGGTCCTTCCGAGCTTCTCAACGGTAACGTGTACTCACTCCGTCGTCTCTCATCAACACCATCAAGACTAATCGGCTCGCCCTCCTGAGCCAGCCCAATCAACGCCAACAACACATTGAACTGGTTTCGATCCAGCGCCAGCTCCTCGCTCTCATTTTCCGGCCCAACAATGGACATAATCTTCGCCTGAGCATCGGCACCCAACTTCGCTGCCGCCAGCGTTCTGGTCACCCCGGCAGCCGTGATCTTCCCCGCTTTCCCGTCCTCGCTAAATATCTTATCGAACGCCTCGATGTAGCTGTCCGGGATGAGCGAGGGCGGCAGCAGGTTACGGATCAGCTCGGCGCGGGTCTGGGGTTTTTTCGGCGCGGGAATGTCCCATGGAGAGTCGTTTGGATCATCGTCGGCGAATAGGGCTGTCGTGGTTGATCTTGTCATGGGGGGTTCGTCGTCGAAGAGGGAGGACCGACCGAAGGCGCTGGAGCGAAGGCCGGAGGACTCGCCTGTCGGTGAGCTACCGAAAAGGGACATTTTGTGTTCGTTGTCTTCGTCGACTTGTTGAATGGTCAATTAGAATTCGAAATTAACGATTGTGGACGATGTTGGAGCCCTAGTGAGTAGACCGGCAGAAGAGAAATCCAGGCAGTATCGCAGTCCCGCAGAGCGCGCCCCTCTTTCGCTTGCGTGAGTGGATGGGCCGGACGGAAGTCGGCAAAGCAAAATAAACAAGGCAGGCGGTGAAGCCTGCGATCCAATTCTCCAATGGTCTTCCGACACGATCCTAAGATCCCAACAGTCCCAGGAACCGGGTCCAGTGATTCGGAGCCTTGGAAGAGGATTGTTGTGATGATGCGAGAGGGTCCAGACCAACCACCTCGATTGCGGAGGGGGAAGGGAAGCGTCACCAGGCAGGGGTGTGGTGGTTGGTACGCTAGCGTAGCCCGTGATACTGATAAGATAGTGGGTTGAGTGGGGTGCTCTGAGTGGTTCCATGCCGAGTCCGGCGTACTTACATAGAAGGGTGCAGCAGCAGCTACTGTAATATCATCCATCCAGCCATGCCATGGAACTCGAGGCCCTATGAAAACCAAATGAGCACATAACATACCAACCATTTCCATCCCAGCGCTTTGTATTTGTACAAGAAGTGAAATCGTTAAAATACAGTGGCCACAGCCAGCTTAAACCCACTTAGAACAGCTTGTACTCCATCTCCTGCTGCTTCCTCTTCGACTTGGGCTTCGCAAATTCATTTGTAGTGCTTGGTACCTTGAAGTACAAGCTGGGCGACTCGCCTGGCTTCAGAGTATGACTGAGATAACCCCGGTGCGCAGGATCGCGGTAGTACTCGATATCCTTCCTGCTCGTCGGGTCGGGTAAGAGATAATAGTACTTATCCGAGTTGCGCACTTTCTCCAGCACCTCTTTAACATGCTGCTTGCCGTAGGGGATCGGCTGGTCGGTGTGAATGCTTTCGCCCTGCACGAGGCGCTTGATAGCGACCTTGGTGTAGTAACGGGTCGTGACCTTGCCGCCGATAGCTTCAACGGCTTTGATAGCCTCCTCAGAGGCACGCGACACGCAGATGTCGATGGGCGTCCTGAGCTTCTCCTTGCCGCGAGCGAGAAGCTTAATGCCGTCCTTGATATGACGACCGACAATGCCTGACTTGATGATCTCACGGGGAGTGATCTGCTTAGTGGGGTCGATCCGGCCGGCGTCGATCCATTCCTGAAGACGGTCGAGGTTCACGACGTGCATATCCGGCGCCCGGCTAGAGTAGTATTAGCCTACGAAATCTCTCCCCCAGCATGCGACCCATCCGTAGTAGTAAAACTCACTGATTAATAAACCCCATCCTACCATGGCTCACAATAAGCGGCGTCTGGCCGCCTTGGAACCAAGGCTTGACCTTTCCATGCTGCCACTGGCCCTTGGTACCGCGGCCAGAAGTCTTGCCATAACCTGACGACGGACCACGACCAACCCTCTGGCGCTTGTGATACGCCCCGGGATTATCGGACAGACTAGAAAGAATCGAGGCGCTGCGAGTCTGCTGTGACGACTGGATCGAGAGGCCGGCGAAGAGGAAGACGAGACTGCTGGCGGCGGCAATTGGTCTGCAAACGGAGGTGTCAATTGCGGCCGCAGCTGCGCTGCGGGTCGCCTGGGCGAGAGGTAATCTCGGCGGCATCGCGGGAAGGGAGAGGAGGGGAGGGCGCAGGGAACGGACGAGGGGGCTTGTTCAACCACCAAAGAGCCCTCTCGCAGATGAGGTTCGCGACAGAAAATCCGAGTGGACTCGGTCGCCCAGCTGGCGGATGACTAAGCAAGACCCCCATGATAGGCCCACCCATCCATTCGGGAAGGTCAGACCCACTCTTGGTGGGTGGTATCGACCGTTGGACACCTGACGTCAGCTGGGAGGCCAGTCTTAAGAATTTCGGAGAATCCAGCATCAAAACTTTCTCAACGAAGATGTCCTTCAGCCCTGCCACTAAACGGAAACTGTTATGGTTGATTTTACAGAAAAAAGAAGATATTATTACATTTTTGTATAGAGTATTATATTTTTTTCTTGATGAAGCGTCCATCCACAGCCACCAAACGTTTGCATGCCTAACTTCCAACTCAAGACCAAATCAAACGAGCATGGAACAGCATGCAATATTACAGAGTGACTGGGCTATGCGGTGTGTTAGAGGCACTTTAATGTCATTCAAAAATATTATTCCCCAGCCAAGGATGACAAGAAAGTCAACGCAGTTGGGAATCCGGGCATATCAGAAGATGCCCGAAAGGGAAAATGTCTTCCGCAGACTCAGCGCTGCTTTCCCATTAACCATCCGTTTGTTCTTTATCGCCCGATATTGTTAATCAACTCGACGTTTTTTTGGCGAACTCGAGTACCAGTCCAAAGCTCCGGAGCAGGCAACGGCAATCGAGTAGACGAAAAAGAGGAGGCTTCAGTCCTCGTCGCCACATGGCAACGTCTCAGGGTTCAGAGAATTCCACATGCTCTCAATTTTGTCCCTATAGACACATCGTCAATACCTATTATCATCATCATCCAAGCCCTAGGACGTTTATGGGAAAACTTACACGCTCACCTCTTCCAACTTAACCCCTTGACCCTGAAGGAACTTCAAAAACCTCCTCTTGGTCCTCTCTCTCTTAAACTTCGCCATGACATCGCCCCGATCACTTCCGGCACCGTGACCGGCTCCATGATCTTTACTGCCGCCCTTTCGATGCCCTTTCCCCTGCTTTTCCTTCTGTTGCTTGGAGACGATCACCACGTACTTCGACCCGCGTGCAAAAACCACCCTGTCCATGTTGATCACTCGCAAATGAAAATCGTACGGATCCTTGAAGACGGACCACTTGGGCGGGCGCACTGACCGGAGAACTTGGTGCTCGAAGAACCCTTCGTTTCCGCCCAACCAGTGCCAGTATTGTGTTACGCGAGTGTTGCTGGCAATCAGTCTCGTCTTGACCTGGTGTACACGCCAGTCGATCTCCATGAGGTTATCCTTGGAGATAGAGTCAGTGGATGTATAGCCGTCATGCTCGAAGGCTGAGGCCGTCGGGGAGACTGGTCCCTCTCCCGGTGAGGCTGCAGCGGGTGTGGTAGTGTACTGGAAGTCTCTCTCCTTGTCCTTGGTCTTTTCCTTTTCGTTTTCCTTCTCGTTTTCCTTCTCGTTTTCCTTCTCGTTTTCCTTCTCGTTTTCCTTATTATCGTTGCCATCTTCATCCTCGCGGTCGCCCTCATGGTCTTTGTCTTCAGGCTCGAGTGGCATAGTGAGCATGACACGAGGCTTCTTAAACGAAGGGGTATCGCTGACATTCGTTCCGGCGCTGTTGGGACCACTTCCCTCGTTATCCTCTGCTGGAATTACCAGCTTGATCACCTTTCCCTTGCCCTTGTCCTGCTGCTGCGTCGCCGAAGCAGGCGGCTCATCCACCATCATGCTGTCACCCTCCCCAGCTTCTTCCTTCTTTGTAGGCATTGAATGCAGATCCTTGCGCTTCAATGGCCGAGGCTGCGCCGCCTTCCTAGCACTCCCGCCGGTACTTCCAGGAGTGTCAGCGCCCTTTGACATGCGGTGCACAGGGGGCCGCCCAACGCTGTGGAAGCCGCACTTCTTGCGGATCTGCTCGATCTTGGGGTCATTGTAGGCCTTCTCAAGCCAAGCGGCAAGGTTGAACTTCTCCCCCTGCTCTTGAGACACCTCCCAGATACGGTGCCGCAGCCATTGAGACGGGGTGACGTCCAGATTGAACTTAGGCAGCTCTTCAAGGATCAACTGCGCCATCCGGAAGAGAGTATCGTAGTTGGTCAGCTTGGGAGTGACGTACTTTTTAGCGACCAGCTGGTAAGGATGAAACTCGCCCTCCCGTAGGAACCTGAGGATCGTCCGACCGCGTTTCGCATCCCGGTTTGCCAAGTGCTTATCGCGATGCTTGGACCCAATCTTGTCAAGCTCTTCAAACCGCTTTTGGTACTTCTCCATCTGAGGAGTAACGAGCTCTTCAATGTTCTTCCAGCTCTCCTCCCAGTAGGGATGCTCTGGGCTAATCTTCTCGAGGGGAACGCCACGCATGAGAGGCGGATCGGTAAAAACAACACCGTTGTCGCGAAGACAGAGGTTTTCCTTCGTGATCTCAGGCAGCTCCTCTTCAGCAGACATCACAGGCTTTGACACTGCGCTCGCAGTAGGGCCACTGGGAGTAGACGGCTGAAGGAACAACTTCCTGCTCGTCGGCAAAGACTTCCGAGGCTTCTTGACAGGCGGTGCTTCAGCCTCTCCCTCTTTACCATTCACGTCCTCGGTTTCTGCCTTCGTCTTCTTGGCCGCCACGGCACTACTATTAACAGCCGTAAATCCAGACACCTTGACTGGCGACAATTTGGCCGAATGCCTTGACCGTGGCCTCGGCACCAGATCAGCCCCCTCACACCTGCTATTCGTCCACTCACAATTCCCACACCTCCGTAACTCCGGGTCATCAACTCTCACACACTCCTGGAACGGCCCCTCGTCTGTCCCACAATTGAAGCATGGTTGTCCCTGCACTTCACCAGTCGCCTGAATGTAAAAGCCAAGCCACTTGACAGCCTTCATGTCGGCGGCCGACGGGCGGGAAATAACCTCTAAATCGTGGGCCGAGAGCTTGCGAATGGAACGTAGCTGGACGTCCCGCTTGACGGGCCGCTGGATGACGCGGTTCGCGAGAGGGTTGCTCGATTCCGTGAGGGGCATCATGCCGATTATGTCGCTTTGGCCATTGACGATGGTAATGACCTTGTCAGGACCGGACCTGCCGGGTGGCTTTTCTTGCGGAGCCGGACTAGGGTCTCTGCCGGGGAGTGACACGGGGGTGTCCAGTTCTGGGGTGGTTTGACGGAAGCTGAGTTCTGATGATGACGCTGGTGAGGGGACCGAGATGGGAGGAGGGACAGGCCGTGAAGAAGTGTCATCGGAGGGCTTCGGATTGTTGGCGCTGTCGGTATCCGGCTTGTCTTTGTCATCTTCTGCGGGAGCTTGGGCATCCTTCATCTCAACGTCCCCATCGGTTTGTCCTGCTGACTTCTGGTTATCTGTAAGTTGCTCTGAGCTAGCAGCTTGCTTGGCTCGCAATTGGGTTTCAGAAACGACTTGTTCGTTCGCATCGGTGGCCTCAACCCCATCCATCTTATCCTGATTAGAAGCTTGAGGCCCAGCCTTTTCAATCTCCATTTCCTCTGCGACTTGCTGCTGTTCGCCATCAGCATGTTCCTGAGGGGAAACGGTAGTAGCATTGCTATCCCAAGCGGCCTGGGAGACAGTCTGTGTATTTTTCTTTGACTTGAGTGGCTCCTCCTCGTGGTTAGACTTGCTCTCATTATTATCTTCTTTGTCTTCAGATGCTGACCCATCTGGCTGACCGCCCTTCTCAGCTGGAACCTCATCAGCCGAGCGGTAAGCCAACCCTCCTCTCCGGAACGTCTTGAACCACGCCCGCCGTTTCTCATCCTCCTCAGCACGCTTGGCAGCAAGAGCCTCGCGAGCAGAGTTGAACTCGCCCTCAAGAGCTTTTAGAGCGCCCTGGCGCTCAGTGTACGCATCTCTTAAAGCCTGCAGCTCCTTGAGCAACTTGGCCTGGGCATTATAATTCTCTATCATCTCCTGCTTGATGGCATCTATTTTGGCGCCGAATTCAGCCTCAAGATCTTGGTCTTCTTTCTCCCGATGCTCGCGCATCGAGGCGAAGTAATTGGCCTCGATCTCATCCCACTGAGATGAGTTTGCGTTAGCATCGGCTGCAGAGAGCGCTGGCGATGCAGGATTTGATTCCATTGTGATGATTCAGCCAGCGGAAATCAATCGATTGATGAACAGAGGTCTGATGAGATGAACGTAATGAGAATGGGGGAAGAAATCCCGACTGCTGATGTGCTATGTTGAGTTGGCGCGCATGAAGACCGATGCGCGGATGGTTGATTTGATTGAAAATCGCGGGCTGAAATGAAAGACCAGCTGGTCGGACGAAGCTGCCTTAGACAAGTTAGCGCGGGGTCTAGATAAGCCAAGAAAGGCCGTTGCAGTCTTGCAGAGGGATGATGCATTACTGACCTAGGCCTCTCCAGTTGCGAGGTGCCACCTAGCCCTAGGGACGCGGTGACAGTGGGAAATCAAGCTAGGGCGACGCGACAAGGATCAGCCAAATGCCAGGGCCGAGATATATTGAACCCAACTCTCGTCTCTATTTTCGTAAAAAGAAAATGCTGATGGAATTGGTTTTTCACCTCGTGATGGTGTTGGGTTGACGTAAGGTGTGGTGCTGACAAGTGTCGGTAAGCAACAAAGAGAGAAAAGAAGCTCAAGTCTCAACTCTCCACATCTGGGGTGTTTAGACTGCTCTGGGGTAGGGGGATAAGATAATCACGGCCAAGACTGACTCAGGGAACCCAAGTTCGTTCATCCGGTCTCCGTCCTCAACAGAAACACCTCGATGAGTGACGTTTTTGGTTGTTGTTGATAGCAGACAAACTGCGTGGCCTTACTATGCCAGTTGTTGATTGATTGCACTGCAATGCCAAACCACACAGTCCCTCGAGTCGGAAATTGCCAGTGCCTGAATGACGCGGCCCTCGGAGTAAACTCCGTTAGTGTCTCCAATCAAGAGTCATGAGCCCAGCAAGTCGCAGTGTCGTGCTTAGCACTATGCGCCAAACTAAACGATAACGCCACCGATAAATAGTGTTGAAGAAGAAAAGTGCATGATAGGGCCATAGGTCCAGGCTAAGAATAGGGGAAAATAGGAGATCTCAGTAACCGGTTATGGCTTAAACGCAGTATCACTTACCTATGATCTGTCGTGCGAACTATGTCAGGCAAATATTGTAGCTCCCTAGCAATCCCGAAGTTCCAGGCAGGATGAGATGTTTCAGGCATGCACCGAGGAAGCCGATAGGCCCAGACTGATGACGAGAGATCCCACGCGTGCCAGGAAACTGGGAATAGGTTACGAGCAAGCGTGGTTGTGGTTGCGGATGGAAGTGCTCAGAAGGAAATTACCCGGATAGGTAACGTCACCGGTGTAAGGTACGGTACCCGTGCTCGCTACTGTGTACTTGCAGGCGAGCAGAACAGCGTTCCGTCGGCGCCGTCGTAACCTGCCTGTTGTTGGCTGCGGCGCTGCTCTTCAGCCGGCGTGTATGTGCCTCGTAGCGCCGCAAGGCAGGTAATGTTTAAATGGATGGATGGAATTTTGGAAGGTGAGCAAAGTAAGATGGCAACACGGGGACGGGCACAGAAAGGCCAGCGACCGAGCACTGACCTAGGCAGGTAAAGGAAACGACAAAAAAAGAGCTTCCTCACTTCCGATTCGCAATTGCAAGCAAGCTTGAAAATAGGAAGTTGATGAGAAAGTTCAGGAGTGAAGCCTGATAGCCTATAAAGTTGCGTCAAATTTCCGAGGACGCTGATAGGCACAAAGGCGTAGACCTGGCTCCAGTGATAGGCAGCGCTGCCGATGAATTCCGCCCATATAATTTCTGGCCCTCCCTTAAGTTAGGTTCACTTACGCGACGCCACCCAGAAGGAACACGAAAAAAATGGAAGATACAGTGAGGTCAAAGCTACCAGTCGAAGTGAGCTTTGACACGAAAAAAAACATCACAAGACCCAGTATTTAGTACGGTAAAGGTATCCGTCAAGAGGATTATTATTCGAATTGGATGAACTGGTTACTGTACCTAGCGCGGAGGGGCCTCATCTTGGATGTGGATGCCACTCTGAGCCTATCCGAACAGTGCAGGACCTAAGTGGAATCCTGGAATAAGGCGCGGCAATCTACGGCTGCTCGCTATATAAGTTCGTCACGAGATCGGCGCATACCAAATCCAGGGCCCAAGAAAAGACCAGACTTCCAAGACGACGCTACTTTTTGTGGCTCGTTCGGTGGCAGCGGACAGCGCAACCATGAGAAATTTGAGGTGTGCACAAGTGGACAACAAACCCCCTTGCTCGCTCGCTCGGTGGCCCCAAAATGAAATTACTGGTCGCTGGTCGATCGCTTGGAGGGCAGTCGAGCGAAGGAGCCAACACAATGCTGCACCTTTGAACTTTTGGCACCCTATCGTGTTTTGTTGGTTGCACCATCTCCCCGGCCAAACGTAACTGCTGGGTCCTGGAATCGCCTGTTATTCGGACTTTTGCATCCGTCTGCTGACCATGTCAAACACACTGAGGCAGGTTAACCAGCAACTAAAGTAGGCAAAATTAGCAGACACAGCATACTTTAAGTCCCACTACAACTGCACAGTGCCACAGATTGTAGCAATATTCGTCCAAGCCGGCTATGCAGAGGGAATCAATTGAAGCACAAGGCACAACATAGGCATCGTCCCCAAATACGGATGTAATCTATATACAATCATGCCCTAAAGCGGATAGGAAATGCGGTTAAGCAGTATTATCAACGTCATGTTCGACCGAGCTTTCCCGTCCATCACAGTCAGGAGAGCAGTCACCATTCCTAACAAGCACACCAAACCAACGCCCGAGAATCCACACAAAGCAGCCGACGCGCCTATGCTGATGGGAAAAAGAGGAACAAGAAGGAAGCAATTGAGAGGGAAAACAGAACAGAAAGATTACGTTCTAGACAGAACCCCCCGTTTATTGAGACTGACGTCCTTTTTTTTAAAAAAAGCGTCGTTTTACTTCGTCTAAACGCGGGAAAGAAATATCCATTCGACTTCGATTATTGGCTTTTGTTTTTTCCAGCTAATATCGCGAAAGCCGGTTCGGGCTCGGATACGAATACCCGGTGTCGTAAGCGGTCGAGTGGCCGTATGGGTCGTCGTGGTAAACTGTGGCGCGACGATCCTCCTCAGGCAACAACTCCTTGACCTCCCAATTATTCATGCGGGTGCCGACCGAGAACTCGAGATCCTCCTTAGTGATCGAGTCCCAGTACTTGTACACCATCATAACTGCCAGAAGATTGCACGTCGTGGCGAAGAACAGCCCATCGAGGTAGTGACTAACTGCCTCGCAAATGGGTGTGCTGAAAGCGTAGAGGATAACCTGGCCGGCAACAAAGAAGAACACGCCAAAGGCGATATCACCCAGCGGCCAACGGTCCTGGAGCGTGCGTGTAACCAGGAGGATCTGCAGCACCACGTAGACAAATAGCTGAACCGCGTTGAGCAGGTACAGCACCACAAACAAACCAACCGTATTGGTGGGGTTCAGACCTGCCCAGCTTTGAAAGGTTGCCAGCGAGATAAGGAAGGTAACGATGAAGGCCGCGGCCGAGCACAGGCGGAGCATCCATAATGATAGAGGGGTTCCGTCTTCATATAATTGAAAGCCAACGAAACCGTTAATAAGCAGACATGTAACAGTCGCCGACGTCAGACCGGACTGTGCGGCCACAAAATATGGGTATGGTTTTGACCCGGGTGGAATCACGCCAGCGTCGATACAGAGCGACAGGAAAGTGAGCAACATATAGAGATAGAAGAAGCTGGTGATCTCCTTGCGTCCTAGAGGCAGAAGTCAGAATGCGTACTAAATGCAATGTTAAGACCAGATAGAGCTCTGAACATACCAACAGCCGTAAACTTCCCCCTCACATGCAGCACCATCACAACCGTCATACCAAGCGCAACAATATGCATCGCGCTGGACGCGCCCTGGAAAATGATAGTATTGGCCAGCTCAATGTTGCGCGCATAGCAGTCTGGCTCGATGCCCACGCCGCTGGCAATCAGCGTCCGCGGCCCGATCGACGAGCACAGCGGCAGCGGCGCCATGTGGCAGATGTTGGTGAAGTCTCCGAACGCGCCCATGGTTACTGGGGTCCGTGGAGGACAGGCCGGTCAGGGCCTCTCTCTCCGTGACGAATGGTGGGAACTTTGGAGCTTGGTGAGAGGAAGGGCAAGGTAGGGCTCGTAGCCTTGGTTCGTTGCCGTCGCCGCCGTCGGATGTGCGATCAGGGGAATGGTGGTGTCACCGTGCAGGAAGGAACAGGGAGGACGGAATAAGGATAGGGACGGGTTTGACCTCGACTGTGGACTGTAGCGAAACGGCTGGGGAAAACCACGACCTCAGACACTGAGATCCAGGATTCGAACGAATCAATCAAGGTCGTGAACGAAATCGGCGCTGGAAGTCGCGATCGGCCAAGCGTCCACTTTCGAGGGCGCCAAGCGAAAGGCAGGCAAGCAGTCAAGATAGACAAGCAGAATGCGACGATTCAATCAAACAACGACTTGTCGAGAGAGGGTCGGTCGAAGGGGGGTATGGCAGTATCAGCGAAACGCGATGTGTCTCAACGAGCGGAGGAATTTCAACAAAAGGTCGTCATAAACTCGGTGGTTGTCTGGCCATGTACCGGCCCTGCGGTTACTCCGCGGCTGCTGGTGTTTGTGGGTGCAGTGGTGCCGCAGAAGCGTGAGAACAGAAGGTTGCCATCCTCCAGTTGCTGGGAAATTCGAACGAGAGCGGCTGAGCAGACAGCTGAGTGTGTGGAGCCAAGATTTGTCATATAAACCAATCATCTTTCGTCCGAGGCTTGGCGCATTTGCCCAGGGTCTACGGGTCGTTGACCTTGGAGGCAGGGGTCCATACCAAACACAAGCACGCTTTCCAGATCAAAAACCGGTCGGACCTATCACCCACAAATGGCATCCTAAACTGACGTTACAAGAGAGCCATGCAGTTGGGAGCAACCAACCTCCTATTAACACCTCTTCTACATACATTCTCATGTTCTTTTGCATGATACCACAACTACTTCAATAGACCTCGTTGAAAGAGGCCAATTTCAGTTAGCGTACAATCCAACCCTTGTTTGTTCGCTAGCGCAGTTCTTAGTAACAAGGATTAACACTATAATTTCAAAATTCTGTAGGAAAACACAGTCTTTGGAAGGATATTTCGGCATTAACAGGTAGAGAAAGTCCTCTTGATTCCATCTGAGTGCTTCTTCAATTTAAGAGGCGTTATGCTCAAAAAGCAATGGTTGTAGATATGAAATCTTACAATAATCCCCGTCATAAGTCTTGTGCTAACAAAAAAATTTCAGGGTTGAACTGCATGCTTTCGGTAACTATCAATGATACAGATTCATATAAACATGTCTGGGTTTTCAAACTACTCCAATATCTACAAGTTGCCCTGGTTGTGTTTGTCATTTCTAGAAGCTCTGTATGGGTCGTTACAGACCACAACTTTACCCCGTAGCTAGTACATCTATCTGTTCCCAATACCTGATGATCCTTCTCTTATCGAACTCAACATAACTTGGCATGAACATCATAGTTTGTCTTCTAGCTTACAATCATATGTTGACTCTATCCCTTTTACTGCGGTGATATGATAATTCTTGGCGTACATTATGATACCTTAGCTGTCAAGCTTTTGGGGTTCAGCTCAAACTTTTGGTTGCATAGGAGCATATGATTTCATAGCGAAGGAATGCTTTCTTCTTCAGACTTCCCAAAGACTTCAGTCTCTTTAGTTAAAGTTTAGTGCTGTCTTCCCCCTCACTTTCACAGTTTTCTTGGCCATTGCAGCTTCAATCTGCTCTCTACGCTGCAGGGTAATCATATGCACAGTTTGTAGTCAAGATTGATAGCCATTCTGTTGCGCAGAAGATCCTGGCATAGCAAAGCCGTACTGTACTAGCTTTGATCATTCCATTTTACTGAAGGTCGAGAGCAATGCACACTATCTTTGGACCATTATTCTTCGAAAATTGATGCCAGGGTCGGTAGCAAACACCAATATGGGTTAGGTACGCACATAGTGAATCGATTACAATATCATAAGTGCTGTAGGGTGGGTTCTCTGACTTCCAATTTTGTAACTCTCTTCCAAGGAGAACCTCTTTAGACACTACCGAGCCTTATAAGACTTTGAGCTCTTTGTTAGTTGTTTCAGGAGTTTTGAGAATGAAGAGAAACGGTTTTCTCAAGATTCAAGAATTAGTAAACTGAAATATAATGGAAAGACCACAGACTTTGGAACTGGGACTAATGTCTCGGTCGATTGTTTGTAAGGCGTACCTAATTGCAAGTTGCTCGAGACTGTCTGGATTTGTCCAATTTTCGAACATACCAGACCCATTATGCTCCGGGTTTGACTTCCTTGTAAATGAGTATTAAACATCTGCAAAGGCCAACTGGGAGCTCAAACCGCTTACTCACACTTCTGAACATTGCTTTCAACACCTTAGAACAAGGTATGTCAGTTTCTGTAATTCTGTTTTGTCATCATAGACCACTTAAGGTCTAAAGTGAGATTTGTTTTCAATCGTGAACCGACCTGGTCTTAAAGAACTTCAATTTGCCAGACTCATCCAAAGAAACCTCGCAGACAATTACCCCCTGGGGACTGACCGATAGCCAGCAAATCAATTGATCATAAATTAATTAATAACTGTGTTTGTCAACTCAGCACCCTCCCGTTGGTTAGCCCCCTCGGTTAGAAGTTGTTGGTGTTCAGTGGAGTGGAGCTTGTCATGAAGCCAGTAGTCATCAACCTCAATCAGCAAGGAGTGAAGGAAGGGCTTAAACGGGTAAATGATAATCATTGATGCCATTGGAAACCAGGAACAGGCTGCAAAATGATGAGAGATGTTTGTAAAATGGTCTATTAACAATTCTTCAAATGTAACACACTAAGGAATCGGATTCTGCAGCGCAGTAGGCCCCAAACTACTAGTTGAAGGTCATACAATCAAGTCGTCTTAGTGATATCGACTCCATCGCCTGGTCAAACTCTCAACAAGACTTTCTTACTATCTCTACAGGTGAGCGTTGGAAGCTCTCTATGAAAAGCGGCACCCGCCTGCCCACCCGCTCAGTGGCATTATGAGAGTCATTGTCGCAGATGTTTTTTAAAGTCCAATTATAATAGTTTCTTGGATGTTAATTGAATCCTTGGGTTTCCGATTTTTAACAATTGGCAGTTCTGTGAACTGACCACAGACACAATGCATGGCGAGCAGCATCACAACTGCCTCCTCAACAGACAAAGGAGCCCTTGGAAATGTAAGTCTCCTGCTTGAGCGGATCAGACTTCCAGGCTTGTGTGTTTTGTGCAAGGTACATGATGTGAGAACAAAGCACGTATGAATGACTCCAGTCCAAGCCTCGAGCTGCATGGGTAGGTAGATAGGTGCTAACAACTACCAGCGAAAAAGCAATGGAAAAGTTCATAGTTTCATGGTAACCAACAGCTTCCAAGGTAATCCTGCAGTTTGACTGTGACTTCGTTGGCCCGATGATTATCTCCAGCTTGCACACAAACGTACAATATGATTCAAGTAACCCTTACACGGTATGAACGGTATCTTACGGTAACATACACTGTAACAACATACCAGCCAGGAGCGGGAAGTGCTGATGTTGGACAAGGCTGACTTTCAGGAGAAGCTTGCTCTGACTAATCTTTCGAACTACATGATTCGCGACGGAATTGCCCCAACCACCAGAACAATGCCGCCAGTCCGCCATGAGCGACAATGATGTAGAGCGGGCGCATATCCTCCAAGCCACCCTCCGACAAATCTCGGTCTTTGCGGCCGAGGGAGCGGAACGGGAATGCTGCGTCATCTGCCTCGGGGACCTGACCGAACCCTGTGAAGCCCGACCCTGTGGCCACACCAACTTCGACTTTGTCTGCCTCGCAACTTGGCTCGAGGCTCGCACCACCTGTCCCCTTTGTAAATGCGACGTCATCGAACTCGGATACGACTTGGCTGAAGACGGGCAGTATCGCAAGGTCTACGCCATCCCCCAGCGCGCGCCGCCCAAGGACCAACAACCCGTTGTCCGACGTGCCGAAGTAACCGTCCGCCATCGTGTGCAAGAGCACCTTCGCCGTCGTCGGCCGCGGTCCCCTGCGTCTCGGGAAGACGATGCAATCCGCAGACGGCGCATGGTTTACCGCTATGGTCTCTATTCCCTACATGTCGGCTCCAACCGCCGCCAACCGCCCGGCATGAGATACACCGAGCTATCGCTGCAACGCTTTGCTACAGAGTCTGAGCTTATCTCCCGCGCGAGGATGTTTATCCGCCGTGAGCTGCGCGTGTTCCGGTTTTTGTACACCAACGATGACGAAGACTTGCGAGGTGTTGAGGATGTGGTACGCGTGCAAAGGCCCTGCAGGGCCGAATTTCTGTTAGAATACATTGTGGCAATCCTCAAAGCTATGGATACCCAGGGGAGTGCTGGCCAGGCAGAGGAGCTGGTGTCAGAGTTCCTGGGCCGCGATAACGCCCGACTTTTTCTACATGAGCTGAGGGCCTGGTTGAGGAGCCCATGTAAGACGCTAGAGGAGTGGGATCGGCTGGTGCAATACAACGACCCAAGGGTGATGTACCGCCCACTGCAGGACAGACAGAGAGCTAGGAATGAGGCCCCTCGGTCAGATCGGCCAACGCCGGTGCAGATGGCGAATCCGATGGATACTCCGTGAGCGAGTCTTAATGGCCGACTCCTGATAAACCGACATCTGCTGTGCCAAGGCAGCATGAACTGGACACACGCCCATGACTAGACGTGTTAGGCGCCCAAATCTTCCATAGGCTTGGATGGTGTAAGAGTTGAGCTAGTGGTCCATAATCGGGCACGCATGCGCAGCGGGTATCGTAGCCAGCTGCTAGACTTGCGACCAGAATGCCCAAGTCAAATCCTAGGTCCCAGAGGAGCTCATACAGCTGCGATGCTAGAAGCCAGTACCGCAGACTGCTGGTTCCAGACGTCATGTTCTGAACCATCTCGCTTATTATGCCATCGCAAGCTATAGCCGATGGTGCTCCGTACAGTATGTGGCTTGAGGAGTCATCGAAGTTGAACCCTCCGACGGACTGGAACGTGATAAAGCCCAGCCTGGGACTCCAGGATTGTACCAGATTCCCACACCACGTATCCTGATCCAAAGCCTGCGCCCCCATTCATGAAACCAGCTCAATGCAAGGGCTTTGCGGTCACGGTTGACAGCCTGCCCGGCCGTTTCACATTGTCTCTCAGGATCGACCCCGACACATATCTCGGGACGGCCGACCCCGCGACCCGGAGCAACTGCTCGCTCTTCAGTCCGTGCCCTTCGGGACCTAACAAAAAGGTCTACTGCGCTGTGTCAGCTTAGAATCAGTTGATCTCGCTACTTCACCTTTAGGACGGCTTAGTCGTGGCCATTTAAACCACAGACTCATTTCACGCGTCGCAGACGTGTCAAGCTTGCGAGGAATGTGGCCGAGCTATGTGGTCTCAGAGCTGGTGAGCGGCTCCTTAGAGCCAGCCTTCGGGAAGCTTGTGTGAGCCGTCGTGTAGGCCTTGCCCAGCCATGGAATAGACTAATTCAACAATGATATATGAACACTTGATGCTCATCACCGCTTAATGGTTACCATGATTAGCTTTGACCATTCTTTACATTTTCGAGCCCCTCGCGACTAAAGCTTCGATACACATAGCCATGTTGTCCCTTCCCCTCACAACCCTAACTCTCACCCTCCTCCCTGTGGTCTCGGCCCACACCATGCTCTACGGCGTCTCTGTCAACTCCGAACCACTCCTCGACGGCCGCAACAGATCCATCCGCACGCCCCTCACCAACTCCCCCGTCAAGGATCTCGCCAGCCCAGACTTAGTCTGCAACACCCGTGGCGGCGTCCCCGTCCCTGAATTCGTCGAGGTCAACGCCGGCGATACACTGACCTTCCGCTGGTTCCATTGGAACCCAGACGATCCAAATGATATTCTCGATCCGTCGCATAAAGGGGCGATTTTGACATATATTGCGGAATATACCGAAGGGGATGGGAGGGGACCGAGGTGGACCAAGATTCACCAGGAGGGGTTTGATGGGGGTGAGTGGGCTACTATCAAAATGAGGGCTAATGGGGGTAGGGTGCAGGTCGAGTTACCCAGGAATCTGGCACCGGGGAGGTATCTTATCAGGCAAGAGCTGTTGGCGCTGCATATGGCTGATTTTAGAGGGGATGATCCGGAGCATCCTGACAAAGGGGCCGAGTCATATCCGAATTGTGTACAGGTTGAGGTTGGGGGGAACGGGAAGGCGAGGCCGGATCAGGGGTTTGACTTCAATGAGGGGTACACATACGGGGATAAAGGGTTGTTTTTCAATATTTATATTCCCTTTGAGAAGTACACGCCGCCAGGCCCGGTAGTTTGGACGGGGGAGTAGATGGGAGGGGGAGGGGATAGGCTATAGGTTCTTGAATGTTGAGGATACTTTCTTATGTGCAGCCTCATCGATCCATGACACGACTCCTTGAGCGCGATGAACCCTCACTCCTTGGGCGGCGTATCCTTCAACAAACCTCCCATCATCGCGACAGGATATCTCTCCCCCCATACCTGCATCCCCTCGATCAGCTCTCTCAACTCTCTCACCTCCTCTTCAGTCAACCCCCCATAAACCGCATTCGCCCCCCAATTCTCCTCTAAGTACTGCACCCTCTTCGTCCCCGGAATGGGGAACACTCCCTCCTGCCTCATTAACCACCCCAACACTAACTGGCCTGTTGTGCATCCCTTTCTCGCCGCAACCTTCCCCAACGCCCTAACAAGCTCCATATTCCGTTCGAAATTTTCCCCCATAAATCTAGGCACTGCCTTCCGGAAATCCCCTGCCTCAAATTGCTCAAGGGAAGTATATTTCCCAGTCAGCATGCCCCTTCCCAGAGGACAGTACGCCACGATGCCGATGCCTAGCTCGCGACAGGTTGAAAGGAGGTTGAGAGAAGGGTGTTCGATGTCGCGTGTGAAGGGGGAGTATTCGGCTTGGTAGGCGTGGATGGGATGAATGCGGACGGCGCGGCGCAGGGTGTCGGCGCCGCATTCGGAGAGGCCTAGGTAGCGGACTTGGCCAGAGCTAGACAGTTTCAGAGGGGTTAGTGCCAGGGTTCGAGGGAGATGTTCTTTGGGGGGGGGGTGATACACGACAAATTCTTTCATTGTGGAGACGATGTCTTCGATGGGCGTTTTGCCGCTGATGCGATGGCTGTGAATGATCAGTCATTGTTATCTTCTTCCTGAGAGGAGTCGAATCTGAGGGCTTACCAGTAGAGCAAATCAATATAATCCGTCTTCAGCCTGCTCAAAGCATCTTTCACAGCCTGCCTAATAAACTCTGGATCGTTTCTGAATTCTCTCCCGCCATCAGACCTGACGTAGTTTCCGAATTTGGTAGCGAGGAAGATATAGACTCAAAGTCAGCACCGTAACTCAACCGAGGCATGAAAGTACCTTAGGACGTACATCCTTCCTTTTCCCAGTTCTCTCAAACCATCTCCCAAGTAATTCCTCACTATCTCCATACAGGGCAGCGGTGTCCCAGTGCCTGCAGCCAAGCTCGTGGGCGCGGTCAAGGAACTGGAGTCGCTCTTCTTCAGGAGGAGGGGTTCCGTAAAAGCCTTGCAAAGGAGAAGATGTCAGCATTGAGGAGATGTTGAAGCTAAGGTAAAGGCATACTGCTTAGCCCCATGAGACCAAGGCCTAGGATGGGAATGGTAGGGCCATCGCGGCCTAATTGGCGGGTTGGGATGCTTGGTTGGGCCATGGCAAGCAGGACAGGCATTGATCACTTCGCGATAGAGAGATGCACAACCAGCCCGGCCTCAAAGCAGAGAAACGTTGAATGTTGGCTAAAATTGTATCTATCCTATTTGTGCTTTGATGCTACATCGTTGGGCAAGGACGTTGTCAGCGGAGAACGACTCCCGATTCCCCCACCAAAGCTCGCTCCTCGCGTTTTTGAGATTCCCATCCTGCCCATGCAGAATCCCACAACACAACTAGTGTAGTCGCGCGGGGTCGATCAATTTATATCATACCGTACCCAGAGCAATTCCACTGAGACCCAGGATGTCTGTGCCGGCGCTAGCATTCCGGAATGCACATACGGAGACACACATCCGGAGAGGCGGTCGGAGGTGGAGACTGGGCGGTTAAGGCCTTGTTTCGGTAACATTCACCGGCTACATTGGCTGCTAGTGAGGGAGGAGATGGCATTTTCAGCATTTTCTAGTTCACATCGACGCCACATAATGCCACAGGAATGCTGAGGGATGGCAAGTTGCGGAAGATTGGGCCTCACCCATGAATGCACTACTACAGTCGGATTGCAAAACTAGTTGCCAAACGACACGGCAGACAGCAAACAGTAGATGAGCACCATCAGTGCATCGTTCCAAATGACTAGGACAACAAAGCCGCACTCCTCGGCTAAAGATGCATCAATGTCTTCCGGCGTGAGAAGAAAACTTCGGCTCCATGTCCAAGACTTGTAATTCCAATAGGAACTGGCATTCGGGATGGGTGAAGCCTGAAGCAAAGACGGCTTTCAGCTGTGCCATCGCCGAACAGTTCCAGAAGCATGGGAGGAAGCAAACCCAACGACCCAAAACGGTTGTGACCAACAGCCAGGCTATGACGTAAGATGTCAGCTGTGAGCCCCCTGTCCAAATCAGCGGCAAACTCCGGTCGGCTGGGTTCGCCCAGAGCTGTGGTTGCGCTGGCGCTGATGACAAGAACGTCATTCCAGCAGAGACCTGGAATCCAAGCTTTCGCAGGAGCAAAAAAGGTTGCGATGAATACCTTTGGCCACGCTCGGGTCAAGACGGGATGCCGAAGAGCCTCGTCGGCCGGCCCGGGGGTCGGGCAAAAAAAAAATAATAGATGCGTCAGTCAGGCAAAGGGAAACATTATCATGCGCAGAAACCGGGGTGAACCTGGTGATTGGGCGATCGGATGCCAAGACATTTTCTCCAGCACATCCGGGCGAGGCAACGTGAGGCTGGTACTGATTTGCATTCTCGGCGCTGACTGTTATTTCCACATGCCCTTAGACCTTTGGAACTCTGGCAATGGGTTCGGGTAGCGAATCAGAGCCACGGTTGCGCATGCAGTATTCACTTGAGAGTATAGGAGTGAGCCGAGATGGTGGCTAGCAGTGTTGCGTTTTTGATTCACATGACTCGAAGTCTGGAGAGCACATGCAGCTTTTTTACATACTGCCTGCCACTGCGCTCTTTGGCTTTGGCTTTGGTATGATTGATGTTCTGTTGCTGGCTTGTTTCAACCTCGGTGTACCGCTGATGGGGGCTAGCTGGGGCGTCGTGCTACTCGAAATATAATGTAACTTGGGATGAAGTGTTGCGTTTCGAGCGTTTTTGCGCAGTTGCAGCTGGCTTTGCGTCCGGTCGTCCAGTGGGCATTGGTCGACGATCTGCTCTGGCGCGTCCCTGCTATCGGTCAGTTCGCATCAAAGCGAGGGGATAAGAAAGCCATAGACTCGGACGTGTTGCCTGTGCTGCTAGGGCTCTCAATACCCAAGGTCTCCAACCCCTGGAAGAAAAAAAATTTTTGATCAAGCCCAACCCAACCCCAAAGACGCCGCACGACCTGATCAACTGACGATGGCAGGGGCATTCGACCAAGACAGCGGACAGATGGAGAGTGGATGGGTTGAATGGAGCAATGGAATTACTTTAAACCCCAGGCCAAGCCATTTCCAGACCCTCAGCAACCCTGGCTCGTGAGTTTCGACAACGTGACCCCTTCAGTTGGTGGGCAGGTGAGAAGTGGGGCCTCAACGGTGAGGGGAGCAGGGGACCGACGCAGAAACCTCTGATTGGACCGCCCCGCTGCCCCGCAATGGAAACGGTGGGGACTCTGGAGGGAGCGTTACAGAAAGTCTCAGCAGGTGCTGCAAGGACACCGCGGTCTCGACTGCATAATCGCACTTTTCGTCTGCAGACAGAGACGAAAATCGAGAAAAGGACTGATCATGGACTCGCATCACCATCTCGCATCCTGCGCGGATGGCGATGTTGAATGCTGGTTCTCAATTTCTGTTGTTCTTGACGGTCGACTCTCGTTCATCCCGCCCCACTCCCATTCTTTGCGGATTTGTGCATTGACTGGTGTCAGTGGCAATCTTGGCTGAATAGAAGGCGATTTCAAAACCTTGCTTCTGGCCAGTTCCCGCAGTCGCAGTGGCAGTCCCAGGGCAGATCAGGGCTGCTGCTTTGTCCCTGATCGCCATCACCCTGAGCGCCCCAAACTTTGAGAGGTCACCAGTACGACAGCGCCATTATTGAGGCTTCCCTTCTCCCTTCCTCCCCACCCCCCTCTTCCCCCAATCCCCCTTAAACATCCGATATCCAGCCTAGCTTTAAGACAGGGACTGCCCTTTTCTCTCCCGCTTTATACCGGTATTCCAGGACCCAGAGTTTGCTTCCAGGGATCGCCAGCGATACCACAGACGGCTCCATCACCGTTGTATTGGCGGCACGCTGTCGTCCCATTGGCGTACTTAGGACTTCTTTGAGTGTGTCTGTCATCCTGTCAACCAACCTGTCATACCGTCGACGTCAACCGCTTGGCAGTACGTACCTCCGAAAGCAGAACCGCCGCCGCCACACACAGACTACATACGCCGCGCTGTCGAGACCGCAAACACTGGCCTGCAACAAAGACTGAGATCCAACAAGGTTTTCCAAAACCGTTGGCCAGATCGGCGCACTTAGACCTAGGTTGTTTACGAGATCGTCTATCAGCATCGTACTCCGTAGATAAGCTTAGATAGCGAGCGTTAGACCCGCCGACACTATCAGAGTATCAAGAGCCGCCAGCTCCAGGATATCTCAAGACATTTCGGACTTTACGGCCTCTTAGACCCGTCCCGGGCTCGATGACGACGGAACAGGTGGTGCGGAAGACACGCATCGACACCCTGACACGACAGCAGCAGTGCACCCCCAGAAGCACTACCAGACCTTCCCTGAGGTGGCATGGCAAGCAATAATACTGGTACTATGAATCACCGCTCCGCTCAGACTGAGGTATGTGCTACTCTTGCTTGAGTCAAGAACTCTTAAGTAAGTCATGTTGTGCTGGTCTTTTCTTGTATTTCCCACTCCCATTCTTCTTTCCTTTCGCTTTCTTTGTAAATCTTCGCTGTTGTCATGCCTGCTGAGTGTTTCACTTGATACACCCCTGTCGTTCTTCCTTTGTTCTCGCTGCCCCTTCCCGGTCCTCGTCCCAACTGCCCGCCATCCCGTCGACGTCAACTCGCCAGGGGCAACAGCCTGCCGTACGTAGTCATGCTTGCTGTTGGCCATGGCGACGCGACGGGACCATCCTCGCTTCTCTCCGTTTGTCCGCCACGCCGGAGGATGGGTATCCTCACCTCCTCTGAATGTTGCGTTACAACTCATCTCACCCCAACGACATCTCCTCGTTGCCGATGCCGACGGTTGCGCCCCGAGGACTCTCTCCACTTACACTGAGCCCGACGGTCTGCTGCTGTCCGGATCCGGCCTGCTCCTGGATGCTCCGGAGGGCCCATTTTCGCCGTTTGTGCCCGGTTGCTGTGCGTTGTTCAACCTCTGACTTAGTTGTTCTTTCTTTTCCAATTTTTTTTGTGATTATTCCCTCCCTCCTTTTGTCGTGTTGTTATCCCTGCGCCCTTCACCGGATGTTGTTGGTCTTGTTGCTTGTCACCTGCCCGTCCCTGGCCAGCCCTAGACCAACGTCACCCGTATGCCGTCGCGATACAGAATCTTCTCTGACCGGGGCGCCGTGCCCGCTGTAGGTCCTGAACACGACCGCTTACGTCCCCCGCCATTCTTTCAGTCCGCACACGGTTCTGTTTACTACTCCCCGAGCCGGTATCACGAAGCCAGACGGCAACAGCAACAACAGCAACGCCCACATTCCGACTACTTCCCGCCGCCACTGATCGAGCCGCGCCAACGACGTCCCCATTCCATTCATATCATCTCGTATCCCTCTGGATTTGTGCCACGCGAGCTTCGCCAGCCCCCTCCGGGATCCCCAGAGAGAAGAAGGCAGTCCAACCGCGAGTGCAAGAAGCAGGCCCGGAAGAAGCAGAAGAAAGAGGAAAAGGAGCGGAGCAAGAAGCAAGAGAAGCGAAGGTCGCTGAGGTCCCTACCCCCCGGTAGTGAGAAGGTTGGACGAGTCCTCAGCAAGATCTTGGCTGTCTTCGCCATCACCCCGAAGCAACCGTCTCCTGTTTCCGCGGCGCCGACTCCAAGACCTCGACCTCGGAGTTGTCAGCCTCGCCCATCCAGCTTTGCTAGCTTCGCCCGCAGGTTTTCACGCAACGAAGGCGTTGTCGCTATTGAGTCTGTGTTAGAAGGAGACCAGGAGGTTGCTCAAACCCCTGATATGGCAGGGCCCTTACTACACTGGCCTTACACGCCTGCCGGTGCGTTTCCCCAGAACAACCGCAACAGCATCATTTCCATGCGGTCGTTCAAAACGATAGCCGGGTCGTCTGTACCGGAAGCCCACAAGCCCGTTGCTTCGGGCAGCGGCATCTCATGCTCCATTCTGCTTGCCGAGCCTAGCGTGTATCTGACTGGCTTCGACCATGACCATCGTAGCCGGCGCAACGGGACCCCGGCCAGCGCTCTCCTGCGGGGAAAGCTGCTGCTGAACGTATCCAAGAATGTCAAGATCAAGTCCGTATCGCTGAAACTGGTCGGCAAGGCGAGGACAGAATGGCCCGAAGGCATCCCACCGACTAAGACGGAGATGTTCGAGGAGCAGATTCTGCGCTCCCAGTCCTTGGTCTTCTTCCATGCTATGCATGACGGCATGTGGGATACCGAGTACGGCTACCGTTGCACGTACACCCATCGCGCGAGCCCGACCGGTCTGCTGCAGTCGCTTCAGGGGAACGTCTCGCAAACGTCGTTGCATCATCTCGGCCTCGGTCGCGTCCCTGGTACGCTGACTGCGAAGGAGCTGAAACGGTTGTCACTGCAGTCGGTCAACTCTCGCAGTTTTGGCAAAGGCGAGTCGCCCCTGACGAACCAGGTCCAGGCGAAAGGGTACAAGGTCTTCCGGCCTGGGACATACGAGTATGCGTTTGAACTACCCATCGATCACAACCAGCTGGAGACGGCCAATTTGCAATATGGCTCAGTCAAGTGGGAGCTCCAGGCGAGGATTGAGCGGGCGGGTGCCTTCAAGCCGAATTTGCAAGGCTCTCGCGAGGTGCTGATTGTGCGAGTCCCGGACCAGATGTCGCTGGAGACTACGGAGCCTATCTCGGTGAATCGGTGCTGGGACGACCAGCTGCACTACGATATAACGATATCAGGCAAGAGTTTCCCGATCGGCAGTAGGATACCCATCTCGTTCAAGCTCACGCCGCTTGCGAAAGTGCAGATTCACAAGATTAAGATCTTCGTGACGGAAAACATCGAGTACTGGACGAATGACCGTCATGTTACGCGCAAGGATCCATCCAGGAAGATCCTCCTCTTCGAGAAGACAGCTGGGCATCCGATTGCTGATCAGTACTCGAATTGTGAATTCCGCTTCATTTCGGGCGGCGAGCCGGACCCGAAAAAACGTGAGGAGGCCCGGCGCAGGGCGGCTGCGAGAAGGAACAAGGATAGGGAACGAGCTAGGAGCAGCAATGGTAAGCCAGAGTCGCTACCCGAAGTAGCTGAGAATCTACTCGGGCCGCTGGATCTCGGGCTGGAGGACTTTTGGGGGCCGACCGAGATGGAGGTGGTTGTGCCGCTACCGACGTGCGAGATGATGGAGCGCAGGAAAGAGCTGAAGCTGCATCCGGATTGCAGCTGGAAAAATGTGAATGTGTTCCACTGGCTCAAGGTTTGTCACCTACCTGTCTCCAGAGGATGGAACATGGAAGCTAACAGCACAGATCGTCCTTCGTGTCTCCCTCCCTGACGAGAGCGACAGCAACGGCAGACGTCGTAAGCATTTCGAAATCAGCATAGACAGCCCATTTACAGTGCTCAACTGCCGCGCTACCCAAGCAAATCTTGCCCTACCGCGCTATAGCGGGCCCGATGGGATACCAATTCCCGAGCAACGCCCGCAGAAGTCGTGCGGCTGTCCCGATGCGAAACTCCTTGATCCATCTGCCTCTGGCGCCGTCGGCGCCCTAGCCCTAATCGAAGAGGATATCCTCCCTCGGAGAAGACTCCGTCTAGATACGAGAAATATCCAGACTAGAAACTCTGTGGCTCAGAATGGGAACCGTGCTGAAACCATCACGACACCCCCCCCTCCCCCTCACTCGGCGGAAGACGATCCCGCTCCCCCGCCGTTGGTTCAGGTTCCTTCATACGACCCCCCTGCGTTTGATGCAGACGATCCTCCGCCCCCGTTGCCGAATGATCTATTGAGTCCCCCGCCGAGGTATGATGTCATTGTGGGCACGCCGAGCGTGGATGGGCTAGCGGATTATTTTGTGCGGCTGGCGGCGTATGAACGGTCTAGACAGGCAAATGGGGAGCAGGGCGATGTGAGTAGTCCGAAAGATACAGCTACGGATGTGTTGGAGAGCCCCGCTGCTGCTATTCTTACGTCCGCTCCGCTTGCGGAGTTGGAAAGAGGGCCTGAGGGGGAGGATGGGGTAGAAGAGAGGGGGCTGAGTATGCCGATGAGCGCACCTGGTGGTGGTAGGCTTGCACCTATTTTAGAGACTACGACGCAGGGTCAGGGCGAGGAGACTGGGGTGCGCGTGAGAGAGAGCGAGGCTGATGCCGTTGTTCCAGCAACGGCTCCAAGTTCTTCCAGAAAGGATAGCACAACTCTGAGCGAGACTGTCACGACTCAAGCATCGGCCTCTGAATCATCGACAACCCAAACCCCCACTGCCAGAGCACGAAGTCTCCCTGCCGCCGTCGAAGAAGATACGCTATCCTCGTCGGATAGCAGCGCAGAGGATGACTCGCTCGACCCGGCGAGGCCGCACCGAATGGGACGAGTGAATGTCGCGAATCCGAGAACTCCAGGAGGAAGGTCGGTACCTAGTCGGAGTCTGGATATTGAGCGCCCAGTGATTAGGCTCGATTTGAGCTTGAGTTCTGTGTTGAGGAGGAGGGCTCGGAATAACTGATGGTGCTTGGTGCCCAAGTATAAGGGATCGGGAAGGAAGGAGTGGTTGACCGATTTAGGATATGGTTGTTCAGTAGCCAAGCAGGCAGGCAGCTCATGATCTGATGGCGTTAATTAGAAGAGGAGACGGGGGCTTGGGTTGACGTTCGTTTGGCACATTTGATGGATTGCATACAATTTCTCCCCTTTCCCCTCCCTAGGAGTTTTGGTTTATTGATGGAGCATTTCTCCTGCTTAACCCCCTCTGGATAGACGGATGGATGCACTCATCACGGTGTGGCATTGTTTTCTTCTGTTACTTTTTATACGTTGGGATTGGCGGTTTGGGATTAGTTTTAGCTGTTTCGCATAAGCTATACCTACATGCATATCTGATAGTGTATCAAAGTAGGTGACCATGGAATGGACGTAGTTGTTGCATGATTAAGGAATGCATAGGTATGTCCATGCCATATTTTAACTGAGCCTGCCGCGTCCAAAGGACATCCCTGAGTGATCTTTAGTACAGCGTTGTTGATGACGAGGCTGGTGCACATCAAATCAATGACGCCCAGATCTCTGAATGATGCAAGGCATGTCCAAAAAAAACCCAGATGATGCATCCAATAATGAGGATGAGTAGGCGACAGACAAGGGAAAAACAGCAGGGAAGGATGGAGAGACCTTAAAAAATAAGAGGATTCAGGCAAGAAAGCGACGACTGCTTGCGAAGGAATACCGGTCGGATACCAGACTCCGATTTTGACTACGATACATCCGTTCAAGGGGCTAAGATTGACTGACGACTGTAGTGAGGGTAGGTAAGCTCAACTGACTAAGGTCATTAATTAGGGGTGTAATCTCGCAGGAATTTTGAAAAATTGGTCGTCAGATAGAAGGGAAAGGCAACAACGGCAGACAAGAATTAATGGAACTAACTCAATAGATCAGATGATGTTGCAAGAAAAAAAATGAATGGATCGGAATTATTGAGCATACTTCCTATGAACACCGAAGTGTCACGAAAGAGGGCCCCGGGGCCGGGGGGAGGGAAAGGGGGAGAGTTGAACACCACATAATTCTCTACGTACGGAGAGTTAGCTGTGTTGAGCAGTGCCCTGTGGACAGCTTGCATGCAGTGTACATCACATCACATAGGCGTAGGTTCCACAATGCCATTTGACTTGACATCTCTTAACAGTTTCTAATTGCTGCCATGTGATTATAGTCGGGGTGTGAGTGACGAACAAGCAAGCAGGCTGTCGGGCAATTACAGTAGGGGTAGCTATGACATCGGACACAGATTCCATAGATATTGTGCCAAGGCTTTTAGAACATCCACACAACTCGATCGAGTATTGGCCTGGGTAAGCAAAGCATGTGCATGAATGAGTGCACTGCTTTGTTGGGCCTGTCAAGATGTGAGGTAATGATGCAGTTTTGGGAGGTCAGGAGGAGCAAAGGGGCAGAGAGGGACAAGATCACCGAATCAACAAAACTACCTGCTCTGACAGATTGGGATGACACGCAACACACATAACACCAAGTGCATCATAAGAAACCGCTAAGTAGGTATCACAATACCACAATTATATTTCCACCAACTACTACGTTATTTCATGTATCAATGTTGCTAATGCATCCTCATCCAGCCCACGCTCGATAACGTTTGCGCAACCATATATTTCTTCTAAGACAACTTCAAGTAGTATATCTCTTCTGTTTGCCTCGCCGTGATCATCGTATTGCATGCTCAATATGCCTATCCCGTTGAGAGTCCACAAACCCATAAGAATAATAGTAAACCGCCTGATGCCGTAAAACCGACCCTTGATAGTAGTAGTAGCAGCAGCAGCAGCAGCAGCAGCAGTAGTAGTAGTAATAAGATGCAATGCTCCCATGGTGTGTGTATGTCCCGTCTTAGAACGCCAATGCCCAGTGTTCTTGTGCCATAATATATATATTACAATAACCCCAAAAAATTTTGTGCCCTTGAATCCCCAAAACGCCAAACGATGCAAAAATGTTCCCATTGGTAGAAGAAAAAATAGTAGTACAGAGCAAGAAGTATGAAGCGAGAGGAAACCCGCTCAGTACTGGCCCTAATACGGAGCCAGACGCGTTGCGGATCGAGGGGCATAGGACGTAGGAGCCGACACAGTAGCACGCGAGGAAGGATTCGTGGCCTGTGTCGTTGCCAGATGACTCGAGTTCGACAGCACAACAGCGCCAGAGGTAAACTCGGGAACGATGCCGGTGCGGTACTCAGCACGCTTCCCAAGAGGCCGGTAATGCATCTGATTCGGCAGGACAGAGGCTGGTAGATGGTATTGCTGAAGGAAAGCCGAGGGAGGAGGATAGAGCAAAGTGTTGACGTGGCGGACAGGTCCATAGGGACTGTTGCGCTGACGCAGGTAGTAAGAAGGAGAATGAGATACCGGTGTATGGGCGCCATTCGCGTTCGGAGTCGACATGGGGGGATTAGTTCCATCCACGATGGGAGATGAATTGCCGAAGACCACGGTTGTCGCAGGATGTTGTGGAGAGAGCCGCTTGGTCGGAGTGCTGTAGCTAACGGGAGGGAATGTCGTGGTAGGGGTCGTCACCGGCCCGCAAGTAGCAGCCATGGCTTGCGACGAGGAACAAGTCGTGGCTGGGTACACAGTCGACATGGCCCGGACGCTGGGAACCAGCGGTGGCAGCGATAGCGGCGACGACTGTTGAGGGACATACGTGGTAGGGGGGTAGGTCTGACCGTGGGTAACGGGCGCCTGATTCGTATTGAGCGTCAGGCTGGGCACGGACAGACGACTTTGATCCGAAGACGCGACGGACGCGGATCTTGAGGTAACCGGAAGGCCACTCGGCAGGCAGCTAGGCAGGCCGTTTGTGAGGGGCTGCGAGCTCGTAGACGTCACGGCTGCACATTGTGGTACCGGCTGCGAGTGAGTTGGTCTTGGCATGCTGGTTTCTCGAACCCGATTCGTCCGTTTGGTAGGCGGCTCAACTAGGTCCTCATGCGAACACGGCCTCTTGAGCGAGCGAGAGGTCTGCGGCTTCAGAGCGAGAGGAGACGATGGAGGAACCGTGAAGAACGGAGAGTCGTTCCACGAGTCGGTCGGGGAGAGAGAGCTAGAGCTGCTCTGGAAGGATGTACCTGCAGACAGGCTCGATGTCGATTGCGAAGGGGCTGTTGGCGACGGCAGCGGAGAGCTGAAGCTGAGTAGTGTTGGCGACGGAATGCGCAACGGGGACGGCGACGGCGACCATTGACGCCTGCTCGCCTGCAGGTAGGACCAATAGTCGGACAGCTTGTTGATCCAGTCCTCCCACTCTTCGGCCGAAACCAGCATCCGGTACCTCATGTTGCTCAGAAACTCGACTTCCATGACATGGATCTCTTTCACCGGGATCCCAGAGACGTCGGCCCAAGTCTTGTTAGTGTAAGTGTTGTCGTCCAAGAACTTGTTGCCGAGCATGAGAGCCACGGTTAGGAGCCGATACTCGCTGCCAGGACGGCCCTTAACGGTCGGGTTCATTTGCTTGAGCCGGCGGATATACAGAAGAGCCAGGATGGCCACATTGAGGGTTACCTGAGTGGTCGACAGCACCGAAGTTACCCAGGTCTTGAAATGGTCGGCCGCGGCGGTGCTGGTCAATGGCTCGATCCGGGCACCGGGGCTAAGCGGAAGCGTCTTCTCAAGCTTGGCGAGCTTGTTGTCGCTCACGAACCAGAAGAGCGCCGTCATCTCTGCCATAAAGTCGGCCAGGTTTCCGCCATTGGGGCTGATGCACCCGGGGACAGCCATACTGTGGATAGTCAAGCTGGAATCCTCCGAGTTTGGCTCCATGTCGTCTGATTCCGACCTAATCAACGGGGATGGCGATGCACGTGAAAGGCATCTCGGGTCGAATTGTTGGTTATGGGAACCGACATCCTGCTCGATCGAGGAAGCCGTGGTTAATTTATGAGTTGAAACGCGCGAAGCCGAAACCATCGATGGCTGCGAAGTTGCATAGTCTTGTGGCTGCGCTGAAGGAAAGGCAGCGTATCGATGATGCGGAGTGCAAGACTGTTCGTTCGCAACTCTCTCGCTCAGTGCGCTGCGGCAGGCATCAGACGAAGCGAGGGATGACGCATAAATCGACGAGTGGCAGAGAGGATAGTTCTCGCACGTGGCGAGATGCCGCACCTCGTAGGTCGTCCCCATTGCGTTGTCAGTCTCGGCGGGAGGAGTGGAAAGGCCAACGGGTAGCGAGCGTTGTGGCGGCTTTTGTGGCTGCGAGGTTTTGATGGCGTCTAAGCTGGAATGGCAGATAAACGACCCTGCTGGAGAAGGGAGGGCAAGGCCGGGGTTGGTGAAACTCTGGCCGCGCGAATCGGAAAACATGGAGTGTTTTCTAACTTCGAGCGGTCTTTCGTGGGGCTAAAGTCGAAGGTCGAGGAGGGGGAAGGGCACTCGGGCTTGCTGGCCTGCGAAGGAACAATAGGAAGGCGCGGGCTTCCTGAATGGCCGGGAGTTTAGAGAACACACGCGTCACGCAGACCCGAATGGGACTGGGAGGAAAAATCGGATGGCTCCTTCCTTAAAGCCCGAACCGAAGCCTGCTATAAAGTTGTGGAAGCTGTGAGGGAGAGTGTTGTTGCAAAACTGCTTTGAGAACGCTCCTGCATTCACGTGTCATCTGAAGACCGTCCAAACTCTGAGGTACGCCTGGTCGTCATGCAAGCGTCACTGGCTCTGCTGCACACAGGCGGGTTCAGGCTGCTGAAGCAGGGGGTCTCTCTAGCAGTCCGTCATCAACGAAAATTAACGACACTTCAGTCGTTTCGTCATCACACGCCGCAGGGTTGGAACTGGGCCTCCTCAAAGAGGCACGGGAGTCGAGGGCGCGGGACACTTCTGGAGCTGTCGGACACCCTGTGTACAGTTATACGTGGGGAACGTGATGATACGCCTTGCGGATCTCGATGGGATGCTTGTCTTTGTCGACAGGTCCAAGCTGAAGGTGGCCGAGGACTCTTTAGGGAGAATCGCTTGGGTCAGGGAGATGAGGTCTCGGTCTGTCTGTCAGCGAGACCGACAACGGAAGGAGTGGCCACGAGGGATGACGCAGGCACGGGCACGCGAGGCTCACGGCACGATCAGAGAGGGCTGAGGTTGGTATGGAGGAGTGTCGTGTCTAGCGAGGGCAGTGATGTTGCTGGGGGAAAGGAGGACATGCCACACTTTGAAGGACATGGCGGAGGAGGAGAACAAGATGGAAGAGGAGGACGAGCAGTGCATGTAGTGGCCTCGATGGGGAAGGCAGATCCCCATACAGTGAAAACATCCATTCCGAAGGCTATGGTGGCTATCCATGTGAGGTGGTTGCGTAGGTGCGTTGCTGCGTCTTAGTCCTGGTCGCCGCAAAACTAATTTTTCTTCCATTGTCTCCCTGGTCCAGGTCTGATGTCGTTGTGTTTGTCCCCGGGCCTTGGTGCGGTGCAAGGGGGGCGCTGTGCCGCCGCAGTTGTTCCAGCCGTTCAGCGCTGCGACTGGCCCATCTAGTCTAATGCCTGTGTGGCCTGCTGCGCTCCTGGAGCATCCTGGTCCGCCCGCTTTTGCTCGGCCTGCGCGGGTGCTTGAGGTACCCGGCTACGGAGGTACAAAGGTACATCCGGGTCTGTCATCCATCATCAATGCCTCTCACAGCGGCTCGGATGGGCTCCACATGGAAACGGGTCAAGGAGTGCTGGGGCGCCCACAAGGCAGGCGTGCAACCATGCAGCCACTGGATCAAAAATGGTTCTCGGGACCCACCTGGGTTGCCCAGCCAGAAAGAGAAGTAGCAGAAGCACCACAGAAGCCAGAGCTAGCCCGGGCATCGTGTTGTTCGCATGGGGGTGTCTGGATCCATCACTGCTGCCCAGGCGTTCGCCCTCCCAGCACAGCGCCCTGACCACATACACAAAACCAGCCTGGGCTGCTAAACATCAAAACGCCCGCATCCGACCTTAACCCACCCCCCAGCCAATCCCAGCCCGCCGATTCCTCGCTTAGTAACAGCAGATCCCACTTCGTCTGCTCGTTTACGGCTTAACGTGACCTCTCTTTATCTCGGCCTTACAAACCACGCACGCGGTCAGGAACGTCCATTATTACGCCTATTTTGAAACGAAAGCAAGTTGTGAGATATCAATCGTTCTTTTTGGGGGGTTGCGGCTTGGTTATTGAACAACAGCTTGGCTGCTGCTTTCACTGTTCTCGCTTTTTGACTCATTTTGTTGCTCGATCTGGCAGTTGCAAGAAATGATTTTGGTAGCGCAAGTGAACTTTTAGTGTGTTTTTGGGGGGTCTGGGCGCGTTTGGTTTGTCCCTCCCAGGTCCCCCGCCCAAAGGAATGGTAACACTGGATGGAATCCTGTCCGGGGACGCTGCCAGATTCCTGGCAATGATGGATCTTGAAAAGTGCGTGCTGTTGGGCTGCCTGTGCTGCACATGGCACATCCATCGAGAACACGGCTGTTCTCTGGCGCACCTCCTTTCCAGAAAGTCATTTCCGTACCATAGATTATGGAACAATCGCAGTATTGCTTGCTTGCAGGAGACAAACAAAAACGGTCGCCCTTACCGAGCCCTTCTTTCCACCGCATTCAAGTATCATCCGGAGGGTTAGGCGGCAATACCACGCTCTTTACCGAAGCAAGCGGACTCCCACTCGGGCCCCATCCCATTGATCTTCCACACCAGGGGGTCGTCATCAACATCATGTGTTTCCCGCACTTCCCAACAAGGTTCCAGCCCTAGGTCCTGGCCAGCGTCTTGATGATCGCGTCTCCTGGTCCTGGGCGGGTAACTGTGGATAGTGGATACTGGTGCTGCGTAAAACACAAACTCTGCTGCAACTTCTGCAAGAAGCCCGGGGTTTGGCCGGATCTATCAAAGTCCAGGACTGTATTGACATTTGATGTCCAAAATGGACGATGTTCAAGGATCGATCTAGCGGTGCCAGACATGGGAGCCACTCGGGCTACCCCTGCAGCCAGTCAGATCACCCCGACAAGCACAGCACAGGGACAAAAAAGTTAAACTTGCCCCATGTGTACGTGCATGGAAAAGGGAACAAGGTAGACAAGAAGCTAGAAGGCCAAGGGGGTTTGCATCTCAGGTTCAAAGCCATGGATCAGGTCCCAAAAGAACCGAGGACAGAAAGAGAACACCTCCAGCAGCATTGTGGGCCTCTCACCCAAAACGGAGCAACGCAGCGTTCACGCACACGGTGTACCCCGTATATTACGGTACAGTGTATAGACAGTAAATCGCACTATCGCCTTGGCTTCGAATTTCGGGTGTGGGTTTGCGCCACTCGTTGGTAAGATGCTGGGTCAAAGTCAGCAAGAAGGCGTTTTGTCCACTTGATCAGGGCCATTCCATATCCGTAGCACGACTCTCCGGTAACCCTCCCACAGTACTTGTACAGACATGCCGCTGCTTCGTATTAGTCAGCAGAGACATCCTTCAGACGGATCCGTGCTGGCTCCGTGCTGCTGCTAACATGGTGGCACTGAACCCACTCCTGGCCGACGGTCAAATCTCTACCAGTTTTCACACATCCAGCTTAAGAGCGAGAACTCTGTTGTAGCATGCTCCATTGTCATATAAGAGGTAAAATAAGAGGTACATTATTATTGTAAGAGGGTGTGCAGAGACACTCACGGCCAACTCACGCTCACACATTCACACACACACAATCATCGCCGTTTCCCGTGTATCCCACCTAAGAGGAGGTCCATCTCCATCCGTTATAATCAATCATCGTGATCAATCTACTACAATCTCGGGCTTGGCTTGCCTGCCAGTCGGCGGTGGATGCCCATTCAGAGCCTGTTGCTCCAACACATTTTTTACGCTCATCTGTTTTTGATGGCCGGGAGGGAAAGACAAACCATGGAGGGTCGGAAATTTATGCCTGCTAAAAAACCAAATCCTAGCCAAGAAAAACGATAGAGCAATAACCATCTCATTGTTGAAGCAACCGCCCAATGCGGAAGGCAAAATGAATCGCTAAGTTGGCGAAATGTGTAAATGTGGGTTTGGATGCATATCCCCCCCCATGCTCAGTTCATGTTGCCTTGCTGCTTGTCTCCCAAGCCAAAACCGCGCTTCACTTTTTACAGGCACGTAGCGTGAAACTATGCTTGTTGGTCTGGCCCTGTTCTTTTTTTCGGGTCCCCGGGAAGAGGGGACCAAAGGAAGGGAACATCGGCTGGTTGTCATCCAACCAACCTGATGGATGCCACCGCTGCTTAGAGATGGATGCAGCTTGGTAAGTGCCCATGTACACCGTTTCGGCCGCACTGTGACCGATCACTTCCTATATCGAGGGCCACTAACACGATGGGGAGCCCACTGACTCAGGGTCGGAGTGTGATTTGCGCCGGCGCTGGATGGGATGGGCGATGAGGAGCAGAGATGGAGCCATACCGCACAGTGCGAAGCGTTTCTCGATAGGAACCTAACCACGCCCTACCATCCATCGCAGCCAAGGTACCCTTCCACCTCGTTCACTCAGGTCCCATCATCCCTCCACATGCCATTCCATAGCTGCAAGCCTCTCCGGAGCCTGAGCCACGCTTTTTCCAGAAACCGCATGAAAGGCAGCCATTGCGTGTGACGATATCTCACTACTGACAGGTACTTCGGTAGCCAGGCCAAGTATCATCAACAGACTGTTCCATTCATGCGTGCGTGAGACCTCTCCTGAGCTGGTCTGCTGCCTGCCCTTTTGACACTATAGGTTGTCTGCATGCCAGATGGCCCGTCCATGTGCCTCCAAGTTCCCGCAGATTGGTAGGTATCAACGGCTCAGCTTTAACCACGGAGTTGGTACCTGACTGAGAAGGCAATTTCGCATGTAGGTAAGCATTATGGAAACACAATGACCGATGATGAGCCCATTACGGAGTTCTTGGGAGACTTTAAATAAGGGGTCCTACCTGCAGAGTGCCACAGAACGACGGTCACAGTGCAAACGGCGCGGCCATTCTGCATCCTGCTTCGCGACAGATTTGGTATGAAACGGGGTACACAGTTTAAAGTACAGTCTCTGTCGATCTTGAGATACATTATACTCCCGAAAGTGGCAAATGTCTACCTCCTTTGCTTGTCTTCCACCAGCAGCACAGCCCGGCGTCTTTAACAGCCAGCAACCAACAGGGTAGCTTTCCATAGCGCCATGTCCCAGTCATGCCGGAAATCAATCTGATATCTCAATGTTACCACTCTGTTGCCCATGTTCCCTTCGATGTCATCTCCTTTATCTTGTGTGCGATATCCGCGGTATCCGGAACCTACAAACCCACCCACTACAACTTACACGAGCTGTAAAGTGATCACTAGCCACTGGC